AAAAACCAAGAAAGAGACAAGAGAGAGAGTGGATCTAATGGCGAATACCCTTCGTTTATTCAAAACCGTTAATTTGAAAAATCAAGAAAGAGACAAGAAAGAGAGTGGATCTAATGGCTGCGAAGGAGGAAGCGAAACTCACTTCCCCTTAGAGGGAAGTGACACTTTCTAATCCCGCCTACACAACAACCAATACCAATACACAAAATTATCAATACTAATATCAAAATTCAAATCAACCAATACCAATAATAATGAGCAGAGATGTCACGCTACCTTGTCCTCCCTTTTTAAACCACTCGACGAACGATCGAAAACACTATTTTTTTATTTTATTTTAACTTACTTTGACGCCATTAAGTTAAATCACATTTTAGTTCCTAATCTTTGTCTTCTCCGTGTAAGCTAATCAATAGGCTTGTGATTTGCATAGGTTCACTATATTTATGCTTAAAAATTAACTGTTAATATTATGGGCCATGGAGATTTAAACTCACTAGTTACGACTATTTGATCAGAATAGATTTGATATCATGTCGTAAACCAACTTATTTACAGAACTCAAATTATTGGGAGAAAAAAATTAAATATAAATTTTATGTCTCTTGTAAATATTGGTCTAAAATTGTTTTTATCACCCTCCTTTTTGTTCCCCTTTCTTTGAATCTCATCCATCAAATAGAGTCAATTCATAAATTTCCCGGTCTTATTATATTGGGCAAACCAATGATGAGATACAAAGTGCCGGCAAACTCACAACACTAATCAACGATAATCACATCAAACATTTAATCCTGATTTAACAACATTTGACCCAACTCTAGCGTCTTTGTACATATATAACTAACTAACCTGCAGCGGTCTAGTTACGTTCAACCTTAATTATTTATCTTGTACGTGTTCATCAATCGAAATTTTGACCAATATATAACTTGTGCCTTTGTGCTTTAAAATCGTAATAGAATCTTTTTAATTGCACTGCAACTTAATTATTCCTTGCGATCTCTTATTGTCATAAAAAATTTATTTGTAATTATCATATATAAGCTAAATTTTCCATTGCATCAATCCTCTAATCGGTCTCTCTTCTTCTCACTTACTCGTATTTTCCAACATCAACGAAACAACAATCACCAACCTCACAACTCAGCTCCGCAGTGTCTCCCGGCCTAGTCCGTAATCCTCCGTCAACGTGCTAATCGTTGATTTCCCTTTCCCCCCATCGAGGCCTCCTTATCACTCCCTGATTTGGACCGCTAATATATAACTGATTAGTGGAATACAGCGAAAGAGGTTTAATTCAAGAGTATAGATAATGAATGTATTTTACGTCTCTTTCATAATATATGTATATGAAATACCGACGAGTTCGTTCGAGGACATCCAATATAATCTGAACAATTGAAAAAGATTAGCATGACCATTGTATATAGATACAAAAGTGGGCTGTTTATCAAATCAACATAATATCCCTTTCTTTATTCCTTTCGTTAACTCCTTTTGATGGATTATTCTCCATTTCTCTAATCTATTTGATTTTCATAATCGCAATCCGATTCCTATGAATTCTTGACCTAATTAAATAAGAAATAAAAGAAGGTTCAGAAGACTATAAGCTAGGGCTTGGAGCGTCCGTGGGAAGAAAGAAAAATCTGAAAAAGACTTGGTGGGGCCGGACCGCCGTTGCTACCATCAACTAATAACAACAACTTGCCCCCATCCACCCGCTTGCTTGCACCTAATCAATGAAAACGATTTGTCCAATTAATTAAAAACCCTAAATGACGATCAAAAGCTTAATAATTGTGAACACTCATCACTAGGGTTGGGTTTATTTGTTTTGATTGAAGGGAGGCCATGGCCAGAATGGAAAAGAAAAAGAGAATGGGAATAACAAAGAATCGGTAGGTAGGTGGTTGCACAAGCTCGTCTTATAACTCGAAAAGAAATATAGATTAGATCGTATTTCGAGAGTTCGTGTTGCAATCAATTTTTTTTAATCCACTTTGCAGTAAGCGAGGATGAGTTTATGTGTTGACCAGCTAGTGTTCCAAAAACTTATTCAAGCGCTTTTTTGACTTAGAAGCGAGATTAATAGATGGTAATATTCTTCGTTTTATGAGAATATAGTTATGAGTATTGCTTTGTCAATTTGACAGATAATCTCTAAATAAACGCTATTCAGCTATACTTTGTTTGTGGTGGTTAAGTTTTCCCCTCTCTCTCAAAATTTTAATAACCCTAACATATTTTGGCCAAAAGAAGTTTGATATTGTAATGGTGGACGTGGTATCATGATTGAACAAGCTCAAAAAGCCTCCAATTAAAAACTGTCCTAATTATAACTCCATCTTAATTTGTCCGGATAGCCAGCCAGCCCCCATTAACACGTTTAGTTACGCTACACGAAATACATACATATTATACGAAATTTAATTTCCGTTGATTAATTAAGTGAGATGTTGTTATTATCATAATAATTAAACACATAATACAACCACAACATAAACAACAACAAAAAAAACCGTTGTTCGTCACTCTCGTCCGCCTTTGCTTGAACACCCCACTCACCCTCTTTCTTGGATTAATGATTTAAAATTGGATCAATCCTCCAATAATATATGGTAGAGTTTTGTTAACTTTTCTCCATTTCAAATTTCCTGCAACGAGAGTGAAAGTAGGAAGGACATATTTGTCTTTACAATTAAATATTTATCTCAATAAAAATATCAATATGAGAATTCGAACCTGGGTCTCTTAAAACAAAAACAACAATCACAACCAATTACACTAAACAAATTTGTTGTATTTTTTTAGTACAAAGCATACACAAAGTTAGACTCTGAAAATTGGATGAATTTTCCATCATGATTACCAAGCCCACTAAGTCTACCGTATATATTTTTATGGTGCTTGATACTTCAGTTTTCATAGTAGCTAGAGTTTCATGTAATTTTCTCAATTTTAAATTTTTTGCTCTCGCCTTAATTTTTTTTGCTAAAGGTAGATTGATAATTGGCTACCATAGAAGAAACTAATTATGTTACTGCGTGTTGTATCCTTGAAATTTTCAATTTAAATTTAAATTTAGTGCTTTTTTATCTTTGTTCTTATATCTTTTAACTTTCTCCGAAATTCCCTCTATCGTGCAATAGTTTACGCCCCTTTCACTTTTCAATACAAGGCCGCCTTTGAAATCAATCTTTTGGTATCTCTTGGCACTACGATTTTATTATTCGGGATTTAAGCTAGGCAAGTAGAAGATTTCAACTCCGATATCAATCCATGACAAATAGAATGGAGTTCAATAAATGGAGTTGTAGAAGGAGGATTAGAGATTGAATTTTTTATTGAAACATATGTCTCTTGAGATAAAAATTTGGTTCTACAGCAGAGAGTGGTGACTATTGGACCTTTAGGTTTATGGTTTTTGCAGCTAGGTCGATTCTTTATTCAACCTATTGGAACTGATAGATACGGAGTGTCTAATTTTGTGCCTTATTACTTCGATCGAGTTTATTAGCATATTGGAGGTAACCCTAATTTTGTCGTTTGCTCTCAAGTTTTATCGGTCCCCTCTTAATTGAGTTGTTAGTATATAGTTGACTTGAATCAACAACTCTCCATTTCTTTTTGATTAGTGGCATATTATTCCTAAGGAGTGCATTGAACCCTTTATGTAGGATTGTGAGGTTTAAAATTGTGTTTCAAACTATCTATGGCGTGTGGGAATTCCAATGAGCTTTTGTACTCTATCTTTCTTGACAATCAACTAACCAATAGCATTTTAATTGGGGCTTAATTATCATTATAAAAATGAGATCAATCATTTTTATATTTTATATTCTTATTTCTCCAAAAGTTCGACCTATATATTCTTTCTTTATATATCATCTAGATCGAAGAATTGTCAATAAAATTAAACGGGTTGATAGACTTAAATGTAACATAAAAATACAAATAATTAAATATGAACATTCCGGCCAACGGGCCGGGTTATAAGCTAGTTAATAAAATAAAAATATTTTAAAAATATTAATTGAGTAATTTCGTTACGATTTATTTATTAATATGGTCGAGATTCCCAAGACTAATTTGTCGTTAATTTGGAAAGACAAACTCCATAACGACGGCCAAAATTCACAAAGCGGGGAAAATATTTATTGTGTGTGTATAGTCGCATAAACAATGAACTTGTTTTTATATATTTAGAAGTATTTTAGCAAAAGAACAATTTACTAGTCACTTCCAAGAATAGTTGATTTACCTGAAACCGTAAGTGCATGATGTTTTCTTCTGGAAAAGGTGGTATAATTATAATATGGCCCAAAAGCATATGGAATTTGACAATTAATATTGATGAGTGTACAGAAAATGGTGAAGATTGTTTAGAGGGCGCGGTGATATGATTTTTTTTAAATATTTACTACATTCTAATTTCGAATATGGATTAAGTATATTTCCAATTAAAATGTAAGGCATCATGTTTTTGGTAAACAGATGTAAGAAACGTTATTTCGTACTTAGGGTATGACATGTGTTCATTTTCACATTCCTGATGATAAAATTTCATAAATCACCTAAATTATTGTCAGGAATGAACTTAGGATATATAGTTTGGAGAGAAAAAGAAACTATGGTATTTGAGAAAAAATTTAGTTAACTTGCTATTTTGAGGAATTCCCATTAAACTTTTCATTGCGTTTTTATATAATAAAATGTATTCATCCAATACGGAAGGTTGATTATACAACATGAGCATCATTTTTTTTTTGGCAATAGAAAACTCGTAACCACGAGAAGTTATAGTAGGTTCATAACGATCAAACCCACATACGAAAATAAAATAAAAAAACACACTCATTCGGATACAATGATAAAGCTTTCCTTATCACACTGTGGGCAGCTCCATTTAGACTCCTATGTTTGCATAGCGACATTTGCACTGATAATTACATGATTTCTCCTCATATATAGTAAAGAACCTCTAGTCGCATCTCATTCTTGTCCCGAATTTACCTTATGTGTAGTTACTTGAACATCACCTTGAATCTCAACCTCTAGCATGCCCCCTGAATATTCTTTAGAATTTGATTGACTGGTTGATAAAATTGAAGTTGACTTGATGATATATCCGTATATGAAACTCTCCAACTATAATATGTTGGTAACTCATATATACGAAAAATGAACTGATCAAGTGATATTATAGTAAAATTCAACCTGGAGCTCTCAGATTCAGATATCTTAAGTAATCATCAACATTGAAAACAAACATGTATCATCATTATAATAAAATAAAAAATGGTACCCATATAAAAACGGCCATTCAATTTTAACCCTAGTACTTTTGGTACTCCATATCTCATTTACTTAAAAATTAAACTATATTATACACATACATACATTTGAGCAATGAAAATAATTAAAATATTTGGAAAAAACCATACTTAATTTAAATGCACTAATGATGCTAATCAATGAGAATCCTTTGACCCCATCACACTATCATAATTTTATATATTCCAAAACAAAAATTCAGAGCTCAGGGCATGGTATGGTGTGTATATTATATTCATCTTAAGATAAGATATTACATTAATTAATTGACTCTGCTTAACTAGATTTTGATCTCAAAACACAAAATATTTATATCTTAGTTACGTTGGCTCAATATTTCAATTATTAATAAGCTAGCTAAGGATAACAAGCATCTTATTCACGCGCTACGAGTAGAAGGGGGGAATCTCGATGTCAATATCTAATTGACATTGTTATTAATTACTTTCTTAATCGTAATGGCCAACCTCTAATCTTTCTCTAAACAAATGAGCATCAAGGAACATGTATGTACACTAAGTTGATAATTAACAAAGAGTTAGCAAAAGATGATTTAAAACCCTTTAGTTTTCTCATTTCTTTTGAGAAACCTAACCACTTTATAGTAATGGATGACAGTACCCGGTCAGATCCTCTATAAAATCATTAATAATGTCAGAGGTTTTGTGTTCGAGCAATCTTAGTAATGAAGTTTTTCTTTCGAACGAGTGTTCATCCCAGTTAAACCGGTGAAGTGTGGCTGATCATTACATGGTGTGGTGCAGAAGTAATTTGCGGTGCGAACAACAAATGAGATTTGATGCGAGCATATGGTATGATATGATTATGGATAAAAAAAATTCAATGATACTAATATGAAACAAACAAATGAGTTCATAATAGACGTGTAAATAATATTGTATATTATTATATTGTAAAATGAGCCTCTTGAGTACTTAAAACAGCCAAAAACCAATTGTTTTCACCAGATGCAAAGGCAAAAGGATAGCAACAAAACCATATTAAACAAATGAAAAACCAAAACAAATGTTGTTAAAAACTTTTCAAAGCTTGTGTGTATTGTATTGGACTGCATTTTCAAGTAGTCTTTTGTCTCCTCTTGATTTCTTCCCTTTCTTTTCCCACTACTCTCTCCTCCTTCCTTCTCCCCCTTTTCCTCTACACTCCTCCCATGGCTTTCTTGAGCTCCCAACTTTCCCTTTCCTTATATTAAAAGTCTTCAACACATAGTTTATCAAACAATCCAATCCCCCAATAAAAAATCTCATCAATAGCCCAAAAACAAAGGCAAGATATTCACTTCAATCTTGTTCTTGCCCTCTCTTCTTTCCCACCCCTTAATTTTTATTTGGGTTATTAAAATCTTTCTTACCCTTTTAGTACTCTCTTTTTTTAATCATCTTCTTCAAGCTTTTGATGCTCTTGTCCTCATGGCCGGTCTGGATTTAGGCACAACTCCTCGTTTCATCCACCACCAGCTCCACCACCACCCACCCGATCTCCACCTCCAGAACACCTCCTCCGTGAACGATAGTCCCCACCATCAACACCACTACCTGCACGATCTGAATCGTGTAGGTGGTGGTGCTGGAGACTACGGACTAGTCTTACAGGCTGGTGGGGGTGGTGGTGGTGGTCTGTCCTTCCTAACCGAGACCGACCACCACCAGCATCATCCTCGCCCTGACGACGAGGATGGCGGGGACGACGAGCCTCCACAGGGGAGCCACGGCGGCGTCGTGGCTACAAGGAGGCCACGTGGCAGGCCGCCCGGGTCGAAGAACAAGCCGAAGCCGCCGGTGATCATCACGAGGGAGAGCGCCAACACCCTCCGAGCCCACATCCTCGAGGTCGGCAGCGGGTGCGACGTGTTCGAGTGCGTGGCCAGCTACGCCCGGCGGCGGCAGCGCGGGATCTGCGTGCTGAGCGGGGCCGGGACGGTGACGAACGTCAGCATCCGTCAGCCGGCGGCTGTACCGGCCTCGGAGGCGGGGATCGGGAAGCTCCACGGGACTTTCGAGATCCTGTCGCTGTCCGGGTCGTTCCTGCCGCCTCCGGCGCCTCCCGGAGCGACCAGCCTGGCGATCCTGCTGGCCGGAGGGCAGGGGCAGGTCGTCGGCGGGACGGTGGTCGGCGAGCTGATCGCGGCCGGGCCGGTCATCGTCATCGCGGCTTCTTTCACCAACGTGGCTTACGAGCGGCTGCCGTTGGAGGAGGAAGAGGAGGACGGTGGTGGAGCTGCGGCGGCAGGGTTGCCTTTCCTTAACTTGCCGGTGGAGGGATGGAGTGGCGGCGAGGGAAGAGCTCCGTATTGATGAATTTTATGTGTCTGTGTGTGCGTGTGAAAATTTGGTCCTAAAAGGTCAGCCCAAGTTTTAGTTTGGAAAGTCGTTTCTTCTTCTTCTTCTTCTTCTTCTTCTTCTTCTTCTTTCTCCATCTGCAAATTGCTAAGTGGTTATGGTTTGATTTAGTTAGGGTTTAGAGAATTTCTGATTCCTCTTTTTTGTTGGGGGTATTTGGAGTACTCCTTGTGAAAAAAAATTAAGGCTAGTCTGATTTCGTTGGAACGTTGAGATACTCTGATTCGGTATAATAAATAATTATCGTTGAATTTGTGATTTCGATCGAAACATCTGTATCGTTGAATTTGTGATTTCGATCGATACAGATTTCTCCTTTCTCTTTATGGTTGCTGATATATGATGTATGGCTCTTTTCGAGAACAGCTAGCTCAAGAAATGAACTAGCTAGCTAGCTAGGGTTTCTGGTTGTTGAGATTTACTTAATTAGCAGCAGAATTTTAGGTTATGAATTATTGGCAGTCTGTCTATGTATTACCTTTAATTCATGTTTAGGGCTTTCCATGGTTTTCAGGGAGAGAATAAATATTGTCAGATTTGATGGAATTGAAGGGGTAATGTTGGCGTGGGATTAATTGCCTAGCTAGCTCCCATGTTTCTGCATTAACACATGATCATGTGATGAGTTTCCATGTCCATCAATGTCCCTTGTCAAGAACCCAGATTAGATTTTGATACCGAGTAAACATAATTTCATACTCGATCCTTCCGATCTCGTATAATATTGACTGGATTTTAGCTTCAAAGGGTTGATCTAGTGAGAATTGGATGAAAAAAAAAATGAGAATTAGAATGTTAAAGGAGAATATCACCGACGATAGTAAAAATGAAAAGACTGCAATTATGTTTTTTTTAAGTAGTTTCCTCCCTTTTGATATAGGGATGGGGAGAAAAATATACTGCTCTTGCTCTGTTGCAACTACATATTAAAGTTTGGATCAAAAGGTTATTACCTAGTTAATGAATAAAATTATATTGTACTTTTCATGGGAAGTTAGGTAGCTACTTTCAGGAATGATAATCATCAACAACAACAACAATAACAAAGGGTAGCTAAATTTTATGTTTTTTAAGTCACATATATGTGTTTCAAATTAACAATGATAACACGCATTTCATCTACTTTTGGTCTCACATATGCTCCAGTATTAATGTATATTTTGTTATTCTAGCCTCAACAGAGATTCTACTTATCTCATATTGGTACATAACATTAAGAAAGTCTTTTTTTCTATCCCAAGTAACTCTCACAAGTTATTAAAGAATGGGGTTGCAGGGAAAGGTATAGAAAATGATGAATTCGAACCTTGAATCTCCAGATTAAATCTAACTGTACTACGCAAAATCAAACTTTTGTTTGCCACATTCCATCTTGTCTTTGCGAACGAATGAGTTGATTCATAAGGTGATGAACTGTTACAAGATAGGTAGCTATCATCTTAGATAGCTATTACATGCATGAAAGTGGCTCATTCCCTATTTGCACATATTCTAAACACATATATGGTTTTTGGGTAGTTGTTAATTTAATAAAAAAAATTCAGTTTTGCAACATATATTCTATATACCTGGCTGAGTTTATTAATGTATGCTGTCAAATGTACTTACATATCATATGGTTGGTTAATAATTAATTAATAAGCTATGAAAGGTTGAGTTTTTTAGCATATAATTAAATAAGGACCATAGATTGGTTGTACGTTTTCCTCTTTGGTTTAATACTTAATAACATGTATAAAAAGTATAATTTAGACCATATTTATCTACCGGTTGCGTATGGACTACCGTTCTTCATTATTGTCAGTTTTATATTGTTGTTGTACGACCATTCCTTATGGACTTATCTTGGATAAAAAAAAACGTGTCTAATTTACAGTTTCTTTGTGTATATAATATAACAATATTATGGTGTAATCGTAAGGGATTTGACCTAATGATTATGTAGGTAACTAGAAACTTGGCCAATAATCATAGAAATGTATACTATAGAATCAAATGGCTAAATATAGATAGGCCAATGAGTTAAGACAGACGGGAGTTACCTAAAGGTAGTTAGACATTGGTCCGGGTGACTGAACATTTCCAAAAAAAGCCTAGTTAGTGAAGCTTTGTTATAGACATATTAGTCGGTTCGATTTTGTTATAACCCTAACTATTCATCCGGTTATCAATTAACCATTAACCAATTTATGCTTACAAGTTACAACTAACTGTATAGTTTATGTTGGTCGGTTAATCAACTAACTGATTAACAAGTGATTCATAGTTGTTAGTCCGAAATAATTTATCGATTATCTGGTAGTTTTTGAAAATCTCTCTTATCGGAATCTTTCGCTCTACCACCATCACCTCCAACGCACAAATGCAAAAGATTAGCTCAGTTTTGACTCTGCACCCACTACATTTTAGAGACGGGATTGAGAGGTTTCGATGTGGAGGTAGGTTAGAATTTGATTGGTGGCCCGGTCTTTGGAGAGAGGTACGTAGCATTAGGGATTTGAGTTTGATTTGTTATTCCTATTGGGACTGAGAGAAGGAAGCGAAGAGAGGAATGAGAAGGGTGATAAGTTTGAACCGGTGAGGGAAGCTATTGATGGAATAAATTGTTGTGTGGTTTTTTCAATCTTTCCTCCAACGGAAGCCACTGATCTTCTCAACCCAACCTTTATGCCTACATTGCAATCGAAAAAGTTTGTGATGCTATTTGCCTCTTTCAATTTTAGGGTTCACACATGGATTAAATTGGAAAAAGAAGAAGCTCGGGTCCGAATGAGGAAGAGATTGTTCAGTCAAAGCTAGAGAGTTTTTTTTTTGGGAGGGACATACCCTTTTGCACATATAAACATATATATTTACACTTAATTAGTTGTTAGTTTATTAGTCGTTAACTGGGTATTTGATTCAAGATTTAATCAAAAGTCATTTCAATCTATCGATAATAACATCACTAATTTATAATCGGTTAATGCTAATATAGCTATTGTCGATAATCAGTTAGTTTAATGATGTAATTGTCAATCTGCTGATATCACCCCGACTTTGCTATGTGAATTTTGGTACAAAATTTCCCCACTTTGGCAAGGATTGTTTGAAATCCTTGTAACCTCAAAGATTATTTTGGTTTATGATGCCAATCGTTGAAGGGAAGATTCTGGAAGAAATATAGGAAACTATAATGTAATAAAGAAGTTTTAAGGAAACATAAAAATAGGGGGAAAAGACAAAGCAAATGAAAAGGGAAATGTTTTTCTATTAACAAAATAATAAGTATATATATGTGGTGCGGGAATCATTAATCAACCAAGGGTACGTTGATTAATGACCGGGTCTTATGCTGCCTTTAATAATTAGTCTATTAAATTAATCATCTAAATCTAATCCTCCTATATTTATGCATAATTAATACCATTAATTTTTGGATTCTTTTAGCAGCTAGCTGTCATCTTTTAATTATCAACAACCAAAGATTATTTATAATTTTTTTATTGGGCACACCAAAACCTTTTAATTTTTTCCTACCTTGTGTTACATTTTTTTAATGCCCCACCTTATTTGATCGCATGATTGACACAACAAATACATTAAACTAAACGTGCAACTTGAAAGTGGAAGCATTTCCGCACAACTTGTTACACATTTAATTAGTAGCCTTTGAATTTCTGTTCGTTTACTAGGTTTCTTAAATTCGTGGGTGTGAGCTATAAGTATATTGAGTTACTAAGATACCTTGATCCTTAACATATACGAAACTTGTTTCTATATATAGTCACTACAAAGTCTATCGTCGGAATTTTGATCATGTGACTATAGTGTGTGACGGGATAATGTAAAATGTTTACCTATAAATATGATTTGACAAACCTCTATTTCGAATGATACATAAACAAAACTATTAATGTTATTTGTAATACCGATTAACCTAACATATTATAAACTGGTGCTGTTCAAATATCGAATGATAAACTATAGAACACCAATGAATAACAATAATTAAAAAAAAAACATATCATAAAATTATAGATACTTGACTTTTATATACATAAAACAGAGTAATCCTAGTCTTACGGGAGGCGGTTCGCTGGTGCGTGTTGTATGGTCTTACTCGGACTGTCTTTGCTGGGAATGCAAACGATGTCCTGGATAAGGTGAGGCAAGAATGTGTTTCTGATGCTAGAGGCGGGACGCTGTCCTTGTGGAGTTAGCTATGCTGCGTGGTTTCTTCCAGTGTTTTGATGTGGTCTTTGTTGGACGGGATTGTAACAGGACGACTCATTTGTCGACGAAAAATGCCCGTTATTTATTCTCAAATTTAATGAGTTTTTATTTCACATCCTGGTTCAGTATGATGTATGGACATACTTGATCTATGTTTCTCGATGACTCGAGTGATCTAATGATAAAAAATAAAAATAAAACCAAATTAAATAATTGATAGAACACGACAATATTATGGTAATTAGGAAGACCAATAAGAGCATAAGAAAAATGAATCATCATATACAACGAACTAAATATATTTATGTGTATGCTTTATTTCCGGCCCTTTATTAAGAATCTATCTTAGCTAATGTATAATCTAACCATACATATTGCAAACCAATTGATTAGTTAAATCAAGTCAACACCTACAATAATGGGTTAGTACAGTAAATTAATCTCACTGAATCGATAATCTTAATTAAGGTAATACATATTTTCAACTTCGAATGTTAACATTTTTTTATCTCGATTATGGCTGTTGTTTCCCTTTACTTGATCTTAACAAGTCTGCCTGTTGAACATCTTTGAGGGGCAATTTGACAAATTCGTAAGTAATGTGCAATATTTCGTTTTCTTGTTCCCACATGGTATGTAAATGATGCATTTGATGGACCTAGTTTTGACATTTGAGAATATAGAGCATGAATGAAACATATTGAAGATTTCTAACTGAAAATTCCATCGGTAAATTAAACCTCCTCAACTTTAGCTATATTGTGAGTCTTGAACTTCATTCTCTGTCGATATCCGGAGAGGTCAAAGAATTACGTTGTTAAAGGTCACATAGTCTAGCGGTGAAATTTTTAGTGGGCGCTCGTTCCGTAAAGTGGCAGATCACATATTCGACCCCTATCGAGGCCCACTATAGTGTTTCCAGAGTCATTTGATGGAGATCCCGGCAGAGGATCCACTCAAGCAATTGAACCCTAAATTTGGTCTCGCTCTGTCATCGCTCAAACGGTGTGTGTCTGAGAATGTTCTAGGTTATTAAAAAAAACCAGCATGCGGCAACAATTGCAATTGCAAATGTAAAGCATGCTTGCACCTAGATTAAAAAAAAAACCCCCAAGGTTGGTTTTCTTTCCCCCTTGTGCACTCGATCAGGTTCAATTAAAAGATTTAGGTATTGTAATCAGTAAACAAATGAAAAATCTTCAGCAGGAACTGAACAATCGGAGTTGGAGCTCACTCTCACTAAGGAGCAGAAGAAGAGTGAAACATTGCATGAGCTCAGCTCAACAATAGTGATTTGCTTAGGTCGTAGCTAACCCTATCACGATCTTATTTCAAAAAATGTAATTGACACTACTAATAATCACCCACAGGATTAATTAGTTCATCTCAAAAAGAAATAGACCTAATTACGAAGAAACTAATCAAATATTCTTAATTAATCTCAACCTAATAACCTTAGCTATATATAGCCAGGTTGTTGTTGTTAAAAGGGTAACAAACAGTGTAACCACCGGAGGTGGCGTTGTACCAACAAGGTCCTCTCTGCGTAACGATCCATTTGCAAACAGAGCAGCGATCCTGATCCCTCTTCTGGACGTAAATGTCGAACCAGTGCAGCCCGTTGCTGGTATCCCACTTGAAGGCGCAGAAGAAGAGCGTCGTGCCCCAGAAATTTGGGACGAAATGCCAGCTCCACGATCCCCTCTTTGGGAGCACTCTGACCCCGAGATCGTCGTCTTTCGATTTGCAATGCATCGTCAGGTAGTGATGCCTGTACAGCAAGTTGGTCACCGTCACGTCGGCGGTTCTTATGATCTGCCCTTCCACTACTGCCCATGATGAACACATTATCGTCATTAGTATCGCCGTCGCTGCCGCCGCGGTCGTCGTCGTCGTCGTTGTACTCATGATGGATTCGGGTTGGGTTGGTTTTTTGGTTGCTAATTGTCTTATGGTGGCTATTGCTGATTGATAATATGGTGATTTGGGGTGTTGTTGTTGTTTATAGTGGGAGTGCTGGGGGGTAATGAAGAGTAAATGAATCTTTTGGAATATTCTGATGAGGGAGGGATATTCCTCTTGTGCGATTCTATCGACTGTAAAATTGTAATATTTGTTGAAATTTTTTTGTTACAACTTTGACTCAAATCTTGTTAGAAAAAAATCACATCATTAGAGAGGAGATCTGTGTTTACGTGGAAAAGGCTAACAATCGGAAGGGGTTGGTCCTAAAATTCCAATTAAAAGAACATTGATAATAAATTAATAATATGTGCATGTCCACTCATATCGTCGCCATTGATAAAATTTTGATAGCTTTTCCTACTTCTATCATCGCATGTTGTTGTTGCTAAAAAGCCATTGTTGTTGCTAAAAACACGTGTCGGTTGTAGTATTATCACTGACATATCAATCATATCAAGTACAATACCTCATACTAACATCATACCAATCATATCATCATGATATAGTAGTGATATGATGATCCATCTCCTTCATTTCAACTCAAGATTAAAAAAATAATTGTATAGAAAGAACACATTTATTAAGATCTACACAATGATTTTTTTTTAAATGAACTTATATAAACTCATATGGACTATATGATATTGATATGAACTAATATGATCTTGATGTGAATGGTATAGAACTAATATGATCTTGATATGAATAACATGAACTTTATATGAATTTATATGATAATGAAATGAGCTAATATGAGCGTATATGAATTTATATGAAAATAATATGAACTGATATGATATTGATATTAATGATATGAACTGATATCATATTGATTTGAAATTATACGATTTTGATATGAATGATATGAACCGATACGATCTTGATATGATGATCTAGGGAAAATTTGGCTTCAAAAAATACCAAAATGGATATCATCTTGTAAAGCACAAAATCCCTTATATTTATACGCAAATCTTTTTGAAATTCGATGTAAAACGAATGCGCGATGGTTGTTGAATTTTCGTAGGAAATTTGAAAACCGCCTATAAATTCACGCCTGCCTACCCAAAATTCGGACATACCACCTTTTCCCCTCTCTACTCGTTTGTAATATTGACCATTAGATCTATCATTCTCAAATACAACTATTAACTCTAGGGTTGGGCATGCAGGCAGGTTTGGACTGATCCACCCGCATTTGACCCAAATTTTGTTATATGGGTGGATGAAGGGTTGTGATGGAAGGCATCCGTCGGGTGGCGGGTGGGTTGTGGACGGTGCGCGGGTGACCCGCTCAACCCAACAACAAATAGAACAAAGTCGTTGGTGTTGGAGAGTGGAGACACTGACTGAAACTAGAGCTAGTCCTGGAGATTAAATCTCAACTTCCCTCTTCTTCCCTTTATTTTTTCCTCTGAATCTTGTGCCAAATCACATCTCTTTCCTCTATTAAATTATTTACTTAATTTCCTGCACTCGATAATCAACTCTGTCCGTAGAAAACTCCTCCACAATATCATTTCTATCCAATTTCAGAACTAATTCGGCATTCTTTCTTCCTATTCCATCTTGTTCATGCCCGATAACTCTCCACCAATTATCTCGCCACTTGAAGTGAATCTCAAATTTGGAGGGTGAATGGATATTAAAATGAATTTTTAGTTTACATATTGTAATTACACAGGGAGTAACGGTTCACCAATAAATCCTAAACCACTAACTTTTCTGGTTCAGCATCTGGTTACGAAAACAGAGAGTAATACAATACAATAAGGCTAAATTACACGTTTGGTCACTCAAATTACATAAATCTTTCACGTTTGCCACCCGAATTACTTTTCTTTCTACTTCGCCACTAACTTTACGATTCGTAATTCACCGTTAGTCACCGGCCGTTAGTCTCCGTTAACTCCGTTAGTTTTTTAATGAAAGATTTATGTAATTTGAGTGACCAAACGTGTAATTTAACCAATACAATACAATGGAGTTTTGTAGCAATACCTATACCCAATCCATTAATTAATGAGACGCTGTGCAAATTAATGTGATGACGTGGTTAGTTCATTTAACTGTTACGAGTAATTAATGAGATGATTTGGGAATTTATGACCTGCAAATTAATGTGCTGACTTTGACATCTACACCCAACTCACAGAATGAGCTGCAAAAAAAGTAAAATTATTATCCTTTGGCGTCATTAGGGAGGGACAGGGGTAAGAGCTTGCACATTGAAATCAAAAGGGTAAAATACCTCCGGTACCACTAAAGTTTGAGAACTGGGGCAGACATACCACTTAAATTTGAATAGGGCGTCGGGTATCATTAAAGTCACCAAAATGTGCATCCGTCTAGTTTTCCATCCAACCCAAAATTTTAATTACTTTTTGGTACCCAAAACTTTTAAAAACATCCAAAACTATATTTCAACAAGTTTTTATCTAATAGAGAAATTAACAAACCTTCTAAACATAATATTACTAAAATGACTAATCAAAATTTTCAATAAAATAGATAAGTTAGTAAAAATAATAAACAAATATCAAGAAGAAGAATAAATATATAGAATATAATAATAAATATTTAAAATCAATATTAGAAGATCTATTTAAATCACTAATCCGATAAGAAGTAGCATTAAACATAGTTAAAATAGAATCTAATCGATCATCAATACATCAAGACCAAAGAATGATAAATGGAACATAGTTAGAAAGAATTAAACATATTACAGTAATTGAAGAAAATTTCGAACGAAAATAGAACGAAAGTAACCAAGAAAATTATACAACATCCAAATGATGTACGAGAATTAAATATAACATCCTCATATATTTATATCGATATAGAATTCATAGGATATATTGCTTAAGCAAATTATTCGATTATTATAACACATAATGGTAATTTAAAGTACTTATAATGATAATTGATTGTACATTTTCTATTCAAAAATTGGTTTGGTATCAAAATCTTCAAAAAAAAAAGGAGAATAATTCAATTATTAGAAAACATAATAATAATTGAAAATACTTATAATAATATTGATTTTAAATTTTCTATTCATAAATTAATTTGGTATCAAGTTTTCAAAAGAGGATACCAATTAAATAATAAAAATTGATGTTTTTCATAAGTCAAAAATGATTTTTTACAATAAGAAAAGTAGAAGGACCAATTAAGAAATTTAGAAAACAGAATATTCCAAGAATATTCTGTTAACTTTAACGGAATGCACTTAACATTAAACTTAAGTGGTACCGGGTGCACAAATAATAAAGTTCAGTGGTACCCGACGCCCTATTCAAACTTAAGTGGTATGCATGCCCCAATTCTGAAACTTAAGTGGTATCCGAGGTATTTTAGCCGAAATCAAAATCTGTTTACTTTCATTTTCGTTTCCCATTTTCTGTTTTCATGTTATAAATTTGGCAACCGAAACGAAAAAAGCTTTTTTACTATTCATTCTGTTTTCTACTCGTTTTCAACTATGAAAACAGAAAGTGACAACTTCCTATTATTTTCCGAAACGACGAAATGTTGTTTTCACTTGTTTTCTAAAAACAGGAAACAGAAATAAAAGTAAACAGGGCAATCGTAAATGCATGAATATGATGGACCAAAAAATCCGCGGTTCCCAATGGAATAGGTATCAAAGCAACCTTCCCACCCACTGCCACCAAATCACCACCCCCTCAAGTCAAACTGGTGCTTGCTGTTGCACCAGGAGCGGTTGCACTAGGTGCTAAAGCATGGGTGTTTTGTATCCATTGAGCAAAAACAAGTTGTAATTGTATAGCAGTATCTGAAAACATATCTTGAGGTCGCCCTAAGGCGCTCATGGTATCATTATGAATATATAAATCAAAGCTGTGAAAGCCTCAAATGAATTCAAAGTTTGGCGTCACAATCAAATTTGTATTTGTAATGAGTTTTGGTTCGATTGATGAGTTTGAATCTTTTTCCCCACTCCAATATTCTACCCACTTTGATCGAGATGAGCTGGATTACGTACTCGTGGGTTCGGTTTCAATTATCATCCCGTACTAATCATCTAGTATGGTCAGTGGTCACCATAGTGCTAACCTCGCATAGAAGTTGAGCAAGGTAAACTCAGATTCTGTTTATCTGCAAATTTTCATTAGCATTATTCAACCCATTAATTTCAAAGTCTGACTACGCCAACAACCCACACTAATCTCTTCAGTGCTTAACCACTCTTATTAATTAAAGACATGCATGGGGCTAATGAATCAAAGAAGTACCAAACACTAATATCAAAGCAAGCTGCTCTTATAACCGTAACAGACGTCATAAGCCGCCGTGGTGGCATTGTACCAGCACGGCCCAACCTCGCTGACGATCCACTTGCAGTCGGTGCACCGATCCTTATCCCTCTTCTCAACGTAGATGTCGAAGTAGCGGTTGCCGCCGCTGCCATCCCACGAGAAGGAGCAGAAGAAGAGCGTCTTGCCGAAGAAATTTGGGATGAAATGCCAGCTGAAGGTTCCCAGCTTGTGCAGCACCTGTTCACCCAAGTCGTCTTCTTTGGACTTGCAGTGCATCGTCAGGTCCTGTCCCTTCGACAGCCAGTTGGTTACCGTCACGTCCGTCGTCTTCACGATCTGGCCATCGGCCGACCATCCCATCGTTAGCAATACTGCTACTGCTACCGTCCATGCTGCGGCCGTCACCGTAGTAGTTGTCGTCATTGAAAGGTTTAATTTTTTCCGTCGCTAATTGTGTGTTTTGGTGATGGGTGAATTGGGGATTTGGGGGTGTCTTATTTATAGTGACGGAAGTGGGGTGAAGACTGTTGAAGAGTTGGTGGGTTCTTTTTCTTGATGGTTGGTGAGTAATTAATTACGGTGATATGGGAAATTTATGGCTGCTGTGATTAATGTGTCTGACTGCTCTAATTGTGCTGGATTTTGCTCACTTGACAACCAACTCTGATGGTAATTGATTAGCAGCATGATGATTCATCTTTTGTCTATTTTTATCTATCTCTCGACTCGATATTATATGATATTAAGATACTGTTGGTGAAGCTTTCCATCCAATTGAATTCCAAGTATCGTCGTTCGTGTGACTGCAAAGGCGCAGTGACTGTGACTGGAGAGAGAAGGAAGAACCCATTTGAGAACTCATCGATTTGGGGTAAAACAATACAATTTCATCGAAGCAATAATGGATATACGAACCATTACACGAGTTATTAAACTGGTGGGAGATCAAATGTCTCGTATCGAAAACCGGTTTATGGAAACAGCAATGTGCTTAGAACTGGAACACACTGACACGGCTGGCTCCAGCGTTTATATTCATAACCTTGTTGATAACTAAATTGCAGACACATGAAAGTGTGAACCAGTCAAGTCACATATTGATTCCTAAAAACAGCTAAAACGAAACCAACTACTACCATCCTAGCCAATTCTCTACTCTTCTACAAGTACAATTGTACAAACCTCTCCCTAGGAAGTAAAGCACAGCTCCCATGCATCATCATCAGTTATTCCTCTATATTCCGATATCTAACTCGAATCACAATCGGGAATGGCGGGGAAAGACAGAAAGAAAAAGAAGAAGAAAAAAACCCAAGAGCCTACTCAAGAAGGAAACCAGGATAATGACGATATATATAATGACCGAAACGAAAGGCTCATCTCATCCTTGTCCTACAGCTTTCAACTACATGATGCCGGTTAGCAGGTCGCGACCTCTAGAAATCTTTGCTGCTCAAGAAACCATGATCCAATGCGTGCCCTAACTGTCAATGCTCTCACCCACCCTGAAATGGAACCCTTCTCTTTTGCTTTGTGTTATTTTGTGGCCGCTATCCACGGATTCATTGAGGATTTTGGCCAGCCAAGACTTGGTACATCTGCATGCTGTGAAGGGATTGACCTGCATTGCCGTACATTCCAGGGCCACCTCGGTTCAAGGAGCTACTACCATGATCATCGGATGACTCGCTAGACCCTCCTTGAAAAGGAGGGCTGGATTCTGACACCGGTGCTCTGAAATTCAACATCTGGGACGTGGGTGCCAATGAGGGTCCAGATTTAGATTCTTCGGGGGTTGATTGTTTGCCTTCGGCGACAAAGCTGCCCACTATGACCTGGTAAGATTATGCAGCAACAAACCGCAAGCAAATTTTAGGTGCAATGAAGGTTACTACAAACGAGTTTAAATATGTGGATCTAGCAAAGTGGTCGCCGGACTCGCTTATATGCATCACATTGGAGATTGAACGCGATATAAGACTAAAACACTAAACTCAGCCTAACAAAATACTGTTACATTTTACCTCGACAGAATTTGCTCTTATATGGCTCTGCTGTGGCAGCAGCCTATAAACCAAGTATGCCACATCAGCAACACAATTACGACTAACATAAGAAATGAAAAATGCTAACGGTGACTCATTAAGACGAATTTAGAGTGTTATTATCATTTGATGTATTGTAATGCATTAGGAAAATATCTCGTTTGAAGGTTTAGATTGTGTTTTTGTTGTAAAGCCATAAAAGTTAATTTTGAGTGATTGTGAAGAATCTCTACTTTTTGTTGAGATTGATAATCCCTCAATTTTGAGTGATTGTGGTGGGGCCTCCAAAATGTTAATGCATGTATTCTAGTTCAATATAAGCAAAAAAAAAACGATTGAATCTCACAAAAACATGAATTAGCTCAATACACCATTTGAAATCACAAGTTCCAAACGACCCCTTAGTTGTCTCCAACACAGAGTTCGATGCCCAATTCGAAACACATAAGCGAGATGGAAGGCGAAATTGGTGATTGGCAGGATTCAATTAATATAACGGATAACCTACTAAACATGATTTACACAGGTAAGCCAACTCAAGCAACCAGTTAGATCCAAATCAATCTATTTATGGATTCGGGATATATCCGTTCTGAAGAATAGAGGTTAAACTGAGAAGAGCAGAGAGAAACAGAAGCTAGCATACCTGCACAGGTGTTGCTGCCATTAACATTCCAGCTACTCCACCACCCAAAACTCGACCATCTGATCCGGCCAATGAAACACTCAAATCGCCATGTCTACTCCTATTACCATTATTTTCAGAAAGCCAGAAGGAACCCGATAAAGAAATTATTTCAAATCGCCCCTGCAAACAAAAATACAAGGTTTAAGGTCAGATGTATTTCCACTACAGAGAACGTTGAGGATATGCTGGACTATGATTTAGGGCACAGAGTGGAATATTAAGCAACAGTACAAGATACTCCAGCACTTCAAATAGGAAAGCTTCTTCAAAATCATGTATGCATACCATCACAATGAAATCAAAGCTAATCATCAATTTACATCCCCAGATATCTTGACGATTACAGTTCTATCATTTGCATACCATCACAATGAAATCAAAGCTAATCATCAATTTACATCCCCAGATATATTGACGATTACAGTTCTATCATTTGTATTCTCCCTTCCAAATATTCGATCAAGATACCAAGCTACTGGGTGCAAAAAGAGCTCTGTTTCAATCTTAATATTTTTTAGCTTAAACATATCGTTCTAGGTAGCCTTAACTCTTTACAATTTAATCTTGGACATAGCTTTCTAAGAATCCTAAACTTTTTAGTGCTTCTCTTGGGCATAGCAAGTTAGTAGGTTTCCTTGCCTTCTTCACCGGTTAAATATAACCCACAAGTGAGACATATTTTTATGTTAAACTTGATCGGTTCAAGAAAATTATTTCAGACATGAAACACACCTCATATGTCACAGTGCCACCAGTCACTGCAGGTTGGCGAAGGGTCACATTGCATATGGCCCCATTTGCTGAGAGAATACATACAGTTCTCGGGCCTTGCTGGGAAAAAGAATAAATCTTTGAAGCAATATCCTGAAATACAGAAGATCATAGGAGTGGGTGAGAAGCTCAGATGCTGATTTCATTGTACTTAATATCCATAAGCACAACAGAAAATTTCGTTGCTGGGTGGGTAGTACAAGAAGTTGGTAGAGTTATCACTATTTCTGATGATAAGATTCTCAAAATGCCTCTGCTGCAAACAAGGTCCAGCTTTAGTTTGGTAAGTTGGTTAAAATGATGAGCCCATTTGAGATTTTGACATTTATAGATTAGAATAGCTCTTGGCATTCAATGAGAAAGCTAACTTAATTAACCAAATATAAAAGCTTAGCCTCTCACCAGTCACCACAAAGTTTATTTAGAAAGTCCTCTAGCTTTTGGAAGATAAATTTGGAAAATGAAACCGAACTCTCTAAAAGAAAGCTAACAAGAGCATTCAGATAAATAGCTAATTACCCCAACTGCCCAACCATTTTAGTTTGATAAACTGAATATACGACCAACAAGCATCCAAATCGTGGCCGAATTACAAACTTTCCCCATCTACAAAGAGTATTAGTGTCTTCAAAACTTTAGATGCTGCAGGAAATGCATCAAATATACAGTTAAACTAACAAACTGTCCTAACAGGTATAGTCTAAAATGGCAACTGAATGTGAGACACGCCAAAAGTTTCAACATCACCAATCCCAAATCCTTCTTTTGACATCCCCACCTCATCCCCATACTCCAAACTAAAGTAGAAAGCGAGAAGGAAAAAACAGAGGTAATCTGAACAATACCTAACAAAATCAATAACACAACTGCAAGCTTACTTTCAGACAGCATGAGGACCAGGAGTGTTCAGCTGCTAAGAAATTTTTGGTAATTAAGTGTGGGTTTCTGCCTTTCATTTGACCAAGAAACAACTGTAATTAACATATTGCCTTAAAATCTGAAAGTGGTTGCAAACAGAACCGGTCCTTGACGTCTTTATTACTACACCAAAACAGATAACAAATCCTTTCAGATTGCAGAACACTTGTAACTCGCTATAAGAGTTCTGATCGCGCACAATTTTTTTACCAAACAGAATTAAGATAATGATTACATAAATTAATAAAGGGTGCACTCCAGGATATCAGGAAGCCTCTTCTAGTAAATCCAAGGTTATAATTACTCCGCAAAAAACAATTTCCACTTAAAATGCATGCATTTCCATACTGCCTTCCTTTTACAAATTACATTCACCAGATGACCATTAAGCTTTCACAAATAGGTACACTTTGAACTTCATTGAGTTTGCAATCTATTATATAATCTAAGGCTCGTGATGTTTCGAGTGTTGCATCTCTAAACCACAAGACAGCACTCACGAGAATAGCTATATAGTTATGTTTCCTTTCTTAACTAGCAATCATCAATATACAGACAACAGAGCAATGACAAAAACGTTGGGATTAGACACTTCGGCACAAGTACTATTTTCTCTGTCGACCAATCAGTTAAGTATTATCTAACTTTCAACCAGTAGTTTATGCCTCTTCACTATTTTACAAATAGTTTGTTGGATTTCCATGAAATAATAGTGACCTAACATAGAGAATGATCTTCAAAATAACCAACATTTCCAGATTACCGTATTTGTAAAAGCTAAGGTGCAAAAGAAAACCTAAAAGAAAAGCTTATTTTACCCAGTAATTTGAAACACCTCTCTGGTAACAGATAGGTGACATTAAGATTAAAAAAAAAAAGAATTGGCAAGTGCATACATACACCAGATTTTATGCAAATGTTATTAAAGCATGCAGAGCCATCTAAACAGAAAAATATAGTTCGTTACATAGACAGCTCTTGAGTCTATCACAAACGCAAAAAAAAAATAGAGGGAAGCTAAACTAGATTTTGGAATGAGGACCTATCCTCCCTGAAACGCACTAGTCCAACTTGGGACCAGAGATCCATAAAAGTGACAGGGAGTTTCCAGAAATATGGACAGTCACAAACTAGTAGGTATACGTCAATTTTCAGTTCCTGCCCTTTCATGCTTGAAGACTAAGAGAACCAAATATTCTCAACAATAATCTGATAATGAAGAAAACCAAGCTTCACAAGGCTGTACGCTACTGAAGATAACAGAATAACATTGCAAAAGACAAAAAAATGGCTAAGTACAGAATATTGGACAACTGAAGGCTACAAGAGTAAACCAAGACTCCATCCAATAGAGAATTGACACTTAGCATCTGTGATTGGTTTTTGTAGTTTGTACTACTAAGGAAAATTTCCAAAGAAAAGTTCAGTAGGAATTGAAAAATCAAACACTTTCATCTATATGATTCACTCATTGTACTCATTGTTAACTTATGACACCAGATAAGGTAAACATTTCAACATGAAGAACCAAACAAAGAACCAAGAAATCTTAAAACTCAGCGAACAGTAAAATTAGATATAAGTATTACCATTGCTTAAGTTCATACGTCAGCTGTAATCTTAATCAAGGACTTCAGCTTCAAAACTACACAGCATTACTATACTAGCCACAATAGCAAACCGGGCTCAGAGACGAGCAGCAACACACATTACCAGCGAAACACAAAACGATATAAAGCCAAGGGAGAACTCAATGAAAAACTTAGCAAACTATATCGGCAGTTTTGCCTACAAGCAAAAGGTTGCTATGAGACGAAAACTGGAATAACAATGACTGCCCACTGCTCTGTGCCCACGGAATGAGCAAGATCAAAGCTGTAGAGGCAAAACATACTCAACCTCAGAAGTAGATCCCAGTTTCCCTCTGCCCTTACTGAAGAGAAAGGGCCGACCAACAACAGTAGGAAGACTACAACTCAAGGAGAATCAAGACAAGCAGTTCATATTTGGTGAAGCCACTTGTCAGAGTTCACATTATGCTCCATAGAACTATTTCAATAGCATGCATTTCATTTCAACATTGAGCTCGAGACTTTTTGGCTTCAAACTCCAAACAATCCACAATAAAAAAATATATCAGCCCATCAAAACCTAGCCTCCACACTCCTTACGGAGAAAGGAGAAAGAAGATCACTATGGTAAGATAAACCCTAGTGCCCTATCTACATTCCACAATAGCAGAAGATGGGATGCCGATATGTGAAACTTGAAAAACATGGATTGAGCTACTCAGCTCGACATTTGAAAACGAAATAGCAATTTACGCAACAAGCATTATCCACAACGAATAAGATCATGGAAGGAAGGACATAATCTGATTTAGAACATTCTTACAGTAGCAGCACCCAGTAACTATCTCCTCTAGCAAGAATGGGCACATTTCCTAAACAGAGCAAACTTGACATTGTTCACAAATCAAGCACTTGAAGAAGAACATACCTCGCCGGCTTGCACCAAGATTACATGAGGCGTAAACCCTATGCCTCCGACTCCTCCTACCAAAAGCAACAAGAAATTATAAACAACGGCCAGAAAAAATGGTAAAAAACGCCCAAACTAGGATTTGCAATTCGATTACCTAGTGCATCAAGCTGCCTCTTCACAGAACCCGGCGGCCTCCCACGGTGCCGTTTAGCAGGACCGTCGGAGGAGGACAAGCCGGGAGGAGTACCCGCGCCCCCGCCGGACTCCACATGACCTACTGAAGCCGCTGAAGACGAAATAGGGGTTGGCGTCAAACCGAGAGCAATGTTGCCGTCGGGAGTGTACTTCCTCGGCCTCCCGCGCTTCTTCTTTGCAGGCTCGATGCTGAACCTCATACCGGACGAGGTCGGGGACGATCCGTCGAAGGAGCCGGCGTTCAGTCCCCCGTCGGAGGAAGAAGGCGGCTTCGATTGAGGAGGTGGTGGAGGAGGAGGAGGGCGCACGGGCATGGAATTGAAAGGAAATCCGGCCGCCGCCGAGTTGGGGTTGATCATGGTTTGGTAGGAGGAAGGGTTGGGACCCAACATCATGTTCGCCGCCGCAGCCTGCTGGTGGTGGTGCAGGTGGTGGAGCTGCTGGTGATGGTGGTGGTGTTGTTGAAGATGCGGCGGCGGAAGCTGCTGCTGCTGCTGCGACGGTGGCTCTCTGGATTCCATTCCCTCCCTTCCTTCCTTCCTCTTCTTCGGTTCGCTTCTGATTCTGCTCAGATTTTCAGTTCGGATGGTGGGAAATTTTGAGGGAGAATCGGGTGAGCAAGTGGGGAAAAAGTGCAGAGAAAATTTAGAGAGAGAGAGAGAGAGAGGGAAACGAAAGAAAAAAATAGAGATGTGTGACTAAGCGCGTGGAACTTTGGCGCGTGAATTGAATAGGGGGAGCGTGGGGGGTTTTATGCTGATTGCTGAGTATGGTTGGAGTTGGAAAAATGCTGAAACAAGTCACTTATTAGGAGAGTAGTAACAAACCAATCACCCAACTTTAATTTTGATTCAAATGGAGATGACAATTCTATAATAATGTTTTAACAACAAGATGATGTGTCTTTCCATTTCGGTTGATTTTTATGTTATTTTGGTATCGATTTGGCTAACGAAAAAGAGATAAATTTAAATTTGAAATTCTGGTGACTGATTTACCTCAGCATTCAAGTTTGGTGGCCAATTCGGCATTTTACGAATTGGGCTTTTTTTGGAGTCGGGTAAGTGAACGAAACCTAACGCATTTTGAAAACTTAACTAAAAGCGAAAAAGTGTGGGGTGCGACTGGGGGAGCGAGTGTGCGTGGCCCCGCACACACAGATCCAAACTCCAACTCGGAAAAAGTGGGAACTGTCAACAAAGCCCTCAATATCTTTTTGTGTTTATCTATTTGTCACTTCTACGATAAATGTGTATACTCTCCAAGTAGAATTTGTTATACATACGGAGTTAGAGATAACTACGGATTTTGAGAATATCGCGTCGGAAGTTATACTGAAAAAATCGTGTCGGATTTTGTACTAAAATCGTGGTTTAAACGTTTTCTATCGAACCGCCTACCGATTTGGTTCTGGTATCCGGTATTTGCCGGTCCGATCGGCCGGTACGGTAGGGTTTCTTAAACATCGAAATATGTACTAATGTTTGATGGGTACTTTGAAAGGGTTGTGAAACTATACCGGGGGTTTTACCGGAAAAAAAGTTAGTGGTGGGGTTTTTATGTTGAATTCGTAATTTTAGTCGTGGTTGAGCAATTTCATCTCGCTAAAATCGTCAATCAATTTGGGCATCTTATAGGTTGTTTTTACGATCGCACCGTTGATATGATACAGATTCTTCTGCAAACACACGATGGTGAGCTCATAGATTATTACATGCAATGCAATATTCAATTCATTAGTATCTTCCACAGTGCTGGTTAATACAGTTTTGGTTTATGGATCCTATAACACGAGAGCTCCAGAAGGGTAACAATCCATGAAAAGCCCATTGGATAGGATTTGATAGTAAATGGTTGATATGCTACAAGGATGTTGAAACATTTCGATCATACACCATATGACTTTTGAGAATTATTAATCAATATGAGGAGGTTGTAAGTAAGCTCACTCGAGCTCTAGAAACTTCTCGAGAAATCGTCATTAGCATAACTTCTGATTTAATAGTCGTGGGTGAACCTCCAACTATGCAAGAAACACGTGAAGAAAAAAAAAATTGACAAAACCTGAATAGGAAGATTTTTAATAAGTTGGCCTCACCATATCGTCAAACAAAATCATGTCACCCTACCTGCATTCTAATCCATACCTTAAATCTAGGGGTGTGCAACGGTTCGGTTCGGTCCGGACCGGACCAAACTCATGAGAACCGCGGTCCATTAGTGAAAGACATGTTAGGACCAAGGACCGGACCATTCTTGCATTTGGTCCGGTCCAAATATGAGCTAGGTCCACCATTTCTTCAATAATTATAAAATTCATGAGGACCAAGGACCGGAAGGATTGTCAACTGCGTGCTCCAATTCCAAAAGGAAGACTCACCCGACCAAAAGTAAAGTGTTGTATGCCTTATGCCTCCGTTGAAAGGGACACAAGTTCACACAACCAACACAAAAGACTGATTTGTTAAAAATCCTGTTTTGACATTTGAAGCAAAATTGGGATATTTATTCCATGATAAGTTGTTGACCCATAAAAAGACACCTCCCCTTTGCTTTCGGATGCAGACGTTACTTACTCCTCAATCAATGCTCTCCCAGTTCGTTTTAGTAGGTGAAAAGTGGACTTCGCACAAGATCTGCCCAAAACTTCAGATCTTCTAACTTAACCCCACCTACTCAAGGACAGTGCTTAATAAAGCTATTGGCATGGTTGTCGTGCCGGTGGAATGCTGGTATGTTGAATCTGATTCAACCCAAGTCAGTCACAAACTCGATGTGAACAACATCGGTACGATCGACATACTACTTCTAAACAAAATGAGATTGATTTAGTAAATTTAATTAATAAAAAAAATAGTTTGCGATTTATTTTTTATGTTATTTGTTGGAATCAGGTATAAACGTTTCAGTATTAATGTTGAATATGAGTATTTATTATTTTATTTAAATATTACTATGTTTCGTATTGAGTAAATTTTGTTAATGATATTTCACATTTTTTTACATATATTTTATTAAACAGACATGAACCAGCACAAATCGATTATACCATCGATCCACAACCATTCCACTTGTTAAACCAGCACAAAGGTATAAACCATTTTGACAACCTTGCACACAGGTTCAACCATATACCAGAAGACAAAAAAGGATAAAATAGAAAAAGAGAGGTAAGTAGGCAACAAGCAAAAAAACCTGCAAACGGTAATAGAGATCCTGCCTGCTTTTCCCCAAGAATGGCTCGGGTCTGCTTCAATATACAACAACGCACCAACCAAAAGAAAAAGCAACAAACAAGCTGCAGTGTGCCAAGAAATATGCCACTACCAAGTTCTATCAACAGAACATGATTTACAACACAAAATCCGAATATAGCAACAATCGATCGCAGCCGAAAAACGGAAACAATTGAACTCAATATGGAAACAAGGATAGAAGAACTGCACGTAACCTCCATTTTCAAATGATTGAGCTTCAAGGAGTAGGAGCCAGCATGCAATTGCATATCATCCAGTGTATCGAACATTCTCGAAAGCAGTGTATAGAGCTCGAATTCAAAGTAATAAAGAACACGTGTTTCTAGCACCTAACCTCGTACGACCCTGCCTTTGTAATGTAACGAACCCACTCAACCGTGTTGTATCCACTCTTCTCCCATACCTGCAGACGATTGTCATAAGTTGGGGAACATGCCGTAGAGTATAATGCACGCAGAAGGGAAAGATTGAGCACTGAAGCATACCTTAAGAAATCGAACACGTAAACCGGATGCCGTGAACATGGGGACCTAGGAAACAATCATTAAGTTAGTAGTGCTCTTTCGAAATTTAATTGCGCATCTACCATTAAACTGGGTTAGCTTGTATTGTCATTTGGTTACAAGTAGTTTGAGTCTAGTTGCTGTAGCACTCAGGTCATTAAGTTCAAGAAGACATCAGAAAAACAACTCAGTTTTCCAGATTAAGCTTGCGTGGGAATCAATCATCTATTTGATGCCGAGGAACAGAAGGAAGCCCTTTTCATAACAAAATAACATGAACAGATATTTAAGTAGCCACCTGGAACTCCATCTGAATTGGCGGCCGTGTCCAAGACTTCTTCTCGGCAATTGTAGAAATCAACTCAATTTCTGCACTCAAGGTTGGCTCAGTTTGGCCAGGAAATTTCCTTATCCTGTGCGATTGAGAACATAAACTAAGGTCAGGACATTCGATAGATGAAGACATGGGCAGACAAAAACATACTAGTGAAGTTATAGCATTCACTGAAAAGTTCAAAAGAAAACGAAAGTGCAGTTCATAAACTTGAATAATTACCACACAAACTTGGAATAATAAGCACATTAGGGAAAATGAACAAGTAAACAACCCAACCACACTAGTATTAAGCTACTATTCTGGTGCCCGTCAAGGCTTGTACTTCTCAGTAGACTACACTAAAGGTGACAAGGTTTACTTCATTTTCCTGGCGGAACTAAAAAGTGAGAACATCTGTGGGTTACCAACTACCCCAAGTCTCTTATTATCTTCTTCCGACACACTAACTCAGCTCAAATATACAAAAGCAGTAATGAACATCACTCAGAGGTGCAAAGCTGCTATAGTTTTACCAATTATCTCTAAAAGTCCACAGCTAATTCTTCCCTGGAGGTGCAAATATTTCAACAGCCATTTTAAGTTCTCAAATTTTCCGATGGAGCGTTATGATGTAATCGGAGTGCGGAAGTTTTAGCTCTCCACAATGTTTCAACATAGACAAGATGAGAACATTTTAGAAAGTAAAGAGTAAGCAAAAGTAGTCTAGATACATTTGAAGAACTTACTTCCAAACCAAGCAATCAATTGATGCATTGTACTTTGCCCGTCCTGATGTCACTTGGAAGCTTGTTTTAGCAGTTTGTTTAGGTACAGGAATTTTGATGACCACACCAAGAGCGAACATTTTTGCGCCAAAAACACTCTTCACCTGAACAAGTGTAAATATAAGCAAATATAGAATTTGGCCATTCATGTAAAGGAAGCTTCGACAGCTAAGCTTACAAACCTTGACATTCACTTCCATACGCGTTCGACCAAGTTCCTTAATTGTTGGTAATACCCTGAATGGTAGATTAACCCCCTCTGTTATACGGTACCTGTAAAGGATAAAACCCAGAGATATGTCAGAGGGTGAAGATTAAACATGTCTGAGAAATCAAAACCCCATATTCATGACTCTCACAAAGACACTCTGATATTGGAAAATTACAGACAGCAATGGAAAACAGGAAGATGTAGCACGCAGGATGAAGGAAAAATAAAGATGAATTTGAAGGAGATACAAATAGACGAGGCACTGAGTTTAGATAAATGGATCGGCAATGCAACTGCTTTTTGAAGCAACTTATGACCTTTTTTTTTACTTTGATAATAAAGCAACACATGATTCGATCAAAGTTTTCATTACAGTTTCCCAGCTGAGTAGTGACAGATCAATAACTAATTCTACAAGGACCACATGGACAGCACACCATCAAGGTCTGCACAACCACACTTAAGAAAAGGCAAGCATTGAATTTGTGCTTCGACAATATTCCTAAAGATAGCAGAATGAATAACAGATCCAGATAAGTTTGGGAGGAACATGAAAGCAAACCATACTAATATTTACAATTCTAAGAAAAGTAAGCTAATCCATACGCAAGCATCTACCTTCAATGACGTAGAAACCCACGAAGTTAAAACAAAACTAGCATAAAGCGGAAATGAGGTCATAAAGTTTTTAGCTGCGTACTTCATCAATTCAAATTCACCATCGGGTGGAACAAAACTCACTGTCTTCTCCGAGTTAAACCTTGTCAAGTTCACGCATTGATGGAAAGTAACATCATCCAGCTCAATTGTTTTACCACTGCACAGAGAGACAGAAGATTATGAGGATATTAGAATACAAGTGAAATATCTCAGCTTCTTACTTCCTCGTATAACTAACTTGACTTATAGCCATTCTTGCTGCAAAAGAGATTCAGGAATTGATGTCTACATTTTAATTTGAGGAGGAACAAGCACCACACACTAATAGAAACAGAACCAAAGAACTCTGACGGATTGAGAGAGGGGAACATAGATGATATACCAATGAACAAAAAGAGAAGCGGACAATTACAAACCCACAGGATATCAGGAGCTTCTAGATACAACAATGTAAGTGTCCGGAAACCGTAAAAACATATGCAACTAATCAATAGATTCTCAAACAAGTCATCACTATCATAAGGCCGACACCTATTAGTGTCACAGAAACTGGTACCTTTTGGTAGGACGGTTCTTCAGTTGTGACTCTTTCTCCAGACCAATTTTATCATTTAAACCCAACTTCAAATCAGGCATTCCAGATAGGAAGCACTTCATCAGAATTTTCCCCGTCACATCACATCGTAGTACACTACCTGTAACGACAGCATTACTTGATTGCAATAGAACCAGCTTCCTCCAAAATTAAAACTCACAAAAAGGACATCACCAACCTTTTGAGGACATAAGAAGATTAACACTTTCGACAATATCCAAGAAAACCTGCAGTTAAATGAATGTTAATCTCCAGCTAGCTGGCTAGTAGAGGTCATTTTGAACAGAAGAAAAAAAGCAGGCTTAGCTGACCTCGTTCTTTTTATAAGCAAGGCCCTCCCTTCGCCAACCAACAGCCCCTGTAACTTGCAATGTCGCATTTGGTACAGGTTTATCCAAAGATTGCTGACGATTTTGCAATAGAAAACATAAAGTATTAAAGCTACTCCAAAATGAACATATAAGGGTGGCAAGGAGCTCTGTATAAAAGTTAACTAGTAACTGTTTGGTCGAGAATGTTGCTTCTGAGGAGAAAGATGCTACCTTCGATGAAAATGGTGAGCGCACTCCTTCTTGAGTAATGTATAGCTTCAATATCTCAGGAGACAGATTTTGCGGATAGCCAAAGTCCATGATCTCTGAAAATTGCCAGACTGCTAGTAAGAATTCAAGCTCCATATCCTAGAAATTGCTTACAACATAGAACAACTAAAGCAAGCAGTGGCTAAGTAGATCATGACCAAAAATAAAGAATAACAACAAGAACTAACTGGTTACCATCAAGCAACTCATATATCAAAACAAAATTATTTCTGATAGCATCTTCGTCAAAAGCACCACCAAAATACGACTTGAATAGTGCAACAGCCTGCACAGATGAAAACAAAACCAAAAGATTATCAGTGACTGCAAAAGGGTTACTTCCAGAAAAAACAACATGGTCTTGTGCGTAATAGAGGTGCAACTTCGCACGCGTCTGTTCTCATGTAGAACACCCATGACATAGGTGTACAATGATCTTAGCATGCTTTCTCATCACCTCGGTTGAAAGACTAGCAAACAAGTCAAAGATAGCAGATCTTTGACTGACACTATACAAGGTCATGAATTTAAAATAGGCTGCATCATGATATAAGAGTTACAAAGGAACTTAAAAGAGAAAGTAGGAGAAATGACGATCTCAATATATGCCAGTAAAGGCGGCGAGATCAGAGGAGCAGGCATTACTTGCTAACTGGTTGCAAACATGTAACTTACTCTGTATTTGGACATAAACATCTTTCCTATAACCAGACTATAATTCATCATTACAAAAAAACCACAAAAGGATCAGATACTAATCGATCAGAAATCCAGATTCAGTATGGCAGCAGGTAAACCTATGTTCAGTAGTTCATGGGATGGTGAACAAAACTTGGAAGGTAAGAAATCAGCGAACTTACAACAAAGAAGAGAGTTTACCTCCACAACAAACTTGAAGGCACACGCAACATTAGCATTGCTGCTAACCACAATCACAATGTAGACATTGCTGATCCTCATATAAAAGAATGAACAGCCTCCAATTTGACGCACAGGACATGTCCCAAGTTCCTTTGTTTGCATAATATGCATCCGAAACGCATCCACCATATTCCCCCTGGAAAGGAATTACAACTGTCAGCACTCAATGGAAAGCCAACAAATCCAAAGTTGGCAACTCGGCACCAGCTCAATAGAGAAAAGAGTTCGGGTGCTAATAGCAAATTCTGCGCTCCCCATTTCACACTAATGACAATAGGATTTTCCATCAACCTAGAATCACAGTATCACAACACGCATCTAGAACTGTAGCAGAAGCGGTTCGAAGCACAACCTGGCACAGATCAAGCAACACCCCCAGGCACCTCCCACTGCCAACTCATCCATAAATCAATTCCAACCATTTCCGAGAAACAACACCCAAAAACGGAATCCCGTCTAAGACAGCCATTCGCCCAAACCCCTAAATTCCCAGTTCCATCCCCTGTAAATTCTGAAGAAGCGAGATTTTCAAAGAGAACTAAGGTTACTAGGTGAGGGGAAATACCCGACGTCATCACGGTAGAGGCGATTGATGAGGACGTCGCCTCGGAGGTTCAAGAAGTAAATGGCGGAAGCAGCCACCGGCATCGCTGCGATCCAGTGGGGTGGTCGGGATCCGGGGAAACCAGATTAGCGGGGAGACGACCCAATCCTTCCTTCCCTCAGGAGATTCGACGGCGAGACGGAAATAATCGAAATGGGGATCTGTTGACAAGGGAAGATAAACGCCGTGGGAATTGAGGATTGAACGGAGAGTGGGGAAGGGTTGTTGATACTTGATAATAATGAAGGAAAGTTGAATACGATAGTAGTCGTCAGTCGTCGGAGACAGTTGTGTCATGGGTGATATGCAAGGTTGTCAAACCGGTTTATGCCAGTAGGGATGGCAATCAAACCCATGGCCGCGAGTATCCGACCGCCCCCGACCCAGTCAACGCGGGGAATCCCCGCTTTGACCGGGTATGGGGCGGGTATGGGTAAAACCCGCAAAAAGTGTGATGGGTATGGGGCGGGTATGGTTTTAGCCTCCCCCGCCCCATACCCATCCTAATACCCGCCCCACCAAGATAATTTCTTCATATATAAAAAAAATATGTGCATCAAATTATAATCTATCAATGATGATGAGGATAACTTGAGAAAAATAAATAGTAGAAAAGCAATTGATTGACCACCTTAATCAAAATCTAATTCATTTCTCTCAATCCTCATTTCACTCTTTCACTTTCCCCCTTGTCAACAAGATTATGTTAGTTAATTATTACTTAGTAGATGTATCAGAGTTAGAACATAATAATTTGAAAAATATTATACTCTATATTATGTATTAATGGATATTTTAGGATCATAATCTTTGAACCATATTAAAAAAATGACCGTGTTTTATTGACTTCATGATATAATATGTTCGTTTAGAATTATAATTAGAACTTTTCTTGTAAGTTTAAGGTATAATAATGTTGGATGTACGGGTATGGGTATTACCCATGGGTACCCGAAACCCACGGGTATGGGGATGGGTTTGCAAAACATTCCCCCGCATGGGTATGGGGCGGGTATGGGTTTGGGTATTTGAAGATGGGTATGGGGATGGTTTAAGCAAACCCGCCCCAAACCCGCCCCATTGCCATCCCTATATGCCAGTGTGCCGGTTTAGCAAGTGGAATGGTTCGACCGGTGGCACATATACCAGTTTGTGCCGGTTCATGCCGGTCAATATTACAAATAAAATTATAAATCCTCATATTTAAACATGACATTTAATGTCAATACCTAAATATTTATACTTGAATCCAACAAATAACATCAATATTTAACTTTTATACTCATAAAATAAATAATGAAATAATTTTTATCAATTAAATTCGCTAAAATAAGGTCATTTTACTTAGAGATTCGTATATTGATCATGCCGGTCATACCGGTAGTGTCACGCCGATTTTATGACCGGTATCGGTTGAACCTAGCACAAGCGGTGGCACGCCGGCCAGCGTGACAACCATGGCGATATGCGGTCTTTGGTTTTGGCAATGGCACGCGACAGTTGGCTGGGTCACCTGAGTCGACCGGCTGGTTAAATTGGTTGAGTTGTAACTTGTAAGGCTAAGTATTTTGTATTTTTTTCCCCCAAGCAATGACAGGGTAAAAGATAGTAAGAAACCTCTACTTGAAACCCCCAAGGCAATACTTAGTGAAGTCATTCTACAAAATAAAAAGAATCTAACTCTAATGAGGACAGCAACAGGGCATTACGTACCATGAGCAAACCAATCGACCATCACGAGCCCATTTGAGTTGGCGATAGGGCATCAACAGTTGACGCCTACCACAGTAGCAATAGGCTATAGAGGGAAGAGTCCAACAACCTACAAGTTTGCAAAAGACTGGCACGAGAAGATGAAAATGATCAAAGTCTTAATTAGCCCAAGCTAGTAAGAAGATGAAGAAGTGGGCCAACAAGAAGAGGCGTCAATGGGAGTTCGAAGAGGGAGACATGATGATGGTGAAGTTCTACCATCATCACTTCAAGCATTTTAAGAACATGCACAATGAACTGTTTCGCACCTATGAAGGGGTCATTCCATATCCTGGGGAGGGTTGGCAAGGTGGCGTACAAGGTGGAGTCGCATTTGGAGATCCAACAGGTCTTTCATGTGAGTCAACTCAAGACTTTCAATGAAGACAAGGAGGATGAGCAGCGGAGGCAGACACATCAGGCACCAACACCCGTCACCAAGACGCATGAGCATTCAGTCGAGGAGATCATGGCCCATCGTGTCATTCATCATGGTGGTGTCCATCTGAGTCATGTGGAGTACTTGGTCAAGTGATGGAACCTTACAGAGAGCGAGGCTAGTTGGGAGAATGAGCTCACGCTATGGAAGGACAAAGATTTGATGGAGGGTTTCCATCATGAGGACAAGATGGGGGCATCGCGAGTATAGGTGGGGGAGAATGTCACATGTGGAAGATGACATAGCGAGGGCATGACGACAATATGGCGATTTGCACATGTGGTGTGCATGGAAGTCTGGAGTATAGAGATGCCTCTAGCATTCTTCACCATAATGGGGCACTTATGAACCACATTGTGGGTGGCATTATGAGGTGCATTATGAGGGGACTTAATGAGTGTAGTAATGGAGAGGGACCGTTATGAGGGGGCATTGATGCCTTATATGAGGAGATGTCTATATAAGGAGCCAACTCCTTCACATGTAACTCAGTCCATCATTTTCTAGAGTAAACCCTTAAGAGAGTTCTTTCCACTTCCTTTGTCTTTCCTTCTTAGTGAGATTGTGAGTTGTGAGAAAGCTACTTAGCATTTTTAATAGAGTTGAGAGCTAAGGTCGCACGACACACAAGTAGGGGCATGACAGTATACGCGAGTTCATGGATACCCATGGGTTCTTATGGACAAACATACATAGCACCAATCTCCTGTCAAAATTAAATCTTGACACCAATTTATCCATAAAAATTTACCATACAAAAAAACATCAATCTTAGTGCAAACCCACAAATTATCCATACAAATTGTTCAATATTAAAGATTAACATCCACAAACAACACGGATAATTGACAGGTTGTAGGCGGATATCTATGGGTTGGGTAAACCTAAACTCGAACCTACCCGTTGAACAGTGCAACGGGTTTCAACCCGAACCCGGTCCGCAATTTATCAATGCGAATTTTACCCATTTTGACCAGATTGGATCGGGTAGGATACCAGTGGATCCAGATTTTGCTGCCATCCTTAGGTGTTGGTACTTAAATTGAGAGATGTTGTTGTTTAAGGTGGTGGACTAGTGGTTATGAGCTTGAGGTGGTTGGAAAGTAAGTTGGTAAGAGTCCCTAATTTTTTTTACCAAACGAATCATCCTCATACTTATTAGGTCCGGGATTAGCCATAAATTAGAGTAAAAGTGTAAGGCTAAAAGAAAATCTTTGGTGCGTTTACTAATTGAGACAAGATTGAAAGAAAAGCTAGGTACTAGAAGGACATTATAAGAACAGTCTGAAAGGAAATCTTATTGTTCATACATGTATGACAAGAATCCTAGCGCCATTAGGGAGATGAACATAAGTATTTTGAAATTTTTTATGACACAAAAGATATGGTTTGAGGCCCTGTATCTAGAATCCAATAACTAACCAGGTTTGTATTGTGTAGTTCACAATAAGTACTAAGTAGACAAGACATATTTACGTGAGTAAATTGGGAATGATGTAGAGACTAAGACACAAAGTATGCATTGTGTGCAATGGAAAAGTGAAAGAGTACAAACAAATGACACTCCACGCTCATCGGGCGGGCACAAAACTTGTAATAAAAGGTTACGTTTGTAAAAAAAAAAAATGTTTATTAATTTATTTATAATAAAATAAAGAGGGATAGAAAATGCTATTATCCAAAAATATAAATCCACTAACTTCGTATTACTCTCGAAAGAAAGAATATCTAGAGCGGAAAACCCAAAAGACGCAAAACCACAAACCGCAGAGCTCTGGAGAAACGCCGCACAAATCGCAAATCTCTCATTTTCCCACCGCAGCCGCGCAATTACTCTTCACCACTCCACTTCTCTCGTAATTCCGGCAGCCCGAATTTCAGATTCCGGCTGCGGATTCGTTTTTTCTCCCCGATTGGGGTTAGCAGTGGGTGGAAAAAGTTGATTCGACGATCGGGGAGATGCGATGCGATTCTTTCGAAGGATAGCGGGAATACTCGGGTTCGTTAGAGACGAAGGCGGCGACCACGGAGAAGACCAAGAAGAAGGAGACCACGAAGCGGAGCAGCAATGCGTTCCTCCTCATCATCAATCACGGCAGCATCATCGCCCCGATTACCGCGAAACAGGGATTCCACGCAAAGGGTTCAGCGTCCCTGTCAAGGTCGCCGTTGACCGGCAGCAGCCTGGCCCTATTCTCATCCCTTGCAAAGCTGGTGATGGCGGTGTCCAGGTCAGTTTCCCCCTCCGTGTTACTCCTTTTGCTGTGTAATTATTGGCTTTGGGTCTGGAGGGTTCTTGAGTGTGTAGCGAATTACGATCGAACTGGAAACTTGGGGTTGGTTTTTATCTTCAGTCAGTTTAAAGAATTCGGATTGTGCTAAAAGGATTATGGCGCTGTGAATGCAGATGCGGCTTCTGTAGATCATACTTAGTTATCATGGGATCCACTAGATAGGAGTTTATTGTGTGGAGTAATTATGAAACCTTCAACATGCTTATGGTCTTAGATAGGCGAATGTAGTAACTCGTTTGAGGCATATATGGTATGAGATCATAATCCTTAAAAGAGGGTGAATGCGAGATCACTTCGGTAAAGTTTTTTTTTTTCTTTCATTTTCTCGCTTGAAATGTCAGATTCGTGTTGCAATTTTTGAAAGAAATGACAACTGATGGAATACTATTGCTTGAGTAGGAAAGCATCCTTAGGATGGAAAGGTAATTACTGTTTGATGATTAGGAGTTAAATTTAACTTGTTTCCTGTTAGTTGTGGAGAATTTGGGAGCAGGAACAAGATAGGGAAAACAATAGTGTACAATTGTAGCAGTTCCGAGAGTGTGAACTGTGAAGCCTTATTCCTCTACCATTGTCAATCTGTTGGCAACACATTATGCAAGATTCTAACGACAACTGACGGCTTGTTGAAGAACAGTGGTCTGCTGTAGAAGCGACTTCGTCTGAGAGTGATGCTTACTTGTTTCTAGCAACTGTGTCACTTGACGTGGTCACGGTTCTTGTATTAGAGCTAATGAGCAATGTGTAGGAAAGGGGTAACCAATCATGGATGACGGATGCATCCTGAAGTGTTTATAGAGTAGAGGTTACCCTGTAGGAAACATATCCCTCATATATTAGAAGTGGAATCAGGTCATGATTGTCGAGGTTTTGTTATTGGATAAACACCTTCCTTGATCATGATACCGAACCTCAGCGACTTTTTGTTGTTTCTTTTTTCTTTTATGGTGGCATTTCCTTGTATTCATTTGTATGTGCAGTAAACTTTAATAACAAAACAAATTATCAGAAGTCTTTTGTGCCATGAGCAATAAATTCTTTTCTATTGATGTTGGTTGATACAACTGCCAGATCTTTTTGGCCTGTGTCAACCCTCAGACTTGTTGATGTCATAATATTAGGAGCTGCCGATGTATTTTGTTAGATGGAAAGACACGGATGCCCCTAATCTGACAGAGTTATGTGCTAGAAAGGAAGATCTGTACAGGAATTCTGAACTAGTGTCTTCTTGCACTGAGCCTCGCCATTATCTTCTCAGGAATTTACCTTGCCTCCTAGTTAAGGCCTTTCTGGTTCTTGATGCACCCAAAACTTATGATGAAACTGAACGATGGAAAGTTCTGGCCTTTGGGAAGATCTTTCAACTGAGTGATCATGTCCTCGGAATTCGGAATCCCTGTCTCTCCAGTTGTCAACTAATTCCGTACAATCATACTCCTGGCTTGCTCTCCTTCCTACATTCACCTGGAGCATACCGTCCTTGATTAACCTGACATTCAAAGCTCTAGTTGGCAATCCTCATTCCTGAATTATCTCTTGAATTAACCATATCGGCAGCTATTGGTTTTCTTTGTCATTGCATTTGATTCCTTCATTTAGAGTTCTGTAATTGGTGCCACCTTGGCCAATCACGACCTAGATATCTCTTTCCTGATGGTTCTGCATGTTGCAGGGTCTGAGGTGGTATGCAAAGAGCCTCAAGATAGATGAAGACGGAGATGTTGCCAACGAATTCCTCGACGAGACCATCTCACTGTTTCCAACCCCCACCAGTTTCAGTTTCGGCAATGACCCTTCAGCGTTGCCTAGGTTCGAGGCAAGGTCTAACGTACGCCATGCAAAGGTCAGGAGGCAGTTCATGTCCCCTGAAGGTAAGTTCCTGAACTGCATCGAACACCAAGGCGGATTCCAACTGGTATGACGATCACAAGAACGCGATTTTCGGATTCGCCGAGGAACACTCTGGGAAACGCATGCAGGGTGTCGGGGTTGGTGTTATAATGAAGTCTATATAGAGCTGAATATGGAGATGAGTCCTGCCATGGTCTTTCCCTCATCTCTTTCACCCATGGATTATTGGTTTCTGCTATTGGTGGTAAAAAGAGTGTATTTTTGCAAACAATGCGCACCTGGAAAATTGTACTAAATATATATGCCCAAAACATAGGGCTCTTTTGATATCACATTACGTACACTCTTTTCCTGGGTGATGGTATTTCTTGCTTGACTTGAAGATCGTGGATCATGTTACCCCGCTTTACACCTTAATATATATGCTATTTTTTTTTTTGTCAAAATCTGTTACAAACGGGGCAAAGTCAAGTTTAGACCGAAAATAGCACGATATTTTCTATTGGAGTTTAAACCGGTAGGTGATATTTAGTGATATGATACGGTTGAATCACAGTTAAACGGACTATAGTTTCAGTAATACAATACCCCCATGGTATAGACAGGTAATAAATGTCTCGATTTTTTTGTTCCAAAAATATATCAAAGTAGATATCATTTTGAAGAGCACAATTAATCTAATTTATCTATGCAGATAAAAAATACAACTTAAAACAAGAGTAAAATCGTTCGTTTAATATTATAGAAAAAAAAGTAAAAGACTTCCATAAGTGACGTGAGATGATGATGTGGTGACTGGGAATTGGATTATGATAGTTATTAACTAGTAGAATACTAACTAGATCCTCCCTTTTTCGTCTCATTTCCTCTCTTTTTTTATTATATATATATTTTGCATGTTGGGTGCTGGAATTAAAAGTTCCAACCGTCAATTATCACCAATGGTCATTTTTTCAATAGTTAGTCTTTCCTATTTCATTTTATTCTTACCCACTTCTCTTTTTTTACAGCAATCTTAACCACTTCTCAACGCTTCATTCTTTCCTATAAAGATAGTGTGTTTCTTTTTAATTAAGTTGCTAAGTGTACTTTTTATTTACATTTGGTGTATGATCTATTTTTATTAGTGAAAATAATAAAATTAGATAATTTTTTTACATTCAAATTAAATAAATTACATACAAATGTTTGTCATGATTGATTACGATTAACTATGTAGAAATAGATCTACTTTTATTAATAATAATAATAATTCTAATATCCGGATTAAAAAAAATAACATCAAAATATTTTTCATTATTGACTATGATTAGCCATGTAAAAATAATGACCGAATTATTTTGTTGAGTTACTTTCACTATCATCGATAGGTTACAATTTGATCAATGTATTTTTTTTTATATGTGAATAAATACTCTTGTTAGGCCGGGTATGAGTATGGGACGAGAAGCCTAAAACCATATACCCGCCGCCGCTCCATACCCGTCAAATAATTTACGGAGTTTTACCTATACCCGCCCCCATACCTAGTCAACGTGGGGGGCGCGGGCGCGGTCGGGGGTACCTGCGCCTGCGGTGATGACGGATACAGTACTCCTCGTGCTACCGTGCTGCCGCGTCGAGGCTAGCTCGCTCACGCTGAGTCTAGCTATACTTACATCAGATTCCCACCAAAAATCGAATATAATACGGTCCGTTTCTTGGTTCCACAAATTATAATTACTCTGTGGGGAAATGAATCGAATTGAAAAGAAAAACACTAACAGTAATTAATTCTTCGTGGTTCCCAAATCCATAATTAATTCATTGTAAAAATTTAAAATTACACTCATGATGTGCTCTGCTTTTTTTTTGGGACCTACGGGGCGCTGTTCTCCGGCGGCGGCGGCGAGGCCAGCGACTGGGCTGTCTCGTCGAGGAGTTCGGGGTCCGGAAAGGTGCCGTGGTCGCCGCGCGCGGCGCCAGGAGGAGGAACGTAGAACGGGTTCTTCCCGTTCCGGCGACGGATCTCATCGATCGGCTCGCAATCGATGCGATTCTCGACGCTCGTTTGGCAGAAGTTGTAGAAGTAGGTCGACTCCAGCCCGCACCGCATTTTGATGTTCATCACCATGTCGCTCATGCACAACGAGTGCTCGTCGCTGATGTACTCCCTCACCGGGCACACGAACAGTATGAACGCCGCGCAGCACGTCTTCCGCGGCACGTGCTCGTCCGGCGTCCTCATCACTCCGCACCCTTTCCTGAACACCGTGTAGTCCATCGTGTCGAACGATATGTTGCACGCTGCATCCCAAAACCCAACCAACCAGTCAGAATCGCGCGCTTTAACATATCGCTTTAACATATGCATGTATCGTAATTATCGGTCAGATAAACAATCACAGCTTCCAAAAGACAAAAGTAAAAAAAAAAGGTTAGCTATACCCACGTGAATAGCCTTTCACGGGTCCCCTGTAACGTTCACCGAATGAATCTTGGAGAAGGTTTCGACCACCTCCTGCTTTCCCTGAGCTAGCCTCAGATGATTCAGCTGTCAAATTTTATGCCAGTGTAAAAAACACACAGTAACCAAACAAACAAACAAACAACAGTAAATAGAAAAGGGAAATTTCTAGGGTTATGGAATGATTTACAAGAGAGGTCGTCGTTGCAATGAGCGAATCCGAGGAATAGAAGGAAGCAAGTGAGATAGGCGGCAAGATCATAATTCTGATTCGCCATTCTTTTTTATTTTTTTGGGGGGGCTTTCTGGGTTTTTTTCGCCTCTCTTCAAAGTTCAATCTCTCTCTCTTTGCAATTAATTGATTAATAAAAAGACTTCTCTTCCTACTTTTGGCTTTTCTATATTTGGGGGGTGTGGGAAGCAGTGGAGGACAAAAAAAAGCTGTCGAAATTCATGATTAAAAGTGGACGACATTTGGCTTCTCATGTTGTTGACCCGCTAAATCAGTTTTCTAGGCAATACCCAAATTTGTCGGGGGATTTACATTTGTGGTAGAAAAATACTACAATTGAAATTTATGGGGATATATATATATATATAAACTAATTCATGCACTATCCTAATATATGGATCTTAAATTTCGAAGCATAATTTTAAATCCTAAATTCTATATCATAATCATATATCTACAAATAATACATTCTTCAAATCAAAGTAACTATTTAATGTATTTTTTTCTTCTGAAGATTCATGCGCTTTCTTTTCTACCATATCACAATTTCACAAGTGATGGTTAACACTAATTATCTACGCATAAAGATGATTATAAAGCGGGTGCATAACACTAAAAAAGTGAGTGCATCAAAGATAAAATCATAAATTTTATTCATTATACTTTCGAACAGAAAATATCGTGTATTTTCGTGTATTGGATTTCACATGACTGTCTACGGCTCCACATCCTTTAATTCCCCCCCCCCCCCCCCCACCCCAACATTATGGGTATTTGTCAACAAAGTTTAAAACTTGATGAAGTCCGACTAAATTGAATCGATTTACTTTCTCAATTTGTTTTGTAAAATTTGAGAAGAAGTATTTGGAAGCAAGTATACTAAGACTACCTATAATAAAAAGTATAACGTTGCGGTTAAGACGAAAGAGTGGAACATTATCCCTATGGGTTTTAGCTAGCTCCAAATCTTAGGTAACAATCGAAATTCATAGTCCTTTTAGCATTGAAATATTTTTTTTGAGAATTTATCAAATGACGGAGTTAGGCCAACGTGAAAAATAAACACAAACTCTTTCTATGACGGAGTTAGGCCAAATGAGTTGTATCCATACTCCTCCAAATGATGAATTATTTGTCCATCGAGCTTATACTTTAAAAGTTTGTGTTTAATTCATGATTATATTGTTAATAATAATTGAAGGAGATGTGCAACAAACGGGATTGTTCTCTAACCAGTAGATAATTTAACAAAATTTTGCCCTATTTGAATCATATGTACTATTGTAAAGCGAATGAAATTTAACTTTTGACGAATCCATCATCATTCTTTCATAATTTCGTCATTAAATTGTGAACCGTGAACACCACCCTTATAATTTTGGCAAAGCATTGCTTAAACCAAACAATCTCACATCCCAATTAGCTAAACAAAATTGCTTATCCAAAATCTCAAATGGGCCCTAATCCAATTTAAGGAGGATAAGCCCGCCAACGTTATCTCCACGCGTCGCTCTCCCAGTGGCTATTAGGATTTTTTCCCTCGCAAATCTCCCACTGAATAAAACCAGGGCCCACCCGGTTGCATCCTGACCGTCCGATCCATCTGATCACAGGTTTGACTTTCTTCTAACCCCATCTCTGACTGCTTCCCTGGCCATCCGTCTTGCTGCTCGCTTTCTCTGGTTATAAAACAATTTCAAAAAGATTCCAAAAAAATGGAAGCTCCGCAATAATCAGAGAAGCGCTATGCATCTTCGCCCCGACGGAGACTGATAAACAGAAAGGAACCGCCGGATAGAGGAACTAAAGGTTCATGGCGATGCCGCTAGTTTCACGAACTCCGAGTCAATCGACTGCGGCGGGAGGGACGTCGTCGTCGTCGTCGTTCCGCGGCAGGATAGGCGCAACTGATTTCCCACGGAGGCGGAGGAGATTGAGCTTGAGCGGTGGCGGGGAGAGGAATTGGAACTCGCGAGTTAGAATCTCTGCGGAGAGCAGCGGCGAAGGGCTGAACGCGACGGAGACAAGCGGCGGAGGAGGTGGAGGAGTTGGAGCAGGAGCAGGAGCAGGAGGAGGTTTCGCGGGAGGCGCGATGGAGGTTACAACGACGCTCGATCGGAGCTTCGGAGAGGCTGAGTTCCCCGTTTGGGAGAAGATCGGTGCCGTGGTTCGGCTGAGTTACGGAATCGGTGAGTTTTGTTTTCATCCTGTTAGTGGCGAATTCGATCCCTATCCCTGTTTCTAGGTACCAATTGAAGCACGTTAATGGTAAATATAACTCACCACGTCAAGTTTTGCACATCATTTTAAGCTGGCGCCACCAGCATTACTGATGGTGTTACGTTTCTATATTTGTCGATGAAGTTAAAGCTCGTACCGAATCTTGGTGCTAATAGGGCGAGCATTATGCGTGTGCAATGTAAAAATAAAGGGTGCTTAATTATGTAGCTTGTTCATTTTGAGCTTTCACTGGAGAGTGATGTTTGGCTAAACTTGACTGAAGCAGTTGTTGTTTCCCCCCCTTTTTTGTTGTTGTTGTTGTTGTTGTGGGGAATTTGGACAAGTCAGGTATATATGGCGCAATGGGTCTAGCAGGAAGGTTCATTTGCTCATTCACTGGGATTGATAGCATGGGAGGATTCGATCCGTCGTTGGATGCTATTCTTGGAGGGCTTGGATATTCAGCACCTCCAATTATGGCTCTCCTATTTATATTAGATGTATGTTCTCTTTCTTCTCTGCCTTCTTGTTTTGGTCAAATTTGTCCTGAAAGTGGATTATATTTGGGATGCTATAGAAAGTATGAAACTTGAGAAATGCTAATGTTGGAAGGTTAGTCTTTTCACTTTGTTTGGTTTGAGCTAAAAGTGGAAGGAGCAATATTCCTCCCATGAACAAGAGAACATAGTCCTATTCAAGCTAATCTTGGGTTTTCTTAGATTCCTTTTTGTTTTTTTTTTTGTTTTTTTTTGTTTTGGAGATTTATGTTCGGTGGTGTTTGACAACGATGATAGGATGAAGTAGTGAAGGTTTCGCCTCATGCTCGGGCCATTAGAGATGTGGAAGATGAGGAACTTAGGAACTTCTTCTATGGGATGTCACCTTGGCAGGTAATCTTCTGCGCCTCCAGATTTGTTTGATGCATTGCAGAATCTTGCATTCCTTTGCATGGGAATTTGATGATTTCCTTTTACCGTTTTTTCCTTGGCGTTTGCAGTTTGTCCTAATTGTTGCTGCAAGTTCTGTTGGTGAGGAGCTATTCTACCGGGCTGCTGTGCAGGTTTAAATCCCTTTTACCGTCTTATTACTTTGCTTGCACTGTAAAATTGTGCATGAAGTAAGCACCTCAAGCTGATGTTGGGTGAATTTAAATTCTACTGCCCATAGATTAATTCATGAACAACTGGATTTTAATGACATTTGAGGAAAGAAAGAAAGATTTCAATGTGTCGAGTAATGCACACGTCAATTTGTCTATACCTCTTACATCTCAAGGAGTTTAGAATTGCTGATTGACAACACTGATTATTTCTATCTACCCTTATTCTTTCTCTTTCACAGGGAGCTTTGGCTGACATGTTCATAAAGAGCGCTAGTTTGGCGACAAATACTCAAGGAATGGCGTCTTTGGTAACGTGTTCCCGTTTGATTTTCCTTGCCTCCCCTTCCAAACACATAATCGTCGAGTAAAGCTAAGGTTTTTTTGGCCCTCTTGGTGCTTATGATGTGAAGGCTGGAGTCCTGCCTCCACTAGTTCCATTTGCTCAGGCTTTCGCAGCTGCAGTCACTGCTGCTCTCACCGGCGTCCTATATTTTGTCGCCTCGTCCCCTAAAGGTTTGACACAATTGAAAACCCAGACAGGATGTAGGCTCCCTCCGATACCAACTCTTAAGTTCATTAAGTGTTCTATGTTGTTTTCCCCAGATCCAACTTATGTGGTTGCGCCAGTTCTGCCATCCCATTCGGGCCGCGAGGATCTCAAACGACTCTTTGCAGGTTACTGGTCTTTCCTCCTTCACCTCGTTAATCTTTTGGGCACTAGCAAATAGGTCACTCAGAACCCATTAAAGCTTTATGATAATTGATAGCTAAAATAATTGTCACTCCATTCATTTTCGCCTAGTCTCGTGTCCAAATTCGTCGACTAATTGGAGTTTGTACCTCAATAACAACTTCTCTAAGAATTTAAGTTTAGTGAACGATTTAGAATCTACCCTAATGGTTCTGTGATTAAGTGTTGGCTAAGAAACCTGCTGATATGTTTCTCGTTTCGTACCTCGTCAGCCTGGTACGAGAGGAGGCAAATGAGGAAGATCTACTCACCCTTACTTGAAGGGCTCCTGTCTCTCTACCTCGGATATGAATGGATCCAGGTGATTTAAACTTTCACCATTCCATATTTATACTGTATCGAACCATTTGAGTTTCTGATACTAACGCAGGTTTTCCATTACCCTTTCAGACAAACAACATTCTTGCACCCATGATCACCCACGGGATATACTCGACGGTGGTTTTGGGGCATGGCCTGTGGAAGATACACGACCACCGGAGAAAACTGCGCCATAGAATCCTGCAGCTTAAATCAGAGAGAGGGAGAATCCAGTGATGGGAAATAGCTGGAAAATGTATAGCATATGTTCCAGAGCATCATGATTAGGTATATATATATATATATTAACCTTTGTAAAGAAAAATAATATGATGTGACACAGAGTGTTCCTAGATTATAGACTTAGTTCGAGTGATAGTTTCCAGCAGCAAGCGGTCTCCATTGTATCAGAAATTACGAGCATGAATCGAGGGAATCCACTTGGAACTTGGATGGTTGTTTTGTGTGAAAGACTAGTCTTCCAACTGGGAGATGATGCTGGTGAAGACCTTGTAGCCTTGGGCCATGTCGGAGAACAGGCAGTACTCGTTCTTGGCGTGGTATGTGGCCATCAAACCTGTGCATTATCAGGGCACAAATGATTAGTTGACGTGGAAAAAATGTCGAGTCATTGCAATGCAGCTGACGAACAGGATCAATAGGGAAGAGCCAGTTGTAACGACGGAATCGATGGCTGAACTTGGCTAGGCAGTAAAGCAGACAAATTGCTCTCATTAAAAGCATGTGAAACCACTACATCTTAATCAAGGTTAGTCAGAGATTAACTAGATAGTATGCAATCAGAATAGAACTGAAGCTGGGTTAGGCATATATGATGAACACTAAATTATCTGCAATGGGGAAGGTCGTAAAGATTAGATTTGCCACAACTGCGGATAAACGTGTCTCGCGGATGCAGAGCCTAGCCTAACACGAAGGCATATTATCACTACTTACATGATAAATCTTCATCAGCAATTGCTCATGACTATTGGTTATAGAATGATTATTCTCTAGGATGACGATAGGAAAAGAAGCGGTATGCTAGAGGGTGATCATATTTATCATACCATAACCTGCTGTCTGAACGTCAAAACCTTCCTCCTGCAACGATCACCAAATAAATGAGACGTGGAAAAGGCAGGAGCTCGGAGAACAAAAACGAGAAATAAATGGGATAAATGAGTGCATACGCAGTTACCTGCAATTCGCGTATCAGTGGTAAACTTCCAGTTATTGAGTAGGGCTTTACGTAGCCAACTACCTTCTCAGTTGCTTTGCACAAGACGTGAAAGCCACGAGACTCGAGGTTGCAAGCAACACCGGAAAATGCCTCCTCAAAGGATATTGCAAGTCTACGCGTAATTGAATTAGGCCACATGTAAACAGCTTTAGGTAAGACTGAAAGAACCAACTGCCATTGTATAGGATATCAACATCTAATACTCGAAGAAAGAGGAGAATACATACCTCCCTCTCATGTTTTCATCTGGAAGAACATAATGTGAGACTGGCCCTCGGCTATCTAGCTTCTCTATGTTCAGATTTATATCATCTACGTACTCTTGTAGCTTCTTCAATACATCTGCTACACTGGAAATATAACAAAAACTGAGCTAATCATCGAAATCCAGGAACAAGGGGAACCCAAATCACAACCACATGATAACTTTTAAAAAAGGCAACGAGAACCCAAATAGTGAGAAAGACAGCTTACTTGTAGAAGGGAGTCAACCTGCATACAAAAGAAAATAACAGTGAGCCCCGGTTTTTTACGTTCATCTAAATCAAAGTGCGGGTCATAATGGGGTCAAGGTCACAACAGTATGGTCACACTGGGTGGTGGTTAGTGGAGCATAATGGGTCCAGCCATGAAGAGTGCCAGGTTGGGCCACCTACCCCAAGGGCTCTGGATCATAAACAGGCACACCAAAGATACAAAGAAACTTATATGCAAGCCAAATTTGCGGCCTGTGATAATGGTTATAATCCTAACGTGTCAAGGGTTCACCATGGTGTGTAATAAAGCATGTCAGATGGGGTCATAAAGGGTAACAGGTTCGGTTTTCGTGTGTCAGATTGGGTCATGTTTGGTTTGGGTAAAATTCAAAACCATATCAAACTATATGCAGTGCACCGAGTCACACAAAGAGTTGCAAACCTGACATCCCCAGCAACTGTACACTCTCCTGGGATTTGATTGATGCCACCTCCAGGATCTGTTATAGTAACAATGGGAATCTCAGAGATCAAAGCAATTACTTCTCCCATTAATCCCACCCGTTCAAGTAAATGGAAACTTACAACTCCATTGAGTTGGTTTCATTGTTGACGGTGTAGCAAATCCATAATCTTTCTCCTTGGGATGAGCTGGAAAGTCTTTGTAAAACCGCAACTGAATCTCTTTAATTGCTTCCATGCCTAATTCCAAAGCATTTATGGCCTGTCCATTATCCATACCTCTTTAAACAACATAAATAACGTAGCAGGTGTTTGAACATCAATCCTCATAGAGTTCAAAGTACATTATTTCAAAATAACACAAGAACCTAGATGGTACATAATACTATTGAGCACCAGTGATTTCCCCAAACTGTAACATAGGAGCTAGTCGGGCTGCACCAATTTGATTACCAAATTAGCCTATGCATATCACTGGTCACTGAATTCGGTTTTGAGATAACTATAACACTAAACTTGCCCTAATAAGTCATTCTTAGCATTCTCATTTCTTCACTCAATTTCTCTCATCGTGTTACTGAGAGGCATCCCCACATCAGCAACATAACAACAACAAAAACTGATGGAAGTAGGACAGGGAACAGAAACGCAAACAATGACTTATGAGGGCAATTTGTTGATTTACTGTTTTCTAAATGCTGAGAGCAACGGCCAACACAATACATATAGGTGAGTTTGATAACAGAACTAACGCTTTAGCCTGAAACTAGTCACTACTGAGATGGCTTATCGATCTGTTTTTCTCATAGATTCTGACAGCTATATCTCATACTTGTACTGACGCACATAAAGATATTACTTCTTAATGCATACCTTGTGGGGTAAACCACTGTGAAAGAGTTTCCCGGTGACATGAACTTTCCAAGGTATCATGCCACCGGTACCAATACAAGGCTGTTTATCGGCTGTGTCAATCCAGAATCTGTCGGCAAAAATCAGATTAATTACAATGTAGTTCAGAACCATAAAAAAAGATACTCAGTTATTTCGCTACTTCCACGAAAATGAATGTTAGATTGCTTACAGAGGTCCATTCTTCAGTTTATCAAGAAGCCCATTTTTCACAAGTGCATCAACTCCAATTCCTGTTATGGAAGAGTTCTCTTCACTCGCTATGAAAACAGCAACAACAGTAGACTTCAATTCCGGCTTCGTCTCTCCTAGCTTTTTCATGAGCTGAGTCACTAGGGCCACGTGTCCCAGACAATCAGTTGTCCCTCGCCCACAAAGCTTATCCCCATCAATGCTCAGGGCAAATGGATCGAATTCCTGCAGACGTCAGAAGAAAAAAAAGTCAAACATCGATGAATGTATGCAAAGCGGAGTACTAAATTTTCCAAAATCTGATAGACAGATAGCTCGAAAGGAGAAATGGGATGTGTCTCAACTGGATTCCATGATGACAAAGACATCCTTTCCTAAATCCAGAAAGTTCATAGCTACTAAAATGTCAGGTCAAGTACCAATTAGGTTACCAAACTCACACTATCGTACTGGAAACTGAAGTCAATGGTCTCTCTAAATAAACCACCCTAAAAGCATTCCCTAATCCCCCATTTTACCTCCAGTTTTTGCCATTGTGCTGCAGATGTGGCAGCTCGTCCTTGTATGCCAACTGGAGGTTAGCACAACAGCAACATCACTGCAAACACTGACAGAGGTAGGACGGATGAAACAGGGATGCTGACAGCGATTTATTTCGCATCCAATACGCTACATACATACGAGTTCAATCACCAAATTGATACTTAATCCAGCCTTATAGCTCTCGAAACGGTGACCACGATCTTGCCTAAAGTCCTAACTCCCAAGTAATTCATTATCACAGGTTTGAAACCGCTAGAAAACCAGCCAGAAGCCGATTCCAATACGTCCAATTTCATTCCACCTGACACTCAACTACCGCAAACCAAAGCAACGACTCTGTAAACAAGAGAAAGCAGGAAAAGTGAGAGATGCAAACCCAGTCGGCGGGGTTGGCTGTGACGACGTCCATATGCATCCCGACGAAGGACAAGATCTTGCCGGACTCCGTTCCAGGGTACTCGACGATGAGATTGCTCCTGCCGGGAGAGTAAGAAACGTGATTCACAATCAACGGACCCCCGCACTCGGTGCTGAGAGGGCGGAGGACTTCCAGAACGTGATTGGCGACCCTTACTTCCTGCGGAATCAGCTCCGGCGGGTTGTTCTGGACGTGCTCCGACTCTCCGATCACCTTCTGCAGGAGGGAGACGAAGGCGTCGCGGTTGAGTTCACCTAGGATTTCCTCGACGCGACCCATGGCGTGCGGAGTTTGAATTGGTGCGAAGAATGGGTGGGAATTCAATTGAGTTGAGTGAGAAGTGTTTGTTTATGAGAGCAGCTGATTTTGAGATTTATATAGAATCTAGTCCAAGTAAATTTTTTTAATTTCGTATTTTTATGGAATGATTTGATTTCCTTAACTAAGCATTTCAACTAGGGGTCACAAATCACAATCACAGCAGTTTCGGGTGGAACCGATTTTCTTATATATTATATCAAATTACGATTTTAAGATTGTTATAATTTTCATAGCAAAAATTGTGTGGGGATGTAATATAATATATCAAAATCAACTCATATGTGATTTGGAAAAAAAACCCATCCGCACAACCCCGAACAAATTTAACTAATTTCTAAATATGTAAATGTTAATGGAATTTTTTTTTTGTCGAATTTGTTGTAAAACTGACAAAAAATTAGCAAGATTTGAGGTTTAAGAGAAAATTATAATATTTGAGGGATATGGATAATTGAAATGTTAAATTGAATAGTCTAAAACATATTTCGGGGATTCCGTGCGGATACTTAAAATATCAAAGTCGCACCAAACTCATCACCATTCTTTTGAGTTCGAGAGAACCCCACTCACAAATAATTGCGACTAAATTTCCCCATCAAAGTTGATTTGAATTTGGTTGAATATCCGCGATAATGTGTTATTTTGCCATTCCTAATCTCGGCATGAAATTAAGTCAATTGAATCATTTTAACAATAATTTTAAGGACGCTTCTATGTATACCCTCGATTTTAGACATATCTTATTGACCTAAACCCTAATATTATATGCTAATAATCAAAATTTGAATCATTCGCACATACTTAATATGTTGATACAGTTTAGAATTAGAATCACAAATAATTGATGCATTTTCATTTACAAAATGTGTCATTGAATTAGCCATTAATAAACTTTTGAAATTGTATTGAATAATTTTGCCGAGATACTTAGAAAAAAATAAAACTATTAAATTCACACATTCTTTATTCATTCATTATATAAAAAAAATTGAAAATCAAGGACATTTCGTGATGAATCAAGCAAATGAGGATTATAAAATGCAAATCAAATGGAAATTGCCTAAAATTTCGATTTCCATCATCTAGGTTTAGCAAAAGATGGTTCTGGTTGACAAGTATTTTGCCAAGCAAAAGCTATTTTGGTTTTACTTGTGATTGTTTAGAAGCAAGAGCTCATAGTTGTTAGTTGTCCTTGTCCCACAAGACATTTGGTTGAATGAACAAATTTCCAATGATCATCACACAAAAAGAAGAAAAAAAAAAAAAAAAACAAATTGTTATTAGTGAAAACAATTGGTTCTTTGCCTAGTATATTATACGTCAACAAAACCGTTGTTTCTACCAAGATCCTTGACAAATGCATCTTTCATGTCGTTTATTTTTCCTTACACATTTCACTAAATTCTTCGTCTGCAAACGTTATTAGTTAGAACGTACTTTTTTTTTAGATTAGGGATTAGTTAGAACATACGTTGCTGGTATGTTTCTAATAGTTCATGCGTCGTAAATCACAAGGGCGTTCCACGAGACAATATTGACTCGAAGATGACAAATTTCATACATAAAAATCATAAGGACATGCTCGACAAGCACCGATCGACCCCTAAGAGCATCACTGAGCGCAGTCATGTTTTCTTCTGTGCTTGGTTTTGCTGTCTATTATCAGAAGAGTTCTTAGAAGTAAATCTGTGGCATTATCGCACTATTAAACCATTACCATCTCAACTGAACATAAATTGTAGCCAAACATTCAACCCTAACCTCAAAATCAATTTAGTTAAGAAATCACTACACTGAACCACCACCTATAAGCTAGACAGAAAAGACATACATTACGGGAACCTTGGAACACACGGTATTTCTCTGTACATGACATATCCCATCCCAAGAACCACGGCTGAAATTTCAGGTAACAAGGACCGCAAACTGGATTAACATAACACTCCAACCAATTCAAAGCAAGGCTTCATCCTAATAAGAGATGGTTATGTTAATCCAGATCTACCCGGGACGATTACAGAGAAATCAATTCCAGGAAAGACATGCATGACAGTAGAGCTATTTCAGACTAAAAAACTTGCAGATCCAATGGCTGTCTCAAAAGGAACACAAGAGAGCGGGACTTTCGATATCACACGGAGTTTCGTTTTCTGCACTACTGAAAATGATTAGGGTAAGAGAGACAAATTAGTAAAAAGTATATGAGTAAGGCTGAAACTTCTCCACCTTTCATAATTCTTCTATATGTGCAGAATTGAGGGACTAGCCACTGGGGTAGAAACAGTACAAGACCTCTCCGATGGCTGTTTTCCTTGGAGCCAACGAGTTGCAAAATATTTTACCTTGAATGATTGGGGAGGAAGGAGAGCCATATTATGATGGAGCAGTGGTAAAAACCCAACTAAAGCAGCTTCTTGGCCTCTGACGAGAGAAGCTCCATTTGCTCAGTCAGCTGGTCCATATGCTCGGTCTTGGCATCCATGGAACTCGACTCAATATCGTCGGGAACCGGGCTTTGCACGATCAGTTCATCCCAGAACCCTGGAGCCAGCAGCGCATCAAGACTATCGTCGGGATCAAGATGAATGTTACCTAGATCGAATGTCTGCATTGCTCCATTCATATCCAATGACGATGGTATAAAGCAATCGTTTCCTGTATCTGGTTCCATGTAATCATCCAGCGGAAGATCAGTCGTACTTTGGGGTACCATTTCCGGAATTTGAGAAAGCTCGGGAATCATGGGAATAGAAGCTGCCTCTGGGAACTGAGATGCTGCAATAGTGCTTTCACAACTCGTAATAGAGGGAGATGATTGTATTTCAGATACCATGGCAACAGGACTATTCCCTGAGAGTCCAGAAACTGGTGGAACCTCTTGGAGAGTTACGCCGGATATACGCGCAGGAGAGTTTCCGTTGTCCAACGCACTGAAAGCAAAAAGGAAAAGTTTTACTTATAAAAAAGTGGACTTAGAAGTTGGAACAAACACACTTCTTCAAACTTCTTATAACTACCACTCATGGTAGACTCTCACAGACTATCAAAATTGAAAATCTGAAAATAACCTCATTAAAGAAGTTTCATTCCAGCTTTGCCGTCTTCCAATCATAACTTATTCTCGTCTTACAGTTTTACTCCGAATCTACTTGTTTCTTATAAATCACACCATCCAATATCCCACCAACTGTTTTTTTATCATTAAGAATAACTTGCATCTCATCAACTCAACATTTCAAAATTCTAAACACTTTGCTGTGACATAATAAAAAACCAACTTTTTTAAAAGCAAAAGAAAAAACAAACACACCGAATTGACATACGATGCTGACCTGGAAGAAGAATCAACTTTCATGATCTGCCTCATCATGGCTTTCGCTGCCTCATTCATCAATGGCTGATACCTAACTATCTGGCCATCAGGAACACTCGAAGGCTCATTATTATCCGTGACTCCATCTTGCTTGAGCCTCCGTTTTTTGTTAGTCTCGGATATGCGCCGATTATTCTCATTCTGCTGTTGTACAAACTGGGCCAAGAACCCGGGGCTCTGCATAGCCTTTGCCAAAAACGACATCATCTGCTGCTGTCGCTGCTCCATTCCTTGAAGCCGCTGCACCATGGTCTGCAACTGCCCGTCGGTAGCCTGTTGCTGCTGTCTCAACCTGACAAGTTCCTGCATAAGTACGTTTTTGTCCCTCTTGAGCCGCTCGACTTCTTCCTCAAGCCCAAATTTCCCAACCTCGACACAAGCACCAACAGATGAGGTCTGGGAGTGGGAGGGCTGGGGTTGTGGTTGGGTGTGACCTTGTGCTGGTTTCCGCCGGGTTATGGTCCTAAGGAGATGCTTTTGTCCTCTTAAGAAACCCTCGTTTGCAAATTCCCACCTATCTGGGTCTACTTTTCGAAAGCCCTGTCAATAGAGTACAGATAAAAAAGTGGGAAAAGTAATTTCAGATTTACACTGTACTTACAAAAACCAAGCAAATACATGCGAGTCCATCTTCCCAGTGTAAAATGTAAAAACAACTCTTCCTTGGACTTCTTAAACATTAGCTAAGCTTCTATTCTCTCTCAAACATTCATCTTCCAGTATAAAAAAGGAGCTAAATTACAAGAAAAGATATAAACAGCGACAGATGTTCTAAAAAGAAAATTAGGATTAAGTTATTTGAGCTGAAACTTTTCATTTTGGTTACACCTTCTCTTTTAGGCTGTACTCTGATTTAGGTTGTCAAGTGCAATGTATCATAAAATTTAACAACAACGTACAGCTACAAGTATCTGGTTTCTGATGGATCTCAGCATGAAAAATCAAGGTAAAGTGACACTAAATCGGTACAATTTATTGAAGGGCAGAACTGCCTCCAAAGAGCAAACAAGACTGAACACTAAATCGGTACAGCAAGAACTAATTCACCACAAGAGCGGTAACAAGTAATAACTACAACAACAATTAGACGCTAGAGTTAACAAAAACAAAACAATGATGCCATCAAAATAAAACAAAACATTTCTCCCAGGCCACTCAAAGTCTAAAGGAAAATATCTAGTATCTTCAGAAAATGGACCTTCGAACAGCCTAAAAAATCAAATAAATTTTTTATGATCCAATAGAAGCATCCGTCCGAAAAAACCCTGGAGATTCAAACACAGCTGAACAAACAATAGTAGGTCAAAGAAAGACACAGATTGAATTCGTATATATGCCTATAATAAGTCATGGCACTTCACTGGAGATTCACACACAGCTGTACAACCAATATTAGGTGACACAGATTGCATTGGTATATGCCTATAATCAGTCATAGCACTTAGGAAGTCAGAATGTACAAATACCAGAGATGAACATAGCACTGAAATTCCTCCCCATGGGGTGTGGACAAACAACTCCTAACAGTAAGCTTGGGCATCCAATTGAGAACCACGATAACTCCAAACCACAATACTATTATAAGCCCGTGCTCAGTGACCTATAGGTAATACCATCAGTACCATCTACACATGGCGACTTCAGGACAAATATATCTTTAAACACCGAAGCAGCGAAAGTCAGAAAGACAACAATCCAAGCATAACAGTGGAAAGAGTGCAGAGCTTATTTATCCATTTCATTTAGTTTGAGCTCTGTTCTCCATCAACCGAAGACAAAAACTCAGTTTGATGCCATGGAGAAGCAAAGGATGTTCATTTAGAAAGTTGCTTGAGAGGGGAAGATGAACTCAAAACAACACACTCCGTGTGGCAGTACCATAAACTCAAAACCTGGTTAGATTCTGCATAGCCTCTAGGTTCTTGGTTACAATTCCCTTGTAGGATAAAGATGAACGGGAATAACCCAAAGGAAGACACAAAGCACAACATACAGATGCTCAGATTCCTAATTGAGTTCTATAAAAAGATGGTGTTTTCATTTTAGTTTCTAGTCCACAACTAGCATTGACTATCAATCCTCAATCACCCTAATCAAAGCACACAGTTAAGTTCCTCTTCTGCACCATCTACTCGAGACCGATGATCTCACAGTGAACAATTGTAAAATCTAGCAACTGATCCAAAACATCATACAGCGTTGTTATGATGTCCTGGGGTTCATCAAATTAAGACCACAAACCAACTACCCTCTCAATCACACCAATTCATTTTCCTAGAATGTCACTTAGTCGGTCAGAAGAAATTTGTTACCATAATATTAAAGAGATTAAATCAATATATTAAGCTCAATACTCGAGTATTCACATCAAGAGACTACTGTTCAGATGATATATTCCGAGGTCTGCCTACTTGAAGAATGAGGGCACTCGACAACAACAGTTAATGCATTCTTTGAAACGAGAGCGGAACAATTCTGGGGATCAGGTTGTAATGAATCTGAGATGTTGGTTCTAATCACCTCATTCTGTCATTTCTTGTTCACTTCACTGCTGTTGCTGACAAGACAAAACAAGGGGAACAAAAGAATCTTTTAAGCTGTTGCATGAAGGAAACAGCCTCAATCCAGAGTTTTCAATACTAACTCAGCTATTTACCAATTTCTTTAATTCAAATCCCACATGCATCACCCTCGTCCCACTAACTTGCACCGAAAATCCACAATCTTTTCTCACCGCAAATAATCTCAAATCTGCTTAACCCAAATCAAGAGAGACTGCCCAGCGTCCCTCTGAACATTCCAACATACAATGCAAAGTTGCAACGGAAGTTTGTGATAATGCAAGCAAATCCAGAAGCAGCTTCTTACTCAAGTCCACAGAGACACACAACACATTTAAAAATGAAGAATTCTACAGCTAAAACTTGTCTAACAGCAACACACGATAAGAATCACAGCAGTGAAGAAACCCCAAATCAGAAGAATGGCACTCTGACTACCCAATCAGAAGAATTACCTCCCAATTTTTTTTTATTTAATCAACAAGAGAAACGAAATGAATTGCACATAAACAAGCCAGAATGAAACTCTCAATAAAGCACAAGTTAGCTCGAAATTAAGAATCAGAATAGAAGATTCGAAATCCGCTTACGTATGTATTCAGCTGCCGAACGAAGCTGGAGAAGTTGTTGTGCTTGAAATACTTGGGGAGCAGGTCCCGAGCGAACTCCGGCGGATTCCACACCACGAAGCTGTTGTTCGTCGAGCTCCACGACACCACGGAGTCGGTGGCCGGGTCATCCACCATATCATACGTCTTGCTGAGGAACGGCGGCGGCGCGTTCGACTGCGCAGCCATCGGCGCCACCGGTGCCTTCGCTACATCTCCTCCGCCGCCGCCACCACCGCTGGCCGGAGCGCCTGGACTATCTCCTTTTTGGACTTCACCGTCCATTACTAAATCGTTCAAACAGCGACGGCTGGATTGATCGGAGACCGAGGGAAGAGGGAGTGACTAGGGTTATGGGAAGGAATCCATTGCAGGTATCGCGATCTACAGAAAGCGGTTTTGACGAATTTGTTCCGCGAGAGAAATTGAGGCGACGGGAAAGAGAAAGTAAGGAGTTAGAAAGAGAACGGCGTCGAGTTTTCGGCCGCGGGGGAGAGAGATAAGAGAGAGAAACTTTGGGCTGGGATGTATGATGTGTTTGTTCAATGAATCACGGGCTCACGGCGGTCGCGGGCTCTGCTCATCTGACATCTCGTGGCGGGGAGGTGGAAATTACTCTTTTGCCCATCACCATTTGCCTCTCCAGTCCAGTCTCCATGGACCCCATTTCCCATATCGTTTAAATTTTCCCAAAATTTCCAACTTTAGCCTTTTCACCTTTAAAAAAATGTGGAATCCAAAGACCAAGATTTTTTTTTTTTTTTCATTACAGGAGGCACGATGCCAAAGAAAGACGAGGGAGCCAAGTAGGGGTGGGCAAATGGTTCGGTAAACCCAAACCGAAACCGAATTAATGCTATTCGGTTTGGAATTCGGAAAGAAAATATGGATAGTTCGAAAATTAAAGTTCTTTTAACCGAACAGAATTTCCGAATTTCCGACCGAAAAACCGAAATATTATAATTGCAAACTCCAAATGGTGGGTTTTTATGTTTGTAGTTGTTTTTAGACTTAAATATTTGAAATGTTTTTATGACTTATGTGTTGAAAAGTTTGGTTTTATCATTGATGATGCATATAATTAATATTCATTGTTTATATTAGAGGTGAAAAATAATTTAAAAGTGAGAAAATACAAGTAGCTTCACAAATTTGGTTTTGTGTGAAAAACCGAACCGAACTGAATTATAGTTCGGTTCGAATTCGATTTGAGGTTTGGAAGAATTCGGGAACCCGATATTCATAATTTCGGTTCAGTCGAAACCGAACCGACCGAATGCCCACCCCTAGAGCCAAGGGGAGATTAAGGGTGGGTGGTAGGGGACACTATGCTTCTAGCAAAAGTAGTGCCTCTGAGATCATCTTGAAGCAACGAGAGAAGCTCATTAGGAGGTGTTTCTAATTCATGCATACCGTAGGGGTAGACGAGACTGTGCTTCGAGAGCCAGTCCGCGACTCTATTCCCTTCCCGGTATACATGCACTAGATTCACAATCCAGTCTTGAGCATTTTTTAGCCTGATAGCTGCTAAGGGGGCCGCATAAGGGTGGAGAGGATCCATCCTGTTGTTCACAAGCTGAATGGTCAACTGAGAGTCTGATTCTACAATGAGGGTTCTACACCCGAGCTTCCACGCCAGTTTGAGTCCATGATAAATAGACCATAGCTCTGACATGGTGGCTGAGCACAACCCCAAACTCGAGACGAAACCTCCAATCCAACTGCTGTCTGCGTCTCGTAGAACCCCGCCTGCTCCAGCTATACATTGGCTACCATTCGCCGCACCATCAACATTGAGTTTCCGCCAACCAGCCGGTGGTGGCTTCCAACCAACTTGGGAAAGGGTGCAGTGAGGAGCCATCCTGGTTCGCCCCATCAGCGGACTCAGGGCATTCCATGAACGAAACCAAAGCTCAGCCTTGATTCTGACCGCTTGGACGAGGGAAGGGGCAGAGAGAGACTTGTCCACTCTATGAAACACTCCTTCGTTTTTGTTCTTCCATATGCACCACAAAGCTATACTAAAGAACACATTCCAGGGGAGGCCGGTTGGTGAGAGCTCGTCACAAGACAGATTGTACTCCAGCCAGTTGTCCCACGAGCGACTAAGAAACGTGTGCTGCGTATCTGCCCGGGTTGTGCGACTCCATAAAAATGCTGCCGGCGGACAGTCCCTGAAAAGATGAGGGAGTGTCTCTGTCTGGGTATAACATCTATAGCAAGAGTCGTCATGCGTCAGGTGTCGTTTCGTTCTTTCCTCATTTGAACTGATCTTCCCCTGCGCAACCAACCAAACAAAGCATCGAACTCACTCCGGCACCGGGAGTCGCCAGATTGTCATCCAGATCTGTTGGCCGCTGCCATCGGTAAGAGGTTGAAGCAATTGGTATGCGCTCTTAGTCGAAAACCAAGAATCTTAACTTGGTAACCTAGTGGAGCGTGGATATTTGAAGCATTTAATATTGCGAACGCGTAAGAGTATTAATATTTAAGGAGGGTGCCAATGTTGGCTATGACTAGCCAACGATAGAGACTCTACGATGACTTGGTTAGGATCGGCGGCGATGGGACGATATGCTGGTGGCATCTGGTGATGTCGAAGTGGCCTTTTCCAGGCTAATTCCATGAAAAAAGATGGTCATCAAATAATCGAGCTCTTACTTGAGAAATCTATGCTCTTGTAATAAACAAGTCGTGAATTTTTGATGCTCTATAAAAAAGTCGCATTTTTGCGAACTAGTGTGTGAGTGTCGGGGGCGGTGTATGCGAATTAATTCATTTGTGTAATATTTTTTTCTTTATGAAATCTTGTGATTCACTTAATTTGTGTGCCCCTTCGATGTTAACCAAGTGGGTTACGAAATGAATTTGTTCAAAAATTATCGTTTTACTCGGTTTGCTACAGGATAAGCAAATGGTAAGTGTGTGGGAATTTAATAAGTGCTCATTTGTACAATTGACTCTCGATTCTTGACTTTCTCTTAACCATTTATCTTGGAAACACTCTCTCGTTAGTTAATTTTACGATTAATATATTTGTCTGACCCGAACTTCTCTCATATTTAACATCCTGACCAATCCTTTTAATTATTAATATCGTGGCCCGAACTAACCATACACTTTACTAATTTGACCAAACCCGAGAGTTGATCATTAGTTTTGAGCCATGTCACTGTCTAGTCAGCATAAATAAACTTAAAAAATTCCTAAATTCCACGTAATTCTTAAAATTATTAGAATTAAATTAAAATTTAAAAATACAAAAATTGAGAAACATAATCCCTCATTCCCATCCCGAGGAGGTTGCTCTCTGCCAAATCCGGTAGTGGAGTTGGCCGAGAGTGGTGTCGTCCTGGACCCAACCAGAGCTATTTCTAAAAAAAATAACTTAATTGTAATAGTTATTAGGAATTATGTGGAATTTAGGATTTTTTAAGTTTATTTATGCTAATTGGGCAGTGACATGGCGGGTTGACCGTCAAACTAACGGTCAACTCTTGGGTTTGGCCAAATTAGTCAAGTGTAGGTTAGCTCGGGCCACAATGTTAAATACCAAAAGAATTGACTAGGATGTTAAATATGAGAAAAGTTCGGGCCATACAAATATATTAATCATTAATTTTATGATAGTTTATGTTCCTTTGTAATATTTCAGGTGCTACGAATTGAAAGCTAGTTTCTGGACATTTGAAGGTGAAAAGGAACCAAAGAGGTCCAAAGGAAATGGTGACGTCCAAAATATAGAGAATCACGAGCGTGACTTTTGACTTTTGAGCATAAAGACTGTAAAAACCCAAGCCTCTACTGGAAAACACAAGAAGTGAGAAACCCCGAAGAGAGGGAGAGCAACCCTAGAGAGTTTTGGGGAGCAAAAATGAGTTCCTTATTGAATCAATTTTTCGTTGAACAAGTATTATTGATTTATGCTTTGACATGGAAGAGAGGATACATGATTAGATTAATATAGCAAACATTGATTGGAAGTAGGGGAATGATTGCACGAGAGTGAGTCGATTCATTGCTTTGTATTTGACATCAATTCAATAAAGGGAGTCTAGATCGAATTGTGTTGTTTTAGTTGAGGATAAAGTTCCTCTAAGCAATAGATTCGATCGAGATTCAAGACTTGTAAAGGACTCTCCGCATTATAAACAACGAGTGGAAAAAGTTAGAGAACCATTAATCATCAATCCGGTTTAGGGGAAATCATTGTCGAAGTGAGCTTCCTACCTTGTAATTAGTTAGTTAAACCTTTTCTTTCTTTGTTTGTTAAAGTTGTTTAATCATTTTTAAACCTGAACTAACTAGTTAATAAATCGAAAGTAAGTAATAGTACATCTAGAGACCCATAATAAAAATTCGCTACTAGTAAATTTTAGCGGACCATATATTATCCTTTCCGGTAATGATCTTGCAACAATCACTTCTCCTAAGAAACAACTAGATGATGCTTTTACAATTAAAGACTTAGGAGAGCTGGAATATTTTCTTGGTTATGAGATAGCTAGGATTGCTTATGGTTATTTCATTGTATTAGAAAACCCTACTCAATGAAGGAACCAAATACAAACATTTTACTTCCATCTTCAGCAACCGAAAAAAGTTCTACTTACATGTATGCAGTCCAATGTTCATGTATTAGAAAACAGCTCACCAGAGATACAATCAAATGCTGACTAAAGATGTATAGCAGTTCCTTCAATGACTTTCACGGCTGCAGAAAGCCACCTTTATAGTAGACTTTCCAAATCACTCTCCCAGCCCAGAAGTTCCTATTTCTTCGTTGCTTCGATCTTCTTGTTCAGAAACCCACCTATTATTCGGAATTCTTATTAGCAAATCATTCACACTTAGACAGAGTCTAGGGCAGAAAGATCACAAAGATTGCAGAGGGGCTGTCAAGAATCAGCCCTAACAATCAGCATTAGGTAACACAACAAGCTAGTACAACAAGAGCAATCGCCCGAGTGTTAACCTACATTCAGTTCTATGAGTATTTACTTACCTATACGAGTTCAGCTGCATTAAACATCAGATCTTACGACACAACAGTTCACCAAATTCATGACAATACCACTCTGGAACTCAAAACATACAAGGAGGTGAGATGGTGAGTTATGACTGATAAGTGATAAGTATGTATGAACTCTACAATGCTTTAAAACTTACAAATAATAGCTCCCATACACAAACTTCTCAAAAGAAATGAACGCAAGCTTCCTGGAACCACAAACTCTAGAACACATCACTTTAACACCTGAAATTCCAAGAACTTTTCATGACACAAAACGAGTATCCACTTCAAGACCAACTGAACAACCAGCCTATTGCTATTTGCTAAATAGTCTTCCTGCCAACAATGAAAGGAAGCAATTAATCAGTAGACGGCAAAGTGAAATGGAAGAGCTGAACCTGGTCTTGACACAAGGTTTATACGGGAGCGAGGTCCTTCGAATTTCCAGTTATCTTCATCCAATGAGCTAACCACCTTGTTGAGTGCAGCTGCTAAATCAGCTTTCAGAGCTACACCCAGACAGACAAACAAATGTGCATAGCCAGACACTTCAGATTTCAGAAGCTAAAGAACTGGACATTTGGAAGGGGAAAACCAGTAACTCCATAACAGATTGCAGATATCAGCTGGATTTTTCTTCTTCCTATGATTCGAGAAATTGGAGCAGGACCTAATGTTCCCATGGCGGAAACAAGCTCACCCAGATGATGAGTTGCAGAAAATTAAACGCAGATCTGACAACAGTTGGAACAATCTTAGAATCTCTTACGATTAACAGCGAAAGAAACGCACCGAGCATCGCCTCGTCCTTGCGATCCTGAATGGAGATGAGATCAGATGGGAAGTGGAAATCTTCCATAGCGCTACTACTGCTCCCGCCGCCGCCAACGACGGCTGTAGTAGAGACGGAGGAATGCGCCGGCGAGCCGTTGTTGTTCATCGTCAAGGTTATTTTGTTTTTTACCTCGTTCCTCCTTCGATCGAACGTGTATTGGCAGCTGGAAGAGAGGATTGTAGAATCTGAATTACAAGCAGAGAAGGCGAGAGAAAGAGTTTAAAGAGAGTTACAGCGGCAGCAGCGGCGGCGGCGGCGGCCGAGAGAGTGAGTATTACGGCGGGGCTGGGCTGCAGAAGGAATGGTTAGCGGGTGGGGAAACGTCTGACATAGTTGTGAAAATGGCAACAAGAAACGGTGAACACGAAACGTATCGGTAATTCTCAGACATCTCACTGGAAAACGCGCAAAATACGGTGATTCGGTGCAGCATAATCATATTTTGCGACATATTGGGCGCCATTTTGGTCTGGGAGATGAAAACAGTGTAAACAATAGAATCGAGAATATTCATTGGTATGAAGAATTAACAAACATTCCAAGAAACAGAAAAACCGAAACACACTATATAATCACGCTATGCAGGAAAGAACAATACAATATATATACCACCACCACCACCCCAAAAGATCAACACTTTCATTCAGCCATTGTCTCAGTAAAAAAGAAATCAACCAACAAAGACATTATCAGAAGAAGGGATCGCTTTCTTTTTCCTCCCCTTTCACCACAGAGAATCGCTATTTCCGTTGAAAACTGAGCCATGCAGATACTCAATCATCGTTGAATGAGGAAGAACCATGGATTAGGCTGCAAGCACTACGATCACGATGAGGAGCACGATCCCAAAGATGACCAAGAGTAAGCACGTCTGCAAATCAGAAAAAAACCAGAAATGGTTAAGCTTGTCGGATTTGCGACATAAACACGGAAGAAGAAAAGATGGGAGGGAAGAGAAGTATGAACACAGGTTTACTACCAGGGACGAATTTGATTTTTGGGTTTTTGCAGCTTTAGCGAGCTGTTGTCTCCCTTGTGATGTTGCAGCATGGGCATTATCTATGTGGGAACCTATATCATCTGCACCATTTCCATAATGCTTTAGTACCAAGAGCAGCAAAAAGGGAGACATCAACAGATTTACAGAGCAAGGGAAGGGAATTAGCAACTCACCGATCATAGTTCCTTGCTCGTGGACAAGGACTGCAAGATCTTTGAAAATCTCATTCACCTCGCCAATTTGCTGCTGAATCTCATGTATTCCCTGCTCTCTTTCTTCAATGATTGCCTCGTTGAAGGCAATCTCATTGTCCAATAGCACGACTTCTTGTCTGCAGCAGATGAAACATCAGTTACTAAAGTAAACATAAATTACACTAATCTTCGAACCTCAACTTTTCAGCTTGAATTACAAGGACAGTGATAATTGCAGTTCTGAGCATATCCTCCTTTTTTCTCCATAACCAGAAAATAGGTATTTGGTTGAAGATATTATAGGAGGATCGTTTAGCACTCAAGCCAAGATTATAGGAAACTAGTGTTTAGTGTTTACTTTAGATCTAGAATGGCTGAGGTTTTTAGAAAGAAGTGATCCTTAACGTAGTGCCTTTTCAGGGTTTTCTTCAACATATAGGAAAGCAAGGGACAAAAGTGTTCATAAGTGGCCTATATACTGAACTAATGGTCTACAGTTTCCTTGGAGTTCCTAATCCATACAGTCCACACCACGTAAACAAGTTACAGGAAGACGCATAGTGAATTTGCTTAATAATGCAGCAGCATCAGATTATATAAAAATAATTGACAATCAGCATCACAACTCACCTTTTTGTCTCCATCAGAAGAGCCCGTTCTTCAGGATTCTTATCCGAACTGGCATCTACCTCATTGGCTGTGTAACTGTAAGCATTTAAAAGAAGCACCATAAGGAACATGCAAGGGCTTCCACAACACTAATAACCTACTCAACAGTAACAATCTTAAGACGAAATTCTACAGCATAAACCAGTGATAATATCTGCCACGTCCAAAGACAATTACCTGGAAGGAACATTTGCTTGGGCAGCAAATGGGGAATAAGCTGTTTCCCTCTCAGCTGAGAGACGCTGAGCCTTCTGAAACTCTTTCAGAACTGCTTCAAAATCCTTTGCAAGTTTGGCATCAGCAATCTTCTTACGTTGCTGGATATAGAGCCATTAAACAAGATATTACTTCAGAAGATGTTAAGCTACCAAAAAATTCAAAAGGAAACAAACAATATCGATCAACCCTGTACGCAGCTACTTATTTCTAGGAAATGCAACAAATCCCATTTGCATAACCAGAAATGTGGCAGAACGAATCACAGAAGCAAAAAACAACACGTGAAAACATAACTTCAGCAGTTTTTCCATCATGCAGACAAACTTACATCGACTCCAGAATGGTGATCCACATCACTCGCTTGTTTAAGTCTTGCAGAAGTGTCTTTCACCAATTGCCCGATGTGTAATCTTGTCTTGTGCCTGCATTTCAATGATTGTCAGGAACTGTCATCAGAAGGACATCCAGACAAAGTAGGAAGTCACTAATTCTAACACCTACCACATCCGAAAACTGTGCATATTATGCTCAGTTTACACTGCCTACACGTGAACCAGAAAGAGACTCCTAAACAAGTACCCAGAAATGGCGTCAAAGCATCCCACCAATTCAATGACAATTTAACCATCCTAAGAGGCAAGAGCTAGATCATCCCTAGCTTACCGAACCCACTCTTCATCAAGTACCCATAAACGGGAGCAAAGCAATTTCACGCAGCTCAGCCAAATGCAGAATTCAACCCCATTTTAGATACTCAAAAGTCAAACATCCCATGAAACCCCCCGAAAAATCACAGCTCAGCCGAGGAACTCACAGCTTCTCGCGCAGCTCAGGAGTATCCTTGGGAGTACCGAGGGTATTCACCAGGCGTTGGAAAGTCGAGACGGCGGTATTGATCTGGAAAATCCCGGACGCGACCGCCTGCGTGGCGTCCTGTTTCCCGTTCCTCGGGTCCCTCCTGCCGACGCCGCCCAAGGTGCGCCCGGACTCAAGATCTTGAAAGCTCATGGTGATTTTGATTGCGCGCGCGGTGAAAACGAGAATTCACAGTCGGGATCGCCGAATTTTGCCCCCCTCCCGCCGAATTCCACTTTCCGCCGCGAGCAGGAAAAAAGAACCAGAAACCCAATCGAGTTCCCGAGCGGGAGAGAGAAAGAATCGATTGATTGGCGATGGATTGTGAGGGTTTTGGAGATGGCGAAATCGAGGGAAGGAGTTTTAGGGTTCGATTATATGCCAGGGAAATGTAAAGGGGGAAACTTTACAAATTGGAAAGGGAGAGGGGAAGAGAAAGCGCAATGACGGAGAAGGAAGGTCGGACAATTATTTATTTGATTTTTTTTTGTTTGTTTGTTTGTCCTTCTCTTCTTGAAATATCCTTTTTTTCGACGAACTGTTTGTTTAATTGGAGCTAAATTGCAAGTTTGGTCTTTTAATGTACGACTTGAAGTTGTACCATAACATTAAATGTATAAGTTTAAGTTGTACCGTAAAAAAATTTGTATTATTATGTTATGGTAAAACTTTACAACTTGAAGTTGTATCATCACATAAGGTACAAGTTTAAGTTGTATCATAAAAGAATTTGTACAAAAAGTATAGGTACAATCTGAAGTTGTACCATAACGTTAAATGTATAATTTCAAGTTGTACCAAGAAGGCAAAAATCTATAGCACCAATGCTATATAGCATTGTAAAATGTCCTCCACTTGAATTACTATACGTATCTGTCATCAAAATTAATTTATTCCATCCGTAATCACTTCAATTAGTTACACAATTCAAATTTGGTCACTCTTCGTTATCTTTCTATCAGACTTCGTTAGTGTCGTCAGTTAACTGCTGACGTAGCTAACAGAAATGCCCAATCATCATATTTTGCAAAAATTACCATTGTAAACCAGGTATAACTTACCTACTTAACATGTCAATTTACATGAACGATACTTGCAATATTAGGATAACGAACATAAGCCTCCACCCTTGTTGAAGTTCAAATTCCAAATATAAGGCCAGATTTGTTAGAACCCAAAACTTATGGTCCAAATTGTAAGTTTTGTGTAACGAACCCGTTACTTGATTAAGGAAGAGAGCTTTATCCCAAGCCCACGTTTCTCACTCCCGCGGTTTTAACATCCAAACGCGGCCTTTTCCCAACTTCCAAACAAACTTTCTCACGATTTCCTCTCCTCTCTCAAATCTTCATCCCTGTTGCCAAATTTCTTTTAAACCTCTCTCTCTCTCTCTCTCATTTACGCTCAATAGGAATCTCTCTGCGTATCCCACTTCTTAATTTCCCTTCCTTTTGCCCCCAGATCGTCGCCGAATTCCTTCCCTGCGTCGCCGGTTATCATGTCGGTAAGTGGAATTTCCTCTTCCCTGGTTCATGCCTGTCGGAACAGATCTGCGCACCCCATTTTCGTTTCAGGGTTCCATCATATTTGTGGCCCGTATCGTTGCAATATTTCGTAGATTTGGAAATGACCCAGTTAACCATTTTCGCCTCTTTGATAATCCATTGATGGTTCTCTTCGTTTTGCCAGTTTGATATGATTCCTCTTTCGTTGTTGAATTTGAATATGTATATAGCATGAACATGGATATGAGAATTGTGTGTTCTATTGAGAATTGTGTGTTACCAAGCAAGTTTAGATGATTTAAACCAATGCGTCTTTTTCTTCGAAACTTCGACGAAAACCACGTAGGAGTTGGTCCAATGATAATGTGTCGGACAAAAAGTCTCGATCAGTTCTTCATCGTGATCCGAGAAAAACTTAATGCATAGAAAAATAGAGGGATATTTGAATTGGATTACGGAGTGGTGGTCATTATTCTTATATGGAATTGATTATTTGGTTTAGTAATTAGACGTGCAATTATCAATTTATGGCTGGTCGATCTTGGGAATCTCTCTTTGACTTGGTTGGTCATCATATATACTTTTAGTTTAATGATTAGTAGTTTGATTGTTGAATCCTGATACACTGATATGTTGTTATGTATGACAGTATAATAACTTAAAATGCATTGTTGTTGCAGGTGAAAACTGTGAAGGTGAGTAATGTTTCTGTAAAGGCGACGGATAAAGATCTCAAGGAGTTCTTTTCTTTCTCTGGTGATATTGAACATGTTGAGATGCAAAGGTAAATTTACTTGTGACTTAGCATCAAACTCTGTTAGTCCTGTTTATCTTCTGTCTTTGAGACACTGATTCAACCATGCTTTTGTATAGTGTTGATGAGAAATCTCAAGTGGGATTCGTTACCTTCAAAGATACTCAAGGCGCAGATACTGCAGTCCTTCTCTCGGTAATTGAATTTCCAAGAACCCTTCTTATGCCTGCGCATTTGTTAGTTGCTAGTGTATTTTCTTTTGGTTTGTGATATTACTAGTCGGTATGCTATGATGTTTCAACAAGCATGTCCTTATAGTATGATTACGAACAAGCAAGAGTGTATACCATGTCGTTTATCCTGTTTTAGTCCATAGTTGAACATTTCGGTACAGTCAGTTAGAGTTGGAATCCACTCATGCTTAGATAGCATGTCCTGGATGACTTGCCTATTGGACTCTGAAATTTCACATATCCTCTAGCTTTATGATGCGCCCTTCATTTGGCTTATCAGGGTCAATATTACTTAATGTGGTTCGATGAGGGAATAAAGAGCATTTCCCGACATGTTGTATGTGAGATATCATGAGCATGTTCACTGAACATGTGTTGACTCCATCAGTGACGGATTTGTGGTTTTTTTAAGCGCTTGCCTAAAAGTGCTTGTAACACTTTATGTGTTTGGTTGATTTAATTGAATCCCAGTATGGGTACAGGATCTGTTTACATACTCAATTACTTCATCTACATTGTTTTTTCTTTGTTAGGGAGCAACTATAGTTGATCTTGCCGTCACCATAGCACTAGATCCAGATTACAAGCTACCACCAGCTGTCTTACTGGCAATGGTAAGAATCTCTCACAACTTGCACTGATTCATAAATGGACAATTTGTGATCAGTGGGACTGATTTTGTTGAAATGGTAGATTGTTCATTGTTCCACATAGATAGAATGCGGATTGTTTTGAATATGTTGATTCTGATCACTGTAAGTTCAAATGTTACAGGAGAACAATCCAGCTGCACCCTCTGATCCAGACTCAGCTCTCCGAAAGGCAGAGGACGTGGTCAGCAGCATGCTGGCCAAAGGCTTCATCTTGCGCAAAGACGCCGTCAACAAGGCCAAATCCTTCGACGAGAAGCACCAGCTGACATCAACTGGCATAGCCAAAGTCGCCTCCTTCGACAAGAAGATAGGCCTCACTGACAAGATCAGCGCCACCAGTACCGTGATGGGTGACAAGGTACGAGAAGTTGACCAGAAGTACCAGGTCTCTGAGAAGACCAAGTCTGCACTCGCGGTTGCAGAACAGAAGGTCAGCAGCGCTGGTTCAGCAATCATGAAGAACCGCTACGTGTTCACCAGTGCTGCTTGGGTGACGGGGGCATTCAGTAAAGTGGCCAAGGCAGCAGAAGACGTGGGTCAGAAGGCCAAGGAGAAGGTTGGGATGGCTGAGGAAGAGCAGAAGAAGAAAGTAGTGGAGGATTTTGGTTCAGTTCACTTGGCCGATTCCCCGAATGTACCATCAAGCCATGATCATGATGATCAGAAAGAGCAGAAGTCGTCTGCCCCTGCTGATCCGAAATTTCCTCCTAGTTCTGACATCAAACCGACATCGCCTTCTCCCAAATCTCCTTCCAAGCCAGCACCTGCTCAAGGGTTGATCCTTTGAACAATCTCTCTTGAGTGTTCACTATCTCTGATCTCTGATTTGCACAAAATGGATGGAGTTGGATCATGAATTGTCCAATTAGTTATTGGAGATTTCTGAATGCAATACATCAACTACAACGAACACATTACTATTTATATATATTTTCTCATTATCATATCATTAACCTCATTTTTTGCTTGTTCTTACATGTGTATATATGCAATGGACGAAAGATGGATTTTTTAATTGTTCTTCCATGTTTATATGCAATGAACTATCCAGGACGGGCTTACTAACAATTAATTCGGATGAAATCTTCGACAAAGATCAGATACCTATAAACGATATACTAGAGAGTAGAGACTAAAAAATACCACTAGGCCTTTTTTTTTGGCTTAACCAAACATTGCCATAAATTACATCTTATCCCATTCCTCAACCCAAAAAAGCTTGTTATTCATTTGACTATTCTCTTAGGTTAGTAGAATCATCAAATCATCTATACAAGCATACCCACAACCCACCGTAAACATCAACACCAATTCATCATCATCCTTCATGTTTTCCATTCATTCCAATGCTTGTTTGACCACAGCAGCAGCAGCACTGCCACCGGAAGCAGCAGGGCGTTGAGCATTTCGTAGAGCAGCACCTGGAAGACGGCTTCCAACAACATTGCAGAGGGCAGCAGTATTTCCAACACCCTCCTCCCATGCTGCATTTGATGCTGCAGCAGCGAAATTTTATGCACGTGGGAGTAAAACATGTTGGGCATCTCGGGCGCCAGAGTCTAAACCTGCAGCAGCGGTGGCGGGTTGATGACTTGGGTTTTAGGTTGAGGCACTGACGTATTCTTTTGAGACGTAGTTTTGTGTTCATGTTTTCCATTTCATGTATGAACCTCCAAAGATGGCGGATGTAATCAGGGTATAGCTCCAAGTTACAATGGCCGCCCCCTTTAATCCACAAAGGTTCGTATGGTTCCCTTGCCAGTTTCCATAGTCCATCCCCGTGTAACCAGTTCACCACATCATCCTCCGTGCCCTGCAACAACATAAGAAGAAAACGACAAGCGAGGAAACTTTAGAGTTTGAAACTCAAGAGAGTAACGGTCTTACCCATCTTAAGAAAAACCGCAGAGTAGAATATGACAAGTGATCAAGATGGAGGTAGAAGGCTATAACATATAAAACCAAAACAAAAAAACATGATGCACTGAGATTCTTCCCCCTCTCTTACCAATGGTTCATTTCAGAATCTTCCCTCTCCAATCACTACTGTTCCTAAAGAAACTTCTAAGCACGTCGTGTCTTACTTTAGGCATGTAGACACATACTTTCTAATTTGAAGTTACCAGGTTTGTCCTTATACCATATGGCCATCAGGAACAAGCTTTCATCAATTCAAAAGATTAAGGCAAATGAATTTGAAGCTTTGACATGGCTATAACATAAGTTTGGTAAGCATCACATGGCCAACTACTTAGAATGCCTCCATTCAAGCTATAAACCTTAAAGAGCATAGTTCAGCATTGAATGCGAATATCTGAGGCATGGGTATTGGTGGTAGACTAGAACAAGCTTTACTAGCCTACTACAGCTCCTTCCTATATATTAGGCGAGACCTAAAGTTACTGGCTCGATTTGCTTGATCATCCATTAGATACAAGAGGCTAGGAAAAGCGATTTCCAACTAAGATTATATTTAGTGGCTTCACTCATTATGAATAGTAAGCCAGACTGTCAACTTTCACCATTTGAAGATTACAACACAAAAGAAAAAGACTCTTGTACCAAACTCAGAAGCCACCATAACTTAGCAAACTCGATAGTCGATTCAGGTATTCGGAAAGGAAATAATTTCATCAACCAACGTATGAGAGAAGTAGCACAAGTACAAAAGAAAGAGAAGGATAGCTTACGTGTATCACTAGCACAGGACATTTCACCACCTGAACTTTGTTGATGTTCTGCATGTTCCAAAACAAACCACCAATTAGAGGGCACAGAATGCACGAATGAGACATGCTAAGATGTAAAATGGTTGAACAGATTACTTACCCTGTATATGTCAAAGCAAAACGCACAGTTTACATGGCAGAGCACACGTAAACCGGAAAGAATGGCGCTGTGCAAGACTACCCCTCTCAGCCTTGGGAGCTTGGCTGCCAAGTGCAATGTCGGTCCGCTACCAACAGATTGTCCGTATAAAATCAGATCCTCCTGACTAACCCCATACTCTGTCTGAAGGCACTGATACACTGCTTCTATGTCAGCATACGTGTTGGACTCACTCGGCTGCACCATCATGTTAATCCATTAACAAAGTTTCACTAAGTTTTACTGATCCATAGTAAGAAGCTATGCTTAAAAGTTAAAACACTAACAATGGTCTAATGCAAATCAACAATGGACAAGGAAGAAAAAGAAGGAGAAAGTGTTAGTTTGCTATGAGACATTGTTCTTTTTTTTACTCTGCCAAATACATGATTTCTGTAGATACATATTCTCTGTTGCCCAATTTTGATATGAAGCATTCAAGACTCCATGTATTTCCAGAATTCATGAAATCCAAATTCATCCTCAAAGGTGGGGCGCCACAATTGTTTGTTTCATGTTTTCCCCTTAGGAAATTGTTGGGTACGCATTAGGACGAAAGGGGTTCTTTATATTGCACTACATTATTAAACTTTATATCGACACATGATTTTGACAATACAAGCATTCTTTAGATGCATACTCACCTATGGAATGCATGATTTCATGCATATCAATGTATTATTCTACAATCCCTGGTGATTTGTGCAAGAAATTCCGCATGAATATATAACAGTGCATCACAGCTAGTTTCCCCTTTCTCATTTCTATAGCAGTTGATTTTATTACCATTTCTGGGTGTTTAATTGGTTGAGAGTTACATCCATACTAGCGGTCTTTCCAATTTGGAAAAATCTTATGCATCTGCGATGCCAAGACACCATCATTGTGAAACAACTGACAGTCCTCATAGTAGAAGATAAGGCATGAACTACTTGGTACTTTCAACATTAGATCAGGGAGAACACTTTATGAACAGCAGCTTACCTTACCAGTGGAGGCTCCATAGCCAGAATAATCGTATCTGCATTTCGAATGGCAGACATAATCATACAATCAGATAAAACAAAAATGAACACACTTAAGCCAGCAGCAAACAACATATAAGCAAAAACGTCGAAGACAAGACATGCGCTGCCCACCTCCTGATTATGGGAAAACTCAATTGTCAAAAAAGATTAAAACTTTCTTCTAGATCTGTGTTCTACTGTGTGTGATAAAGTACAAGCACACGCATGAAAAGGGCACAAAAAAAGTCGCAAAAGTGGATTTGGTAAAAAAACCCAATCATGCTTGGGTAAAATACAAGAAAAGGGGAAGAAAAAAAAATCCATCAATTATCCTTCTGTGCTATCAAATTTTCTTTTTGATCAATCAAACAAAAAATTACAGAAGAAGGTAAGATGAGGAAAAGAATGGTAACTTATAAGAGGGAAATGTGAAAAGGTGTGGGGATGGAAGGGGAAAAGACTCTGATATCAACATGGGGAACTATTCAACCAGTCTTTCTCTACTCTAGTGTCCCTTTCTATTCAACCAGCATTTAAAACAGAGAAGGAAAAGGAAAGCTCATCACTTTAACTTTCCTCCATTTCATTGCCACCTAAAATTATCCAAAATTAAAAGAATCACATACCATACATGAGCAACAAGTTAGAGTAATGCCATAGCCAATCATGCTTTAAGATCACAGATCTAATAACTCCTACAAAGTCACACCCTTGACCAACATAGAGAGAACTTTTAGAAAACCCAATCGTCTCAAACAAAAAACCAAGCATTTCACAGAACCCATTTCTCCACCGATGCTAATAATTAAAACCCATTTCAGCAGACAAGAGAAATATGAAAAAGGGCGCACTTTCCAGAGAAGAAAACAGAGCTACTAAGTACTAACCCGATGAGATTGACTCTGAGGTTGACCTTGAGCTGGACAAAGAGGTCATAGAGCTGACCAAGATCAGCAGCATTGCCATGAGAGTAAAGCAGAGTGAGCCTCGCGTATGGGTTCCTAAGGTAGAAAGCAACAATCTTGTTGCCCCGTTTGGTGTCGATCAACAGCACATCTAACGAATTGTCGTCGGCATGAGGTAGAGGAAATGAGGGAGAAGGGGAAGTAGAGACAACGGTTAGCTTATTACTCCCATTTCCACCTCCACCTTCCTTCTTCTTGATCTGGTACGTTGGTGGGGTTGGTGGGAAGAAGGCAAATTTGGCAGCTAGCTGTGATAGCCCGCAACCCATTCGAAGTTTCATTCAAAGCTACCTATCCCCCTTTTGATGGTGGAAAAATGAAGCAACTAACTTTGAGTCATTTTTAGTTCTTCAACCAGAGACAGAGAGAAAAGAGTGGGAAAAAATGGGTTTTCAGGGTTCTGTGCAAAACAAGAAATGGTGATTGTGGGCTCTGTTTTTTAGAAGATTCAGACGGAAATGGAGATAGTGAGAGAGAAAGAGAGACAATAGTGGGGAAATGGGGTTCTTTCTAGGGTTTATGTGTTAGTGGAGATTTGTAACGGAAAGGAAGACAAAGTGCAGGAGCTCCTGGGAGCTTGCTTCACTGGTAAAATAGGGAGGAGAAGTTATTAGGTTGAAGGAAGTAAATGAAGTTAGCAATGGTTATTGAGAGTGAGAGAGAGAGAGAGAGTGAGAGAGAAGAGAGGAGAAGCAGTGTGAGTTTTGGGGTGAAGGAAGGAAGGAAGGAAGGAAGGAAGGGGGTTTTCGGGGTTTCCATTTTTCTTTGTTTTCTCTCTGAGTGAGCTCAGAAGTTCTGACACTTGCTGTTGTGAGAGTTCTGAGAGGGAGGTGAAAGACTGAAAGGTGGCAAACTCTATAGCCTATACCCTGTTTCTGTCCTTTGTTTTTTGCCCGTTTTATTGTCTCGTTGAAATAAATAAACAAAAAAGAAATAAAAGGAGCGATAACTAAAAATGCAACGAGCTGATTAGGCCATAAGAAATTAAGAATACATGCCATGTTAATATTATGGGTTTTGTACTCATGTACAAATGCACAATGGTAAGGGGAATTTGAACTTTAGGTACATGAATGTTACTTTTAGTTCTACCAGTTAGCTAGCGGTGTTCAAATAGTTATTATGATAATTATCAAAATAAACAAGTTCAAATTTTATTAACCATGAAATAAAATATCATAACCAAACCGTTCAAATTAGAACAACAATCAAATTAACCAAAATAAAACTTAATCGATTTGATTAATTGGTTAACCAAATTAACCAATATAACATCACATTATCATTAAGTGATAAATTTTTTGGTTAATGCATCAATTCACAATCTATATGATGAATAAAATATTACAATGAACACATAGTTATATAGTTAACTTCTTATAGAAATACACGCAACTAATACAATTATTTTACAGTCAATTGAATTATTCACCTAACAACAATATATGTCAATAGTATGGACTTAATTAATTGTTGTTATTGTGTGAATTGAATTAGTCCCATAGCAATTATCATAGGTTGAAAAGACTTTTCTTTCAAGTTTTCATCTAATATATTGTATGAGTTTTATCTAAATTGGGCGTTCATATATCATGGTCTACACTCTACAAATACAAATATACAGTATATGAACAATATTTATCTTTATTGTTGACGAGCCTAAAAGGAATAAATGTTTGGCTCTTGAATGGTTATGTCAAGCATTAGGTATGTGTATATAACATATATTAGATATATTGATAATTACTTAACTGGTGATGAGCCTAAAAGGAAGGAATGTTTGACTCTTGAATGGTTATTCAAGTATTAAGTATGTGTATATAACATATATTAGATATATGGATAATTACTTAACTGGTTAATTTGATTTGATTGGTTAGGAGTGTCTGAAACCAAACAAAACAAAACCACCTAAACTTTTGAACCAAACCAAACCAATTATCTAAATTAACCAAACCAAATTAGCCAAATACTACCGGTTAAAACGGTTACCACGGTAACCACACGATTTGAACACCCCTACTACCAGTATACGAATTTATATGTGTGGTTATTATGATACATGAACTTCTTATTTATTGATAATTCTAATTAGAGTGGTTGACATGTCATAAGTACAATTAAATTATCAATATTATATGCCAAATAATATGTTGCAAATTTACCACATGACACTTAAAATAGAACTAAAAATGGATAAGATAAATGATTGTCTTTCCTTTATTGTTTCTTGATTTTTATATATAATTATTTATACATTTCTTAAGAATATCTTATAGAATGATGCAAAACTTTAGAGGAAGGAAACTATCATAAAAAAGAAAATCAAACAAAAAGTCGAGTTATACATAACTTGCATAATTGATGGTTTCGCGTCATCAATACACTAGTAGATTAGAAGATTAGTATTTTTTTCTTTTTATTTTATCGGCTAAACTTTTTTGGAACTGTGTAAATAGTACTTTCTCGCGAAGCTGCATACCGAAATAATTATTATTCAGATTCAATCCGATTTACCCTCTCTCTGGAACATAAATCTCACTTTCTATCTATTTTACTAAGGATATTATTTTTAGAATTACATGTTTTTAATATTTTAATATGTTTCAAATTACACGTGGCATATGACATGGTATATTTATTTTTATTAATGACATGTATAAATCTTATTAGATTTACCAATAAATAGAAAGTTGATGTACCGAAATGAACAAAAATACAAATTCATGTACTAGTATAACCAAAAATAACATTAATATCCGGGATGACGAAATCCTGAAAGTTAATCATTCCTGTCCATATAATTGAACAATAAATGATAATATGAAATGTGTAATGCTTTTGGTACGCCTGCAGTACTATAACGACATGAGTATCCTATTCCTATATTTTCTCTTCGGAAACCATCTCATTATAGGAAAAGTTTTCTTGTCACCTCTAGAGGCAAAACATCTAAAACCAATTTCTTACGTAGTTTTTTCTCATTCACATCATTGGTGATTATTCATATAATATTATACTTTCTTTAATGAAAATCAAGCTTTATTCCATAAAAACAACTCTAACAGAAGAGCAATACCAGATTAGTAGACCCATATGTACTAGCTACTATCACAGTGCATCGTTCGCAAAAACAAAGTGCGAAATCAACCACCCATAGGATCTGAACACTTGATTCAAATATATTACACCTATCCTTCTTGCTTCCAAACCAAACATAGTAGCACCAAGAACAACATCATCTCGTCCGATCACAGCGAAGTTCATGGCTATTGAGCACAACAATGGCATATGCTCCTGTTGCTTCCTGTGATTTGCTCAAAGACATTTACACAATAAATCTCATGAACGAGATTACATGGTGGTGGACAAAAAAGTGAAACGGATTGTTCTGAGTTAGATAGGCAGAGAGAGGCAAGGCAGAGAGATCATGCTCATAGAACAGAAGAACATTCTACTGGAGCCACAAAACTAAAAAAAACAACACATCCCAACCGCAACAACTAGAGAAGACCCTACCTTGCCCGATCCGACAGACCGATCTAGCCACACAAGCAACTAGGGGAAGCCGGAGGTGAAAGTAGTGAAGAGATAGGTTCCCAAACTTCTAACTTCATATTCTAAGAAGAGCAAGTCCAGAACAAAAACCCTAGATCGGAACGAAGAACACTAATCAAACACAAATGAAAAAAAAAAGTTACCAAACATAGAACAGAAAATGCCAATATCTTTTCCCCCCGTCAGTAAGAGAGAACATAAACAACAAATATAAAACGCCACAAAATTGGAATGCATGCTTAATCATGTGTAGCGTGGCAGGAATGAACATGATTATTGTCAATGCTCGATCTTTCAAGTTAGTTTTTGGCTTCATTTGGTGCACACCGACATCATTATTGCATCTTTCAGGAAACCTAATCACCGCCATGTTTCTGTTTAGTGCAACGTCTTCGGTTCTGAACTTCTAGCCTCCTTTCTCTTTTATCCAACCAACTCGGTTTAAAGTGTTTCACACTAATCTTGTTCCCACTTTCTAAATCTAGACACTCTTTTAATGTACGAATCAAATTAATGTGATATGTTTGATAAATGGGGGTGGATCTTTTAATAAGAGGAAGTAAACCAAGAGAGTGTTAGAAAGTAAAAAAAAAAAGGCTGTTAAGAAGAAAGGAAATTCTGGATGGCTCCTAACCAGGAAAATCATGGTTTTACTTTTTATCTTTGGAAATATTCAACGAGGTTTGGAGTAAAGCACAGATGGTAATACAATGACAAGGGTTGATACGAAGGCAGTAGCAAAGGTAACAACAGAGACCACATTTGTATGGCTCATGATCCCACATGGTATTTTCCACACAACAACATCTGTTCTCAGTTTGTTGCTGTCACTGCTTGGCACAATCAAGCAACTTCTCTTCTCCGAGCTTCCTTCCATGCTGCAACTCACGAGCAAATCCGGTGTCCCGAATGCCACTTCTGAGTATCCACTTTCATGCAACGCCTGCAATTCCAGAATGAATGGATAACATTTGAGCTTTTTCCATGTTCGATTGTCGAATGAAGGATGAGAGAATTTTGAGCTTTACCGCATATCGGGCATGTAATGGGAGGTCTATTCTGATTCCGAGTGCAGACATGGCTCCGGATGAAGTGTTGTGCTTGAAATTCATGTGAATCTCAACTGCAGACCTATTTGAGGAAACCGAAGGCAACTCCAAATTTGTATCTCCGAAGACACCTATGGCAGCATATGCTGCAAAACCAAGTGCGCGAGGTAAGCTAATCCACGAGGAACGGAAAGTAGAGAGACTTGCTTTTGTCTCACAAGAAGTTCCTAACAAAATATTATTACCTCCATGATGGAGCAGGTGGTCGAGCTCGAATGGATCAGCAAAGACTCCAGAGGGCAGTCTCTCAATCATTACAAGCTTGCAAGACTGAAGAGGGAAACTTTGCGGAGGGATTTGAAGCTGGATTGTTGAGGATAGATGGCGATGAGAGCCTTCCCCAATCAAACGACGCCCCAAACCAGATAGTGTGAGTTGAGGATTGGGATCACCAGGCAGCAGTTTGCATGAGAACTTTGAGAGCTCATCTTGTAGTAGATCTTGGAAGCTAGAATCAGAAAGAACTTCGTGTTTTGAGAAATAAGACTTCAGTATACAATCCTGGAAAAAAAATACAGTTAGCGTATCAGGGAAGAACTCGGTTCAGTTCATCATGTAGTTACATCAGCAAGTAAAGAAGCGAAAATGGCACAGCTTCGTTAAGCAGAGATGGAAGATAGAAGGAAGAATGTTTCCTAGGTAACAATGATGAACGTTTCACAATCAGAATTTTAGCCAATGTAGAGATGGGATTAAAATGAGCTCCTATTATGTCTAATTTGAGGCTTGTAGAGGGTAATGTATCTCCGAATCCTATCAGCAAAGCAAAGATATTATAGTTACCATTTCCAATGAAACCAGCAAGCATAATTCTGCCTTGAAACTTGGCCATACAAATAGAAGAACCGAATGAGATTGAGGGTTTCAACTTTCAAGAGAGCACAACATACTATCACCAACCTCCAATGATGAGCAGTCGCCACTAATAGACAGAGCTACAACAGGGAAGCAGCAACAGAAGAAGAAACTCCATAATACACCCATTTCAGAACGCCTGGAAATCCACCCTACTATTCTCATGGGAACTGAGAAAAGGTAGGGAAAACAAGAAAGTTAGCAGTTCACCAACTCTAATCTGAAATAAATTGCAATGGAGAAACATTTGAACCAATCATATTTTTCAATACTTGACCGTACTCTAACACTGTTTAGAAGGAAACTTTAAGCAACGTTCCAGAATAAGGAACCAACGACTTAAGCTTCACCTAAGAATAAGCAAATACAACTCCAACCAAAGCTGCTTGCTCAATTGACAAAACCATAGCTTCATTGAGAAAGATTTCAGTGATCAATACAACCAATTGGGCAAGAACTTAAGCAAGACCCAAATGCCATGTCGATACGAATTGCAGCAATTTGAACACAGAGTCGACTGAAAGAAGACAATTTGACAAAAATGGCGTAACCCCCAAATACACTAGCAAAGCAAACACAAGAAAATGAAGAAGGGGGGGGGGGGGGGGGGGGGGGGGGGGGGGGAATACAAACTTACCGAGCAAGGCATCATCTTTGTCGTTCCTGAAGATGGAAATGAGAGATCCGATGGGATAGTAGAAATCTTCTGCCGGCGAAATCTCCCGAAAAACGATCATGTCGTCGTCTCTGGTTTATGATTTCATAGGGAGGAGTTTTGGGCCTTAGGCCCATTTAAGCAACAAAATGTACAAGAGGAATAAACCCCGCGAAAAAAGCAGCCGCCTTTCGGCTCACCAATTCTTTCCCATCGGAACAAACACACGATTTCTGCATTCCTTTCAGGCGCCTTCCGTCGACGGCGAGATCCCACCGTGCTGCCGCTGCCTGCCATTCGAGGTAAAATAGGTTTTGTATGTACTAGTTTATCACAGGGGATTGGCGATTGAAATTTGTGCTCGATTTCAAAGTTCTAAACTTCGTTGCTGTGCTATATTCAATCTAAATCAGCTTCAGCTGGAACAGACATGGAAAACGGCGGCATCCCTTCATCCGTGCACGCCACCGTGTTCAAAGAATCGGAGTCTCTCGAGGGGAAATGCCATGAGATCAAAGGCTACGACTTCAACGAAGGCGTGGACTACCATCAGCTGCTTAAATCAATGGTCTCAACTGGGTTCCAAGCTTCCAACCTCGGTGACGCTATTTCAGTTGTTAATCAGATGGTCTGTTTTGATATCCTACTACGACTAGTCAAGCGGCCCTTGTCTTTTACCTTATATATTGATGTTATCGTCTTATAAATTGAGCTTCTTTTGTGCTTTTACTATTGACATTGAAGTTAGACTGGAGGCTTGCTGACGAGATCATTGCTGAAGATTGCAGCGAAGAAGAGAAAGACCCTGCTTATAGACAGTCAGTGAGGTGCAAGATTTTCTTGGGGTTCACCTCAAATCTGATCTCTTCCGGTGTTAGAGATACAGTTCGCTATCTCCTTCAGCATCACATGGTGAGGAAAGGGTTGGTTTATGCTCAATGTGATACATATAAGCGAGTTTCCTTTGATGTTTTTTGCTCTGCAGGATTTAATGGACCAACTAGCTTTGATGATGGTTGTTGTTTCTGCATGTTGCCCTTTCTTGGGAGCACCTTAACTTTTCTTGTAGCAAACTAGAAGATGACGATGCACAAAATTTGCTGCAGGTTGATGTGGTGGTCACTACTGCAGGTGGCATAGAAGAAGACCTTATCAAATGCCTAGCCCCGACGTACAGAGGAGACTTCTCTTTACCTGGAGCTCAACTGCGTGCAAAAGGGTTGAATCGCATTGGCAACTTGTTAGTTCCTAATGATAACTACTGCAAATTTGAGGACTGGGTTATCCCCATTTTTGACCAGATGTTGAAAGAACAAAAGGAAAATGTATGGTTTTCGTTCATTTTGGATGTATCCATTTCAGTCGAGGGAGAATCTTATGCCTTCCTTCTTATGTTTTTTTAGAATACTTTATGGACGCCATCAAAGTTAATTGCTAGACTGGGGAAAGAGATTAACTGTGAAAGCTCGTACCTTTTTTGGGCATACAAGGTAACAAGGCTAGATACTTGATCTCCCAATATTTGGTATTCTATATTTTTGGATCATGTGTTAATTTTCCATCTTCTTCAGAACAACATTCCAGTGTTTTGTCCTGGATTAACTGACGGTTCACTTGGGGACATGCTTTACTTTCATTCTTTCCGCAATCCAGGATTGATCGTTGACATAGTTCAAGGTGAGTGTCTCCTGGCTCAACTTCTGACTAATATCAGTTATCCATGGCTCCGTTTGCTTCTATCAGTTGGACATCCTTAGGATAAGTTGGTTGTATGAGCCAATAGAACTGAAGTGTGATGATTGGAGAAGTTACGAAAGAACCATTTAAGGGTGGAAGATGCTGTTAAAATATTGTGAGATAATTAACATCAACCCACCACTTTTCATGCGGGTGTTATGAATTGGTCAAAAGGATCTCATGACTATTTGAGTTCTGAAGATCACATAATATGCATTTCTATTGTGGGTACAGATATTAGGGCCATGAATGGTGAGGCTGTTCATGCAACTCCTAGGAAAACTGGGATCATTGTTCTTGGAGGTGGGCTTCCTAAGCACCACATATGCAATGCCAATATGATGCGAAACGGTGCAGATTATGCTGTTTTTGTCAACACGGCGCAGGAGTTTGACGGGAGTGATTCTGGAGCTCAGCCTGATGAGGCTGTTTCTTGGGGGAAAATACGAGGCTCTGCCAAAACAGTAAAGGTAGTATCTTCTCTTGTGTGCTCTTTTTGGTTTATGACCTTGCTTTCACTTGTTTTTTAGGTTTCTCAAATGATGAGATATATGCTACATGTTGTTTCATACGATGCAATACTTAGATGTCTATGTGGCTGTTTCATTTGTAACAAAACAAGCATCTAACAAAAGAAATCATAACAAATTGCCAACTAAAATAAGTGTTTTATAACAAAATTGACATTTTGTCTAGTTTGCAATTAGTTTGATTAACTTGGCACGACAAATAAGCTTTGTCATGTCTCTGTAATGGACCGATCAGCATCCACTAGGCCCTCGGCTCTCAAAACTGACTCCTGATTGCCGAGGAAACACATGAACCTGTGATAAAAACTGTTGGGAATTTGGTTGAACCGAACTAATCAAGTCAAATCGGTTTTGGTGACTTGAGCCTATTCGACATGCTGACTCAACGAAACTTAATGTCAGACTGGACAAAGATGAGGTGGAGTGAATCTTTTGTTTGGAATCATTCAAATGTGGTGAGTATTTTGTATGATTTTCAATCGAATGGTAATTCTGTTACAAAACTTGGTAATTCAGTGACCATTTAGACTTTAGTCATTTGTCCCCTATGATTTTTACATCATGATCTTGGAAGTCCTTCTATCGAATGGTAAAACTATCTGACAAAAATTTTGACTGTGATCTCTCCTTTGGTTTTGAAACTGAAGGTTCATTGTGATGCAACGATTGCTTTCCCGCTACTGGTTGCCGAGACATTTGCCACAAGGCAAGCCAGAAACATGAAGACCAGAGCTTGATCTATGGTGGCTACGTGCAGTTGGTTAACGAAGAGAGTGGCTATTCAAGACCAACTTTCATAACCATTGGAAGGTTAAAGCTTCTATTGTTTTACATGGTATCGAAGGTGTGAGTAGGAACCATAGCTTTGCTGGATTTTTCTTCTGCCAAAGTAACAATGGCCATATTATCCGCATGGAAGAGTATGATTGTTTGAACTTTAATATGAACCTATAAGGTTCAAGTAGAGTCAAGGAGGCACAATGTGCGCAAATTGACTTACCCATTTGGGCTGAAGAGTCTGGCCTTAGGGATGAAAAGAAAATCAACCAGACCCAGTAGAGTAGAAAGCCAGCTCGAGAGAGAGAGAGTAAAGTGTGAGAGAGAAAACGCTCCCACCTCTCTCCTGGGTTTTTTTTCTGCTCTTCGTTCTTTATGACCGTTGGGGCCGCTCCGCCCCAAGCGGAGGCAGACCACTGCCTGAAACCGCCGGATGGCTCGCCGCCGATTACGCCAGTCCAACCGAGTAAAAAGGCCAAGGCTTGCTCGAGTGGTGGCTTCTCTGGAGAGGGAGAGATGGAGATCGCCATCGTCACTGCACGAGCTGAAGGTACAGAAGATCAGCGAGATATGGATGTGGAAATGAAATTGAAGAACCCAGATGATGACAGGAACGAACCAAAACCAGACGAAGGCAGCAAGGTACCTGGAAGAGCCAAAGCTTCCTATCGGGACTCCTTCCTGGGCAATGGTCCACCTGAGGAAATTCCCGAAGGAGATGAGTTAATGTCCGACGAATCTGATGGAGAGGGCATTGACGACGACCCGGAATGCCCAACGATCCGGATCAAGAAAAGCACGGACGCCAGAGTTAGAAGTCGATGGAAGAGGGCAATCACCTTCCGTGTGCTGGGTAAATCGTTTCCCTTTGCTTTCATTCACAGGAGAATACAGAAAATGTGGGCGAGAACGGGTGGTATCAAAATTGGGGACATTGGAAATGGCTATCTGCAGGCGACCTTTGATTCCCAACTAGATCATGATCGCGCTCTCTACGGTGGTCCCTGGACCATTGAAGACCACTATATTGCTTCAGAGCCATGGCGTACTGATTTTGATCCAGATTTTGACTCAATCAGCCACGCCTCGGTTTGGGTCAGACTCCCACGACTCCCTCTCGCCTACTTCGATGAAGAAATCTTGTATGACATTGGGGATAAGCTGGGGAGAGTGGAAAAGATCGACTACAATACTGCGAACGGTTCAAGAGGCAACTACGCTCGCATCTGCGTTGAAATTGATCTAAGGAAAAGGCTTATCTCGAAATACAAAATTAAGAGGAGAGTCCGAAGAGTGGAGTACGAGGGACTTCATATGGTTTGTTTTGGGTGTGGTCATTATGGCCACCTGGAGAATGCCTGTCCGCTGAAGGAAGCAAATGAGAATTTAACACCGGAGGAGAGAACAAAACAGAATACAACCCAGCACCAAAAGCAGGAGATTAGGTCAGAACTGCTTGAGGATTTCGGGCCATGGATGATTGCAACTAGAAACCGCAGGAAAACGAAGCAGCATACATCACAGAAAGTGGGAAAAGATGGGAAAGGTAAGGAGGGTAATCCAACGGCCGAGGTGTCTGGTTCGAGGTACAACATTCTGATGCAGGAGGGTGTGCAGGAACTGGAAGATGAAGATGAGGAAGTGGATGAGCACATAATAACCCAAGAAAAAAAAAATTATTGACAATCAGGAATCAACAAAGAAAGATGGACAACAATTGAAAGTGAAGGGCAGAGAATCCAGCAAGGCCAAAGAGATGGATGACAATACAGGGAAAATGAAGGAAGCTGTTGCTAGTGGAATGAAGGGAGATCAAATTAAGGCGGGGCAGGGTAGCAAGAGCATTGGTGGACATACGACTAAGCTTGACCATCCTGTTGCAGCCAACGACAAGGAACCCACAGGTAACAACAACATCAAATCCAGAAAGGGTGGCAAGGCTGTCCCTCAATCACCCAATGGAAGGCTCAATTCAAAGGGGAGTGGCACTCCTCCACTTCAGAATAGACCTAACACTGGAAATGAAAGGGGTCAGGCCTCTGGGGCTCGTGCAGGGCACCAACCCAAAGGGAAACTCCCAACGCCTAGTGTGGAAAGCAAAGAGAAGGCTAAGAAGAAAATTTTCTCCCCGGATAATGGGAAAGGGCAACCGAAAAAGATCAATTTTGATCTGAAGACGGACGTTGACCCTAGAATGCCAGAAGATGCAAGCTTACCCGAGGGCAATGACCATGGAGTCAAACCGGATGGTAGACAGATGGCTATGGCCATCGACAGCTGATATTATGTCTTTTTTGAGTTGGGAGGAGCACATTAACTTTTTATGGTTAAAGTACTCTCCTGGAACTGCAGGGGTGCTAGACACCCCAAATTTCATTCTTCTTTTCTCGAGTATAAGTTTCAGTTTAAGCCTGATATTGCCTGCATTTTGGAGCCACGGATCAGTGGGGGTGATGCTGTTGATGTGATCAAAACCCTCGGCTACGACTCATGGAAAGTGTCTGATGCTGTGGGTTTCAGTGGCGGGATCTGGGTTATGTGGAATAGTGGAACGCTGAAGATGGAGCTGGTGGACAGGCATAGGCAGTTTTTGCATCTTAAATGCTTGGAGGGGGGTAATGTAAAGTTTCTTCTCACCGCTGTCTATGCTAGTCCAAATGAACACGAGAGAAGGGAACTCTGGGAGGCAATCAGAAGAATGGAGAGGGGGATCAAAACACCATGGCTACTCCTGGGTGATTTCAACTCCATCACCAAACCGTCTGAAAAGCAGGGAGGAGCACCTTTCAACCCTGCTAGAACCAAGGCTTTTAAAGACTGTATCGATGACTGCGGGTTGATTGATGTTGGTTATCGGGGACCAAAGTTCACATGGTTCACAAGGAACTCTTTGCTCAGGGAAAGACTGGATCGTAGCCTGTGCAATTTGCAGTGGCAGCAGCAGTTCCCATCGACGTTCAACCTCCACCTTCCAAAGATTAGATCGGACCATAGACCAATCCTTACATGCACCAATGTTGACACGGGAAAGAACACCCTGGTGAGGAGATTCCAATTCCTTGCGCCATGGCTTTCCCATGAAAATTTCTTCCCCTTTATCTCAGCTAAATGGAGTAAAGGCAGTGAGTTTCCTTTCTCTTTGCAGGGTCTCTCTGAAGATCTCAAGAAATGGAACAAGGACGTGTTTGGCAATATCTTCAAACGCAAGAAAGAACTCCTTAGGGAGCTCAAGAACCTGGAGATGTGGAATGAGAGAAGCCCTTGTACCAGCTCCCTGAGAAAAGAGCAGGAAACAAGAGAGGAGTTGGAAACAACTTTGTGGAATGAAGAGCTGCTCTAGATTCAAAAATCCAGAGCAAATTGGGTGGTGAAGGGCGATATGAACTCACGATTCTTCCACACAAGTACCCTCTGCCGAAGAAAGCATAATAGAATCATTGGTCTCAAGGATGATGATGGACATTGGGTGACTGACCCTGATCAACTCCAGGCTTTGGCCAGAGAGTTTTATGTCAAACTTTTCACTTGTTATCCGCTTTTAATTGATGTTCCCCTTCCTGCTTTCTTCCCTATGGTTGCTGACTGTTTTCTGGCAGGTCTGAAAGCAATCCCTAACCCACTGGAGATAAAAGCCATCATCAAAGAGATGAACGGGTTGAAAGCCCCGGGCAAAGACGGCTTCCATGCTGTCTTCTACCAGAAGTGCTGGGATCAAATTGGAATGGATCTTGTTTGTTTCATTCAGTCATGCTTCATTAATCCTGACAGGATTAAAATGATTAATGAGACTCTCCTTGCTCTTATTCCTAAAACTGATTCCCCTTTGGCCATGAGTCAGTTTAGGCCTATTAGTCTTTGTAATGTGGTGTATAAGGTTGTGGCCAAGAGTTTAGCCAATAAACTCAAGCCTTTGTTGCCACACCTCATACACCCGAATCAATCCGGTTTTGTACTAAAGAGACATATTACTGACAACATTATCATTTTGCAGGAAACGGTGCACTCTATGGCCAAGAAAACTGGGAAAAAAGGGTTCATGCTTCTCAAGATTGATCTTGCCAAGGCGTATGACAGAATTAGCTGGAATTTCTTGGAGGTGACGCTTGTGGAAGCACATCTACCTGCTGAATGCATCAAAATCATCATGGCCTGCGTGACCACTACAAGCTTTCAAGTGCTGTGGAATGGTGGGGAGACTGAGAGTTTCACACCATCGAGAGGTCTACGTCAGGGATGTCCACTCTCTCCCTATCTCTTTACATTATGTATGGAAAGATTGAGTCATACTATTGTAGAGGAAGTTAGAAGCAAGAACTGGAACCCTATGAGATTGTCACTTGCTGGTCCTGACCTGTCTCACCTTTTCTTCGCGGACGACCTTGTGTTGTTTGCTGAAGCAAGCCCCAAGCATGCTGACGTGGTCATGTCCTGTCTTGAGAGGTTCTGCCAGGCCTCTGGGGAATTAATTAGTAAAGAAAAATCTAGGATCCTCTTCTCTAAGAATGTGCAGAATAGAACTAGATCAATCATCTGTGCTAAGCTTGGAATCCAATCTACTAATGACCTTGGTAGATATTTAGGAGTCCTAGTGTTGCATGGCAGGTTGAACAACAATACTTTCAAGTATATACTTGAGAAAATGGATAATAAGCTCACCACTTGGAAAGCCAAAACCCTTTCACTTGCTGGAAGGGTTACCCTTGCCACTTCGGTTCTGAATTCTCTGCCTAGCTATGCTATGCAGTCCTCTGTTCTTCCGGCTACTATCTGTGAGGCTATTGACAAGAAAATCAAAGGGTTTATTTGGGGGTCTCAGGAAGGGGTTAGGAAAGCACATCTTATCTCTTGGGAGACCATTTGTAAACCGAAGAGTCAGGGGGGGCTTGGGTTGAGGTCTGCTCGTAGTATGAATATGGCTTTTCTGATTAAGCTTGCTTGGAAAATTTTGAACCATGAGGATGCTTTGTGGGTAAAGGTTTTGCAGGGAAAATATTTTAAACAGAGGAATGGTGCCATTCTTTCCATGAAGAAAAGCAACCATTCGAGTCTCTGGAAAGGCATCCTCAAAGCGATGCCTTTGATGAAGAGTGGATGCTGCTGGAGTATCAGAAATGGCGAGACTACAAGCTTTTGGACTCACCCGTGGCTGGACACAGGGATCACCCTCGACTCTTACCTGATGCAGGACATCCCAGACAGTGAGAGATACTCTGCTGTGGCGGAATGGACCACGGCGGATGGTAAGTGGGATTGGGGCAGGCTTGAGAGCTTACTGCCTGATGACGCTCTGAATTTGATTGCAGGATGTGAACCACCTAACGCGGAATTGGGAGAAGACAAGACCATATGGGGGCTTGAAGCTGATGGACGTTTCAAATTGAAGTCTGCTTACTACCTGGCAGCAACTGGGGACGAAGGTGAAGATGCTGACACAAGCTAGAAAAGCATCTGGAAGTGGAAGGGACCCAACAGGGTCAAGCATTTCTTTTGGCTGGTTTTCCATGACCGACTGATGACCAACCACGAACGCAAAAGAAGAAAGATCACCACTTCGGATAAGTGCAACCATTGCAACGAGGAAGGAGAGACAATTGAACATATCCTACGCAGCTGCAGCAAAGCAAGAGAGGTCTGGTGCAAACTCAGGCATAGAATGGTGGAAAGCAACCTCCAAATTCCACTGGAAGAATGGCTAATGAGGAACCTGCTGGATGAGGATAAGGGTATTGATTTCGGCCTGATATGCTGGCACCTCTGGAAACAGAGGAATGAAGAAGTCTTAGATGGGAAGAGCTACTCAGAACAGGGCATTCTCTGCAAGATTGGAGCCTGGTTTAACATCATCAGGAACGCGCATTCTTTCTGGGAGAGCATTGCGAATGAACCCAGGAGGGTGCTGCAGACAAAGGAAATCGCTTGGAAGCCACCACACCATGAGTGGATACAAATCCAAAGCGACGGATCAGTCCACCACGACTCAGGCAAGGCGGCTGCAGGTGGTCTCTTCCGTGATCATCTCGGCAGGTGTCATCGAGCTTTTGTCTGCAATTTGGGAAGTTGCTCGATCACGCATGCGGAGCTGAAAGGTGCAATGGAGGGGCTGAAGATTGCTTGGGAAGAAGGGTATAGGAAAATCGAGCTCAATTTGGATTCGGAGACGGCTATTTCGATCATCAACAACCACTCGGAAGATGATCACAGACATGGGCAAACGGCAGCCATGTTTAGGAACCTTTTGGACCGGGATTGGGAGATCAAAATCTCTCATGTGTATAGAGAGTCTAATTGCGCAGCGGATTATCTTGCTAACGTTGGGCACGACTCCCCTTTTGGCACACATTCTTTCGATGTGTGTGACCCGGGGCTTAGATATTGGCTTCAATATGATGTAATGGGCATTGCCCAAGAACGTTCTATTAATACTATGCACTAGACGCAATGCGTCATCCTTTCGACCAAAAAAAAAAGAAGAGTCTGGCCTTCCTAACTAGAAAAGAAGTTAAATAAACTACTACCTGTGGGTAACTCTTGTAACTTCAAAAAACTTTTTACCGTAAGATAAATTACAATTACATACAAGTACCATTTGGTAATTTCTCCCATCTCATTGTCAAACCATGTCATGGTATAACCAAAGTTACACAGAAACTATATGGAAACTCTTTCCATTATTAAGTCTCCCAGACTTTTGGTACTACACATTGGATTTACCTTCATCATGAGCTCCAATACTTCTTTTACAAACTTTAGCGAGAGAAAGAAATGACAAATCGACTGTCTTGAAAACATAGACTGCAACTTCACCCATCTAATCTTCTTCATATTTTTGTCAGTGAAATTGTTTTATGAAGCTGAGGCGGCGCGCATTTGCACATATCTTTAGTGTAATCTCTTCCTGTCATATTCTCATCGAAGGATTAACTTACAAACAGTTATCGTTGTAATATTTGTAGTATTGTCCAGATCTCCACCCACCAACATATATTTGTTGCAATAACTAATAACTAATAACAAACCTATAAATATAGGATAAGTGTCACATTTGGTCACTGGGATTGCTAAATCGTGTTATGTTTAGTCACTAGAAAAAATTAATATTAATTTTGGTCACTCGACTTACTAAAACATGTCACATTTAGTCACTCTCCCATTAGCCTCCGTCCAACTCCGGTTACTCGAATTACTTTTTTTATTATGAATGTTGGAGTTCGATGGAAACTAACGGGAGAGTGACTAAATGCGACATATTTCAGTAATTCGAGTGACCAAAATTGATATTAATTTTTTCTAGCGACTAACATGACATGATTTAGTAATCTCAGTGACCAAATGTGGCATTTACTCTATAAATATATCACTCCATTCGAGATATAATGGAATCTACCATGGAACATGCATCTCTAAGGGCAACGATGGGCATTCGATTCAATTCACCATTTAACCGCTAAATCTTTATGATTAAGATAACGTTCATACTTAGAAACCTTTTTGCATGAAAGTTTCTCCGTGTAGTTCTTGCTTCAAACTCCATACGATAGTGCTTATCTTCTCAGCTGCCTAATCAAACTCATCTCTAAGTTCTTCCTTATAACGAATGGACTTTGCAAGGTTCTTTCCTCTTTTTTTTTTTTTTTTTTTTTGACAAGAGGAGCACTTGTATTGGCTATTGCAATGATAATCACGGTTACAAGAGGTGAGAAACACAATGAAAGTACGAAACAGAGCAACAATGTAGTCAAATGACAGAGCAATCCAAATCAAAAGCTAAAGCCAGAAAAATAACAAGAAATAGATTGATCTCTAACAGAAGAAAATTCACATCAGGGGCTAACAATGTGAACCTAGAACCCTTTCTTCCACAACAATCAGCACATCACAAGCTAGGTTCAAACTCGCCCGAAAACCAGACAAACCCATGACTATTGAACATTGCAACGCTATAAGCAGCCACCCAGGAATCGTTCAAAGACGAACCATCATCGGGAATCTAATGAAAGGGATTACTCGGCGGTGGGCAGACTGAAACCGGGATGCTCTGAGGTGAAAAGGCTAAGAAAGCCGGAGGCAAGGATGACCACAACCAGGAACCGGAAAAATGGAATATTCATCTTCTCCATCTTCAGAAAGCCAACGAAACATAGCCAACGACACCGAAAATGACACTAGACCCCATCTCAGACGACCTAAAGGCTTCAAGTAAACGAGAGGTAGATGCAAGGTTCTTCCCTGATGAGAACGTAGTCTCCTTGGAAATCCTCACAGGAAAAAACATTTTTTTGATGAGAGTGGCATTAGTTAATTAAATAAATAGTTAGAAAAAAGGCATTATTTGGAAGCCTTAAACTTTGGCTGGAACAAAGATAGACAGACATCCCCTGCCCTCCAAATATATCCACTCACTTTCAATAGCCACTCATTTTCATCTACTCTCGAATAATCAACCTTAATAACATGTTATCTTAATATATCTAACCAATTCCTTAAGTTTGCATCAAATCTTCCTTTGTTTTCTTCTCCAATTGTACCCAGAACGAGTCTTCATCTCCTTTTAAATTTGATTTGCTCCAACATCTCATTGCAAAACATATCTCATAACTGACAAGCATGCAAATATATGAGAACTATATGCCATAACAAAATATCACAACTCTTCCACCATATATGAACACTTGCTATCCATAAAAATCAGCTTATTAATTCAATACTTAAAATATACAAAAAAGAAAAAAGAAAGAGGATTATAAAGCAACCTTAAACTTCGGCGAGAACAAAAGATAGTAAGACAGACATCCTCTCCATTAAAAAAAAAAAAAAAAAAAAGACAGACATCCTGTGTTCTCAAATACATCTACCCACTTTCAATAGCCACTCATTTTCATCTACTATTAAATAGTCAACCTTAATAACATTGCATTTTAATATATCTAACCAATTCCTTAAGTTTGCATAAAAACATTTTACTCTTTCTTTGTTTTCTTTTCCGGTTGTATTCAGAGAGTGAAGGAGCTAGTGTGGTAACACTTTTTTTATTAGCATTGTGCTAAACTAGTTCCAGCCGATAGAAATATTTCGTTTGGATGATTTTTTAATTTAAATGAGTTGACCACAATTAATGAAGAAAATGAAGGATAAGCGCACGTTGGTCATTAATTAAAATTAGGAAGTGGGAACTCACATGTGTCTTGTGTTTTTAATTTGGGAGCCCAGATTGTATCTATACTACCCACTAATTTCCTGTAGACCTTTGTTTGTTTATAATCTATAAGTGTACCACTCAATAATATGGAATTCCCCTGAACATAATGTCAACCTCCCCCTTCCTATTTGGAAAATGCGGTGCATTGGGAAGAGGTGGAGGACCACTAAACACTAAGAAACAACACCACAAAAAAATTATAAACCTTAGAAAGGAGGCCACAACCTCACGAGACCGTAAAGATAATAAATCACACCTCAAACTCATGAATCAAACCACAAGTCTCATGAGTCATGAAACACAATACAAGTTAGCAGACCACAATTTTATACAAGCACACCACAAGTCCTATAAAGCACACCACAAGTTTATTGAACCAAACCACTAGTCCAATAAAGCATACACCAAATTTTTAACAGCCCATCGCAAATTTATTAAAGTATACTACAAGTTTATAAAAGCACACCACAAATATTTTTAAAATAGACCACAACTCTAATAACCCACACCACAACCCTCACTTTAATTATTACAAGTCAACAACAAGGACTACCTGCGTCCAAAGTCCAAACCAAAGTGACATTATCTCTCTTCCTCTCCCGTTTTGCCTCTATAGCCGCAGCGAGTTGCCGGCGAGGGGAATGTCCTCGGAAATTTGCTTCTCTAATCTTCCTCCTTCCTTCTCTGGAATCTGTCTTCCATTATGCTCTTCTTCTTGGTTGCGATTAGGGATATATTAACAAAAGCAACAAAAAGGATAAGCACACAACATATTCGCTTCTCGATAGATCCAATTTTTTATTTTAACGTAACCTCGAAACATGGTGTACGTGAGTTCAAAGAGACTTGAAGAGGGTGAGCATGACAGCCTCGAAGTTGGCGAGGCTCTTGTCAGTGCGGAGTCTGCCGCCGACAACGTGAGAGAAGTAGGTACCGACGATGACGAGGAGGAAGCGGATAACAACAAGCTGGAGCTGGGGATTTGTGAATTGGAACGTGTTGTGAATCCATCGGCAGAGGTTGTTTTTTCTTGAGGAGGGACGACGAGATGGATCAAACGGCATTAAGAGAGTTTGAATTGAGGATTGAATTTTGAAGAGGGAGCTTGATGGGGGAGTGGAATGAGATCTGATGGAAATTAACTTAGAATGAAGGGGTCGGCTGTTATCACTAATTAGGCCAGGAGAAGGAAGGAGAAATGAACAGTGAGAGTAGTTACCAAACACCCTATAGTGTTAGCACTCTATCCGCTCCCTTTAGAGAGAGTCATTCATCTCAATTTAATTTACTCCAACATCTCATTGTAAAACATGTCTCATAAGGGATAAACATGCAAATATATGAGAACTATATGCCATAACAAGATATTAGACTCTTTTAGATTGATCATATGAAGAATTAATATCCGTAGAATTCTCCGTGAAGTTTCTAAACTGGAGGCAGCCAAAGCCTTACATATTGGAGTTGATCATGTGCATCACATGAACAATGTCCTTAGCATGCACTCTCAACACACCATTCTATCATTTTGGCCAAGCACAACCAACCCACCACAATATTTTTTTTATGAGTTATAAAGTATATATGGTTCTCAAACTTCAAGCATAAATTAATTAATAAAAATAAAGAGAAAAGTTCAAATTTTTTTCATGTTTTACTCTCTAAAGTGGTTTCAATTATTATTAGAAAATATAAAGCGCCAGTTGATATAAGGGGTCCAGTAAGATACGGTAGGGTGTACCATAATCTCCTGCACAAATCCTATCTGAGATATCAATATGATCTCTTCCATTGTTAGCCGTCTCGTTTCTATTCTCCCTAATGCTTCCCCCGGCGATCAGATTGGCGATTACCCAAGCTTTCGTATCCACGGTAAGCTCATGTGAGCCCTTCCTCCGTCCCTTGATCTCCTCTCTTTGGCGAATCAATTGGTGGAAGCCTTGGTCGAAGCATGCAGGTGACGGAAAATCTCCATGCCATCACCACCTCCAAGACTTCATGCAAGTGAATTTGATTTGATACATACCAAATTTTCCTTTTTTGAATTTAGAAACCCAGCTCCATGTCCCTTCAAATGCCCTAAATTCGTGCATGCAAAACCCCCCAGATCCATACCCCTCTAGATGCTTTAAATTTGGGCATGAAAATTAAACACAGGAGAAGTTACCATTTGCTCAAACATCTCCATCACCTTTCTGTTTACCTGTAATAATAATAAATCAACTTGTATCACGTCGCTTAACATTAATAATTAAAAGAGCTAGTTAGGCCTTGTTTTTTTTTTTTTGACAAAGGGACACTGATATTTCATTACTTGAAAAACAGGTCAAGCGGTACAACAGGTGGGAGATCACATCCAGAACCTGAACCCAATTATTGGGAAGAGAATTCCTGGCACATGATCGGGCAACCCAGTTAGCTTTTACATTTTTCTTACGGCCAAAGTGCGCTACCCGCACAAGGGGGAAGTTGGACAGCAGGTGCTTGATAGTGATGATCCATGCCGCAGCTCTCCATGGCCAATTCATCTGGTGGTCCTGCACCGCCTTGACAAGAGGCAAACAGTCCGATCGGACAACACAGGTGGACTGGAGATCAGCTGCTAAACGACACCCAGCCAGCAGGGCTTTGGCTTCAGTTTCAAGTGGGGGAAAACAGTGCAATATGGCTCTCAAAAATTAAGTCTGGAAGCAAGGCACACTTGGTAGCCAACCAAGAGGGTACCAAGCCGACAAGGTAGGTCTGGTACCGAAACATGAAAATTGGCTAAATATAGAGCCAAGAGGGTACCAAGTCGGTAATGCAGACCTGGTAACCAAACATGAAATTTGGCTAAGTATGGAGCCAACAAGGTACCAAGCTGCCAGGACAAGCTTGGTACCAAGGCGACAGGGTACAAAGGCGATAAAACAGGCCTAGTACCACGACATGAAAATTGGTTAAGTATGGAGCCAACAAGGTACCAAGATATCAAGGCAACCTTGGTACCAAAATATGAAATTTGGCTAAGACTGAAACAAAATAGGCTTTGGTTGCTAGGCAACATGGTACCAAGCCGGATACCAACTAGAGAGTCGTACACAAACTAAGTATAGATAACAAGTCAGCAAGGCAGACTTGGTAGCCAAGCAAGAGGGTACCAAGTCAGCAAGGCAGAGGCTTGGTCGCCAAGCAAGAGGGTGCCAAGTCAGCAAGGCAAGCTTGGTCGCCAAGCAAGAGGGTGCCAATCCGGCAAGACATGCTTGGTAGCCAGGCAACAAGATACCCAACCGACAAGATTTGCTTGGTATCAAGTTATCAAACCTCTCAAAAGCTCAGTATAGAGATAAAACTGGCAGAATGCAAACCCGATGAGGAGGTGAGAAAGTGGCCACCCGACTGGGCACTAAGGCACCATGGACCATCCTCATCTCCTCAAGATTAAGTATCTTGGGGGTGGGGGCTAGTCGTCAGGATGTCGAGCTAACAGGGTGTCAATTTGATGAGGACTTGGTGTAGTTCCAACGATCAAAAGGGCAAAGCAGAGCAAGTTACTGGGGGGGGGGGGGGGGAATCTCGTGTGTAACCATTATTTTTAACGTAGGCAAAGTTTGCAGACCATTTACATGCAGACTTTTTTGGCAAGGAGAGACAGAGGTGGTAGTACTCTAACTACTGCTTTCCTGTACAGTAACTGAAGCGTCTGGAACAGGTTCCAATTTCTTATCTCGCTTCCGACAAAAAAATGCATCGCCAGAGATGAATCTGGAGCTTGATTTCGATTCTTTCTCTTCGCAGAAAGATTTTCAGCACCTCAAAGATTTGCAAGGAGTTTGGGATTCTCGAGCCTTGGCTCCACGGAATTACGTGACAGAAACATTTGACCTGAACAGCATAATAAGAAAAATTAAACACAGGGAGTAGCCTAAGTTTCCAGTAGTAGACGGAAGGTGACATAAGAATTGAAAAAAGTTTAACATAGAAGCAAGCACGGAAAAGGATCGATACCAGGGCTGTGATATCGAGACTGCTGGAGATGATGTATCGACTCTTTCCTTCCCGTATATGGCAGAATTAAGCACATTGTACTGATCAGAGACAGACTCATACAGTACCTTTGTGTATGCCTCCTTGGCCTACAAACAACAAGATCGTCGTCGTCATCATCATCATCATTAGAGAGATACATGCAGTTGAACAAACAATGACGGAAACATGGACAGGACATTAGACATGTTCAGTCCAGGAAACGAGCTTTCTTTATGACAGAAAAAGGAAAAAAGAGCACATCTACAGTCCAGACTCCTTTCACAAAACAAGAGAATTAGGAAGGTCACACGAAAGCCAAGCTGAACCTTCCATTCTTATCTCAACTGAAGCAAACTGGACATTGGTCGCAACTATAGTTATCTGGTAATCGAACTAAAATACCGATATATCTAAACTCTCTCAAGGCACAAATTCAAAATGAGTTCTCAAGTTTATTTTCTACACAGAATAAATGTCTGCCCAGCCCCATGCTTTAAATAAACACATAAGTTCCATGTCAAATTTATTAAGTAGCGGTGACCTACCTGCTCAAGATTTTCATAAGCGCCAGCAATTTCATCGAAATTCACTTCTGTACCAACGGATACCCCTGTTCCAGAAAAGGATATCACCCTCTTCTCTCCGATTTCTTTCTCCACCTGTGGATTTCTGAAGTAAATAACACGACAGAGGGGGGAAAAAGGGGGGGAACAAGTCATATATATGTATGTACATGCCTTGGGAGGAGGCGGCATGATATCATGGCATAGTAGTGCCAAAGGATAGATGTGTCCTGGAGCACCAGCGTTTTCAGCTAGCCTTCTCATATTGTCAACTGAAGATGTATCAAATGGTGCCTGCCCCACTATAAACATCAGTAAGACTGAACATTTGCATTTCACAGTAGTAAGAAACGGGAAATATGTCCATATTTAGAGGCAACTGGAGTTTCAGGTGAAGGACTTACTGGATGCCATTCTCCAGTGACAGGATCGGGACGATCTCTTCCACCACTGGGTGCAATCCATATTATCTGCGACCCATTCCTGCAATATAAGTAACCATGGAGACAGCCATATTTTCTTTCAGTTGAAAACTCAAGTACACTACCGGTGGGGGAAAAGCTTAACATACACGAGAGCAAAATGATTGAGAAAGGATGAGTTGAAATGAATTAAGACTGAGAAGTTCCATAACATTTTTCTACAGTAGACCAGTTCAAATGACCAACAACAAGATTACTCTTATCTCCACCAGCCAGGATAGTTTCACGCATGTTGATGGGAAGGAGTTGAAAGACTAAAGGCTACAACAAAATAAAAAAAGTTGTACCAAAGATGCACCCAGAATCCTAGAAAGCATAATACCTCAGAAGCATTGCCATTTCCTTCAAACTTCTTATATTTGCCTTTTTCTTCATCTCGACAAGTTCAGGGATATCAAACATGTGCTTTTTTGAGTACACACAAATGAGATTCCTGATAACATGCAGCGATGAATTTTGAGATCCCAATAACGGACATGCATGATGGACAAAACATGGAAATGCCTATTAGCCTATTACCTTCCCATGCTGAAGGGCTTGCAAAGAGGATCTGTTACAACCCTATCCCCGGCTACGTAAATCTGCCAAGGTGTACAGATAGAAGTTGATTATGCTCCTTTTAACAGCAGCAAGGGGAATGCTCACAAAAAGGCAGATATCAGACTCACCAAGTTCTCAGCAATGTGAGGGTTTGTTCTTTCAAGGAGCAATGCAATGACTGCTGGGTCTGCTTCAGTTTGGTGATTTGACATCAAGATAATGTTATGCCCCTTCCATGAATAGCACAAAAATCAAAACCTCAAACAAAAAATCGCCTCGTACTTGCTCTAATCTACACCTCCTACGATATAAGAGATATTAATATTAACTGCAGTGCAATTTATGCTTATCAAAATGAGGGAAGTGACAATAACTAGTATAATTTGATACATTCGTATCTTCACTTTCGGAAATGCCCCCAAAATCCGGCATTGCCAAATAGAGCATATATAGATTTTGGTAGAGCAAACAGAGCATATATAATAATACAAAGTAACCATTCTAATTATAAATGTGAACAAAAGAAACTAAGAAGATAGAATAATGAAAAAACGTAAGCATAATAGACAGAGATCGATGGTAATATGATGATGTACGACAGATCTTCCGCGCACAAGCTTGCGTTGTACACCGACCATTGCATCACTTTTCCCCCTTGATGCAAGCACATACTATAGCACTTGTGTTTTCTTTGTTTTAACTCGTCATTTAAGAGTGTTATTCTTCCGGATTAACAAACAGTACACAAGGTAAAAAAAATCATGATTGTGAGAATTTGTGGACAATGTAGCTCACCAAGTTAGTCATACAATTAGTAGTCGATATATTCATTAAAAAATTATCCTGAAAATTGAATGTTTCTGTTGAATGCTACACCAAATCCACTCACAAGTTGAATTGGAAAAGCAAGCAACCTTACTCATTGATTCAAGATGAAGCACAAATAGACAAGCGAACCTTCAAGCAGGTAAAAGACAGGGTAGTTGATTCAAGTATCAGTAATTAGTAACCCCTAGCTGCCTGGAAAGGATAACGCTTGGAAAAAGAAATAGCCACTTGAAAAATTACCTGCTGTAGCTTTTCTTCCATGTCGCTAAAAATGCTTATGTTCCCAACATATGAGTTTCTGTAGTAAATGCACATTCCGAATTAGGCTCTATGATAGATGAAAAATGGCTAGAAAAGTTCAGGACTGACCTGAAATCTATTAAAGGACGGATGTAATTTTGACCAAATTGATAGTAGTCAAACGGTTCCCTCAATGCTTTGTGATAAGGGGGGAAGACAAAAGGATCCTGAAAAAGATTTACAAATGCTCACATCAGAGGTTTCCCTGAGCAAATACCTTTTGATGTACAAGCACTTTAGCTGGTATACGGTAACCAACTTACCTCCACATCAACGAGAATCCGATCCAATGCAAGACACATGTTGGACAATACAATGTCACTTGCTTTTGGATGTCCACTTTGAAGAACCTGAAAGGTGAAAGTCTCTGTCAGACAAGTGCAAATTCACTTTACAAGTGCATAAACCTGTAATCTACACGAAAGCTGATTTCCCAGAATCAAAAGACTAGACTAGAAACTCAATCTAAACCCAAATTCTTTAATAAATTAAAGGCCAATAAGTTCAGGGATGGGCCAGGCTCGAATTGCGGAATAGTGTGCAAAATGGTGATTAAAACCAACTTAACCAAGACAGTTTATGAATGCATGCAATTCAAAAGTTCAAGGATATTTACAGCTTTTCTGTAATTGTGATACAGTTCTTCCATTCCTTCTGCGACAGTAGATGGCAGCCTTCCAGCTTCTGCGTCCTTCCTGATTCCAGACAAGATATCTGCAGACGTAACACAGAAAAGATTAGGAAATCATCCCATTCGACAACGTTCAAATGTAAAGTCACTAATGCATATGCTCGCAGTTGTGTTAATACTCATCGTGTCATACACACACAAAATTCACAAGTGATTATCCCATTTGTCTCCCAAGGACTGTGCTCGTATCCTGTTTTTTCCTTTTCTTTTTGTTTGATAATGGTGATATCCAATTAATAAAAGGGAAACTTAAAGGTACAAGGAAAACAACAGGGCTCCAAAACAACCGAACGACCCTATTCCAAACTAAGCCAGTGGAAGCAGGGCCAAAGAGAAAAGCATCAGGACGAAAACACGACAGGCAGCACCTGCTTTTTGAGGCTGCAGGAGAAAGTCCAGGCTTCAGCAGCAAAGCAAGCCAGGAGACTAAAAACTGCAACGCAGGGCATCCCAGTCAAAGTATTGCTCTCATCAAACGGATCTTCTATGAAACAGGTATATGTGCTCGTCTACTCTTCATTTGACGACATTAGAGAGGTTTTGGTTTAAGTAGTAAAATTCTTGAGAATCCACTCAAAGAAAACAAGTGAAAGTAAAACTGATATGTGAAGTTCTGTACAAGAAGCCTCATTACATGGGAGTTATGAATTTAACCTGCAAGAAAACAGATCCTATTCTAATACCATTTCTCAAGAATGGTACTTTTCCTACAATAATTTACAGAAGGAAACATATAAGAATCCTAGTTAGGAACAGACAGAGAAAGTAATAAAAATAAGCCAACATGGTAAAAAATAGACAAAAAAACCAACATCCTTACAGGTCAAATAACAACACACTACGGCTTATCTGGCCCAAAATGATTCTCCGTGGATGTGAGTCCACAAGACAAAGGTGTTTTCATTCTTATACACATCCTTTGTATTGTCGGCAATGTAATAAGTAGCAATGTCATGGTCATAGATTGCATGTTGCTGGCTCAATATGGTCTAGTATAGGAGACTCAATCAAAGCGAAAAACAAGTATTTTAATCCTCTCTGGCAAACCAACTACAACAGTGATCAGAAATCTTACTAGCACAAACCCACAATTCGGTATCTGAGTTGGTAAATAAAGCCACAGAATAGAAGCTAACACCTAACACATCAATCTCTATCCCTAACACATCTCTCACCTTAGGTGTATTTCACCTTTTCCAGTTATCATTGACTTGGTACTCAGTTGTTAATACCTGCAAAGACAACGAACCATCTCTGCAGGAAAATAGTCTCCTCATAAGACAACTTTAGACATCATTCCCAAATTCTATGAATCTGTAAACCATCATATTGAACACCACTGGACTTGAAGAACCTTAACAAGCAACTCACACTCAAATTGAAATACAACACAACGTCCTTTCACCAATCTAAGTTGCCCGACAGTAGCAATTCAATAACACTATAACTTCCATAAGTAGCTATGGACAGACAATCAGTAACAGTGAACAAATGGAAACCGATTGGTATAGGCCTATTTATCGTGAACACCAAGCAACACACATATGCAAAGTATAACGTAACAAAATCAGGAAAATGAAAAACTAACTTCGGAATTCACCGCCCTCAACCGATTCTACATTCAAGAACAGCAGTGAACAAACGGAAAACGATTGCCATAGGCCTATCTAGCATCAAGCAACAAACAAATGCAAAGCATAACGTCACAGAACCTTGGAAAACAAAAACTAATACCGCAATTCACCTCTCACAACCGATTCTACACTCAAGAACATGAGCAACAAGCACGCAATTCAGTTCCAAGATACGGAAAGTTGCGCGTTATGGCAAGTGCTTCAGCAATATGAAAATGATCCTACTAGCGTTTCTCAGTGCTTGTGTGCTCTACCGAAAACCAAGATTTGCGGTGAATTCTATGGCGTAGCGGAACAAGAGAAAACACTATCACTGAATTCAGTAATAGCTTGCATTTCACGGGCCACTCAATCTTACTCGTCGCTTATCTGCTCTACCGGAAACCAAGCTTTACGGCGAATTCTATCGCGCAGCGGAACAAAAGAAAACACCATTAGCTGAATCAGTAATAGCTTGCATTTCGCGGCCGCTCAATCTTTTGCTGTGACGGTAGCTGAGAGCTGCCGGTTCACTTGCCACTCAAAATTTTCTCAGCAACCAAACAGATGAAAGAAGAAGGAAAACCGTAACGGAAAGAAAGCAATAGAAGGGATCACAGCCTACCTTCTTCGGTCCTCGCATCGAGAAACGTGCTGGTACTGCTCTCCGCACCGCCGCGCTTCTCGGCAGCCACTACTCGGCTGTCGTCGCTGCTGGTAACGAGCTCCGCCATCGCGTTGCCGTGGAGTGAAGAGAGGAGCAGCATCTGGCGGGGGCAAGCAGGCCTCCGCGGTGGACCAGATCTCAGGACGAATGAAGAAGTGGAGAAAGCAAAGCGCGGCGGTAGGAGTAAGCTGAGGCAAGAAAAGGACGGCGGAGAAGTGAGGGCGGCGGCCGCGGAAGCTGGCGGTTGGTTGTTGGAGAGGAATGCGGAGGAAGAAGGAGGAGGGAAAGCGGATAATCTCATCCTCTCTCTCTCTTTTCTGTCTATTTCACGGCTATCATAAACCGGCGGACTGACGAAAGACTGCGAAGGGAGCGTCGCTGTTCATATATGTTGTTGTGAACGGGGAAGGAATGGGCAAAAATTGCGCAGAGAGTGAGAGGGGAGAACGGGATGGGGAGAACGGGGAATTTTTCACCTTTAGTCCCCCTAATTTGACCTTTTACCAATATTGCAGTTGGAAGATAATTTACCTTCTCGGAAGTTGTGATTAAATAATAAATAATAATTTAATTACTCACATCCCAGAATCATTAATGTGATCCGAATCTTATTATTAATTGTAACTTGGCCTGTACCATCTTAGTAATTATTATTACAATCGCATTAAAAATAAAAAAATCATTGAAAACCATTACTTAACCTATTCAGAGTTAGGCAGAAAATATAATAGAATTGGCAGCTCAAATCGATGATGCAAAATCAACAAATGGCCCCTTAATTTTCATATCACTATATTATCCATAGTCGTAACTCGTAATGTCTGAATCGTTAATACAAACATTTTGAGGACTGAAATAATAATGAAGTTGAAGAGAAGGGACTTGTATGAAGTTATCCCTCGACTTTTCTCGTGGCAAAGTGATCCCGCCGGTTTTGACGGCGAGACTCGACCAATTCGCGCCATCGGCCTTGGGAATATCTCTCTGCTCCGTTTATCCTTTTCTATTAATTTTAAAATTGCCTGCCAGCTCAGCCTCTGCTAAATCTCCCCGCGATCTTTATGGGCCTTGGGCCCAGGCCTAAAACTCCTGCAGGGCCGAAACTCGTGCGAGGAGCGGAATATTTCCACTTCGGGGAGACCAGACTCAGTAGCGAGTTAGCGAAGACTGTCCTCGTGACTGCGACTGTGCGGCGGACGAACGAACGATGAAATGATGATCTGATCCCTGAAAATTTACAGACGGGTTGCGGCGGGAACGATGCAAAAGCTCGGAACTTACCTCACTTCTCCGTCTCAATCGATCTACTGAAGTTTCTTACAGAGATCGGCCAGCTCTCTGCTAGATCTTCTCTCGGGAAACCCTCTCTGTAAGCTCCCTTCTCTCCATTTCACTAGTGATATGAAGATTTCGGTTCCTTTTGTCCTTCGCTCATTTGGCTCATGAATCGCCGACGATGCTTACGCCGCCGTCGTTCAGGTTTTTCAATCGCCATTTCACTAGCTTACTGGGATGGATTAAGCATTTTTTTTAAAGCCAAATCGGTAATTTTCTTGCGGGAAATGAAACCCTTTTGAAGCCATTTCATTAGGTATTGATGTCTAGTGGACAAGCAATTAGCTCTAGAGTGAGCTATGTTGATAGTGTGTAAATGGGCATTTGCTCTGTATTATGACTAAATAAAAGGATTTGACTTGGGTACCTAGCTTACACAAATCCTGTAACTTCACTTTCCATTGCGCTAATTCTTCTGTGAGATGTATTCTAAGTAATTTGATTTGGACAATGCAGTGATTTGTAGCGAAAGATTAGTATCCGGGGATGGCTTCTCACTCGAACAGAAGCCTAATTATACCAGAACCTGCTGCTGAATCATCGGTTTCGCATCTGACCTGGTTTTACCCTGAGGAGCTCTTTGCATCACCGAAATCGAGCTCCGGTTCGTCGGAAGGAACCCAACTCAGCCATGAACCAGGTTTGTCTGTTGCTCCTATAAGTGCCATTCCAGCACCAGTCGAGCAGCCGGCGAAGGACGAGAGCTTAAACAGTAAACCTTCAAAGGCTAGGAAAGCTTCTTCTAACAAAGCTCAGTCCAAGCCTTTGAAACCAAAGCAGACGAAGAAGAAGAAGACGAGCTCTTGTCCTGATGCCAAGCGTGAGAAGAAGGACCTGAACGTGGATTACCAACAATCAGACGTCGATTTCTCTTGGGTGCCTTCCCCGTTTTGTTCTTGTACTGGTGCCCCTAGAGTTTGCTACAAGTGGGGCGCTGGCGGGTGGCAATCCTCTTGTTGTACTATAAACATTTCTGAATATCCGCTGCCTATGAGCTCCACGAGGCCCAGTGCTCGTGTCGCTGGGAGGAAAATGAGCAATGGGGCTTACACGAAGCTCTTGCTCAAACTGACGGCGGAAGGCTATGATCTGTATCAACCGGTGGATTTGAAGGATCACTGGGCTAGACACGGCACTAACAAGTTCGTGACAATCAAGTAGACATATGGTATGCTGCTGTCATCTGAAAATGGTGCATTTCGTAGTACATAGAACTTCTGGATCCAGATAGCTGGAGCTTGCCTTATTGTCTTGTTTTAACTACTCCCATGTAATCTTCTTTGGTGTTGTATTGTACAGTCGATGTTGGCTAAATAGTAAATGTATCCTAGAAGTCGTCAATTGATTCACCTGTTGTGTCTAGCCCATGGATTTGTTCATGGTGTGCCTTAAAACTCTTGTTGCCAGGAAGGGATCTGTTTTAGGATTTATCTGCAGTTTGTTTGAGTTGCGTCAGCAGCATTTTATTGGAGTCTTATCTTGTTATACACGTAAGATAGGGCTTAAGATAAGTTGTTTCAGAAGGAAGGAGATATGGTGAAGGTTGATGTAAGCAAGTAAACTGCTGAAGAAAGGAAGCAGCAGTCTTGGCATCACCATCAACTTTCGTCATTCATCTATGCTTTCTGTGAGGCTCTGGTGACGAGATCGTACACGAATCTGATAAGTGGATTATTTTGTCTTCTGCCTCTTTTTTTGCTTTCTGAGTTTGTTTTATACAAGTTACAGCTCATTTTACGCGATAAAAGCTCGGAACAGAAGGCTGTAACTGAGAGTCAAAATAGGAAGAACAGAGGAATACAAATTTTATGTGTGGGAAGGGAGTTTGGTTCCTTGGGTGGGGAACTCAAGCTTTAGCCTCTACCGGAGATTTGGCCTTGGATGCTACGAGCTGCTCGTAGAGGTCTCTGATCTTCAAGCCGACGATGGTCTGGAAAAGACCTGTGCCATTGTTGCTGCCTGGGAAATCAGCATGCTTCAACATCTGTTGAGTGACTTCACCGTAGAACTTGGTGGAGAGGTTGCTCAGGTGGCTCTCCACATAGATCAGCTCGTCTAGTCTGTCGAACTGCCCGTCCATCTCCAGCACCGACACCTGAGAATGTATCGGATTGTTAGGTTACACTCCCTGTTTGTTGTGGAAGTAGGGGATCGTCGTCTCTAATCCGATGATCAACCTCAGCCTAGCTAGGTACGATCTAATACGATAATGCAATGAAGGGATAATGAGTACCTCTTGACCGAAGTAGGTATCGGGGCCGTATGTGAACTTGATGCCAGGGTAAGAACAAGTGAGCTTCCTCCCACAGGGGATCCATGAGATGGTGGAGCCTTCGTCGAACAAGTAGACCGGGTCGAAGAACTTAACGCCTTCCTTCATGATCAACCTCACCCTCAAAACCTTCCCCTCGTTGTCGTCTGGGATCAACGTCGTGGGGAGCACCTCGATCACCGCGTCAGCGTACTGCTTCTGAGGATCTGTGCATTGCACATACTTGCATGTTAACTCTTCGTATTAATGTGGTTTCGAATGCAGAGCAAAGTTGGAACAATTTTAGTAGTGTGTGTATATATACCAATGTAGGCGTCGAAATCGGGCTTTCGGGCTTCAATGCTGGCCTTGATGCTCTCCAGGCTGTGCCCTCTTTCAGCCATGTCCCTCTGGAGTGTAACAAATCGAGTCAATTGGTGGATTAGTGTGGTTTAGGGATAGAGCATATGCATGTTTTAAGTAAAAGGAAATATAATATTATAGTTTTACCTGAATCTTCCATGCAAATTTGACTTCGTTGCTGATGTCCAAGTAGATGCTGAAGTCCAGCAGGTCTCTCACACGCTCGTCGAACCTGCAACCCCGACATTAATATAAACTGGTTGTTATAAAAAAAAATACTCGTGGCAAGTCTCGAACCCTAATACTCTCGTTCAACAAAACTAAGCATTGTAATAAACTTGGGTTTTTTTTACCGGTTTACTGTTTAAAGCTATTTACTTTAAATGGTAAAAAAAAAAGGGGAAGACCCACTTGCTCTTTAACTCTAACTTCTCAGCCTCACATTTAAGATTGGAAGAGGAAACTCCCCACTCCTTTCATCGATCTCCTTATCTTATCAGGATAAGATTTTATGAACATTTCCCTTCACAATCTCAGCCACCTAGCTAAGCTAGATTGCTAAACCTATAAGATTCTTAACTTCTCCATCCAAAATTTTGATTTCTCAAATATCGACTAACCAATGGAAAACCATACATGATACAACCTATAACCCGAGGTATATATACAAGTCACATCGACAAAAAAAAACCCCACAAAACTTTTTATGGTTTTAAAAAACCCCACATTTCAATTTTTCAATAAACATTATTATTATTATTGTTATTAGAAAATATCACTCTATATATCCACCATTGCAATTTGCAAAAATGCAAAACAAACCCATAACTTCAATCACACGTCTCAAAACAAAAACAAAAAAATCATTTCCCTTTCCCCCGTTGTGCAAAATGCGAAACTAACCCATAAAATTTCCCAATCCACACGTCGTCTCAAAACAAAAGCAAAACCTCGTGATTCCAATGAGTAACGACCTTCCCATACGAATTACGAAATTCCAACTCCAAACTAAAAAGTTAAACCATACTTAGTCATCTAGCTTCATTTCGTCGTGTTTAATACTACGAGGAAGTATCTACGCGGACCGGGGGAAAAAAATTAAAGAAGACAAAGCCATCGAGTCGAGCTGGTTCGCGCGGCAGTACTTACATTGGGTGGAGACCTTCAATGACGAGTATCTTGGGCGGCTCGATGAGCTCGGCCGGGTCGAGCAGGCCCGTGACGTGGTTATAAATGGGCTTCTCCACGGCGGCGCCGGATTTCAACGCCTTCACCTGGTCGTACATGAGGTCGAAGTCGTTGGCCCTGGGGTCCAGCGCCGTGACACCCTTCTCCTTCCTCCCCGTCCGGTCGAGGGAGTGGTAGTCGTCGAGGCAGATGACGGTGGTGGTGTCGCTGATCAAGGTGTTGGAGTCCGGGTTCCCGCCCTTGGGCGGCTCGGCGGCGCCGCCGAACACGCTGGTGAGGCGCCGCATGAACGTGCTCTTCCCGCACCCGGAGTCCGCCGCCAGGCCGATCACCACGGTCCCCGCGGCGCATGTGATCACGGTGAAGCCGCGGCGGGGGCGGTGGCTGGTGGTGGTGGTGGTCCAGCTGCATGTTCTTCTGGTGAAGGAGACGGCGGCGGCGGCGGCGTCGTGGTGGATGATGGAGGAGCAAGTTGAGGAGGATTTGAGTGGTGTGCAAATCGCCATTTTTTCTTTCTTTGTTTCTGTCTAGCTAGCTCACTCACTAGACTGGTTTTTGTGAGTTGAGCTAAGTTTTGATAGTGAACTTGGTGTGGATACTTTTTGGGTTTTTTTTTTTTTTTTTTGTGGAAGTGGGAAATGGAAGAGAGGGAGAGAGAGAGAGAAGAGGTTTGTATGGTGGGTGAGGGGAATGGATGGATGGAACTTGGAAAGAAGGGAAATGGGATGATGTTTGTTGGTTTGTCTTGTTGTTTTATGGGTTTCTATGACTGGAATTGGTTTAGGGAAGAAAAAAAAAATTGGAGGTGATATTGAGGATGTGATATTAGTGATAATGAGATGTTTATGAGTTTTTTTCAGTTGGTGGTTTGTTCCAAAATTCGAATACAGAGTACGACGATGTTTTTTTTTCGTATTATCACTAGTACTTATAGTATTTTAAGTTTGGAGTAGCATTGATTGGTTGATTAGGAACTTGTAAGATGTACAATATCAGGTGACATATTTGTACGTGTTCAAACTTTATTGGAAACTCTACTCACGCGTCTCGAGTTGTTGTAATGATTTGGCTCTCGATAGTCAATATGATATCAAACCTCTTAATTGAAGGTTGTGTCGAAATATTACTCACACGCCACAAATTAACTGATACAACCAACTGCCAAGAAACGAATCAAGTGTAAGACATAAAAAATTGACATGATATCGTCTCGGATTCAATTTCCAAAACCGCTACATTATGAGGAGGCATCTCTTGGTAGCAGTTGGCATGACTATAACATCAAGGCATTGCTCCTACGAGTTTGTCAGGTATTCATGAGAATTGGAGTTGCTCCAAATTTATACTCCGAAAATCATCGTAATAATTTTTTTAATTAATAATCAATTTAAATGTAAGATACATGTGTTACATGTAACTCCTGGTTATGTAAAGCTTTAAGTTCAGTATGGGTTATCACAAAGTCGGGAAATTAAAGGCAAACGATACTATGGTGTGCCACGTGGCGGGTTGAGGATGGTTTTGCAGAGGATTAGAGGTATGGGGTGTAGAAATGGAGTGGGCGGATGGATGGAGGGATCCTACCAAGGTTGTCAAACCGGTTTATACCGTTGTGCTGGTTTGGCAAGTGGAATGGTACGACCGGTGGTATATCCAGTTTGTGCCGGTTCATGGCGGTTTAAAAAAATGCGAAAACAATTAATATCCAATGTATTTAAACATATTTGTGGACAATTGAGTTACAATCCAACAAATATCATCAACTTTTAACTATTACATTCATAAAATGAATAATAAATTAATTTCTGTATTCATTATATTCATTAAAATGATGTCATTTTACTTATAATACGTAAATCGATCATACCGGTGGTGTCATGCCGGTTTCATGACCGACACAAGTTGAACCAGGTTCAACCGGGTGGCATATCACCGACATGACAACCGTGGATCCTAGGGATGGCAACAAAACCCGAACCCACGGGTACCCACCCGACCCAACCCGGTCAACGCGGGTAAAATTCGTGTTGACGGGTTTTGGGTCGGGTTCGGGTTTAAACCCGCTACACTATTCATCAGATCGGGTTGGGTTTGGGTTTAGGTAAACCCGACCCATGGGTACCCGCCCACACACATATAATTATTTTCCCGGTATATTTAATATTCTAAATAATATATTTTCCTTAAACAATTAATATTCTTTATGTTTGTGAAGACATGTATAATTTGTTTTTCTAATTGTTTAGAATGAAGTTGATATTATGAAGTGGAGAGTGAAGAAACTTAGTTGACGAGGAAGAAGTTTTCAATTAATCTTTTGTTTATAGATGTTTATCTTTAATTTTTAACAATTTGTATTGATCATTTGCGGTTTGCTTGTATGCTCTAGATTGGTGTTTTTTTGTATGAATAATTTGTATGAGAAAATTGATGATAAACTTTTATTTTGAAAGAAACTTGTTATTGTAAATTTTTTACCACAAAAATCCACGGGTATCCACGAACCCGCGGATACCCAGCGGGTTGGGTTGGGTTTGAGTTTTTCAAACCCAACGGGTTTTACCCCGGGTTTTTTTGGTGGATAAACCCATGAGTTTAGGTTTGGGTTTGACAAAACCCGCCCCAACCCGACCCATTGCCATCCCTCATCCTACTGCTCTAAGCCTCTAACCACCACTATATATGACATCATCACGCCCTCTTTTATTTTCTCTTCCTCTATTCATTTTTTAATATTAAATTATCATTATTATTCTTATCGCCAACTCTGATGTTCGTTATAGAAGCCCCAAGGCGACGGGGCTGAGGCTTGGACATGGTGGAAAGTGATTTAATCCGGGCAAGTGGATTTGGAGATACTGGGCTGCGAGAGGTCCAATCAAACGAGACGTGGCCTTGATGGGCTTTGTAGCGTAACCAAGTGAAGTGGTTGGTATTGGGCTTTGTGTAGATTTGTATAGGGGTGGAAGTTTGGTTTGCGGGTAATCCGCAAACCGCATCAAATCGCACACTTTGTAGATACTCATACCCACAATTTGTGGATAATGGGTTGGGTGTGGGTAGCAAAATATTGATTTTTGTGGTTAGTGGTTAACCACTAACCACAGCGAAACACAGATACATGAAACCCAGCAACAATACACAACAATGCCACTTGACATTTCCGTGGTAATGACCAATAACGATTGCTGCAATTTTCTCAATGCCATTGATCATCACATTCTTTGATCATCCCCAGCAGCTGTACAGCAGCTACAACCATTTCACAGACAGGCAAAACAAAGAAAAAAAACAAGATACAGTTTCACACCACATTAATAATAGCCTCTCAACCATCCCTCATGTCCACATTCTGGGAGAAGATGCTGGACATTCCGGTGCCTGGTAGTTGGAAATAGAGATCAGTTCCGACATGTACATATCAACCACTCCGCTGTTGCTCATATCCACTGCACCTCCATCTTTGTTGCTGCTGCTGCTGCTCAAAGCTTCAGTCTCAGCATACAAGGTGTTCGGAGCTTTGTCCGGTGTAGAATACGATATGGCGATGAGAGACTCCCGCACCACCTCCTCAGAGACCTCTTTGAACGGTACCTCTATATCCATATAATCTCTAATCCTTTCCTGCATTGATTGTTCACAAACCAAGACCTAGATTAGCCAGTGAACAACAGAGGAAGATGAGCACAACTACCTGAAAAGAGATCAAGCATGGACATAACTCAGACCACAGTGACCAAATCCTTCTAAGTGCCATTTGATCCAGCTTTCCTAGCTAATTAAAACACAGAATGACAGAGAACAAGCAAAACAAACCCACACCATCCCTTGAATCAATCACATACAGAGCCAGAGAGCTCCAATGATCAAAATGAGACTTCCATCTAAAAGTACCCTCTAATCCCAATTCCCACCACCTTCCTTCCAAGTTCTAACTATTTCAGAATGGAAAGAAGAAAAAAAAATCCAAACTTTCCCCTTCCTTGCCTCCTACTTCCAAAAACCACAAACCAATCAACAAACCACATCCCAAAAGAGTCTCAATTCGAAGAACAGTAGCTAAATCTCACTGGTCAGCGGGATAGAAACCAACCCCAATTCACAATTGACTGCAAAAAACGTTTAAAAAGGTATCTTGGATAAGAATAAGCCGGCGGGGAAAACCCGGCGGAAAAACCCCGACAAACCTTGGAAGAGGGAAACAGCAGATCAAGGGAAGATGGGATCAAAATCTGAGTATCAACATGGCAATTTCGAAGATTTTGGCTTACGGTAAGGAAAGGAAATCATAATGGAGCTTCGAGAGGGAGAGATTTCCGGATTTCGGATTGAGAAAACAGTACCTTTGCTGTTTGACGAACGGTTGCCCTGAGTCTACGCTACCCTTCTTCGTTTTCCTTCCAATTCCATCCTTGCAGCAGAAAGCCCAGAGCTTTATATCTTCGGTTTGAAAGTTTCTCGATTGTCAATTTGGTGGCTGCGGGTTTATTTACCTTTTCAGTTTTTACCCTGTCTGGTAATGGCCCGTTCTTATCCGCTGACCTGGCGCTGACTGGAGGGGAATCTCCAATCGAGTTTTCCAGAAACTACGAAGATGCATCTAATTTAATTTAATTTGGTAAGTTCCTTAATTTTAGGGGGTTTAAACTTGTTTAGTGAGCCCTAATTACTGTCTTTGGCCAATTGACCATTGTGCGTTTTAGTAGTTCGTATTGGGAAAACATTAATTAATGTTCCAACTTGACATGTTAATTACTTGTTTATAGAGCCATTCCACTTGACAAGTTGATTCCCAATGAGATAATCCCAAAAACCGACAGGAAAGACCAGTGATGACTAGCTAGCACGTGACGTGAGCTAGGAGACAACTCATTTATCAATTGGTCTATCAACTTGCTCTGCCATCTATCACTCAGATAATCAAAATACACATTAAGCATGTGATTATCGTATGATGTTGACGCACGGCGCATATTTGCCTCCAACTTGTGTTGCATACTCGTAGGTGAAAAATCAATTAAATAACAAGGTGAAAATACACAATACAATCGATTTTACATAGTATTCTCGTTTTGTTATGAATCACGGAGAAGGAATCCCTTCTCAGTTTTCTGTTATTCCTTTCTTAGTCGGCTCGTCAGTTACAAGCAAAAATATATAACCCTAGTAGTACATCAATCATCTTAGGGTTATGCGTAGGAGCTGTAGGTGAAAGGTCTAAACAGCCCATACTCATGCACGTATCTTTTACCCCCAGACAAGCGGAGCATGCAAATTACAAATGCCTAGCTTGGAGAGAAGGTAATGAAATTGATAACTGCCAAGCCCTTTAGTGAAGAGGTCGGCCACTTGGTCCTGAGAAGCAATCTTCGTGGGAAGGATGGGTCGCCTGGTGACGTGATCTTGGACAAAGTAACAATCAAGTTCGACATGCTTAGTCTGTTCGTGAAAAAATGGATTGTTGTCAATGTGAAGAGCAGCTTGGTTGTTGCAATGAAGAACCATGGGACCAGACTAAACAACACCAAGTTTGCGGCGAAGGGCACAAAACCAAAGTACCTCACTAGCAACACTGGCCATGGCTCGGTACTCAGCCTCGATTGACGATATGGCAACTACATCTGCTTCTTAGTACGCTAAGAGATATGAGCCATCTCAAAAGTCACAAAGGATTCGGAAGTAGAACGACGAGTAAGCTGGCAATATGCCCAATCTGCATCACAGTAAGCGGTCAACTGAAGATCACCAGTGGGAGGGAGAAGGATACCCTGACATGGGGCATTTTTAGGTAATACATGACCTGATCCGCAACATCAATGTGAGTAGGAGAGGGTGAGTTCACAAAACGACTGAGAATTTTGACTGCATGAATAATATTTGGTCGCGGGACGGTAAGATACTGAAGGCGGCCAACCAACCGACGACAGGTCGACTTGTCCATTGTCCACGGAGAGGGAGTATCAGTAGGTGGGCGGGTGAGCTGGTGGTTCTATTCATGGGTATACAACACATACTTAGACTTGCCCCTCACTTCATTCTTCATGGTCGGTGACATGTCTCCAAGACTTGCCCCCATGTCCACTGCATTTGACTGGAGACATGTCCTTCATACCATTGTTCATGGCTGTTGACGTAACCCCCTTGCCACACTTAGCCATATTAGTACGCTCACTACAAGCTTGCGTGTTTTGGGCTTGTTGGACCTTCTTGTGTTCATCTATCTGCACACTACCCGTGGTTTAGCCATATTAGTACGCTCACTGCTTTTGGTACAATGCTTTCCTTGCTAGCTTGGTAGGTACCCCTTTGGCTCCATAATTAACCAACTTTCATATTAGTCAAATTTCACATCTTGGTATCAGGCCTGCCTTGCCCTACTTGGTACCCTCTTGGCTCGCTAACAAGCCTGCCTTGTTTCCATGCTTAGTTTTCTTAAAATCAAGTTTCATCCCAAGGGGAAGGAGGCTGCTGAGCATGGAGGCCAGGGAGACTGGTCGACCACCCTTGTATGGGAGAGGAAGTTTGGCCACTTAGACCAAAAAATCCAACACCATAAGACCAAGCTAGCTCATTAGATGATTAATATTGAGCTGAAATTATAAATTCATTAAATCCCTTATAATTAGTCGATGTGGTACAAATTAAATTTTATAGGTAAACAATGAGATATGAAAGGGGTGCTAGTAAGGGGCAGATGAGATAAAATTGTTTATATTTATTAATTTGCACTTTATTATTATTAATTATTCATACTTGTTTGTTTGATTATCTGATATTATATATTACATATGGCACCTATGTGGCTTATTCATTGGCTCCATATCATGACCAGTCAAATATAGTTTAACCACCATATTTGTCACCCGTTAAATCTAATGGTCAATAAAAAATTTCGCGATATAAATTATGTTAGACTTTATTACTATAGTGCGCTACAACTCAACCATCCACATCAAGACCAGGGTCTCCAACTTCGCGGTGCTACTAGAAGGATTGATATTGTTAGGACTCGCATAATTGTACGCTCCTTCACTAGCTAGGCAAACCCTCGTTCCTAAACCCTAAGAAGGAAAAAATTGGGATAATTTATCTTCAACAGTTGGTAAACACAATAGATCGCATTGTCAGGACGGGATACCTCCCACTCAAGCACACGATGCATGACTTTTCAATCTCCTACATATCCAACCTCCAAACTAGGGATAGGAAGATAGACCAGACCATTTGAAAATCTATAGAGACCAAACTGGACAACACAGGAGGGATGAAAAGGGATCGAGTCGTGGGTCTGGATAGTGCAGTGCATATCTATTAGCTACCCAATATAGTTCGAATTTTACCATTATCCATACGCATACAAGAATCTGGTAGAATATCAAAACCATACTCCTAGCCGATTGAGTTTCGGAAATCCAAGGTTTAATAAATAATAATTTTTTGGTTTAATACACTTGTATATCCAAAACTTTCACAGTTGTGCCAATAATATCCAAATTTCCCGGAATACCACTTATATCCATGTTTTAAAGTTGTTCTTTGCCAAATCTATCCATTTCACCAGTGGCGGATACATGGACTATTAGGGGTGTCCCGGGACACCCCTAAAATTTGGGATAACGATTATCTAACCCCAAATAATAGTTTCGCATGGATAAAAAAAATTATAATCAGTAATCCGGAACACCTTTAAATTTTGAAAAAAACGATTATCCTAATCTCGGTAGTAATTTGTGTATGATTAAAAAAATATAAGTGGTACTTTGTATTATTCAAACCTAGGACACTACTTTTATTAAACATATTCTCTAGGTTTCAACTCGTTTCTTGTTCTATTTTAAACACTATAAAATAGTAAAAACATTATTCCTTATCCCCAATTATTTTCAAAACCTAACAATTAAACTAATTACGGGTTATCCTTAACTTGAATTGATGTCATGGTTACACGACAATAGTTAAAAGAGTCTTTCTACTTTGAGTTACATCAAGAACAAGGTTAAGAATCGAATATGCGATCAGTTCGTGCATTACTGTCTAGTATGATATACAGATTTGTTGAGCAATGTATATATTGAGTCTATTATATATATTTTTTTTTTCAAAATATGAAAATACGTCCGGACCTTTTGTTAAAATATGTACTAGTCGGATATTTTCTGATTTATGAATTATTTAATTAATTTTTAATTTAATTTAATTTTTGAAAGAGGACACCCCTATAAAAAAATTCTGGATCCGCCACTGCCCATGGCTTCCTCCGATGTTGACGAAAAGTATCCTCCGCTGACTTACTATCCCGACAGATACTGCGAGACCTGCCGGAGACTCGACAAGACGGAGATGAAACCAAAGCCCGACGACGAAGAGTATCTATTTGATGATGAAACTTTCTGCGACGAAACCCTAAGGCTACATGTCATCAACTACCGGAGGAACCAGTATACGAGGAGTGCAAGTTTTTTTTGTTTTTGTTTCTGAGATTCTGATTCCCCAGGCAAGCTGCTGATATTGTCTATCTAGATCAATGCAGTCAAAATTCGGATATTATGTAGAAGCATTTTGGTGACCGGAAAAGTTTAAAAAAGTTAGCTTTTCAGCTTCAAAGCGTTGATTTGATTCTACTCGCAGAAGCGTTTTGGTCATCTACAAGTTTATAAGTATTAAGTTTTGAAGTTTTAAATCCAGATTTTTTACTACATTGATCTAGATGATTTTTTATTACTTTCCAAATCGTTAATTGATCGCATGAATGCACGCACGCAGTATTTTGATATTGATTGCCCTCCAAATTATGGCGGCGTTGGTGGGCAACCACACCCTGGAAAGCATCATGCGAACGATGAAAAATTTCGAAAGACGGTTCAGGAATGTGCTAGGTTCGGGGTGGACAAATATAACAAAGAAACCAAGGTATGAATATGATGATGACACAGCAACAAATAGAGTAACAAAACCCCTGCCATCGAAAAATGAACGATTTTTGAACAGATAGGTTCTTTGATAATGAGATGATATCGAGTGTGTGTTGTGTTTGTTTGCGAATGTTGCAGGTGAAGGGGATTGATTTGGAGTTGGTGGAAGTTGAGAATGTTACTGCTGAAGGTCCGCATTGGAGGAGATTTTACATGACTCTCGCCTGCCTCAATCGGGTTAATGGTAAGCGGAAATGGATCTCTGAAGCTGGTGGTGGGGATACTACTAGTGATGACTGTGTGGTTCAGAGCTACAAAGTTGTGGTTTCCTGTTGCTATTGGAAAACGGAGCTGAAGAAGATGCTGCTCTTCAACGACCCAAATGGGAAACGTACGTATATCCACTACTTCCGTCATTTGCATCATATACAGTATGATCTTTATTACTACCGCGTATGTGCCTGATCTCCTCCCTCTTTATAGATTTGTGGCAGCCGGCGGATCCGTTTTGCGACCGAGTTAGCCAGCCATATTATGGGGACAAAGTTGCTCTAGCTGGTGATGGTTCATTGATGGTAGTCCGATCTTCGGAGAATAAAGCTCAGAGATAGGAGGAAGATCAAGTACCTAGTAGTGGTAGTAGTTTAGTGTGTTTATTGTGTGTGGAACCTTTAGGTATGTATGTTTGTTTATGTCGTGGCGTTTTATCCTTTCAGGATAAAGTGGGCACCTAAAAATTATCTTGATGTTAGTAGTCATCTCCATCATCCTTACCCCTCCCAACTGGTCGTCTAAGAGTGCTGAGACATGAGATTACAAAGACATACTAATCGAAGCATCAAAATACACATAGTGATGGAGAAGAAAATAATTCACATCAAATACCAGCATATATCATAGATAAAATGTGGGTCACTTTAACATCACAAAGATTACTTTCAAAACCTTTCACTAATGTTATTTGACATACTTAATAAGTAAAGTAAACAAAAATGGAAAATGCATATCTATAAAGTGAAAATACAACAACCATTCAAATAGAGTGAGTCACGCTTTATAGATTGTTCTACATTGATTTAAAGGTACCGCAAATTAAAGCTAACTTGATAGCAGAAATGCATTGTACATGGTAATTATCCGAAGCAACAAAATTGTCCTTGGCATCTCCTTCGAGAAAAAAATAAAAATGGATAAGATTCGATTGGCCACAACGCAAAACGATACATTGGTTCTTCCTTTGTTGACATTTTAAACCGTCAGAACGGATCATCTTGTGATAATGTTAACTCCAACTACAAACAGATTTCTAGTTCATAGTCTCTCTACAGTCTACCCCCGTGGTAGTAGGTCATCCATGACAGAAATTTATAAGCACTCGATCGAATTCTTGCATCCTAATGGTCTCACTTTCAATTTAGAGTTACAACCTCCTATCAAATCTGTGGACTCATACACAAATGTTGTGCTAAACTGAAAGAGGGTACAATCTCAAGGAAATGTCACAGTTTGCAGATTCAAAAGCAAATCTACCACATTGCAAAGGTTGAAGACCATAAGAAGAGAAGGATAGGGAGCCGGTGAGTGGTGAGAGAGATGATGACAAATCACAACATTTTTATCATGGATGCTCTGAGAATCACACATAGGCTTACCACATCCAGATCTTTTTCCTCGTAGTCCAAAATCCAGCTGCAGAGATCAAAATATTGAAGACAAACCACGGAATGTCAACGACAAATTATAATTATTGAGATGAATTTAAGAGAACAACAAGTTGAGGGAGCTTAATCTCAAAAGTCCAGAAAAGAATGCATAATTTGCAAACGCAAACCTGCAGATTTGTCGTGATCTGAAACTTTCGAAAAAACCCAGATCCATTGATCAACCTTGAGTTCCATTCATGTCCAAGTGCTAGGCGGAAGAAAACAAGACAAATAAGTGAACCTTCATTTTCAATTGATTGACGGGAAAAAGCGAGAAATGATACAGGCCGGCAACAGTGAAGGTGGATACGATTCCCCTTTCGAGCAGCGAACATGCATCTTCTCGAATCCACTTTCCAGATCCCTTCTATTTTAATTGGCTCTCTTCTCTTCGAAAGATCCATTGCAATCAACCACCAGGCTCTAAAATAAATAAAAAATAACCATGCCATTTTAGAAATTTGTCATAAAAAAGAGAAAGATGGATCATGAAGCCTGATGATAGGAAGAAGATAAGTCACTACAATCAGTGGCGTACCCAGAAATTTTACATAGGGGTGTCATCTTTTAAAAAATAAATTAAATATAAATAATTCTAAAATAATTAATAAAAATAAATAATATTTAAATAATAAATACTTTACTCATTCAGTTTGAAAAAATTCACAATGTGTTTTCATATTAAAAAATGATTGTAGAACACACTTAGGGTCTACACTATTAAAAAAAAAATTGTCTTTGTATATCATATTAGACAATCATTCACGAACTGATCATATATTCAATTTCTAAACTTGTTCTTGATGCAATCCAAAGCTGAAAAGACTCTTTCAATACTTGTTGTACAACCATAAATCAATACAAATTAAGGATAGCTTGAAATTTGTTTAATTGTTAGATTTTGAAAATAATTAGAGATAGAGAATGACATGATACTATTACACAGTGTTTAAAATCGAATAACATATGAGTTGTAGCCTAATGAAAATTATGTTTAGTAATAATAAAAGTGTCCTAGGTTTGAATTAACCAAACTATGACTTATATTCTCATACTCAAACTAAAAGATGAGAGTAGGATAATCACTTTTTTTAATTTAGGGGTGTCCCCGAATATCAATTATAATTTTTTTGACAATACGTAAATTACTACCGGGGGTTCGATAATCGTTTTCCCAAAATTTAGGAGTGTCCGGGGACACCCCTAAACACCCGTGGGTCCGCCCCTGACTACAATATAAATATTACCCTGATTTGTGAGCCTGTCCATGATCACCCAACCTCCTTGTGCTTAAGGCTAGATCTGAATGCTCCTTCACCTTGATAGTCCTTCCCAGTTTGATGAGCGATCAATGCGGGTGAGCGTAAAGAGAGAGCCCACAAGCGATCAAAATCGACTCCAACCAGCAATCCAAACGCAACCAACCTACAACAATCTCATCAGGAACCAATCAGTGCTCCCCTGCACCCGCCCACACCCAAGACTGATCCCAGTTGTAACAGTAATTCTGAGTCACAATGTGCAGTGAAAGGTCTCTGTACTGTAAATGACCCATTAGTGGGTTTTCTTTTTTCAATCAATATATAAATATAATATATTCAACTAGCTTTATAGAGATGATCTATGTATTACGGTCAAAATCGGTCAATAACGCCGAACTCGCTTACTCGACCGGTCCAACGGGTAATCCGGTTGACAACCTTTGCCCAAGTTGATATTATGAAACGGTCCAGAGTTCGAACGGAACTAGGCCAATTAGGTCCGGTCCACATATAAATTCAAAAATATCGAAGCGGTCGTTCCATTCCATCCCTTTCTTTTAGGGATGGCAATGGGTCGGGTCGGGGGCGGATAGTGCATATCCGTTACCCTACCCAAAGTAGTTCGGGTTTTACCCATACCCATACCCACATAAGAAACGGGTAGAAAATCGAAACCATGCCCATACCCGTTCGGGTTACGGGTATCCACGGTTATCCATGGGTAATAGTTTCTCTTTATAACTTCAACCAATATGTTAATATTCATATGTATTCTCACATTACGTAAGACAAAAAGGATGACAATAATACACTTGGATGAAGAAAATGCATTAAAACAACACAATTTCATGAAAAAATTATATTTATATGCTAAATATAAAATATATTAGAGAAAAATAATGATTATTTCTAGACAAAATACATATGCATGTGTATATCGGGCGGGTTCGGGTTGGATAGTGAGAAAACCATGCCCACCCAGTACCCGCAATATTCGGGTTCGGGTTTTACACGTACCCGCTAAAAGTCATTCGGGTTCGAGTTTTACCCACCCGACGAGGTCGGATTCGGGCGGATATCCACGGTTACGGATATTTTTGCCATCCCTACTTTCTTTTCTTTTCGAGGGTTTCCCAAAAGGCGAAAATCGGAAAACCCTAGAAGGAGTACCCACCCACCACCATCGCTCGTTTGGCTTGATCTTTGCATCCACCGGCCGGCCATCCATCGATCGATTGATCCCCATGGCTTCCTCCGATGTTGATGAAAATTATCCTCCGCTGACCTACTACTCCGACAGATACTGCGTGACCTGCCGGAGACTCGACAAGACGGAGATGAAACCAAAGCCCGACGACGAAGAGTATCTACTTGATGACGAAACTTTCTGCGACGAAACTCTAAGGCTACATGTCATCAACTACCGGAGGAACCAGTATACGAGGAGTGTAAGTTTTTTTTTTTTGTTTCTGAGATTTTGATTCCCCAGGCAAGCTGCTTATATTGTCTATCTAGAATTCTAGATCAACGCAGTCAAAATTCGGATATTATGTAGAAGCATTTTGGTGACGGAAAAGTTTAAAAAAGTGAGCTTTTCAGCTTCAAAGCGTTGATTTGATTCTACTCGCAGAAGCGTTTTGGTCATCTGCAAGTTTAAAAGTATTAAGTATTTAAGCTTACTACATTGATCTAGATGATTTTTTATTACTTTCCAAATCGTTAATTGATCGCATGAATGCACGCACACAGTATTTTGATATTGATTGCCCTCCAAATTATGGCGGCATTGGTGGGCAACCACACCCTGGAAAGCATTATGCGAACGACAAGTATTTTCAAGATACGGTTAAGGACTGTGCTAGGTTCGCGGTGAAGACATGTAATGAAGAAACCAAGGTATGAATATGATGATGACACAGCAACAAACAGAGTAACAAAACCCCGCCATTGAAAATGAACGATTTTTGAACAGATAGGTTCGTTGATGATGAGACGAGTGTGTGTTTGTTTGCGAATGCAGGTGAAGGGGATTGATTTGGAGTTTGTGGAGGTTCTGAATGTTACTGCTGAAGGTCCTAATTGGAAGAGATTTTACATGACTCTCGCCTGCCGCAATCGGGTTAATGGTAAGCGGAAAGGGATCTCTGAAGCTGCTGGTGGGGATACTAGTGATGACTGTGTGATTCAGAGCTACAAAGTTGTGGTTTCCTGTTGCTATTGGAAAACGGAGTTGAAAAAGATGCTGCTCTTCAAGGACCCAAATGGGAAACGTACGTATTCACTACTTCCGTCAATTGCATCATATACAGTATGATCTTTATTACTACCGCGTATGTGTTGATCGCCTCAATACTCAAAAGTCCGGTTGTGTTGAATGCTATGTCTAACTGTAGTTGGTTTTTGCAACTTGGTCGATTGACATGCACTTCGTTCACGACTATTCTCTGTGTAAGTTGGTACTTGAACTTGACTCATGCATATTTAGGGATAGTGTAAATGAAATGGATAGTATTTTCTGTAAGATCTGTAGTAAGTGGTCTTTCTCATCATTTATGTGGTGTTGTGCATTTCGTGTGTCGGAATTGTCAATAAGAAGTATCATTCATCTGAATAAATAAGGTAAGTGGTCTTTGTCATCCTTCATGTGATTTGAACTTGATGTCAATGTTCCTGTACCTTTACACCTCTGATCTTTTGTTTTGTTTGTTTGTTTGGCTAATATATGCTCATGGTTGGTTTTGTATACATGGAAATAGTGTTAACAATGTTGTCAATTTGTTTTTTAATAAAAGTTGCCTATCCCTCTTTATAGATTTGTGGGAGCCGGCGGATCCGTTTTGCGACCGAGTTAGCCAGCCATATAATGGGGACGAAGTTGCTCTAGCTGGTGATGGTTCATTGATGGTAGTCCGATCTTCGGAGAATAAAGCTCAGAGATAGGAGGAAGATCAAGTACCTAGTAGTGGTAGTAGTTTAATATGTTTATTGTGTGTGGAACCTTTAAGTATGCATGTTTGTTTATGTCATGGCGTTTTATCCTTTAGGATAAAGTGGGCACCTAAAAATTATCTTGATGTTAGTAGTCATCTCCATCATCCTTACCCCTCCCAACTGGTCGTCTAAGAGGGCTGGTGGTAATGCGGGAGTCCTTTGATAGCAGGAATCTGGAGGACTTGTAGTTGACTGTGGATTGCTGAAACAGTTGGTTGTAGTATTAGTAGTCGTTGTTGTCGTCGTTTAACTATGCTTATTGTATGTCGAACTTCGAACTAGAAAGAATGTTAGCTATGTTTATGGAGTGACATTATTGACCTGCAAGTATGAACGACAATAAACTTTTCCGTTGTTCTTAAGTGAAATGATGTGATGCCTGTGGTTTTCGATGTGAGTTGAGGGCTTTTAGGGGTTGTTTTTATGGTGAATATTGGCATGCATTTGATGAGTTCTATGAGAAAAATCTTTTTGCTCAATATGAGATTATGGTAACTGAGGTGAACTTTGTATGCTGATTTTAATAGCACATCTGTATGTACCCTCATGATTTACTTGATACTGCTTCCTTTGTCAATCGCCCAGTTTCACTATCATGTCTCTGCCTCTCTTTGTGATTCTTAAATCTTAATCCCATCAGTACCGTCCACTTTTCCCTCTTTCTCTTCTTCTTCTTCTTCTTCTTCTTCTTCTTCCAGTCTCGGATGGAAGTCTGCCGAGTTTTGGTTGGAGACGTTTGTTCCTGTTCTGCTCCAGCAGGGCACAGAACTCGATTGGGAATTTCCCTGCAGAACAAGAACCCAAATTTTTGAAGAGGAAAAGGCTGAATGAATTTGTTGTGCAATCCTCAACTATAGGATAGTGAATAGCCCTCCTAAATCACTTGGCCACCAAAGAACAAGTCATGGTTCAAGTTTGTCAGAATGCTGCACCTCAAGGTCAAAGTTCATCTTCTATTGCTTTCTGCAGCAGATGTTTTTTGCTTCTTATCTATTATTTTTACAACGAAAATGAGGATCCTATTCTGTGGCAAACCTGTGAAATGAGGTCATGGTTATTGGAGGTAGGAACAGAGGCTGATTCGGAGTTTTTTCGAGAACAGGGTGAAGCACATTCAAGATCTGTATGGCCATGAATTTGCCACCCGTCTGGGCAATGTATTCACTGTTGAGAAAGCTACTAAGCCAATGGTGTATCTCCCCAACAGCAAGGCGCAGGGTAAGAGCTCTCTATTACCAAGGAGGCAAAGATGAGGATTACCACGGCCCAGGCAGCTGCAGAGGGAATTTGGAACTCAAAATGGATGTGGCTGCTGTGTTTACCTCCTATAAATCAATTCGGGTGGCAAACGTGAAATTTTTAAGCAATTCGGGTGACCAAACTTGCAATTAAGCCCATTATTTTACTACTCACACCTAACCCACTACCCACAACTTGTGGGTATGGTTACCCACAATAGGTGCGGGTTGGTGCGGTTTGCGGATTATCCACAACCCACAACCCGCAACTCAAACTTCCACCCCTAACTACCATATATTATATGAGAGGTGACCTAACTGATTGGATGGGTGACAAAAGAAAAATACAAACGAGTACTAGCAACAGTAAAAATGCTCTCCAATCATTCATGTCAAAATTCTAGGTCTTTGTCTTCCATTAACTAGATAGGCTCTCCAATTTTCCAACAATTAAAACCGCAATCCACCAAATATGTGAACTAAAAAGTAAAACCTCAGCAATTCATATTTCATATGATTCATGTCGCATTTTCTCATCCTTATATGCACATGTGGCAGTCTTTTTTATTTTTCTATTCTTTCAAAGATATGATCCGTATCTTCATTCTTCATATAATATTCACATCATGCGCAAGAACATATATATAATAATAATATATATGGTCTCAAGTGAAGGACTCGTAATCTAGTGCTGTTGAAGTGACGGGGTAGGTTAGGTATTCGAGGTTGCTAACTTGTCCTACTAAAGAATTAGCCGTTTTGTTTTGCAAGCATTACTAGACAAGTAGGCGAGTAGATATTTATCTATCTACTCGTTAACTTGTTAGAGGAGAAGATCGATAATGTTTAACAAGCAATCGCTGACAAATTACTCTGTACGATGCATTATGGAGCAAGTTAGCAAAAGATGCAGCCGATCGAGGACCCTGACGTTGCATCGTTCTTGCTTCTCACGTGTCGGAAAGTGGGGTAGTGGAAGTTTTAAGTACATACTGAAACCCTAGCTAGCAGCTGAAAGGAAACTGCAAGTAGGTAGGGTTTTCTTTTCAGCCGAGTTTTTGGCCTACGTCTCAGGTTTTGTTTTACATTATCATCATCTCATCATATATATAGGCCTATAGGCGCTTGTGTGTAGATAGATTTAGGTCGAGTGGCTGCCATGCAATAACTTGGCAGTGTCAAGCAGTTATAGTGATGATCTATACAAATTCGTTAGGTCGTCGTCATGATCATGATTCATGCAGCATGATGGTGATCCAGTCCTTCTACATATCCCTGCCATCGGAGCCGTCTAATAAATCGTGACGATCCTGTTTCATGAGATGTAGGGGTCGTTTGGAAGTTGCGATTGTTAAATAGATGTATTGTTGAGAATGCATGTATAATATTATACATGTATTGTCAAATTTGATGCATTGTAGAATACAATGTTTGGTATGTGTGATTGTGTATGTCGCATCAGCTAAAAGCTGAGACAAAAAAATCTCAACTCAACTATCTCAACAATCACAATTAAAAGTTGAGATTTAACAATCACTCAAAATGAGTGATAGTTTCTGTCACATCACAGAAACAATCCATGTATTGTTTCTGCTAAAAAAAAAACAATACATTGTAAATAATACATGCATAATGATAATCTCAACAAAACAATCGCAACTTCCAAACGACCTCTTAGTGAAAATTGGCTTTTAAGTGGAATAAAATTGCAATGATTATATCATGTGCTTTGTGTAAAATGCTCTGGTCCACTTATCTAAAGTTGATCGACCAATATGCCATGGTTTCATAGCAAAATAAACCTCTTCGATCGTGATCCATCAGAACATAGGGAGTTCTACGTTTCCCAGAGTAAAATCCGGAGTACCGTATATCTTGAGTAAGAAAACGCTATTCAGAATTTGAAGAATTGACTGATCTTTCGGACATGATACTATACTCTAACCTTTAAAGATCAAAATCTAGGTCTTAATTCGCTAAATCTTATACTCCAAGATCAATTTAATTAGAAACAATAATCGACGGTTATGATTCGTCCAAATATAGGCAAAAATATCAATGCACCATCTTAGCGTTTATAGTTTATGATTTAGATAATTAGGCCCTAGGGTTCACTCATTAAGAGTTAGGGTATAGTATCAATGCCCAGAAATCCTGCTAATTCGAGGTCTAGATAGAGTTTTCATACTCAAGGTATGCGGTACCCCGGATTTCACCCGGGGTACTGTAGATAGCACCCAATTGCTAGTAGGTAGAGGTGGCAATTCTCAATCCAATCTATCAATCCATTAAAAATATCAAACTAATCCAATCCATTTAAATCCAATCCATTTGATCCAAATCCAATTGGATTGGTGATTCATGGATTGGATCCATGGATCATTGGCAAATTATGGTTTAGTATCTATAATTTTTATTTTTTTATATTTTGGTACCTAAAATTTTATTTTTATATGGAAAATATCATTGGAAAATTACGTTTTGGTACCTAAATTTTTTCATTATGACTTTTTAGTACCTAAACTTTTTGCATTTTGCATATTGGTCCTTGGTTGAGAATGTCATTTGGATTCATGGATAATCCACCAATCCACTTGATCCAATCCATGAATCCACCAATTCATTGGATCCAATCCATTTGATCCATGGATCCACCAATCCAATCCAATTGCCACCTCTACTGGTAGGGCTGGCTATATATACGGTCCGGTTCAGTTAAATTGTCCCAAATTAATCCGGTGTCGGTCCGGTCTTTTCGAGAATATAAGGACCAAAGATTGGATTGGATACAGTCCAATCTTGATCTGGTCCGGTTCCAATTCAGTCTTGATTTTAGATTGAGCTTGTGGGGATTTGAGTGAACTGGGGCCTTAAAGGGTGAGGAGTTGGTTGAGTTTTGGGTGTTGGACTCTCTTATCCGGTCTTTATCCGGTTTTTGGTCCAGTCCCGAATGGTTTTTTTTTACCTCAAATCTAAACCCGAATATGAGATTTCATTGTTTGCTATCGGGTCTCGGTTCGAGCTATATAGTCCGATTTCGGATAAAACCTAAAAACCCGGACCAAATAGCCACCCTAATCGATGGAACTGTATAGATTTTTCCAGCTAGCTTGCAATCATTTCCTTATAATCATACACATTGATTATCCCGTCCATTTTAGTGCTGCATGCGATAGCATTAGTGAATGAGTCCAAGGGAAATTGTACGTCACGACCCACCATGGATCAAGGGAAAGAAGATTACTATTGCTCATTCTGCCGGCACAGTGCAATATCGCATCTAAAGCAGAAGTGTTGAATGATGTTTAGAGAGAGAACAATTTTGTGGTAGATTATCTCACTATTATCTCGGAGAGCAAGTAGTACTTGAACTGTCTCAAATCGAAACCTAAAGGACTTCATTAGTATGACACTATTCGGTTTGGGCCAACTCACACGGATTTACTTGTGAATTCCTTCCCAACGATTATCTTGATATGTCATACCAAATACATATCAACTTTGATCTACCAGACACATGCGGATGTCTTTGATCCGTCAAACATATGCATGTCTCAAACCTCGAAGTCACTGAATGAGAGAGTTCACCAATCTGATGGCCACCGCTCCGGATTTGAGTTCCAAATCAGGCTTTGATATCACTTGTCGAAACCCGATAGCTCCTTTAGTAAGATATTGTCTACTTTTGGCCAAACCCGCATGAATTTACTTTTGGGTAGATCCTTTCCAAAAGACTTCGTATAAATTAGGCAAGGTGGTACACTAATATCCAGGGTGTCTTCCCTTGTATTCCCGATATGTTACTTCAATGTCTAGATATCATTTTCTTACTTGGTGTATTTGATACTCTGACTTTTACCCACGGTACGATGAAATCATCCATATATATTAATTAATTAAAATAGTTAACCTCACCAAAATGAGTATTATGCTTATTTTATCTAATATGATATGTAATCAAAAACACTTGTGGCCTATCTGCCAAAACAATCGAGGTGAGTCTCGTCTCGAATCTCTCTGAGCCATAATGTTATTAGCCATGTGCATTTGCTTCCTTTCTTACATGCTGCAAGTTCCAAGCCCAAAGTTTGTAAATCAATAATCTTATATTGGAATAACTGATAAATTGTATTCAAATTTCGCACTTACCTATTACCGAATTTTAATATTTTTTTTACAAGACTTTATTTGAATATGTTTTTCCAATAGCTCACTTGTATTATATCAAGGAATCACATATACTATTGTCAAAAATCGAAACCTAAAAGACTCGTAGGAGACAAAGAATGGGCCTTTTATCTACCCGATAAATTATCCAATAAATTGCAACGAAATAATCTAGTACTGTTGTTGAAGCCGATCAATTTCTTCTAGGATCTCTCCCTTAGCATCCTGAATCTCCAAATTCCTTAAAAAAACTAAGGAATCGTTTGCTTCATGGATTTGTATCAAGAATTTGGTAAAAAAAAAAACAAACCATCAAGGATTTGATCACAATCCTTCATTTACTTGACCAAAAATTTGGAGACAATTTTACACATCCCACCTGATAACTTGAGATTTGGCTAATAGTAAGAACGAGATAATTAAAAAAACAAATAAAATTACCGTTAATTAGAGGTGGCAAATGGATTGGATTGGTGGATTGGATTGGTAGATCCATGGATCAAATGGATTGGATCTAATGGATTGGTGGATTCATGGATTGGATCAAGTGGATTGGTGGATTATCCATGAATCCAAATGACATCCTCAACCAAGGACCAATATGTAAAATGTAAAAAGTTTAGGTACTAAAATGTCATAATGAAAAAATTTATGTACCAAAACGTAATTTTCCAATGATATTTTTCGTATAAAAAATTAAATTTTAGGTACCAAAATGTAAAAAATAAAAATTATAGGTACTAAACCGTAATTTGCCAATGATTCATGGATCCAATTTATGAATCCACCAATCCAATTGGATTTGGATAAAATGTATTGGATTTAAATGGATTGGATTAGGTGGATATTTTTAATGGATTGGTGGATTGGATTGAAATTGCCACCTCTACCGTTAATGTATAATTGGGTGCCACAAGCCCACAAGCAGCATAGCCAATGGGATTGTGAATGTTTGCTTTCCAGTGAAAACAAATTGAATAATTAAAATTATAAAAATAAATAACTAACGGATGGCGAAAATCAGGTTACTGTCTCCCTCAATAAAACCTTTAGTTTGATGATGATGCAATGGGGGATTAAAAAATAATAAATACCAATCATATATAGTTGTATTTTTCATAATAAAAAAAGTATATATATAATAATATTTGGTCCAGGTGAGTCTATGGTCATGAGGTAGAAATTTCCTGAAAAATTTGGTCACGATGTTGATGTTTGTGCAACCAAAAAAAAAAAGTAAAGTTAAAAAAAATTGGTGGAATCCTACATGTTGTTGATGAAGGCATTAATGATTAATCTCATACTAAAAATTTATGGGATGCCTGTGATAGAATATTCTTAGGCTTACATTCATAATATGTTATTAATTTACTACAAAAAAAAATGTGATTAATGTCTTCATTAGGGTAAACTTCTCCATAAGATATGTACTATAATATATATTCCCAATTTCCAAAAGACTAGAACAAAGAAATTTTGATTAAGTAGAAAAGTGGACATTCATCAACTCGTCGACTTATTGGTGTATAGAAATAACATAATATTCATTCATTAACTTCTTTCAATAACTTGAATTTTATTTTTGAAAAAAATTGATTCTTGAATTTAGTCTAATCAATACATTTGATGATCCAAAACTATCATGCCTTCAAACCTCTTGATACTCCAAAAGTTAACTTGTTATTTAAACAAAAATGTATGCATGGTGCAACCATGCGAACTTCAAGACCAATGCATGAATTTTTATTTGAATGGATATATATACATATATATATATATATATATATAGTGCCTTCTACGAAACCCCGGGTGAAATCCGGGGTACCGCATACCTTGAGTATGAAAACGCTATCTAGACCTCGAATTAGCAGGATTTTTTGGCATGATACTATACCATAACCCTTATTGAGGGAACCCTAGGTGCTAATTATCTAAATCATAAACTATAAACCCTAAGATGGTGCATTAATTTTTTTGCCTATATTTGGACGAATCATAACCGTAGATTATTTTTTCTAATTAAATTGATCTTGGAATATACGATTTAGAGAATTAAGACCTAAATTTTGATCTTTAAGGGTTAGAGTCTAGTTTCATGTACGAAAGATCAGTCAATTAAAGTTCTGGATAGCGTTTTCTTACTCAAGGTATGCGATACCCGGATTTCACCCTGGGTACCCACTTTTTTGGGTGCGCTCAGTGCACCCGCCTCGTAATTGTCATTATGAGTATGCGATTCATGTCAAAACGGTATCAATTGTTGCTTATGATATTATGAACAAGAATCACATGAATTTGAAAAAAAATCATTCAAACTTTCTTTAATTCGAAGGATTTAGGATTTAGGGAATTAGCTTTAGGGTTTAGGTTTACAATTTGGGATTTTGGGTTGGGATTCAAAATTGAAGGTTAAGGGGTTAGGGTAATAGATTGATTTGTTATGATTCTTTGTCATAACATCATATTAGATTCAGAGTACTAATTAAAGTTCAAAATTTGATGTATTATGAACACTTTTAGAGTTGGGTGCACTGTGTATATTGGTTATTTTGGCTAACCAATTAACCAAACCGATTAAACTTTAGTTTGGTTAATTTGATTGTTGTATTAGTTTGGATGGTTTGGTTATGATATTATATTCTATAATTAATAGAATTTAGTCTTATTTTATTTGGTAATTACTATGATAACCATTTGAAATCGTATTCGCTTTTTTCGGGCCCGTATGAGGCCCAAGTGATATGGATTTGGCTTCTTGGTGCACTTCCACAATAACCCAAAATGGAACCAGCTGGACTGGAGAGAAAGCATTATGCTTGCTTGCGTAAGAAAATCTCACTATCCATCTCCAATATTACATCTGCTCAAAAGTTAAGAAAGTAACCTTTCACATGGCAGATAAGAGCAGTGAAGGATCATCGAAAATATACGCACAATTGCGTTTCATAATCAGACTCAATTTGACCACTAAAGTTGATTAACTTTGTAAAGGTAATTAACTAATTAAGTAAAAATAAATGAAGGACCATTTCGAACGTGGAAGTGGCAGGAAATTAGGCAAACAAATTTTTTTTTTGTCGGTAATGGGCTCTTCTTCCTCTTCTCCCCCGTCGCTCTAATGTGAAAGCAAAGACAAAATTAGCTGTACTAATTTTTTTTATATATAATTGAGGTAATTTTTTCTTTTTATTTACATAAGTGATTATAGTTTCTATTAATGGTTGAATAGGTTACTTATATCATATGTACCAGTTTAATTACAGCAGGGAATGGAAAGGAACTAGAAGAAGGTCGTGCATAACAGCTATATACCTTGTTGGATAAGTGTTAAACTACTAATTAAAGTTGTTTGGGCAACCATTTTGATGTGATTCTGTCATTAGTAAATATGTTGTTTCTAAGTAATTACATTCACTTTTTCAAGAAATTATAGAAATGCTTCTTTCTGTTGCTAACATCAACGTATAAGTTAGGATTTCGAAAACAGAATCTCTCAATCATCAACAATGTCTCTAGACTATGATATTTATGTCGAAAATGAGTTGACCGATATGATATTTGAGAATCTTATATCAACACTGTGCAACTAGTGCACCACATCCATCAATTTGGGCATGATCTAGACCGCAAACATAAAAGAAAGGCCGAAATTTATCGTGAAATTAAAGATGGGGGGACAAGCAATGCAAATTGCGAAGCAAGACCTCTGAATTAGCTGTCCTTGGCTAGGGTTTGGAAAAGGAAAGACATCTCTCAATTTGTAGCCGGTCGGTGAGATGTGGGGACTCTTTGATCATTTCCAAATTAAAATTTAACCACATGAAAAGTAGATAATAACTTGGCTTGCATTTACGACAAGAATAGCGATGTATAATAATACGTCTGCAATCACGCTTATTAAATACACTTCGATATGTTTCGACGAATTAAAACTGTCGGTTACTATCTTCCCATCAACTCGACCTCGTGATTTGAGTTCAGAGAATTAGGAGCGAAAGTTCAATCATTAAAGAGGTTATGCTGTAGTATCACACCTCAAAGACTCAAAGTATGGTTAATTTGTGGTCTAATTAGAGGGACTGGTCACTTGCCGTACGATAAGGTTAGCGTATACTTCGATATCGTGATTCAAACATATGACTTTCCGTCATCAAATACATCATCATTATTCTAAAGCATAGTTAGTAAAATACGGTATGGAAAAGTTACGTATAAAATATGTACATGTATTTTACTTTATCTTTAAGCTAATGTTACGTTTAATAGTACGTTAATAGTCATAAATATATAAAATTAATTATTTTTAAAAATATAAAAAATAGTATAATTAATAATTTAGTTAATTAAATACGAATATTAAACATGTTATACGGGTTTAGTACGGGAGCTGTCAAATGAACGGAAACAAATGAAACAGCTTGACAATAATACGGATACAGAAGTTTTAAACGGATAAAATACGTATGGGTACATATACGTGTATTTAACGGAGTATTTACTAACTATTGTTCTAAAGATCAATTTCATCCTAAGGTAAAAAACAATAAATTTTATAGTTATAATTTGTATCATCTGACAAGTGTACGTATAGTATCATAATCCTGGATAAGCACAGTTGGAATCAACATCCTTCAAGTTTGGATTGTCTGGTAAATAAAAGTATAGAAATGGGGATGATATATACATGATCATAAGCAGCCATGCATTGCACTTGAATAAGATGGTGATAAGTACTTAGGAGCACAGAAAAAAAGGTGGGTCAAGAGTGCAGCCAAAACTAGGGCAGACAAGTGGATATTTTGGTTCTCAGATAGTTACAGCTAGCTCTGTGGTTCTTGTAGTCCACGAGATGAATATTATTTTGATCAGTTCAATACTTTGATATGTGTTATGCTTGTATTGTTCGTGGCAAATCTGTCCTTACACTTTGTAGAAGTCCTTTCAAACCTTATTGCAGGGAGCATCACGCGATGTCAAAAATTTACGAAAATCCAAGCACAACCAATTTCTCTTTCGAGGTCCCTAACTCGATATAGCCACTCTATATTTGTGTTTGGTTTTCGATGTCCCGGTTCATAAATCCTTTTTGTTGAGTTTTGTTGGAGCACTTAATTAATTGTGTTTTTACGCATCCAAGAAATTAAACCTTATTATGTTTTACACTTACCCTAACTAGCTAGGCATTAATGAATTATGAGAGTGAAAGTGTATAATAAATGTTGTGAAAGTGACAATTTGCAAAAGTGACTACTTGATTTTATAAAGTAAAAACAAAAAAAAGGTGGTGAAATTTTGGAAATTGGGGGAAAGGAGGGAGGGGCCAGGTGGGTTTTGTAGCCACCACATAATCTCACAATTATGGCAAATCCAAGTTGATGGTGTGTACATTGTTGTCCAAGTAAATATAATCTCAAAAGAGGGGGGGAAAATATTTTTTTTGTATAAATAATTATAATAAAATATGAAAGAAATTAGTAAAGCCCACCATGCACTCAACACTTACTCATCGGCAGCTGTTTAGCAACTTAAATTCTGGAAGGAGACGGCCAGCAGCTTCCTCTTGCCATCCTCTTTTAATTTCTTGAATTAAGGAAGACCACTTTCCAAACAAGCAATTAGCTAGCTAGCTAGCTAGGGGGAAGAAATTAAAATAGAGAGAACAAAATCTATAAACAATTAGCTAACCATGCTCTCTTAGCTAGTTAGCTTCACACACTAGACCAAGATTTTCTCTTTTATTTTTTTAAACACTGGTAGCTCGAAATTATGCGGGGTCGTTTGGAAGTTGCGATTGTTTTGTTGAGATTGTCATTATGCCATGTATTGTTTACAATGCATCATTTTTTTTTTGTTTTTTTAGCAGAAACAATATATGGATTTGTTTCTGTGATGTGACAGAAACTATCACACTCATTTTGAGTGATTGTTATACCTCAACTTTTAGTTGTGATTGTTGAAGATAGTTGAGTTGAGATTGTTTTGTCCTAAGCTTTTAGCTGATGCGACATACACAATCACACACATACCAAACGTTGTATTCTACAATGCATCGAATTCGACAATACATGTATAATATTATACATGCATTCTCAACAATACATCTATCTAACAATCGCAACTTCCAAACGACCCCTACGTTTTGTGAATCTGTTTATAACATTCTTTCACTAATATATTTATTTTTCAACGATGGTTGGGTAAAAAGGAGGAAGCCACATGGATTATATCAGCAACAAAACTCCTCTCTTTCTAGCTACCAGCAGCTCCACCACCAAGCACAAAAAAAAACCCTCTATAAATACCAACCAAATGTGCCCATTTATCTCTTCCAACTCACAAACCGAATTCCCATTCTCACGTTAGAGAGAAGAGAAGAGACTGCTCCATCTACTGCTCTCTCTCTCTCTCTCTCTAAACATATTTCCAACAGTACTGTTCCTTCTAGATACTCTCTTACATAATCCTCCCAGCCTAGCTAGCTACAAAAAAAATGGCCAATTGTATGAGGGAGCTTTGTACTATTAATCACGAGGTGAGGTTCGTCCTTCTTCATTTGTTATCGAATTCTTTAAGTTGGTCGATGTCATATCAAGAAAGAAAGAAAAAAACGTATTGAAGTAGCGTGTGAAATGTGCGCAGGGAAAGAAGGTGAAGGACGTGGAGGATCAGGAGTTCGACCGAGACTATGGATGTGCGAACGGCGACACCACCGGTAGTACGATTACGATGGACGGAACGGTGGATTGGAAAGGGAGGCCGGCGATCAAATCCAAATCGGGGCAGTGGACTGCCGGAATCATCATCCTTCGTATGTTTTCTCCTCCTCCTAGCTACCACAAATATTCATCCTTTCTTCTTCTTCTTCTTCTTCTTCTTTTCCTTAATATTTTTCATTATTATTTTGAGCTAAATATATTTTTTTTTTTACTACACGGTACACGCCATGCACATTTGGGGGGAGTTTGTTGGTGTTGATAATTAATACTGGTAAAACAATTATTACGGGTCGAATAACGACAACAGTTGAACTTAATTACCGCGTAAAGTCTGTTGAAAAAAAATCAGTAAAAGGGCTAACTATTCACACCTTATTTACCTCAACCATCTGTATTTTTTTTTTTAAATATTTATGAATTAAAAATTCATTGTAAGCTGCATGCATGGCTGGATTCCATATTCACAACATGCAGAAGATGTCGGCAGCCGACTCCGGCGCCGGTGGCCGAACTTATTTCTCGAAACTGGGGATGAAAAACAAAAATCTAAAGGTCGTTTTCCCGTATTCTGGCCGGAAGACTGGCCGGGCGATTAGTGAGTGAGATAGGCGTTGGTGACACGAAATGGAGGAAAAAGAGTAAATTATTAATCACAATTTCCTTCCACGTGGTATTTCTACCAGAATTTCCCAATATTTGGAAACATAACACTATCACAAAACCTTAAAATAAATAATAAAAAAAAACTTCCCTCATTTCTCAACCACGCATTCTGTTGAGAGCTTTATAATGCCGCGAAGTTTATGAAATTTTATCGTATCGGTTTGTTATATTATTTGAATTACGCAGAGAATTATGTTAGATACAATTTTAGACTATCATTTTAATTTTTTTTATATGATTTTGCATTGATTTATATAACCATATTCTACACACAAAAGACTCGTCTGGAAATTTTGGGTCTGAATCTCTAGATTGTGTAAAAGATAAAAAAAAATTAACACTTCGAATTGTTGAAAAAATATTTTAAAATTTTCATACTTTGGTATCTTCAATTGTCATTCAAAAAAAAAAAAATAGAAATCCCATTTCTTTATCAAATGACATTTTTACCCTTAACTAACAAAATCTGAGTGACTCGAAAAATATTGAGAATTTATTAGTAAGAGTATTTATAGTGGCATAAAAAAAATATAAAATAGGAGCAAAAAGTCTTACAATTCAATATATAGAATCTCTCTGTTTATGATAAATTTTTTATCTCTAGATTCTAAAGATTTAAAATATCCGAAGCTAAACTTCACAATACGATAGGCAACAAAAACATAACTTTCTTCTAAATCTATACTTCTATAGTACAAATCTTTTTCTCCAAACCAGCCTTAAGGCTTATAGAGATTGCTAATGCCCAAAAAAAAAAAAATCCTCTCCTTTATATTTTTTTGGGTTTGTTTTACTGTTTTAGCACTTAAAGTAATTGCACTCAAGATTTTTTTTAGGCCCACAAATCAATTTCGACCAAACTAACTTTATTATTAGTGGAAAGGAGGCAATTAGCAACCCAATCAAGCAATTCCCATCGTCCACTCTCAGCATTCCTAGGTGTGTGCAAATTTTTTCTGGTTGTGGGGTTAGCGTGAGTTTCTTTGTTCCTTAATGAATGCCACTTTGAGAAATATATAGATGGATGGATACATGCACAAGAGAGAGGCTAGCTAGTTAGGGCTTGGCATCAAAGTGAAGTTGCCTTGGATAGAAGTAGTGTATAGGCACCACATGACTTGGGAAAGTTTGTGTTAAATTATGCCATTTGTGTAAGTGGGGTAATGAATAGGTGTCATTTCCCCATCGAATTCTACAATCCTAGTTGTCCTACGTATCACTTTCTCTAACTTCAACTGGTTCGCAACGTGAGAAAATATCGAACGGGTTTAACATGTAGCATACTATTGATCATTACTCTAGCTAAGATTGTCTTATGGACTTCAAATCTTATGGGAATCCAACACCCATGGAGAGATTAAAGAATCAACTGTTAAGTGCCAACTTTAACTCTTTTAAAAAAGGGTGTCTCGATTATTAACTTGCTAAACCGACTTTTATTGGGACACTGATGGCAACACGGATCTAGGGCATCCCTGATAGAGTTAGATAATTGAGAATAGGATTGCGATTAGCAATTTATAAGGAATTGGAGATGGATTAGGGGGATTAAGAGGTATCATTGGGTAAGAAGAAAGGGGTTTCGGCTGAGGTGGGGGAGATGGAGAAAGAGAGCTAGGTTTTGAGAGATAATTATTTTTTTGTATTTGTTTAAATGAATTTAGATTCCAATTACAGAATCTATAATTCGATAAATTTTTTTAACATATCCAAAATTAATTATTATTTCAAAAATATCAAATAGTACCAAAAAACGTCTAAAAATATTCAAATATTTTGACAATTCCAAAAAATATCACAAAGCACAAATAATTGTTCAAATATAAAAATGTGGTGGAGACCTAATTTTCATCAAATAGGGAGTTTTTTTGTTTGAAAATTTACGAGGCATCCTTAACGATGTGTAAGACATTAAATGAGTAGATATGCAAATTCTCGTGACATTTCTATTGTATCTCCTCAATCCGATTCAATGACTTCCAAGTAAATTTTTCCTAATCTGAAACCACACACTTTGATCCTGCAGTGAATCAAGGACTGGCTACCTTGGCCTTCTTCGGAGTTGGAGTGAACTTGGTGCTATTTCTTACCAGAGTTCTGCAACAAGACAACGCTGAAGCTGCTAACAATGTCAGCAAATGGACTGGAACCGTGTACATATTCTCCCTTGTTGGTGCTTTCCTCAGTGACTCCTACTGGGGAAGATACAAGACTTGTGCCATTTTTCAAGGCATCTTCGTCATGGTAAAAATCCTTTGACTAAAAAAATTGTCATTTCGATCCAATTTGATTTTTTGTGTTGGTGCAAAAATCTCAACAGTTCTGTGTTTCTCTACAAAACCAGGGTTTGGTGTTGCTGTCACTGTCATCCTACCTCTTCCTGCTACGCCCAAAAGGCTGTGGGAGCGCCGAAACGCCATGTGGAGTCCACACCAACGTGGAAGTAGGGCTCTTCTACCTCTCAATCTACCTCATTGCCCTCGGAAATGGAGGCTACCAGCCCAACATTGCCACATTCGGAGCAGATCAGTTCGACGAGGAAGACCCCTTCGAAGGACACTCCAAAGTCGCCTTCTTTAGCTACTTCTACTTGGCCCTGAACCTGGGCTCCCTCTTCTCCAACACCATCTTGGGTTACTTCGAGGACGAAGGCGTGTGGGCGCTCGGGTTCTGGGCGTCTGCTGGCTCTGCCTTCGCTGCTCTGGCCCTGTTCCTCGCGGGTTCGAGCAGGTATCGACACTTCAAGCCCACGGGGAACCCATTGTCGCGGTTCTGTCAGGTGATTGTGGCGTCCATAAAGAAGTGCAAGTTTTCGCTGGGAGGAGATGGCGATGGTGGTTTGTATGATGTCGATGCCAAAGACGGCTCTGGCTGTGGGAATGGGAATGGGAGGAAGATCCTGCACACACATGGATTCAAGTAAAGCATAATTCTCATTACCTTGGTTTCTTATCGAATGTAAATTCTGAGTTCTGGGGAAATCTTACAATTGTGTTGGTGTTTGAATCTGATCAGGTTTCTGGACAGAGCGGCTTACATTACATCAAGAGACATGGATGATCAGAAGAGAGGGTTCCGCAACCCGTGGAGGCTGTGCCCTGTATCACAAGTAGAGGAAGTGAAATGCATACTGAGGCTGCTCCCAATCTGGCTCTGCACCATCATCTACTCCGTCGTCTTCACGCAGATGGCGTCTCTGTTCGTCGAGCAAGGCGCTGCGATGAACACAACCATATCCAACTTCAAGATCCCACCAGCCAGCATGTCGAGCTTCGACATCCTCAGCGTCGCCCTCTTCATCTTCCTGTACAGGCGTGTACTGGACCCTCTGGTCGCGAGGATCAAAGGAACGAACGCCAGGGGGCTCACGGAGCTGCAGAGGATGGGGGTGGGGCTCGTGATCGCCGTACTCGCGATGGTCTGCGCAGGGACCGTGGAGTGCTACAGGCTCGAGTACGCACGGAAGGATTGCACGCACTGTGAAGGCTCGAGCTCCTTGAGCATAATGTGGCAGATACCGCAGTATGCGCTGATAGGAGCCTCCGAGGTGTTCATGTACGTCGGGCAGTTGGAGTTCTTCAATGCTCAGGCACCCGACGGGCTGAAGAGCTTCGGCAGCGCGCTGTGCATGACCTCGATCTCGCTCGGGAACTACGTGAGCAGCCTGCTGGTGACGATGGTGATGAAGATCTCGACCGTGGATCACATGCCGGGGTGGATCCCGTCGAATCTGAACAGAGGTCACCTGGACAGGTTCTACTTCCTGCTGGCCGCCCTGACGTCCCTCGACTTGGTTGTGTACATTGCTTGTGCCAAGTGGTACAAGAACATCAAGCTCGAAGGGAAGAACAACAGCAACTCGGCGGAGGAAGACGAAGATGATGACGATGATGATTATAGTGATGATGATAACCACAAGTGTGGAGTCTAAGCTATGTAACTTGGTCTGTGTTAACAGGTTGAAGCATTTTAGCAAGCAATATACATATGAATAAATACTAATAGAGAGTGGAATGGGTTTCTGTTGCTTTTGTAGAAAGAGGGGAATGTGCTGATCTTATGTAAAGCTAGGGATTGGGAAATGAGGGAGGTTTCCAATGAAGGCAGCTGTAACTTTTTTCAGCTACCCTCATTCTAAATCTAAGCCTGGAAATGTACTGTATGATTACCTACAGAGTACTATCTTCTTCAGTTACTAGCAGAAGAGTGCGAGAAAGGACAAGGATGATAAACATGAACAATGCCAGAGCTGCGAAGATCGAAATCGATGCAGAAACTTAAGGCAGGTGCCGTTTTATTTGTCCAAGTTAAGAGGATATTATAATAAACAATCATCACTCGAGAAAAAAAGAATTTCATTAAGATCTTTGGTCGTTCGTGCTATGGAAATGTTAATGCTTGTATCGATAAACGAATGCTCATGTACGTATATAAAGAGCAGCTAGTTCACAACAACCTACTTCAGTTAAGAAAACAATCTGGAATATGAGACTCCATACGGTGCATAAAAATCAACTCTGAACCTCACGAACTTGGATGTGGTGCGTTGACTCCTCGCGCCAAATGGGTTGAGCTCCGCTCTGGACGAGAGTCACGTGCTGTCCTTCGACCAACAGGCCCTTGTCCTGTTACGAGGAGAAGTTGGATTAAGGTTGTTTGAGGGACAAAAAATTGATTGAGGGGGAACAAGATGATCAGGAATGATCACTAACCACTAGGAGCCTATGTGCTCGAGAGAAGGTCTCTTCTGCATCATTTGAGAACTCCATATAAATTGGCATGACTCCCTGGTAAAGTACCAGTCTCTGCTTCATCCTTACGCTGCGAAAGAAAAAGGCGTGAACTTCGAACGATAGAAGTGAAAGCGAGAGAAGGAAAGGGTTGTCATGAATCAAATACAGCATAGGACTTACTCATTTGTGAAGGCAAAAATTGTCGAGGAAGGGCGGTAATGACTCAACTGCACTGCCATGGATCCAGTTCTTGTGAAGACAATGATGGGCGTATTAAGAGTGTTTGCCATGATTGTAGCATGAAAGGCAAACATATCGCCCATATGGCTCTGCAAGGAATAAACCCACAAAAAGCGGATCAGGTTGCAGAACACTAGCAGCATCAAACACCTCAAAATGTATTTACAATTATTGAAATCCCAAACTTTTTTATTCACAAAAAACTGTTCCGAGTCAAGTTAGAACTTACCATGTGTGCATCCTGAGACGGGGGAGTTGTGTTTGCAGGCAAACTTGCCTCTGTCCTCAATGCCACGGTATGCATTACTTTAACAGCTTTCAATGGGTATCTTTGGGAAGAAAGAGAAATGGTCAGTTCCAAGTAAAAACAAAACCAGCTCTTGCTTGAAAAAAAAAAAAAAAAGGTTTCCACAGTAAAATGAGAGATGCTGGAGTAGATTATGCATGTAAACCCAAGTTCAATGACCAAAGTAAATGAAAATAGATGTTTTCATCCCCATCGCAACTAGGCCAATCATTGTAAATAATAATTGAATGATGATTCATGGACAGAAAATCTGAAGTTATTTCTGATCCTCACCAATGATCTTCGAGGCAAGGGCAACTGGCCTGGCTACAAGAACTAGATACATTACACTAAAGGGGGCATAGAAGTATGACTTCCACTGAACAATTTGATTGCCACTAAGAATCGGAAGTTATCAAATTAGTAACTTATTCCAGTTTATAAGCAAAATGCAATCAGTTAGTAATAAATTGCTAAGTTTGTAAAGAATTTAAAATGAAGGCTTGAGCTTACTCACTTTCCATGAGCAGTTTCTCCAGAAAGCATGACAGCATCAGCTCCTTCACGAACTGCAATTGCTATATCAGATACTTCAGCCCTTGTTGGTGTAGGATGATCAATCATGCTTTCTAGCATGTTGGTTGCCACAATAACTGGTTTCTGCATGCTGTGACACCTTCTAATGATATCTTCCTGTAAACAAAAGAGAGGACGTAGAAACAAGGAATTCAAATCAAGTCATTGGCAAAAACGGCCACAGACCATCATTAGACATTTGGTTGGACGCTCATATTTGAAGAAGAAAAAAAAAAGACAACAGAAAAACATCCTACTTCTTTTAGGGTCTAAACTAGAGGTAAAATGACTTGTGTCAGCCATGGAATCAGCACCCATCTAGTATCATCTGTGCTTAGTTCTCACTAGTCAGTACTAGATACCTCCATAGCAATGTCTTTCTCTTATATGCATTCCTCTAGTTAAGTTCCATCGTGAATATGACCAGTACAATTTTCTAGTTGCTTTTTCGAAGCCCTGTCCGACATATTACCTGCAACAGAGGAACTTCCTCAATGGGAAGTTCTGCACCGAGGTCTCCACGAGCAACCATAGCCTGCATAGAATAAAAGAGGGGGGGGGGGGGGGGGGGGGGGGGGGGGGGGGGGGGGGGGGGGGGGGAATTAAGTAGCAGGTTCACATGTATTTAGAAACCAAACCTCATTGGTAAAAAGTCCCTAATATGTTAAGAGTAAGAAAATTTTAATTCAAACTGCAGGTCATGAGAATGATGAAAACTAACCCCGTCAGAAGCAGAAAGAATTGAATGAAGGTTTGGAATAGAATCAGCACTTTCTATCTTTGGGATCACATGGATGTCTGCATTGTTGCCTACCCAAGGGTTGAACAGTAATAAATTAGATGAGAAGGAACAATGGAACATAGTGTGTAGACCAATTATAGTGAGAAAGGGACAGATCTGCTCACTCTTGAGATAATCTTTCAATTCATGGATCACTTTAGCATCCTTAACAAATGAGACAGCATAAAAATCTACTTGGTTGTCCACTCCAAATTTTATATCTTCCCAGTCTTTGTCTGCTCAAAATTTACATTCACAGTGGACAGCATTAGTTTCATTAGAATGGTTACAAAGGAAAAGAAGCGCATCTGACGAGGGTACATTTACAGCTCCAGAATCAAAAGAAATGTAGTATTAAAGGATAAGAACGAACAATTACCTGTAATTGAAGGAAGAGTTGCACTTTTACCACGCACATTCAAATGCCGTCGTGATTTTAGTTCCCCACCATCAACTACTTCGCATTTAACCAACTCCTTCGACTTTGACGTCACAACTAACGACATCATTCCACCTACCAAAGTAAGCAGAATGTAAATAAAAATTTCTTTCAAACAGGACACTGATCAAGTTCATTAAAATAAGCTACATTTTCCCCCTAAATCGCGCCACCACGACAAAATGAACAATGCAGCTTCTTCAGAGCACAGCTGAACATAAACATGAGTCAAGGGCCGATATGGGAGCTTAATACTTACCATCCACAAGTAGAGTATCTCCAACCTCCACATCATTCACAAAGTCGTCATAATTCACACTCACTGTATCCTCGGTTGCAACACCTCTTTTGATTGTGAAATTAAATTCCTGACCCTCCTCGAGATTGATCGGTTGAGGCAAATCTCCACTTCTAACCTCAGGACCCTACATTGAGACCAACATCCCAAAATTCTTCAGCATGTCTAAAATAGACCAAATTTATAAGGGACTTGTTCCCCCAAAGCAAAATGCAATGCAGTACCTTAGTGTCAAGCATAATCGCAATAACTTTGTCCTCAAACTGCGCATTATACTCTTTAACCAGATCAATCGTCTTCTGATGCGAGGCATGGTCTCCGTGCGACATATTCAAACGAGCCACATTCATCCCAGTTTCTGCCAGCTTCCATATCATTTCTCGAGAGCTCGTCGATGGACCAATCGTGCAGACTATCTTCGTCTTCCTCAGAGCAATCGGCCGCGTCTTATCAGAGCCCACGATATGATTCACTGCTAGGCTGTCAGGAGCAGAATTTAGCTTGTCCTAAAACAAAATCATTACAAACAATTAGACCCTGATCCCATAAGACTTTTCCTAAATGACACAACAGAGAATCAAATTCAAATCCATAAACACTACTGCAACTTATTACAAAAAGGTAGATCGGAATATTCCCTCTAATTCACATGTCAACATCCCACGAAGATAATTAAAAAGCTAAGCATAAGCAGAAACAGAAACTGATTAATTATCAATAAGCACATTCCCGCATTTCCCCCATTCTACGCCAAATGCTCCTAATCAAAAATATTAGGGGATCTGCGATTCTCCTAATCAAAAATGATTAGGCAATCCATATTCAAACAGTTCGATACAATGTGTAAAGAAGACAGAGAAACTCACAGCAGGTACGGGAACGTTGGGCGAGATGGGAATGTCGGGCAAGGGAACAGACGGCTCGGAGAGCTTCATCGATCTTAGCTTGAAGCCAGAAGGTACGGATCTCCTCGCAGGTTTGGCGACGTAGAGGAAGGCGGCGGAGCGGTCGCCGCCGGAGAAGCTTCTTGAAGAGGAGAAGAGGCCGGAGGCGTCGGCGGAGGTTCTACTGGAGATCATCTGGTTGTTGATTGCCGCCATTTTGTCAATCAGGAACTCTCTGTTTTTTCGGTTTGTATGACTGCGGCAGCTTAGAGCGCTTTATAAGAAGGGGAGAGGGAGAGGGAGATGGTGGAGGATGGACAGTTGGCGGAGGGTGGCGGTGGCGGAACTGTCGAAGCGTTGGCTGGCTCTTGCTTGCCAGCGGCTGCGCTCTGTTGTTGTTCGTATTTTGTGGACCTAAAACAAGAAAGACGGGGTGACAGAGACGAGGGAGTTTTGGGAGTTCCGCTCCGATTTCTTCGCCCACGCGCGCTGCGCAGCCGTCAAATTGCCAACCCGGTCATAGTTTGTTTTTTAGTACGACGAGAGTGGAAATTGGTACGATATCGGTATTTTAATAGCAAATTAGCATTGGGCCCCGCCAGTTGGCCGGGGTTTTCGGAATTTGAAGAACGGAAGGAGGATTTTTTTTTTATAATACAGAAGGAGGATTAAAAAGCAGAATTTGTCACTAATGGTTCAACAACATAAAAGTATTGTAGCCATTTTTAGTGTTGTTTTGCCAAGCATGTTAGATTGATTTTTGTTATTCTACATAGTCCACATTTTTGTTGACATCGGTTAGAAATTGATGTTATGTTCTTGAAGACATCACTTGAAACGATTGGCTTTTGGAGCTTCTCATTTTTTATTATAGCCTCATTTAATTCCCTTCATCCAGTAATTTGATACCGACATTATGCATTTTTCAAACATGAAACTTAAATGAGAGCTATAGAGCAAAAGCTACGATGGAGTAAGACTGTAGTGTAAATGAAGCATACAAAGTACACACATAATAGTTTCATACATCTGTTATTTGAGGCCGCATCAGTTAAGAACGGGAGCTAGGAATGACTCATAAGATAAGACGTAACTTTGTTCTTAATGGCATTCCCATCAATCATCACGTCCTGGAGAGGTGAGGCTCACTTAACCATTAAATAGCTTATGAGATTCTATTTCAAGGTTAATAAACTCAAATTGAAGATACATAAGAGCACTATCATCTTATACAAACACACATTTTAGTTGTCACTGTGATGAAACATTCACTGTAATCAAGAAATACTTGATCAAATAGTTGCATAGAAATTTTTAAATTATAACAAAATCCATTTTTGCAAAATCTAAACAAACAATGAAAGTGTCAGAATGACAGGCTGAAGTGAAGCAAACAGTAGAGTTTAAGCGTGATGATGAAGAAGTAGTAGGAAGTAATAAATCAAGTCCTATCAAGAATCAATAAAAAGCTTATTCTCCTAATCTCTTGGTTGTAACTACTCCTACAATTTCTCTGTTACATCAAGAGTCAAAGTTCTACTCTACAAAGACAACAAACTCAAACAATCAGATCATGTAAAAATGCAGCAAAGTTTGTCAATAGCTTATCATTAATATCATCAACAATCAGATTATATTAAAAAAACAAAAGTTAAGGAACAAAAGAAGAGAACCATAGAAGGGGAAAATATCCAACAAATGGGAAAGAATTGCAGACAAAGCTTAGTAATATTCTCCACAATTCAAACCGAACAGAAGTAGAAAATCCATAAGAGAAACAATCTAGAAACTGAGTTTCAATAGAACGTGAATAAAAAGATAAATCTAATACTAAACAGAAGCTTGAGATGGTGCCCCATAGGTACATAAAGGTTTCAGCAACACTACTTCTCCTCGTCATGGTCATAATCGGTTGCATGTTTCCTTTTCAGCCCGATTAAAGTTGTCACTCCAAGGTCCTCAAGACTTGGAGTCTTACTGAACTGTTGCAAGCAAATTTTAGATACAAAGTAGCTTTAAACTATGAAAGTAATCTGGTACCCTATAGCCCAACTGAATTGAGGTGCAGCTGAAAGTTCATTTACCTGTAGTGGATTATAGTCAATGCTAACCACAGAATACTCAGCTTGTGGATTCATGAAATTGAAGCGAGTTAGCTTAACAGGTAGTTTCAGAGTCATGTTGACAATCTGTTGGATCTGGGCCAGAATAGCTTAACAGAAGAATGCTCAAAGTGCCAGGCGGCGAATTAACAATTTGAATGACAAAAAAATCGTAAGTAACCAATTAGCAGCAGAAACAGAATCATGATAGCTGAAGCATCTTAGTAAGCAATACTCAAAACCACACTAAGAACAAAAGAAGCAATGTAATGAAAACAGAATCACAAGTTGCTTTGCTTATCACAAACTACTTTTGATTCATTACGTTATCATGCTTGGAAGTTACAACTAATTCCGTATAAGTAATATGCCCTCTCAAGAATTTTATTCTGGCTCATACAACAACCAAAAAAAAAAAAAAGATTGCAAATAATCAATTAGAAGGCAAAAACCAAATTATGATAGCTGGAGCATTTCCTTGGAAGATAGTGAAAGCAAGAAAATGCAAAGAAGAATGGCATGCATTCTGAAAAGGCAGATGGACAAATCACTAACAACAGTACCGTGGGCCTTTCATTTACGTTAAGAAGGAAATTGCTAAAGACATGTACCAGCAATAAAAATGCAAGGGTATCAGTTTCAAACCATTCTAAGTTCAATCAAACACCCAGAGAAAGAAACATCAATATATAAGTTCTCAAACAGTCCAAGGCATAGCTTGCATTAGCAAACTGTCTATTATAGACCAAGTCGTTGCAATCTTGTTATTCGAAGAGATTGGACATACCTTCAACTTAGTTTCCTTCAATCTGGAACCATCAACGATGGCTGGCAAGTGGCAACGGAAAGATCACAATTAACCCCAAATTAGCTAGAGAAAACGTCTACACATCAAACCATAAGGAAGTGAGAAGCTGCATTAAACGGTGACTGTCACACTAACCCACAGATTACTTGGATGTCCGCTGAAATTTCAATAGGAATTAGCAACCTGATTGTTTTTATGATGTCGACTGCAACTTCTCCTTTACATCATGCACAAAATAGGCGGCGACGAAATTGTTTGGTCAGTCGACTGCAGTGCGAGACGGACGGAGACAGCGAGACAGACGCAGAGGGATTTTCTTCTTACACGGGTTGGGAGAGAGACGACAAAACGGAGAGGAGTTGGGATCTCTTGCTGGGGGCTTGCTAAACAGACCAACTTCGGCAGCAAATACAACAACAATCGAAAGAGCAACCTACTGTGGGGGATTTTTATTCAGATTCAGTATGCGAAAAGGGCTGCTCTGAGCAGAGGCGGCGTAAGGGTTTGGGATGACTTCAAATTCATGAATCGTGTAAGTGGGGAAGATGGGGAGAGAAGTCTACATATAGGTATAGAGAAGTACTTTTTTCGCCAGAATATTTGAAGATAGCGACTGGGGAAGAGATTGATGGGGAAGATGCGGCGAGAGAGAACTCATAGAGGTGAGAGAGGGAAGTCGGTTTCCGGCAGGTTAGCGGAAGAGAGAGCCCGAGAAAGAGATGGACTGGAAATGTCCATAAAGGACCTCCGAACTGTGCGGTCGTTTAAGTAACGGCTGATGTGGCAAAGGCTGTTTATTGACATTGCCTTACAGTGTTTTGTAGATGTAGATTGTAGATATAAAAATCTCGGATGCTAAATAGTATTTTAAATTCAATTCCATGCCCAAAATAATTTAGGTATTCCTATCTCAATCATTAATTTTTTTACTTCGGACGGTATATATCCAATACAAAATTAATTTTCTTCAAAATTAAAAATCAGATACACACAAATACTTCTCCTATGCCAGCAACTCCATATAACCATTCTAAAAAATATATAAAAACAAACAATGGTGTCAACACTCCTGCAAAACAAATGGTAAAAAAAATCTCAAGTATAATAACAACGCTGGTGTCTAGAGGTGGCAATTTATAATCCAATCCATCCACTAAAATATCCAACTAATTCAATATAATAAAATCCAATCCATTTGATCTAGGGATGGCAATGGATCGGGTCGGGGGCGGATAGTGCATATCCGTTACCCTACCCAATGTAGTCCGGGTTTTACCCATACCTATACCCACACGAGAAACGGGTAGAAAATCAAAACCATGCCCATACCCGTTCGGGTTTCGGGTATCCACGGTTATCCATGGGTAATTATTTCTCCTTATAATTCCAACCAATATGTTAACATTCACATGTATATTCACATTACGTAAGAGGAAAAGTACGACAATAATTCACTAGAATAACGAAAATTAATTAAAACAACATAATTTCATGAAAATATTATATCTAATGTTAAATATAAAATATTCTAGGGAAAAATAATGATTATTTCTAGACAAAATATATATGCATGTGTATAATAGGGCGGGTTCGGGTTGGATAGTGAGTTAACCATGCCCACCCATTACCCGCAATATTCGGGTTCGGGTTTTACCCGTACCCACGAAAAATGCTTCGGGTTCGGGTTTTACCCTAACCGATTAGATCGGATTCGGGTGGATATCCACGGTTACGGATATTTTTGTCATCCCTAATTTGATCCAAATCCAATTGGATTGGTGGATTCATGGATTGAATTCAGGGATCACTGACAAATTATAGTTAGTACCTATATTTTTATATTTTTATATTTTTTAAATTATAAATGAAAAATATCATTGGAAAATTATATTTTGGTACCTATAATTTTTAATATGAAATTTTAGTACCTAAAGTTTTCAAAATTTACATATTGGTCCAAGACTAGGATGTCATTTGGATCCATGGATCAATCCACCAATTCATTTGATCCATGGATCTACCAATCAAATCTACCATGCATAGATCCAATCCATTTGCCACCTCTACTGGTGCCTAGAAGCATACTAACAAACTAATGCAACAAAGTGAAACATGGAACGGCTAAGCAACTCATAAACATACTACAAATCACGAAATGAGTTTGATATGGATTGTCAAATAGTGAGGAAATGAGTTATGTATATAAGTGACCATCTTGGAAGTTAAGGGTCTGGCAACAGTGAAGGAGGGATCCTAGTTGAGAGGGATCAAAATACACACTAGCTTATATTTTAGTATTGATCGGTATTTAGGTATATACCGATCCCAATTTCATAGTCCCCAATACCAAATAACACTTGAAATTCAATACCATGAAATAATACGTGCATTCAGTAATACCAAATACCGACAAATTCAGTATGTTGTTCGGTATAATACCAAACACCGACAAAACAAATTATTTAATTAATTTAGCAGTACTTCCTTGCTAGTACAAGCAGATTAATTAACAAATTTTAATTCTTTTTTCCCATTGGAAAGCAACAAATTGAATAATGCTAATAATGAGGTATCAACAATCTTACCTCTTTTATTATATTTAGGAAACATACGAGAAAGAATTAGTTCTGTCATATGGTTTGAAAAAGTCTAATTAGAACCTCTAATCAAAATCCAATTCAAAAAATTTCCATCATTTTAAGTTCATAATCGAAACCCACTAGTCCGTATTAATAATAATTCATATCATGATGGAGGTTCGGAGGCCCCCATAATTTAGAGGTACTGGGGCTGGAGGGTGTGAAACAAAGGATAGTTCATTCTTGGGGCGAATCAATAGATACTACTGCTATGGGATAGACCGTAACTTCAGGATCAATCTCAATGATTTATGATGTAACGAGCTTAGTATAGATCCTTAGCCCACTCTAGGTCTTTAACCGAACTTGGGACTAGTCATGGAAAAACTTGATCAACATCCTTCTGTCCTGCTAACACACTCTTAGGACCGGCCCTGATCTCTCTATACTCATGACAATATTGATTCCCTAGAAAAGACACATACAACTAGATTGTTGACCAACAAGCACTATACTAATGCCTGCATAATAACTATATTTTGGGTCGAGAATCATCATATCGAATTATTACCCACAAGTCTTTTTTTTAGAGTACGTTTTAAGAGATTATATTGACAAAAATCGAAAGATCTATATTTGCAGATTTTTTAAAACTCCAAGTTTACTTATTTAGGCTTGAATAACAAAATTTCTCTTATTTTTCTCAATTTTAGTGTGCTATTGCCTTCTTACTTATGTTTTCGGATGACCAAACTGAAGCAAGCAAATAAGTTCAATGATTGATGACTAGTGCAATAATCTGACCTTTTTGTTTTGGGCTTTTGGCAGAATTCCGCCTTTATAATCCTTTACATTTTTGTGCATTATGCCACGTCAGCACTACTAGGAATAGATTCTTCCGCAGTTTTCAACGAATTTCACTTCCGCGGCAAAAAGGAATAGATTCTTCGCAGTTTTCAACGAATTTCATTGTAGGCAACCCGTTCGATGAAATGCGGCAGTGACAATGAACATCGTTTTCCTAATTTCCTCTGTCCACTCGTCTTTTTCCTCCCTCATGCTCGCTTTAGTGGTTCGGAGCTTCTGGGTGAGGTTGCTGCCGGCGTTTTGTTTGGAGCTCCGCTAAAATGGCGATTCTCAGCTGGCTACCAAGAGTGTGCAGGCGCAACTCCTTCCGACGCTTTCTGCCTCAAAGCATCAACTCCAGCCGAGCCAGTCCGTTGCTGGACTGTACAGGTGAGTTTCATTAAACCTATTTGACCTAAATTTGCGATTCGTGACGAGATACCTTTATGTTTCCACTAGGTGTGCAATTCCTTGAACAACCGATGGTATTGAGCTATAATATTTGGTTCTTGCCTTCTGCTGCAGGAGGATCCACGGAAAGATTACGAGGTTTCACGGGTTGCTCGTCTCTTTCAGCTGCACCTGGTAGTCTTCCTAAGGGCTTGACTATTATGACATTGGCTACTGATTTGGCTGACCTTGTTGAGGAAACTCCCAATCCTGATGACGAAAAGGCACCAGAAAGTCGGGTAAAGTTGAAGAGATACCTTGAACTCCGAGTGAAGAAGAGAGTGAAAGAGCATTACGTTGATGGGAAGTTTGAGAATTTAATGATGAATGTCATTGCAAACCCAGAAACTCTTGAGGATGCTTACAGTTGCATCAGGCTCAACTCGAATGTCGATATCTCATCGGACGGCCATACCATCTCGTTTCAATCCTTGGCTGATGAGCTCTCGAGTGGGACTTTTAGCATTGAGGAGAATACGTTTTCCATCTCAACAAGGGGGAAGGTGAAAGAAGTACTTGTCTTACCTAACCTGAAGTTATCCGTGGTTCAGGAGGCTATCAGGTTGGTGTTGGAAGTTGTCTACAGGCCTTATTTCTCTAAGATATCACATGGTTGTAGGAGTGGGAGAAGCCATTCTACTGCTTTAAAGTACATCAGGAAAGAGTTCAGGAATCCAGATTGGTTGTTTTCAGTGATCTTAAGTAAAAAATTAGATGCTTTTCTTTTTGCCAACCTTAGATCAGCCATGGAGGAAAAAATTAAAGATACCTGCTTGCTCGATGTGATTCAGAGAATGTTTGAGGCTGAGGTGCTAAATTTAGAGTTTGGTGGTTTCCCTAAAGGGCATGGTCTCCCGCAAGAAGGTGTGTTGTCTCCTATATTGATGAACATATATCTTGATCTCTTTGACCGAGAATTTTACAGGCTGTCGTTGAAATATGAAGCTCTCTGTCCAGGCGGTCCATTAGGTGAAGAAGTGTCGCATTCTAGTCTGCGGACTTGGTTTAAGAGGCAGATGAAATGTAGTGATAATAGGGATGAGAAGGAGCCTGGTCCAAGAATATTTTGTTGTCGATTCATGGATGAGTTACTTTTTGCAGTTTCAGGACCCAAAGATGTTGCTCTTGGTTTCAAATCTGAGGTTATAGATTTCTTGAATAACTGTTTGCACTTAGATGCTAGTAGTGATGCAGAAATATCATCTAGTACCAGATGTCAAGGCATTCGGTTTCTAGGTACATTGGTTAGGAGAGAGATTAAGGAGACCTCTGCTGTAAAGGCTGTTCACAAGTTAAAGGAGAAAGTGAGGTTATTTACATCGCAGAAACAGGAGGCATGGGATAGAGGCGTAGTTAGAATAGGAAGAAAATGGTTAGGTCATGGTTTGAGAAAGGTCAAAGAGTCAGAGATTAAGCATTTATCTGACCCGGAGTCTCTCTTAAACCAAATTTCTTCCTTTCGCAAACCTGGGATGGAAACTGATCATTGGTACAAGCTTCTGGTCAAGATATGGGTACAAAACCTTGATGCTAAAGTTGTAAGAAGCGAGCAGCTCATCTTTTCTGGCATTGTGGAACCTGCCCTCCCAAATGAGCTCAGAGATTCCTACTTGGAATTCAAGAAGTGTGCAGAAAGATATGTTCATTCTGAGACAGCTACAACACTTGCCCTTCTGCCAAGTTCTAATCACTCCCCTGCTGAAACGGTTACAAAGATTATTGCACCTGTTTATGCCATTCAAAAACGTTTGTTCCGATATGGATTAGCCACTTATAGAGGACACCCTTGTGCAGCACGCTTACTGATGTTACAGGATGACATCCAAATCTTTGATTGGTTCCATGGCATAGTCAGCCGTTGGCTTAGGTGGTACAGCTACTGTGATAACTTATCTGAAGTTGAAGCCATGGTTCGATATCAGCTGAGGAAATCTTGCATCCGTACTCTAGCTGCAAAGTATCGAATCCATGAGGATGACATTGAGAAACGATTTGACGTTGAACTGAGTAAGATCTCGTCATCTGTGGATGACCTAGATGAAGATATCGGGTTTGATTCATCGGAAGTGAAAAAATTGTGTGATGATGATGCTGGAGCCATGACATATGGAGTTTCATATAGTGGCTCATGTTTGTTATCATTAGCAAGAATGGTGAGCGAGCAAAGGCCGTGTGACTGTTTTGTTATAGGGTGCTCAGCTGCAGCACCATCTGTTTATACTCTACATGTGATGGAGAGGCAGAAGTTTCCTGGATGGAAGACGGGGTTTTCAACTTGTATTCATCCCAGTTTAAACAAAAGGCGAATTGGGCTGTGTAAGCAACACTTGCAGGATTTGTATCTTGGTCGAATATCACTTCAGTCAGTTGATTTTGGTTCATGGAACTAAACGTTTTCCTCACTTGATTGGATAAAGCCACCTAAGATCAAGCTGGCACGGCTATGAGAAACAAAGGAGTAAGATGGTATTAGCTCAAATTCAAACTTGTTATATCTTTAGGCTTCTGGCTTGTACATAATCAGTAATCTTCTTTACATTATTATTATTATGTACTACAAAGTTGAACTTCACACATGGATTGCTACTGTTTGTCTTTACCAGCGTTGATGGCTGCAAGAATCACCTGCCACTGCATATCCTAATGATTCACAAGGTAACTTGATAGGTGTATTTTTACGTTTCCTGTTCTTAAACCCTCTCTTGGATTTAGTAGAGGCTGTAGATAACGCTTCATATTCGCAGAGCAATAATCTTTGACAATAATGCTGCCCAGTGATTTTTTGATTTCCGGTTACTAGTTGATAGATTATCAGACATCTCATTTTGCAAATATAACAATCCAACAATGTGCTTAGGCATTCTAAATTTGTTGAAAGGAAGTGATAAAGACGAACCCTTCTCTGTTAGTTCACTTAAATTGTTGACTTTCTTCTGCAGGAATCTCAGAATCCCTGGTAGAAGAGAGCAGCTACTCACAGGCCAAGTAGCCCGTTTAGATTCTTCTGATACATGATGTCTGTCGCTGACATTCCAATCCCGAGATGGGTGGACTGTTAATCATCGTCCTTTCATTACGACGAGAGATTAAAAGGTTGATCCCAGAGCTCGTCGACAGACTTGTAAGGCCCAGTCTCGGAGACGAACATCTCGCCAGAGAAGCCACGCTGCTGTGGGATGCGCTGCTCGATTTTGGAGACCTCGTCTTGGGTTAGTTCCCAGTCGAAAATGTCCAGGTTTTGCCTCATCCTATCCTTGTTGAAGCTCTTCACTATCGGGATCGCGCCTTGCTCGTATATCCACCTCAGCGCTACCTGTTTCCAAAGCATGGTTATCTTAGTAGTTGAATGTTCAGTTAATCATAGTGATTATTGCTTAAATTGTAGACAAGAGTGCAATTCTAATTTACCTGAGCGACGGACTTGCCTTTGGCGTCGGCGATTTCCTTGAGGACGGGGCTGTGCATGACTGAGAAAGATCCCCACGAGGCGCCGTTTCCTCCCAATGGCGACCACGCGCACACCTGAATTCCTTTCTCTCTGCATAGCTTCACCAATTTCTTCTGCTGCCATCCTGTGTTCATTTCCACCTGCCAGAGTTGAGACTAATAAGTCTTTGTTTGTGCTAATCTAGCACACTCTTTGCTTGCATGAAGGAGGAACAAGACCCTTCTCGCGTGATAAGTACATTGAGATCGAATCGAAGATGTGACGAATTGTTTATTGTGAAAGTAGGTGTTAGTGTTGTGGTATATGATCAACGATTGAACCTCTTCCAACAACTCGAGTTATTGGGAGCAACTGGTTCTTGACATGGTTTCAGAGCCTTCTGTGACCGAAAGTTCTTGTGTTCGATTTTCGGTGACCCCCATTTGTTAAGCACATTTTTGTCTTCAAACCTGTGCAAACTTCAAGCTCTTGTGCAAACTTCAAGCTCTTGTGAGTGACTTTCGTTTGAGACTATGACGACCGGGGAAAAGGGACCGACCTGATTGACGGCAGGAGGAATGGTTGCATGTTGAAGCAATTGGTGGAGTTTGGCTGGGCCGTAGTTGCTGACGCCAATGGATTTGCAGAGCCCAAGCCTGAAGCAGTCTTCCATTGCGGCCCACGTCCCTCTCATGTCGAACTCGACAATGTCTTCTTTGACAAACCCTAGTGGGCTCTTTTTCATGCTTACCGGCCAGTGGATCAAATACAGGTCCACGTACTCCATTCCCAGCCTCCTAATATAATAATCGTCAAAGTCAACATCAACCAATTAGAATTACCATCGGCCTGCAACTAATTTAAGCATAATTTTCGCTTGTTATTGGTTGCAGTCCTACAAGACGACGAGTAATCAAATAAGAAACAGTCACTGACAAATGACAAATGACAATTGTCAATTGGTGCGTAGTGAGAGGTGCTTACAAGGATAAATTAATCTTCTTAGATTCTAACGATTATTGACCTAATTGCTCAACTGATTAATTAATTAATGGGTTATATGATCCGGTCATGGTTGAAACCAGATGTCATCCAATCCCGTCTCCAGTTGGGGTATTTGTCAAAACGGTTTCACAAAACCGGGTTAATCCGGTCCGGTTTAAACTGGACCAGACTGTTTCCCACCGCTACCCCACTTCACAATGTACATAATATAAAGGAGTCAACTTGACATGATAATCGGTATGGAGAGTTATCAGACGGAAGCAAGAAGATGGAATAGGGGGAAAATGTCGAATTAGTTATGAAATTGGATAGAAATTCTATTGTGGAGGAGTTTTATACAGATGGAGATGATTATCAAGTGCAGGGAACTAAGTGAGAAAAGGGGATCCCGATTTGGAAGATTGACTTCGAGTTTCAATCTCCAGGAGCAGCCCTAGTTTTCACCTAACGTATCCACTCTCCCCTCTCCAGCACAAACGACTTTGTTCTTTTTGCAGTTGGGTTGAGCGGGTCACCTGCCCACCCGCCCACAACCCACTCTCCATCCGGAGAATGGATCCTAGTGCAACCCGTCATCCACCCACAGATCCACCCACATAACAAAATTCGGATCAAATGCGACAAGGTCGACCCAAACCCGCCGGTGATCCGCCCACATGCCCAACCCTAGGTCCTAGGACCCCACTTGGATAAATTAAAATGGTTATATGTATGTACATACTTGTTTAATTTGGGTAAATTTAGAATTCAGGATCCCATTCATATGGAATTTAATTGTCCTAGTATTATGAAACACACAAATAAATTAGACTATATTGGTCATATATCATTGAAAATCCCCAAATTTATAGTACTTATTCTAAAAATTTCTAATTCTACTAAATATGTGTACAAAAACCTCCAGCTATATCTAAAAAGCTCTTAGTTAAACAAAATTTTCCTATCAATATACCATTCCTTTGTCATCAAATGTGTTTTATAAAACGTTTGTGTGTATTAGATTTTGCTTGGGAATTGTTTATTTTAGCTAGTTATTAAAATGTCACTTTTTAATTATGAGTTACGCAAAATGTACAAATTTAATAATCAATGGTTTGATGAATGACTACTTGACTGAATATTTTTAAAAAAATTTACTTGATAATTGAATAAATATTGTAAAATTTTTCGTAAATGAGACCCCATTAAACTTGAATCCTGGCTACGCCACTGATTACACCACTATTGTCTTACGTCAATAGAAAAATTCCAAATATTGTGAAATTACCGAAAAAGCCAATAATATGATATTTTGTACAATGGTTCAAACATTTTTAGTCTAAAACCACCAACCGGTTTTACTCCGTATCTAATACTTTCTCCCTTTTTTTTTTAAAAAACCATACCGGAGAGTGTTGGTGAGTGCGGGGACGACGGAATCGGCATGCAAATCCGTACACCAGACCTTGGACGTGATGAAGAACTCGTCGCGGCTCCCGACGTGCCCCTTCTCCACGGCCTCCGCCACCGCTCTCCCCACCTCCTCCTCCGTCCTGTACACCGCCGCCGTGTCGAAGTGGCGGTACCCGGCCGCCACGGCGTCCAGCAACGCGGCCACGATGACCTCCGGCGGCGGCGGCACCGGGGAGGCACACGCCGTCCCCATCCCGATCGACGGCATCTTCATCTTGGCTGGCGATGAAGAAGAAGAAGAAGAAGAAGAAGAAATCGTCGTCAGCTCAACCGCCGGGACCTGGATTATTGTTGTTGTTGTTTTCTTCTCCATGGTGTAGTGGTTAAGGTTTCTTTGGAGTTTGGATGTATATATAAGAAACTTTGGAGCAAGAGAAACAGATTTGTGGTGGACTGGATTGATTGATGTACATATGGAAGTATAGAATAGAACCCACCCATTCGTTTTAGATGTTATTTGGAATGTATTTTTCGTCATTTTATGATTGGGTGAGGGGGGAAATTTTAGTGATGGTATTGGATGAAAGGAATTTGATTTAATTGTTTCGAAATGGAGTAATTGGTTCAAATTATTTAGTTTGGCAATACAATGGGATACAGTACTTGGGGTCGAGATAATTTGAATTTAGTTGTCTCGATTTGCATCAGTTTGAATTGGGAGAAGAAAGTGTAGTGGCAAAATAGATACACTTATGGGAAGTTTTTTTTGGGTAAATTGCAAGGTTGGTCACCAAAATTATAAAAAAACGTTCATGTTTGGCCACTGAAAATATTTAATTTCATTCGTGGTCACTAAAATTAGCTAAACATTTCAAGTTTGGTCGCTCTCCGTCCATTTCCGTTAACTTTTGCTTATGTGACTGCTGCGGCTTTTCCGAGTGTCGTTTTGGAATGATTGCTGGTTGCCTGGCACTATACTGAAGGATCCTTTTCCGAGGGTGGCTGCTGCGACTTCAAATCCAAACGCGTGGGTCTCCGACGTGATATCCTTTGATTGTGAGAGATTGGGGTGGGATTTACAATTAATCTTTAGTTTAAGGGGAGGTGCTGAGTGTGAAAGAATAGAACTTATGCAAAAGCTATCTTTATTACCAAATGACTTGATCTCTGCAGGTCCTGCCAAAATCATGTGGAAGCCTTGCTCTAGGGGGTTTTCGGTGAAGTCCATGTATAACATTCTTATTCAGGCAAAATTCCCCGGTGACATCGACTTCCCCGAACGCGTTATCTGGCAGCCTGTTGTTCCTATGAAGGTGAAGGCATTCATGTGGATCTTGTCGTACAAAGGAATTCTTACTCACGACAATCTGATGAAGCGAGGGTGGAAGTTGGCGAGCATGTGTGTCTTGTGCAGAGCTGCTGTTGAAGACATTAATCACCTGTTTGTCCATTGTCCCTTTAGTTGCAGGGTCTGGAATCTCCTACTTAATATGGTTGAGATGGGCAGCCCCTTGGAAGATGACATCGCTACCATTATTAAGGGCTGGCCAGTTGCTAAGCCTAATGCTTGGATTGACAGGTTCAAGAGTGTTCTTTTACATGCGTTTACTTGGGAGATTTGGAAAGAAAGGAGCGCCCGTGTGTTTCGAGACACCTCAAGACCGATGCAGATCATCTTCTACAAAACCTGCAGGTCCCTGGCTTCTTGGATGGCGGCTTCTGGTGTCTTAACCGAGCAAAATAGACAGGAGTGGCTCGTAAGGATGTTTCAGGCCTACCCTCCGCGACAACTTAATGACCGCACTCTTCAGCTGGAGGCAGGGGAGAGTTAGTTTGGGTTTTTGCAGGCAGGCGCCTTTTGGGCGGCTGTTCGTCTTGTTTTGCTGTTCGTCTTATTTGGCTGTCTTTTCTGTCTTGTTCTAGCCGCAGTGATGGTCTGGTCCATCAAGCGCGTCTCTTGTTTGTGCCTGGACAATAGGCTTCTGTTTCCTTCGTTCTCGCTTTTTTTGTTTTCCTTTTGTTCTCAGGATCAAGCCTTGTGATCCTTGTTTGTTGTCCGAACTTCCTTTTGTTTTCCTGGTTTTGCTATCCAATAAAATCTCGCACTTATAAAAAAAAAAACTTTTGCTTATGTGACAGTCAATAAAAAAATAATAAAATAAATAAAATCTAATTTTTTAAATTCCACCTCATTATTGAAACTATTAAAAAATAAAATAAATTTATTTTAGTTGTCCTTGCCGCCACCGGCGCCGTGGACCTGTCGCAATGTGGATCTGTGTTTTCGTGAATCGTTGGGCGAAGTCGGCAACGAATCTTCTCTCGATACACTTCGCCGATTAATAAGAAGCCCATCTTTTCTTCTTCCCGGAGAATCGCCGCTGGGGACTGTGTAAGGGAGAACGAACGGGAACTTTGCCACTTTGCCTCCTCCGCCGTCTATTGCTGAGCAAACCCATAACCTAATTTTTGAAGTTTTCGACGGCGCTAGAACCAGATGCCGAGGAAGCAAGGTTGAGCGAGGATGGTCGATGGTTGGCGTAGCAGCTCCCGGTGAGTCCGGATCGATCGAGAGTGATGGTGGAGAGGATGTCGGGCGTTCGGGGGAGAAGAAATTGCGTGGCGATTCCCTGTTCTGGAGGTGGTGATCGATTTCAGCTACTTCCTTCATCCATACATCTATCCGTCACAAACCCACTCTTAGGGTTTTTATCCACCCCAGAAATTACCTCTGGTTTTCATCTATTCGACTAGGGGAAATCAAGAAATTAGATCTATTGGGTTGATATACAGGTTGTCTGTGATGGCAAAGAGAAGTAGAGTGGCGGTGTCGAGCCCGACGTCGAGACGAGAGGATGCGGCGGCCGCCGCTGTTTGCTTCCTCCCTGCTTGCTCCGGTGAAGGGATTTGAGATCGGAAAACAATCTCCCGTCTTCCTCCTCATCTCCTCCTCCTAGCATCTCGAGCTGAGAGACGACGACCATAGCCTTCACTTCCGCCTTGGCGTACGACTCAACGGTTGGTCCGTCATCGTCGTGGTCGAAGAGCTCATAGGGCAGTTCTGGGGCCGGACCTCACATGAGCGGCAGCGCCGGACCTCACATGAGCGGCAGCGTGGCTCGGAGATTGCGGTGTTGGCGGCAGCGGAGGTGGAAGTAGTGGCGGAGGCATATGTGTTGGAGTTGCTGGAGAAGGATTTGGGGTGGCGGAGCTCGAAGGTGGGGTACTCAATTGGGCCTCGTACCGTTCGATTTTGCCGATAACGCCGCGCCGATGTCAAGCCAGATCATGAGACATGTCGCGGAGATCAATTTCGCTGCCGTGGCAAGAACCCGGATCCCCACTTTGCTTGTTGCACCTGCCATGCAACTAAAAGAATAGTTGCAATATTGAGGTAGAAAAATGTAAAAACTTAAATTTTATTTATTTTATTATTTTTATTTTCCATGCCACCACAGTTAACGGTCAATTATAAGAGTTGACTGCCATGTAAGCAAATTTTAACGGAGTTGGACGGAGAGTGACCAAATTTGAAATGTTTAACTAATATTAATGATCACGAATGAAATTAAATATTTTTAGTGATCAAACGTGAACATTTTTAGTAATCCGAGTGACCAACCTTGCAATTAACCGGATTTTTTTTTTAAGTTTATACTACGTAACATTTAATTTTGACAAAATACACTTGTATAGCCAAAACTTTGACGGTTTTGCCAATAATAGCCACTTTTGGAGAAATACCAAATATAGCCAATTCCATCCAATTCTTTAACGGTGTTATCAAACATGCTGACTGGACTAACGTTTCTTGCTTATGTGGCAATTTTTTGTCCAAAATCATGCCATGTGGAAATGATTATTTTATTATTATAATTAAATTAAAAAAATAAATAAATTCCTTCACCCATCTGGTCTCTCTTCTCTCGCCTTTTTCCATGTCCTTCTTCCTCTCTGTTTGCGACCAAGACATATTAATTCTCAGGGCACCTCCTCGCCGTTCCCCACCTCCCTCTATTCCCTGAGCATCCTTCCCATCGCTTCTTCCTCGCCGTCCTGACCTCTCTCTTGCGCCTCCTCACCGTCCCGACCTCTCTCCGGCGCCACCTCACTATTTTCTCCCTCCGATGCTCTACCGCCGAAACAGAGCTAGCCATCGCAAAACGGCGATTCGAGCTCTCACGACGAGGCCGCTAGGGTGAACGGGTTTGAAATTGGGATGGTTCCATTTAGGGTTTTTTTTGGATTTGATTAAGAGTTTTGTTGTTGGGGGTTCTGCCTTCACAGTGCTCGATTAGGGGGTTTTGTTGTTGGGGGTTCTTTAGCGATGTTGGTTTATGGGCAAGAGGGGAGAGTGAACGGATTTTTCAAGGACTGCGAGTTTGAATCTGAGGGGCTGGGGGTTCTCCGACGAGTTCAAATCTGAGGGGCGAACACAAAGCGATTTCGGAGAGGAAGGAGATGAAGCGGTGGCGAATATCTTCTCAACGACAAAAGCGATAATGAGGTTACAGAGAATGGCATCATAAAGGCAGAGTTTGCGATTTCCCTCCACCTTCCCCTGGCGCAGCTGCTCACCGTCGATTGTTGGCGGTAGCTTTGAAAACGGCCCATATCTGGAATTTATCGCCCAAGAACTTTCTTTAAGAACTTGCTCCGCCTTCTCCAATTGACTCTCCTCCGCCGAAATCCTAGTTTCCAGTTGCTTTATTTCAACCGAAGCAGCAATCTGCTTCCTCCCGCCGGATTTTGGTTCTTGATTCGGAGCCGGACAGTGATGGAAGTGAGCTCTACGAGCTCCATCTCGTCGCCATCGAGGAGGTCGTATTGTTGAAGAGGAGGGAGTTGGGAGGAGTTGAGAGTCGTACCGTTGGAGCAGTCTGGATTCTGATTTGATTGCGAGGTGTTTGGATGAGATATGAGGGCTGCAATTGGAGATGCGAGGTGCTGCAATCAGATGTTTAGGGCTCCGAATTCCACCGAGAGATGTTTCGTTGGATCAATCTCGGACTTTAAATTCACAACCCCTACAGAATCGCAAAGGAAAGGAGGAGGAAGAAGAAAGGTGGGGTGGAGTGGAGACTTGGAGATGGAAATTTGAGGTCGACTGCGAGGGGAAGAATGGATGACGGTGGGTGAGGGGAAGCAGGGCAATCCTTTGTTTTTTTTTTTTATAAATGGTTTTTTTGTTAATAAATTAATTAAATATTTTAAATAAAATCTGACGTGTCATGTATATGTGGCAAGTGTTGGTGAGTTGTCAATGATGTGTTAGGTGAGTTGGCAGCCAAATTATCATTCCGTTAATTTGACTAACGGTGTCACTGACGCCGTCAAACTATGTAACGGAAATGGCTATTATTGTCATCGAACTTTCAAATTTCTGGCTATATTTGGTATTTCTCCAAAAGTGGCTATTATTGGCAAAACCGTCAAAGTTTTGGCTATACAAGTGTATTTTGCCTTTAATTTTCCTTTCTCTTTAGTTGGGACTATGGTATTCGAGAATGAAAGTAGAGAGATATGCTACCCGCCGGCCGACATAGAATGCCACGACAAACGGTACAAAGATCTGTGAGGTTGCTCCGGCCGGCCTTTGCCCGCACTTTGCCGACTTGCCTCATCTAATTGACTGTTCTCTTTATTAATTATTATAGTATATTTATGTTATGGATTCCAATTATGATTGCTCAAGATTGGATGGTAAGTATGGTACACATATATAGTGAAGGAAATAGATTCGAGGATTGGTTCTCATAGTACAATCTTATCTATCTCGCTTTATTATGTATAACATACGACATCATTTTAGGAGTTGCGTACTCTCTTCCGGGATGATGATAGAGACACTACTTTCACCAGGAATCCAAACCACAATATTTTTTTTTCTTACTTAAGGACCACAAAAGCATCTGCTTTGGCTATGATGATTTTTTTTTTTTTTTGTGATCCTGGCTATGATGATTTCAACATATAGCTGGAATAAATTCAAATTTTAGGACATATAACTGCATCCATCCATTCTGGATTTTATTTAAACTTGATAATCTTCATCAATCAAGATTGACCATATTATAACACACCAAAAATTGTAAGTCTTTGATATCTGTAAAACTTGTAGGTCTTTGATATAAGACAACATAATTGAACTTCCCCGTTTTTCACCGAGGAGTCCCACCGCCTTGATAATCACAATTCATAATAAGCATAAGTTTCCAAGACTAGCTCATTTTCATATGATGGTATAGGCTTAAGCAAAATAAGATTTTTTAACAGTCTTTTACCAGTTTAACATATTGAGTGTGTTCATCATTCCAAAACCATTAATTTTTATCAAAATGTTTTCTTAGATAATAAATTTAATTGTTTGTAAGATCTTCGTAAACTGTCTAGCATAGTTAGTAAGACCGCATAATATTTTTACTTGCTTCCTATCTTCTACTTCACCGGGAAATTACTAACTTCTCGCTAATATGACTTTATAGGTATTCTTCCGTTTTCAATTTCTATTCCTGACAAATATACATTCTCTTGACATCCTTCTATCTTTTTCTTGGACAGAATCATTCATTATTTTTGAAATATTTGAGCCAGCTTTTCAAGATGCCTCATGCGTTCTTCTTTAGTCTTACTAAAAGCTAACACATCGTCTTTGTACACCAGGCAAACTTTTTCGAGAGCTTTGAAAGATTCATCCTTTTCTTTTTTGAAAAATGTTAGGTGCATCCTTCAACCCGAATGACATAACTAGCCTGTAGTCACTTATACATTCCTTGTGGAGCATTGAATGTTGTTAAATGAATTGATTCTTCTTTCCATATCTTAATGTTGCCAATTGCCACACCTAAGGTCAATTTTTGAGAATATGGAAGAGTTTGCAGCTCTAACATGTAGCGGTGGTATTCGGTCGGTTACCAGCCGCTAGGGTGTTTTCTCTCTTCCACTCACCACCGCCAGAAACTGCGACGCTCTCTGAATCGGCGGTGGGCCTTCGACAAGCGGTCGACGACGACGTCTCCCTCTTTAGTCGACTCTTCGACAAGCGGCCGACAACCATATTTCTTCTTGGCATATCCAACAACCATGTTTCGTCTTCCTCCTTCAAACCCAATTCCATCTTCGTAATCAATTCTAAGGAATCCTCCTTGGTTACGCATCATACTTCCTAGGTAGCTCTCCAGATCTCTCTTCCCTTCCCGGTAGAGGTGGCAATTAGGATTCAAATCCATGAATCCAATCCGTCCATCAAATTATCCACCTAATCCAATCCATTTAAATCCAATTGGATTGGTGGATTTATGGATCAATCCATGAATCCAAATGGCAAATTACAATTTGGTACCTATAATTTTTATATTTTACATTTTGGTACCTAAAATTTAGTTTATATACGAAAATATCATTGGAAAATTACTTTTTGGTACCTAAAATTTTTCATTATGACATTTTAGTACATAAACTTTTCAAAAGGCTAAATTGCGAATTTGGTCACTTGAATTACTAGTAAATTTCACATTAGCCACTAGAATTACTTTATTCCATCGGTAGTCACTTAAATTAGGTTAATAGTTCAAGTTTGGTCACTGGCCGTTAGTCTTCGTTGACCTTTGCTGATGTGGCGGTCAACTCTAATAGTTGACCGTTAAATGAGTGACGTGGCAATTAAAAAATTAATAAAAAATAAAATTTAAACTTTTCTAATTTCCAACTCATTTTTACACCACCCATTGAAAAAAATATCATGGATGGTATAGATAATATAGGAAGTTTCTGTGCAGGTATAAGTAAGTTAGACGCGGGAAAGCGAATCAGTTAGCATAAAACGAGCGTCAAGGTCCGGTCGGGAAGTTCTAGGATGACTCGACTCTATTCGATACTGAACGTTATACCTACCGCTAGGTACACTGCGAATAAAGGGAAGACGCTATCGATCCCTGAATCGAGGGACTACGCGCTTTCAATCCCTTACAGCTGCCTTCCCTTCTACTGCCCGAACTACCAATCGCCCCTACTATTAGTAGTCACAGGGGTTTCTCCTTTCTTTCAAGCCAAACCTGCTAAGCCGATAGATATTCTAAAAAAGAATGATTGTATGCAACTATAGTTACTTTTTTTGCCCTTCCCTTCCTTTCCCTTCCCTGGAACCGACCCATGCACTCTCCAAATGCATAGCAATTCCAGCACCACTCTCTTCTCCTTCTTCCTCCCTCGTCCCCCAACTTTTCCCTTCGTCTCTTCTTCCTCCTACAATCCCAAAAGCTTCCCCAATTGTTCCCAATCCTCAAACCACAACAATTCTCACCCCATACTCCCCTCGCCGGACTCACACTCCCATCCTAATGTTGCCACCGCCGCCGCCAGAATCCCCACTCCGCCATGGGTCAAAGGTCCTCTCCGCCTCCAGCCGCACGAGCTCGCCAACCTCTCCAACCATCCTCCCAAACCCCGCAAAACCCAAGAATTTATTGGATCATGACTGTAATTTCCAACTCCATAACTTTAGTGGGGACTTGGAGTATGACGCTTCCCCTTGCTCACTGTAAGACCCCTCTAATCCCTTGCGTATGTTAAATCTTTGTATTGTTATGAATCACTATGATATAAATGCATGCATTGATACAATAGATGTATTTTGAAATTACATTGTTTGGTTGTTGGGATTATAATTTATGAATTGATTGTTATAAAGTTACTTTATAAGAAAATGTCATATTTGTCCTCCACTTTTAATATAAAACAAAAAGAACTATGGACATAATTGGAAAAAGTAAAGGTGCTCAATTATTAAACCAACAATCACAACAATCTCCACTTTTAGTTGAGATTGTACAATCCCTCATTTTTGTTGATTGTTGGTGGGACCCACACAAAACAATACATGCATTGTTTTGCAACTTGACACTTCCAAACGTTGTATTGTGGACAATACATGTATTTAACAAATACAACACTAACAATCGCAACTTCCAAACGACCCCTAAGGGTAGAGAATTAAAGGAATTTATTTCCCCTAGTTTTCTTAATTGGATAATATCTTCTTCATTCTAACTCGGATTTCATTTTTTTTTTTTTTTGCACAGATGGAACGAGTTCGTTGTGCTCTACAAAATGATATCCATTTTCAATATTTTTTGAGAATTTTTTTTTCATCCCTCTCGTTACCAACTCCATACCATATGGTATCTCCTTCGTTGTTTAGTCATTTTCGGAAATTTTTGCACAAAATGAACGATTTAATCATGATCTATTGGCTTTCAAAATTTTCTGGGGGAAAAAATTTCATACCTCTCGTTACCAACTCCATACCATACTATACCACCCTGGTATGAGGTGGTATTTTTCATACCATATGGTATGCAGTTATTTAATACCAATCAATACCATATGGTATTGACTGGTAATAACTGACAAATTTTTTTTGTTCCAAAAAATATCAAAGTGAATATCATTTTGAATCGTTACCAACTCCATACCATACTATACCACCCTGGTATGAGGTGGTATTTTTCATACCATATGGTATTCTGTTATTTAATACCAGTCAATACCATATGGTATTGACCATACCATATGGTATTGACTGATAATAACTGGCAAATTTTTTTTGTTCCAAAAAATATCAAAGTGGATATCATTTTGAAGAGCACAATTAATCTGATCTAACTGTGCAAAAAAAAATCGAGTTAAAACGAGTATCATCCGTTAAAGATTAAGGAAAAGAAAATTAATGATTTTTCCAAGAGAGAGAAGGAGACATTGATATGACAAATTCTTATTGAGTTATGCATAGAATTACTCACCATAATGTTATTCACTAGATCTGCTCCCTCTTATCTCAAACCCGACGACAACAACAAAAGGGCTTGATTCGTCTGGATTTTGGATTCTCTGCTGTCGGCAAATCCACCCTCATTTTTTTAGTTTCTAGGTGAGGCGGCAGGAGAGCTATCGGCGGAATTCATCAGAGGATTGTTTTGGTGAGCTAGTCGGCGGTGGGTTTTGGGTCATTGATAGAAATACGGAGAAAGATAACAAAAAAATAAAAAATTTAATATAAGAAAGTAATTTTGTTAATATGATGTGGGGTTCAGGTGGCATGGAGTGTCTAGTTAGAGCTGACATGTGAGCCAATATGTCATTTACATTAGTGAACTAAATACGTAAACGCGTAAGTTTTTAAATTTTAAAGTGCAATTTAGTCCGATTTTATACGCTAAAGATTTTATATGAAAACGAAAACGGTTTGATTTTTAAACCGTAAACTTTAAGTTTTAAACCGTGATTTTGACTGCATTCTCCATGCCTAATATATATATTGTTAATTGTTAAAAGCCTATGTTTGAGTTACTATTCATTAGTGGTTCTCACACTCCTCCAAGTGCAAGCGGGGAAGTTTCAAGTCCTTCTTTTACCCCACTCTCCATTCTATAACCTTTGTGTTTAGTTATTGTTTGCTAGGTTTTCGTCTATGTCTTTTTGCACAAATCATCGCCCTTGTGTTTTCTTATTGTTCGCTAGGATTTTGTCTATGGATTTTTTCACAAATCATCGCCATTGTGTTATTATCGCCTTTGTGTTTGGTTATTGTTCGCTAGGTTTTCGTCTATGTATGTATTGATATATAAAAGCCTAGGTTTGAATTACTATTCATTAGTGGCTCTCACACTCCTCCAAGTGCAAGTGATGAAGTTTCAAGTCCTTCTTTTACCACACTCTCCATTCTCCAACTTTTGTGTTTAGTTATTGTTCTCTAGGTTTTCGTCGAATTTTCAAGTCCTTCTTTTACCCCTCTCCATTCTACAACCTTTGTGTTTAGTTATTGTTTGCTAGGTTTTCGTCTATGTCTTTTTGCCCAAATCATCGCCTTTGTGTTTTGTTATTGTTCGCTAGGATTTCGTCTATGACTTTTTGCACAAATCACCGCCTTTGTGTTATTATCGCCTTTGTGTTTGGTTATTGTTCACTAGGTTTTCGTCTATGACTTTTTGCACCCACCTTTCCCCACCACTTTGCATGTCATCTCGAAATACTGTCGGCGGGATCCTAAGTAGTTCCCCACCACCGTTTTCTAAGGCCGCTACTACGAGTTTTTTATCGGGACCGAGTTTCATCCTCTTCAGTGTTTTTTTCTTTCTTTTCTTCCTTTTTGTTGAGTAACCCAAACACATGGGTATCCTATATATCTTGAACATAAATCATCGTCTTTGCCCATCATTTTGCAGCACATCTCGAAATACTGTCGGCGGAATCCTAAGTTGTTCCCCGCCACCATTTCCCAAGGCCACTACCACGAGTTTTGTATCTGGACCGAGTTTCATCATCTTTAGTGTTTTTTCCCCTTTTTGTTGAGCATGATCACAATTGAACCCAAACACATGAGTATCCTAACTTGAACTCAAATCATCGCTTTTGCCCATCCTTTTGCAGCCCTTCTCGAAATATTGTCGGCGAAATCCTAAGTTGTTCTCTACCATCGTTTCCCAAGGCTGCTACCACGAGTTTTGTATCGGGACCGAGTTTCATTATCTTTAGTGTTTTTTTCTTTCTCATTTTCCTTTTTGTTGAGCATGATCACAATTGAACCCAATATCACTACCGAAAATTCATACCATATCTACTCAATGTTGGCGAGTTTTGTATCAGGACCGAATTTCGTTTGCTTCTAGTATTTTTTTCATTCACTTTTCCTTTTTGTTTAGCATGATCACAATTGAACTCAAATCCATGAGTGTCCAACCTAATTCGATTCGGTCAAAGCGTCTTGAAACGGACTTTAGTATTTATAAATTTCTCTTTCTTCTTCTTTTGGTTGGGAAGACAATTAAACCCGAACTTAAGGTTTTGACGAGTGTTATATTGTGAGCGAGCTTTATCAGCTTTTGTAGTTGACAGGTTGAACCAAATGTTAATTTGTTAAAAAATTGTTCAAAGCGAGTCGAACACATTGTTGATAAGTTTTAGATCGAAAGCAAGTTTTGTACGCTTTAATGTTTTTTATTTCTCATTTTCCTTTTCGTTGAGAATGACAATTGAACTCTGACCCATTGTTGATACGTTTCGTATCGAGAGCGAGCAAATTTTATCTGCTTTTGTAATTGAAATGTTGGGTAAATTGTGAATTTGTTAAATCTTGGTCACCCAGGTCAAAGTGAGTTGAATGAAGTGTTGAGAGTTTGGGGTCATAAGCGAGTTTTATCCGCTCTAGTATTTTTTTATCCTTTTCCTTTTGGTTGAGAATAACAATTGAGTCCAAACGCATGGGTATACAACCTAATTCGACCCGACCAAAGCGACTTGAACCCAATTTTACAGGTTTTCGACGGGAGCGAGTTTTATCTGTTTTAGTAACTAGCATGTTGTGTCAGGTGTGAATTTGTCCAACACTCGGTCCAATCAGGTTAAAGCGAGTTGAACTTGCTATTGATGAGTTTTGAGTCAGTAGCGAGTTTTAGCTTTAGTGTTTTTCATTTCGTTTTTTCTTTTTGTTTGAGAAAGACAATTAAACCCAAATCCATGGGTATCCAACCTAATTTGACCTGATCAATGCGAGTCGAACCTCCTCAAACCTGTAATCAGTCAAAAAAATTCATAATTGAGAACCACGATTACCTCAAACCCAAAGAAAAGGCAAAAAAGTACGTCTATGTTTGGCCTGAATTTTAGAAGTTTTATGTCTCAAAAGTTGAAGCCAAGCTAAACACTTCTAAAGTTTGGTTTTTTTAAAAATTGAATTTTTTCGTAACTTAAAAGCAGAAGTTCCAATTTGAAAATGCAAAATTATCCTTACCATATATTATTCTTTTTCTAGAAAATATAATTTTCTTTCATTTATATCATTCTAAAAAAAATAATTAAAAAAATAATATTATTTAGTATGAAATAAATCTAACGTGATCCATTTTAAATACTTTTTTTATTTTTAGAATTTGTATTCATATTTTATGTTATAAATATTTTATAGTTATTTTTCACTGTCTCTTATATTAGAAAATAATTCTGATAATTTAAACATAATTAATCTATTCGACGACTCTTCTACGTTATGCAAGTTCATCGACCATATGATATTGTAAATAACAACCTATTAAAAGAATGATTAATATTGGAAAGGTAGCAAGCTGTTTGTTTGTACTCCCGCCAGGCCGCCACTGACTTTCAACACTAACCCGCCATCTGAATATTCCTGTCAATCTCAGTCTCAGTCTCAGTCTCAGTCTCCGCCTCCACTGATATTGCTATAGTCACTCGCGCTCTCTCAGTCTCCGCCGTAGTTCTCGTTTCTGCCCATTTGGAATCGGCGACGGATTCATCGTCGGAGAAAAAGAATCGAAGAAGCAGAGGTCTATGGCTTCATCGGAGGAGCAGGCCTCGCTTCTCGAACACGGTCCGTCTTCACGCCACAATCAGGTACTTACCAAAATCCAGAAGCGATTCAATTAGCCGGAATTCGACATAGATCCAGAAGGATTCCGGTTATTCGACCGCCCAAATCTCTGCAGATTGTTTAGGAATTAGTCTATACTCCTAGGGAAAGAGAACTGCGTTTGATTTTGACGTTATCCTAACTAGGGTGAGCGTAGTGGATTGCACACTGGAGATGGCTCGGTTGACATCAATGGAAGGCCAGTTCTCAAGCAGAACACTGGAAATTGGAAAGCATGTCCTTTCATCTTGGGTAGGCGGTGATTCGACTTTTGTGTGTGTGTGTACTATTCTATGCTTCCTACTGTCACATCTCACAGAAAGAATTTTGCAGGGACGGAGTGTTGTGAACGGTTGGCCTACTACGGGATTGCTAAGAATCTCGTGACTTATCTTACTACGAATATGCACGAGGGGAATGTATCGGCTGCAAGAACTGTTTCTACGTGGTCTGGCACTTGCTACATTACGCCACTCATTGGGGCTGCACTGGCAGATGCATACTGGGGGAGGTATTGGACCATTGCGGCTTTCTCGACGATTTACTTCATTGTGAGTCTTTGTGGGACTTGCTGCTTTTGTTTGTTACCCTTATCTCATCTCTATTAATGAATGACTTGTTAGCTTGTTGCTCAACCCTCAATGAATGATGGCTGTTTTCGTTTTCAAAATTGGACCTTAGGAGCTTGTTGTCAACTGCCACTTTGGGTATTTTAAGGCGATTGCGTTTGTATAGCTTGGAGCAGTAATTCCTGTGTTCATGCGCTAAAGAACCTCCATTTTCATTGTAGATTACTCCCTGGCGGCTCAAGTGTTCTTTGGTCTTAGTCAAAGGAAGTGAATTTAGTGTTGAGATGTTGGTCTATTGACTAGCTTTCATCAATGCTGATTCACTTTTGGATTCAGCTGCTAAATTTTGATTTGAGAGATTGATAAATGACTTATATGTTTTTAATCGACATCAGGGAATGTGCACCTTGACTCTATCAGCATCGGTTCCATTTCTGAAGCCTTCCGATTGTGTGGGTTCACTCTGTCCTCCAGCAACTACCCTGCAATATGCTGTATTCTTCTTTGGTCTATACCTGATCGCACTTGGGACAGGTGGCATTAAACCTTGTGTTTCATCGTTTGGGGCTGATCAGTTCGATGATACTGATGCCATAGAGAGGGTGAACAAGGGTTCCTTCTTCAACTGGTTCTATTTCTCGATAAACATCGGTGCTCTCATTTCGAGCAGTTTGATCGTTTACATTCAAGATAATGTTGGGTGGGCTCTAGGGTTTGGTGTGCCTGCCATATTTATGGGAATTGCCATAGCGACTTTCTTCTCTGGCACCCCACTCTATAGGTTCCAGAGGCCAGGGGGAAGCCCTCTTACGAGAATGTGCCAGGTCTTGGTTGCATCTTTTCATAAGTGGAATCTAGAAGTGCCTTCTGACTCCACCCTCTTGTACGAAACACAAGATGAAATCTCTAGCGTCGAAGGCAGCCGTAAGCTGGAGCACATTGATGAATTGAAGTAAGTTAATCACCATTTTTGCTCACTTATTGACACTTAGTTTAGTTGAGTAGATTTATTAGCTTGAATTGCAGTAACAGTAAAATATTCCTTTGTGTTGTGCAGATGCCTTGATAGAGCTTGCATAGTATCAGATGCCGAGATGAAAAGCTCAGACTTCTCAAACCCATGGAGGCTCTGCACGGTGACACAGGTCGAGGAACTCAAAATCCTGATCCGCATGTTCCCCATCTGGGCCACAGGGATCGTCTTTTCCGCAGTCTATGCCCAGATGTCCACCATGTTCGTCGAGCAAGGCATGCTGATGGATGCCACGATCGGCTCCATCAAAATCCCTCCTGCCTCCTTATCCACATTCGATGTCATCAGCGTCATCTTCTGGGTCCCGGTCTATGACGCCTTCATTGTCCCACTTGCCTCTCGTTTCACTGGAAACCCAAGGGGTTTCTCCGAGCTGCAGCGAATGGGGATTGGCCTGTTGATCTCGATCCTCGCCATGGCAGCAGCAGCTCTCGTGGAGATCAAGCGGCTCCAGCTCGCTGACGAGCTAGGACTGGTTGACCAAGCTGTGGTTGTCCCACTCAGCATCTTCTGGCAGATCCCACAATTCATGCTGGTGGGTGCTGCCGAGGTGTTCACTTTCATTGGCCAGCTCGAGTTCTTCTACGAGCAGTCCCCTGATGCGATGCGGAGCCTGTGCAGTGCGCTGGCGCTGCTGACGACATCATTGGGGAACTACCTGAACTCGTTTATCCTGACTATCGTGGTGCATTTCACCACGAAGGGTGGGTTGGAGCCAGGGTGGATACCAGATAACTTGAACGAGGGGCATCTCGATTACTTCTTCTGGTTGTTGGCTGGGTTAAGCTTTGCAAATCTGGTGGTTTATATCGCGTGTTCCAGGAGTTATAGACAGAAGAAGGCTATCTAGCCAGTGGCCTCGGAACGAAATTGTTTGTATAGTGTACACAGATATACTGATTTCCTTTCCAGATCCAATAACCTTTTTTGCTTTATTACTTTTACTTCCCGTTGTAATCTTATGTGTATATAACACATTGTGTTCATGAACATGAAACCATGGAGGTTTCTGAGAAGTTTTTTCTTTGAGCTTCTGAATTAGTTATTGTCCAGTTAAGGGAAAATTGGCTAGATTACAATTTAACATTACCCAAACCAAATGGTTAGCTAAACTATAAGCGTCTGATCAAACTCCTGAATCAGGTTAGAACCATGACATCCATTCTACAAAACTAGATGGGTAAGGGTTAATACCACTACAACACCCGAACTATCGCAAAAATGTCACTTGTGTCCTATTGTATCAAATATTTCATTCATGTCATGAACTATTTTTCTGTTAAAGTTGACTCATTTTGACCGTTAATTTTTAACAGAAAGTCTAGTCAGCGTTGACGTGGCACATAACGTGAAATTTTAATTTATTTTTTATTTAATAAAATAATTCAAATAAAGAACAATGAAAATATTAAAAAAAAAACGTTCCATCTCCTCCATTCATCCCGTCGGCCCTTTCTCCCCGTTCACCCTTCCCGACACTGCTGTTACTCCGCTCAACAACGACAGCAACACCATTACCGTACCAGAAACTTCTTGCCTCCTCTTCCCGTTCACCCTTCCCGGCACTTGCTGCTACTCCGTTGAACCCCAAATCCCAATCTTAGCCTTCCTTTTCTCCCGTCGACCATTTCGAATTCCGACGAGAGAGAGAGAAAGCGAGCGGGAGAGTGGGGAAATTGGAGAGAGCGGCGGAGAGTGAGTTCGGCGGTGTCTTGTTTCTGGAGGCCGAGAGGTAGGCTGTTGGCGACTGCAACCACCCTACAGCTTCCCCTCCGACGACCAGCAGCCCGGAATCTAAAGCGGGCAACTCAACACCTTTTTCCAATTCGATCTGTTGGACTTCTCCGGAGTAGTTACTCTAAGTCGGATGCGCAGAGGTACAACACCCAATTTATTAATTCCTAATTAGTTTCTCCCTACACAGGCAAATGAAGGAATGCGTAGAGGTCTAAATATTGTCCATTAAGAGACCCTAGAATTCGGATCTCCTGGTTTTCAGAATGTGGATCTCCTTGAATTTGAATCATCGATGGGCCTTGCTTTGCCAATATGGATCTTGCAGTATTATCCCGCCATCAATTGTGCAATCTCTCGCGTCGTCTATCTTGCCCACCTTTCCCTCGTCCACTGGAAAGAAGAAGAAAGAAGGAAGAGGGCGGAGAGGGTGAGGGCGGCGGCGGCCGTGATTTGGTAGTTGTCGGAGGCTTTAGAGCCTTTGCCCGAGTTGGCCGGCAGTCGAAGCTAGGCGTGCCTCGTTCTTGACGGAGACGGTGAAGTCATGGTGGTGGGGGTGGTAGATGATGTCCACGATGGATGAAGATAAGTTGAAGCAAAATTTAAATTTAATTTTTTTTATTTTATATTATATTATTTTTTTTATTTTAACATAATTTTATTAAAAATAATACATATGGCAATGAGGTGGCGTCTATGTGGTTGTTTGATTTTTGCCACATCATCAAAAGTCAACCATCACTTTGACCACCGTCTGGTCAACTGTTATCTTTAACGGTCAACGAAAATGTCATGATACAAATGTCACAAAATATCATACGTCGGGATATGAATGGAATATTGAATATAATAGGACACAACGAAAATGTCATGATAACATTCAACAAAGAAAGATCCAATTTAACTGCTCTTACAAACAGATTTGTGGCCGAAGGGAAAATTGGGGAGAAATAAATCAAGGGAAGGGATCAAAGGAGCAACTGACTGTGTCTAAAAGTAAAAAGGCGACACTAAGTTGAATGAGAAAATGGGGGGAAAAGAAGGATTTTTGTTATTGGAAGATGCTACTGACAGAGCCATCGTCGTGAACGCGCCAGATAGTCTCACCCAAGAGGTTTGCGACGGAGAGAATGGTGAGCTGGGGGAAGTAGTTCTTTTCCGGTACTGGAAGTGTGTTGGTCACAATGACTTCTTGGAACAGCCCACTCGACAGCCTCTCGATCGCTGGAGGACTGTAAAGCAATGCAATGAAGAGTGTAACTCAAGTCATCAAAGGTGATCAATAGACACAATATCTTGACAAAGAAGTTATGTTAACCGCAGAGTCAATTCCGTGGCCAAAACTCAGAGGAACTAGGAAGGGAACGGAATTGATAACATATGGATATGTTTACCTGAATACAGCATGAGTGCAGCAGGCATACACTTCCCTAGCCCCTTCTTGGTGTAACAGCTCAGCTCCTTTTGTAATTGTTCCTACAAATTGAATCAGCAAGTTCAGTCTCTAAGCATCAGTTCATTTAACCTATGGTAAAGACAGTTACGAAACATGAGCAAATAAGAAGACTCGATGACTTGAAATCGACAACTTCAACAATATGTAGAGGATTATAATAATTCCTATCTTGTCATCGTCCATTCTTGGTCGAGTAACAAAACGCACAGATAAAAACAGGATTTTTACACCTTCAAAGAACTCACCTGCAGTGTCAATCATATCGTCCACCATTACTGCAACCTTCCCTTTCACATCACCAATGAGGTTCATCACCTGAATTACCACATGAAGAGGTTGATTTAAGAGGTCAAGGATATCAGAGTAAGACAATAAATTATAGAGAGGAGTATTGAAACAGCATGGATAGAGGGAAGAAATTACCTCAGCCACGTTATGAGCATGGCGCCTTTTATCCACAATAGCTAGAGGGGCATCTGACAGTTTCTTCGCAAAAGCACGTGCGCGTGCAACTCCACCAACATCAGGTGAAACCACAACTAGGTCACTGGAGCTGATAGTCTTGCTTGCAAGATAATCTAGAATAACAGGCTACATAATGAAATAAAACAAGATCAGCTAGCAAGTATACAAAAAAACAGACAGTCAAGAGGAACAGTTAAGTTTACCTGGCAATAAACATGGTCCACAGGGATGTCAAAGTAACCCATAGACTGCCCAGAGTGAAGATCACAGGCAAGAACACGATCAGCACCTGATTTCGTCAAAACATTTGCAACAAGCTTGGCACCAATAGACTCACGGCCCTGAGTCTGCACACCAGAAGATCACACGATTGTCATTGATACTACACATAAGAAAATTCTTCCATCAGTTATCTAACACAAGCCAGAGATAATAAAAAAAATCACTTGCCTTTCTATCAGCTCTGGCATAACCAAAGTAAGGAATCACAGCAGTTATATTCTTGGCCGACGCTCTTCGACAAGCATCAATCATGATCAACAGCTCCATGAGATTCTCATTTGCCGGTGGGCAAGTTGGCTGGATTAGATATACATCACAACCCCTAACACTCTCTTGCAACTGGACATAGATTTCGCCATCAGCAAATCGCTTGATGTTAATCTTGCTCAGTTCCTTCCCCATATACCTAGCAATTTCCTGCACTTAAAGAACCATTTGTCACATTGTTCAGAAAAATGAATTCCCATCTTAGAATGCAGCCACCTTTCCGAAAGGAAACCCTTACTCGAGAGAGAGTCGGATTAGCTGTGCCGGAGAACAACTTCAGCCGTGAGCTAGTTCTGTTAACCGTGTTCTGCATCGAAGTCGATTCGTAGAACTTCGGTAGTGTCCTCCCGTTGATAACCGGTATGGTTGGCTTCCCATTCGCTAAATCTAGCGGCTCAGTTACATCACATTTCTGGGAGAATCAAAAAGCACCAAACAATCCAATCACACAAAAATTACATCACAGTTGCAATGTTTCATATTCTGTCACCACGAGCAACAGTTCTGATCAATGAACAGTAAACAATCATGTTGAGGAAATCATGCCTCCATGCACATAAAAATCGCAAGGTTCAATTCCTTTACACCTCTCCACCGAACACGCAATTCATAGAGATTTCTGACTGTAACCACAATCCTAGTCTAAGATTTTCCGACGGGAAATAAAGAGCGCAACAACAGGAGAGCGCGATTGAATGAGAACTAAATTCCGGAATAGACATTAGGAAGACGTGAAATAGCTCGTTCGTATAGGGAGAGAGAGAGTGGGAGAGAGAGCTTACGCCGGCGTTTTGAGCGCGAATGCGCCGGGAGAGAGAAGGAGCTCCGTCGAGCTGCAGGTTGGAGGAGCGTTGCCGGAGGTAGAGGGGGAGAGGCAGCCGCCGGGAAGACGACGCGGTTTGAGAAGGGGACCGCAGAGTAAGCGACGCCATTTTTCGTTCGTCGGTTTTGTTTCCCCCTCTCTCTTTTACCGTGGGGGTTATGAGGCTATATGTGGATGAGAATTTCGCGGACGGTTTTGAACGAAAGCAGTCTCGCTCGGCAGTGCAGCGGCGGCGGAGGCGGCGGCGCTGCCCCCGCTTTGGCTTTACGCTTTACTATAGACTTGACTTGACTGCAGAGTGGCTCCCTGCCAATTTTGTAGCTCCACCGCCGAATTGGTGGAATTCCCGCTTGCTCCCCGCCCGCGTAAATGACGTTTCCTTTCCGAATCGGACACTGCGTTTTTTCGCGGTTGCCCAAAAAGACGCGACCTTCAAATGCTTTTTTGGTAAAAACGCTACCTTTGCTTGTGAGATTTATTCGAGTCAATTGCGTTAACAAAACAGTCACTAAAAGTCGTCATCACTAATAAACGGCCACTAAACTTTTGGCTTTCGAACGAATTAGTCACTCCAACCGATCTCCATCAAGTTTTTGGATTGAATTGTCCAGATCATATTGTAAATTTGTGAGAAGAATCATACAAAGAGAGAGAGTTAGTTCTACAGAAGATACAGAAAAAATGTATAATTTATGTACTTCGATCTTCATTGCGTTGTTCGATTCGTCCACAAAGAGAAGGTGCCTGTTGCAGAGCAGCTGTGAAATGTTATGGTTTATCTACAGAAGAAGCAAGACTGCAAAAATCGGTCAGTGCTTCCCAAGGATTACCAGCCATGATCAGCAGGAGGATGACGCTTTGAGGGTTTCACGTCGTTTGGCAGCTGCAATTTTTCACCCTTCAACCAGACTCAGGAGCATGATGGTCCGACTCCTGTTGCTGAAGAGGCAAACATTAAGTTTTGTTATGTAGCGCGAACGCGATTGCCTATCCAAATTGCATGTTACAATGCTGTGAAAGAATTGAGGCTGTATCGTATATACCTCTGCAGCAACACGGGCTGAGGAAAGGGAACTCAGCTGACTACTCTCCATATTAGCAAGTATTTGGGACACTGTTTGCAGATGCGGAGCGCTGCAATTATCAGGACATAAGAAACATAAGGAATGGGTGGAAAGTCCATATTTTTACCCATGTCATCGCACGAGGAAGATGAAACGAGAGCATGATACCAATATAAACCGTAGAGTGTAAACAAGTACATACATTCATTGTTCTCAAAGCCTAGATAGTGCTTGGCAGATGCATAGTTGCAGGATGCTATCCCTAACAGGTAAACGTCTCAAAACTCAACTGTTGGTTTCGTCTTGTTGATGCTGCTAAGTTATCCCAATTACTCATAGTTCTTGCAACATTCAACATTCAAGACTAAATTTTTCTTGTTGGCAACAAACAAACCACACAAGAACCCTACCTTTGCTCATAGTTATCCCAATATAACTCAGAGACATGAACAGCAACATTCAAGAATAAATTTTTCTTGTTGGCAACAAACAAACCACACAAGAACCCTACCTTTGCAACCCATTCTCCATGTGTGCATCCAATGTTGAAATCACCTGCGGCAGCTGCTCCAAAATCTGCAAAAAAAAGAAAAGAAATCAATGCACCCACAATGAGCACTAAGTAGGAACGATGAAGACATGAAGTGATGCTGAGTAACTAATTAATCCATAGGTGACGCCTAAGAAAGTACTCACTTGGCCAGTGTTCTTCATCGTGGAGGCTTTTGCCAGAAGGTTCTTCGGAAGCTTAGACAGTTGCGCCTGCAGAAAGAAAAAAGAAAGATTAGGACTGACTTGTGCAAACAATTCTTTCTGTAAAAATGGCTTCTTTCGAATTACCCTTCACCAGATCGCCAAAAAACTAGGCTAATCAATCCCTTTCTAGCAATTGACAAACGAATACAACAAAATTGAAAAAAGACCACAAAAGAGGACAGTCGATCGGAGGAAGAGGGAGGAACTAGGGAGAGTGAGAAAGTGCCTGGGAAGGAGAGGTTTCTTGCATCAGCTGGAGGAGATTGAAAGTGGACTGAACGGTCTGAGAGATCTGCTCTGCCACAGCAGCTTTTGCGGTGCCTCCTCTGGTGCTCGTCGACGGCGCCGGCGGGTGGAAAGTTGTGATTCCGCTGCCGCCGCTGGATGATGACGGTGGAGGAATCGCCATTACCGTTCTCGTCTCTCAGATTGGTCTCCCCGTCGGTCACGAAAATCCCTAAATCATATCAACCACGAAAAATATTAATTTCATTATTTGGGCCCGCTCACTGCAGAGCTTGGACCTGGGCTCTTACAAACCAGAAAGAGTAGTAGTGGACTGGCGGCAAAGCATTGCGAGCCCGCGAGCCCAGAAAAAAATAGGGTTTTCCGCTGCTTGTGTTTGCTAAATCCTTCCTGCCTATAAATTACCAATTGCCTTCCGCTTCACCTCGCAGTATTCCATCTTCTTCAACAGCGATCCATTCTCGTGTTTAGCTTTCTTCTTCTTGGTTGATTCTGGTTTCGATAATGGGTTTTCAATTGTTTTTAAGTTTTTGGTTAGCTGTGAGGAAGAAGTTATCAGTGTGCCAGAAACTTTTACAGTCGGTGACGGCAAACACAACCCTCTAAGAAGTTCTGAGCCCAAAATGAATTTAAGAGCAAACCCTCTTGATTTTTAATTTTTCAACTGTTTCTCTCTGTTTTTTGCTGAGAATTGTGGCGGGAATGGAGGTGGGTAATGGCGAGGTGACGATATTAAGTCATGCTCTGTCAATCCTCTGACTAATATAACTGTGTGATGTTATATCGTATCTCGACAGGATCTGATCGCTCATACCCACCTTCTAATGTCTTCTTCCGGTTCTAATTTTCGTCCCTCGTTTTGATTTTAATCTCCTTATGTAATGGTTTGATGTGGTGTTTCTTCGGGCCAGAGGATGAATCTCATACAACAAATGGGTAATTTGCGTCTGAATTCTATTGATGCTATATCACCTTGGAGAACTGATGCCCCTTCTTTGTGAAATCTAGCAGATTACTTTGTTTGTCAAAGCTCATTATTTTTTACTCCGTTGTCTTTCTGTTATGCTGGTATTTGTTTCTCTGATCTCTGATTGCTCGAGTCATTCCACAATCTCTCCTTTTGTACTGTTGTTGATGAACAGGTGAATTCCAGTCTGCAGAATGTATGTGATTGAAAACGAGAAGGCCCATAATCGGTCAGTTGTTGCAGGAAGATCTTGAAGGTGGAACTAGTTGACCTTGGCTAGAACCTTGAGTTCATAAGAGCTTGGTTTTCAGTTGCAATAGCTTTTGTTGATTTCATGGAAGCCTCAATTTTTTTGGTAATTGTTGAGGTTCGCACAGTATATTGTACTAATATATTATTGTACACACGACTGTTATCAAAGTCTGCTATCTTCAAATTCTGGCTCTTTATTTTATTGCATACCTTAATGATTTCTCCAACATTGATGATGAAGGCATTTAATCGTGAAAAAAATCTTTAGTCTCTCGTTTCCTTAGCCATACCAAGGATTGTAATGGTTTTCAACTATCACCCGAAAGGGAGAAGATTATGATCAAGATGGCCTGAAGCGATCCCTCGTTGTGCCTTTCTTATGATATCTGATGGAAGTTTGAATCTTTTGGTTGATAACGGTACTTGTTTGCATATTCCTACATATTGTTACGCAATGAACATCTGGAACATTCAACTGTCTATAGTTTTGAAATCTGCAAGCTTCAAGTGCTTTTATTCTGTGGTGCTGCTTCTCCTTGTATCTTCATCTGATCAACGAGGCCTTTTCCGTCGAGTTTACAACTTACAACGAGCTTGATGTAATCGATAGCAGACACGGTTTTGTAGTTTGGCGCTTGCTTCTGATCTCCACTGATGATTGCTGGCAATGGTCCTATCATGGCGTTGAAGTTTGTGTTGTGGAATGCTGCAATTGACAGTCTCTCCTTTTCCGGGTTCACCACCGCTCTGTGCTCTATGCTCTTGTATTCTCCGTTGCTCATTATCTATAATAACGAAAAGGAAAATAGAGACCCAGTTTAGTTGGCATAGATATTTCTGACTGCTCTGTGGCCAATTTGGACGGAGTTTTTGAGTTTGTGCAGTTACCTCAATGATGTCGCCGATATTGACGATGAAGGCACCTGGGATGGGAGCAACGGGGACCCATTTCCCATCTTTCTTGATTTGCAGTCCTTGCACTTGGTTCACTTGAGTCAACAATGTCAATCCACCGGCGTCCGAATGTGGGGAGAGTCCGGTGACCTTGCTGGCTTGCTTGCATGGTGGATAGTAGTTCATTCTTATACTCTGCGAACCTTCTTTGAACGACGAGAGCAGCTTGTCAGGGTCGAGTCCCAGGTTCCTGGCCATGGAACTTAGTAGGATCACCGACAACTTTTCAAGCTCCGATGAGTACTTGTCCAGCGTTGCCCTGAGGCGGCGAGGCATTTTGGTTAGCTAGAAAGTGGCACTTGGGGTTGGTTGATTGATTCAATACTGATATAATAAGGAAAACCAACCTGAAAGAAGAGGGGACTTTTGGCCAGAACCTCATCTTTCTTCCTTGAGTAGGTCGCGTTAGAATATAAAGCATGTCACCCCAATCAAGCTTTTGCTCTTCCGATACAACAAACGCTTGGCCAAATCCTTCAAGGTCGTTTGGTAACTGCGCACATTCCATTTTCAGTTGCAGCGGCTGGCGGAAAAACTCTTGAACATCGTCCTTCATGTTGAGAATCACTTCCTCTGCTACTCCATGGTTGATTACCTGCTCAGTTATATTTGGGATCAAATCCAACCAAAAGATGAAGTGATTTAACCCAAGCATGTTTGCTTAACACGGTATTTACCTGGAAGAACCCCCAATCTCTGCAGGCCGAATGAAGAAGCTTAGCCGATTCCTCGTCACCATCGACGAGCTTTCCTATATCGATTACTGGAATTCGACCAGAGTACTCGTCATTGGAAACTCGTTCGAGCTCGAGTTCGGGACGTATGTACCGGACGGGCACGACGTCATTGGAGCTGGAGGCGAGTTGCTGAACGTTGGGAACAGCCAGAGAGCCTCCAAACTCCATTTTTCCCACAGTTTGTTTTCTGAAAGGTGGAGACTATTTATTAGCGTTTATATCCAAGTAAGTATTATTAATTATTATTAGGTGGGCTCAGCTGTCCTGACAGAGCTATTAATGAGACGGTGGAGTCTAGGAATGTCAATGGTCGGGTTGGGACGGGTTTTGTCAAATCTAAACCCATGGGTTTATCCATATAAAAAATCGAGGTAAACCTGTTGGGTTTGAAAAATTCAAACTCAACCCAACCCGCTGGGTATCCGCGGGTTCATTGGTACCCGTGGGTTTTTGTAGTAAAAATTTTACAATAACAAGTTTCTTTCAAAATAAAAGTTTAACATCAATTTTCTCATACAAATTAATCATACAATAAACACCAATCTAGAGCATACAAGCAAACCGCAAATGATCAATACGAATTGTTCAAAATTAAAGATAAACATCTATAAACAATAAGATTAATTGAAAGTTTCTTCCTCGTAGACTAAGTTTCTGCACTCTCCACTTCATAATATCAACTTCATTATAAACAATTAAAAAGAACAAATTATACATGTCTCCACAAACATAAAGAACATTAGTTGTTTAAGGAAGATATATTATTTAGAATATTAAATATACCGAGAAAGTAATTATATGTGTGTGAGCGGGTACCCATGGGGCGAGTTTACCTAAACCCAAACCCGACCCGGTGAATAGTGTAGCGAGTTTAAACCCAAACACGGACCAAAACCCGTCGACACGAGTTTTACCCGCGTTAACCGGATTGGATCGAGTGAGTACCCGTGGGTTTGGGTTTTGTTGCCATCCCTAGGTGGAGTCCTTTGCTTCATGGAATCCCTCGTATAAAATAAATGGCATTATAGTCTGGTCAACGCATGGTTAGTTAACCGACTCTTCATTAATTAAGTAAAAGAGTGAGCTGCTTCGTCGTGGCCACTTGTTCTTCGTCTGGCAAATTTTTGTTAACTTGTTGAAAGAGAGAACGAAGGCGACATTTCACCTTGAAAAAAGGCATGTTAGGTTAGGTATGAATTTCTATTGGGTCATTCCATATGAATCAGCTACTAGTCCACTAATTTGTTTGTCAACGAAAGTAATTTAAAAACAAATACCTTTAATTTACTTTAAACCCGTAAATCGTAATCTTCCGTTCATGAAAGAGGGTGAGAAAATTTGCGAATTGTAAAATAATAAAGGAAAAAAGTGTGTTTAGTTAAGGAAAAAAAAGTCACAATGAGAGCAAATGAAGTTTTCACTCCAAATTGAAAGGAGCAATCATTGAATCGTTTCGAAGATGATGGTCGGAACTTGATTTGTTTGTCAACATTTTACTGATCCTCGTCTAATCACTATTATCGTTAACGGTCGATAAAAATATCGGGATACAAACAACACAAAAGTATCAAGTTAAACGACATGACAAGATTGTCATATTGAATGCTTTATGACAGAAATGATACTTTTTGGATAGTTCGAACTTTGTTGTGGTATTCGCCCTATTACATATTAGTGATTTTTTTTTCTGTCTAGTAGTTCTAAAAATTATTATCATTCTACTAGTACTCAAGAGTCCAGAATTAGTTGTTATTATCAATAATATAATTCGATTCATACATTAAACTCTACACATCCTCCAACTAACAAGACAATCTTGAAGTACATGAGCAAACTAAACACACACACACAAAAACAAAAAACAATAGTCTCAACCAATATGAAGGTCCAAGCAATTGCTTTTGGTTGATTATTTATTTACAAAAGGGACTTTTCACTGCTCTTCTTCGGTTTCTAACTTCATGTGATGGATGAGGCCTCTACTTTTGCCATCGAGTTTAGTTTTTACCCCAAGCTTCATATATTCTTGGTGCGATATGGATTTGTACTTTGGTACTGCTTGCTTCTTGCAGTCCTCGATGAAAAGGTCCGGCAACGGCCCAATCGTGGCGTTGAAGTTCGGGCTGTGGAATGTCGCAATTGATAGTCTCGCCTTTTTAGGATTCACTACCGCTCTGTGCTCAACGCTCTTGTACTCTCCATTGCTCATTATCTATCGTCAAGATGAGTTTTGACTTCAAATTTTTGTGTCATCATTATCGTAAATTGACCCAATTTATGTTATTTCGTACCTCGATGATATCGCCGACATTGACGATGAAAGCACCTGGAATGGGATCAACGGGAACCCATTTCCCATCTTTCTTGATTTGCAATCCTTGCACTTGATTCACTTGAGTCAGCAACGTTAATCCAGTGGCGTCGGAATGTGGGGAGAGTCCGGTGACCTTGCTGGCTAGCTTACATGGCGGATAGTAGTTCATTCTCATAGCTTGAGCACCTTCTTCGAATAAAGGGAGCAGCTTTTCTGGGTCGAGCCCCAAGTTCATGGCCATGAATTTCAGCAAGCTAATTGTCAACTTCTCCAGCTCTGTTGAATACTGGTCCACAGTTTCTCTGGTTGGAAGAAGAGTGACACATTAACGACACTTTTGGTTAGTGGGTAGTAGCTAAGAGATGACAAACAGGTCGTCTCGGGCAGAGCCAAAAGTATTTGAGGAGTCGTTTGTACGAGGAATTCTAATGGATTCAATCTGGTCAAATTGCTTCATTTTGAGTCAGTCTGGTCAAATTGATCCGTTTACCGGCACAAAAATTTAGATGAAGCTATTATGCCTGAAATTCAAGAGTGAAAGACATGCACACATTCATTTGGCTAATTGATGTGGGGGAACAAACCTGAAAGAAGAGGGAACTTTTGGCCAAAACTTCATATTTCTTCCATTGATGGGTTTTGCAAGAATGAAGAGCATGTCACCCCAGTCGAGCTTCTGCTCTTCCGATAAAACAAATGCTTGGCCATATCCTTCGAGAGAATTAGGCAATTGTGCATATTTCATTTTCTCCTCCAGTGCTTGGTCGAAGAACTCTTGAACATCTATCTTCATTTTCATAATCACCTCCTCCGCAATTCCATGGTTGATCACCTAATTTTTTTGCACATCACATCAATTTTTTCCTTTACATAAAAGGTCAAAATCCCATTTTGAAACAAATTCATGGAATCCACAATAATCAAAATAATAAAGAAAATAAACAAGGCAGGAGAGAAACAAATAGCTCAAACCATCTACCCATCAAATTCAACCCACTAGTCCCCAAACACCCCATCGTCCAAAACTGAATTCTTATAAATAATTTAAAAAAAAAATAACAAAAATTACGAGTGTTACCTGGAAAAATCCCCAATCTCTACAAGCCGAATGGAGTTTAGCCAATTCGTCACCACCATAACCATCTACTAACTTGCTCATGTCGATTACCGGAATCGAAACATGTTCATCGTTAAGAACTCGGTCTACCTCGAGCTCGGGACGTATATACCTATTGGGTACGTCCTTCAAACTCGAAGCCATCCGTTGAACATTGGCAACCGCAAGAGAACCTCCAACCTCCATTCCCCCAATTTCTAAGAACACCCTCTTCTTCTTCTTCTTCTTCTGAATTAGCAACCTTTTGTCTCAAGAGTAATTAGAAGCTATGGTTTTGATCTCATACATTCTCATATATGGATTTGTCATATATATATATACAAGCCCACCAGCAGACTTTCACTGTAGCCCAGTGGACAGATAGGTGTCGCAATGACTCATCTAGTTGGCCCAATCACAAACGTCGGCCGCTTTGCTCCATACAAGAAATGAAGAAATTGTGCGGGTACGTATTCAAGTTTTTCACGTCGACAAACCATCAAATGTCGGCTTAATAGGGATGGCAATGGATGGGGTCGGGCGCGGATAGTGCATATCCGTTATCCTACCCATAGTAGTTCGGGTTTTACCCATATCCATACCCACATGTGAAATGGGTAGAAAATCAAAACCATGCCCATACCCGTTCGGGTTTCGAGTATCCACAGTTATCCATGGGTAATAATTTCTCTTCATAACTTCAACCTATATGATAACATTCATACGTATTCTCACATTACGTAAGAGGAAAAGTACGACAATAATTCACTAGGATGAAGAAAATTAATTAAAACTACACAATTTCATGAAAATATTATATTTATATGCTAAATATAAAATATGTTAGAGAAAAATATTGATTATTTCTAGACAGAATACATATGCATGTGTATAATAGGGCAGGTTCGGGTTGGATAGTGAGAAACCCATGCCCACCCATTACCCACAATATTCGGGTTCGGATTTTACCCGTACCCACTAAATGTCCTTCGGGTTCGGGTTTTACCCTACCCGATTAGGCCGGATTCGGGCGGATATCCACGGTTATGGATATTTTTGCCATCCCTACGGCTAAAGGATGATATTGAATTTTTAATCGCAACCATATAATTATCACTCAATATCGAATTTTAATAATTGTATTTCATTTGTTTTATTCAATTTTTTTAATTAAATTAATTGTATTCTACTGAATGATATTGAAAAATAAATCTTCTGTCAATTTTAACATGTGGAAACACATGGCACAACCACGTACACCAGACTCTAACAATTGAAACATGTGAAAAATAAGCCACTCCTTGTCTTACTGCTATGGTAAGATTGGCTGATAATTTAAAAAATATATATATATTAAAACTAAATATTATTTGGTATATGATACTTATGTGTACTTTTTTTTTAATTGGAGTTAAATTAAAGAAGATGAAATCCGATGAAGAAAATTATCGTTTAATCACATTCATTATATTATACTAGTGGAACTGAAAAGTCGAGATTTGATTAAGCTCCTCAACTCGTCAACACAGCGAATCCCTTGACACCCTAAATTATTTAGGAAATTCATTTAGAGGCGTTTCTTTCTAATTTCATCAATGAATATTCAATCATAGCTATGCTGTCTTGTTTATCTTTTGTACTTGGATGATAAAATCTCATATATAATTTACGATAAATGTGTTTAATAATTACTTCTCTAATTAATTATATATATGATTGCTTAGAAAAAAAAAATGAAAGTGGTTCCTCATCTATTTGTATCTAGGGCTGCAAATGAGCCGAGTCGAGTCGAGTTTTTGCTTAGCTTGAGCTCCGCTCGTTTGTAAATTTTTTAGCTCGAACTCGAATTTTGATCATCCAGCTCGAGCTCGAGCTCGACTCGATTAAAAATAATTCAGCTCGAGCTCGGTAAATGCTCATTAACACAACTTGTCAAGCTGAGTACAAGCTCGGCTCTAGATAAGCTCGATTTGAAACCATTATTGCTGAAAAATGTGTACAAATAAGAACATTAGAAATTAAAAATGACAAAAAGAACACGAGAAACTAAAAATAACATCTAACTTCCATACACATCTTTATTAACAAGATAATTTTCATGTTCAAAAGAGTAATTAATCCTTCCACAAGCTTTAAACAAGACAGCTCGCGAGCTTCGCTCAACAAGCCATCGAGTCAAGCTAGCTCACGAGCTTATCAAGCCGAGCATGGCCTAGCTCAAGCTTGGCTCGTTTACTAACGAGCCGTTAAACAACGAGTCGAGTGTCGAACGAGCGAGCCGACTTGTTAAACAACGAGTCAAGTGTCGAACGAGTTTTTTCCAATTCGAACGCCGAGTTGCTCGCGAGCGGCATGGCTCATTTGCAGCCCTACCTATATCTAGGTGATATTGCCAGAGGACTTGGTAATATAACAAATTTGTCAATTTAGCAATCACCCTTGCATCGTTAGCAATTGCTATTGAAGTGTCATATCACCATCCACATCACTTTAGCAATTGCCAAAGAATAGTAATGAAGATGGTATTGCTCACTTTAGTTGCTCTCCATAAACGTTTTAGCTAGCAAATTCCCAAATAAACCAAATTTCCTTATCACGGGTGGTTTGGATACATTATTTTGATGAGGTAATTTGGTCAAAATAATTCAGAATGAGGTATTTCAATCAAAATAACTCGTTTGGCAAAAATAAAGTAGAATGTGATATTTTGTCCACGAGTCAATTGAAATAACTCATTGTGAGTTATTTGAAATACCTACCCACCCCCTAGTTATTTCAAATACCTCATCTCCCAACTTCTTTTTCTACTTCATCCCTTCTTTAAGTGGTGAAATACCATAATATTTGAATGTTTTATCCAAACAAGGCAATTACACCAATTACCATATTTCAAAATGAAATACCACATGAAATGCCACGTAGCAAAATAATGCATCATTTGGATTCGAAATATCATAGAACCAAAATGATGCATCCAAACGAACCATCAATATACAATTAATGGATTGCAATAAGTGATGGATATTAAAATGCTATTACCAAATAAATCAAATTTTCTCATCAATAGACAATTAAGTGTTGGATATTCAAAAATAATTTTTATTGATTTGGTACAGGTTGAACCAATAATCAATCACTTTACGGATTCATATTTCTGATTAGGTTTTGACAATACTACCTACTCTCAAAATGCCAAAAGTCTATTTATATTGAAGTGTTTCATCACGGCATTTCTTGTAGACTTTTTTTGGTAAGATGACATTTCGTGTAGGCTTAAAACTAGTACAAACCACAACTAGAAAGCTCGTAGGTGGGGGAATGATCTATGACACCACAAAAAGAGAGCAAGGAAGTTGACGTGGGAGTGGAACAATATTCAATGAAAGGTACCAAGGGTTTAGCTATTTGTCAAACCATTTGTTGATGTGACTTGAATCGAACTATCAGCCGCTACGACTGGTAATCGGGGGTTTCTCTCTCGCCCGTGGACGTAGCTAACACACATCGTGTTGGTGAACCACGTAAATCGTGTCTCGTGTTTTCGATTCTCGCTTTCGTATTCTTGCTTTGTCGAGTCCTGCGATTTCCCGATCCGTAGCAGCGCGTTTATAACACCATTATGATTTGTGTCAATCAATAATCGCCTCTTTGTGATCATAATATAAAATAATTTGATTAATGATAATGTGACTCCATGTTGATAAAGTCTTGATTCATATCGATTCCCTGATCCATAATTAGCCTCTTTTTTCTCAATTTGGATTTAAAATACCAAAAAAATTTAGTGAATATGAAAAATTGAAAATGAGTGTAAAAATTGTGATTTTAAGGTCCATATGAAAAACGAAGACGAAATAATATCAAAAAGAAAAAATCATGGATAACACAAAAACACATGACACTTACAATGATCATTTCTAGAGGTTAATGTTCCAATTTATCAAGGTTAATGTAGGAAAGTGTTGAATCGATGATGATTAATATGTTAATGCGAATTAACGGTGGTAGTTAGTGTGAGAGAACTAGATGATGTTGGTGGAGGAGAAAGAAAAGACATAATTTTGCAAATTTTCTAAGAACCCTATTCTTCTTTTGCCAAAGAAACCAAAACCTTAGATCAGATGGCAAATCATTATATGAGATTTGCCAGGGTGGGAAAAGAAGGTATTTGATAGACCATGGACCCGTACAGTGAAATGTTCCTGTGAACTTTTATGGGTTAATATTTTATTTTGGTTCGAATTATAATTATATAATTAATTTTGGTTCGTGGTTTCAGAAATTAATATTCTGGTCTCAACAATGCAGCATATAGACTCAATTGGCCCGATACATGATTTGACCATCAATTTGGACACTCAACACCATTGACCATTAGTCAACACGCAATGTCATTGCCTTGTCAGCTTAAAAATTATTAAAAAAATTCAAATTATTTATTATTTTCAAATTAACCAAAAAATAAAAAAATAAAAATTTAAATAATTTTTGGTTAATTTATAAAATTTATCATTTTCAAATTACACAAAAAATAAAAAATTATTTTATATTTTTGTCTATACTAAGCGCGAATGTGGGTATCTCAATATTTATATTTGTTCTATACTAAACGCGAATCAGGTCGGGTAATATCCTTATAGGTACGAGGAAGGATGAGTCGATCCATTTTCACATGTTATTTTAAGAAAATATACCAAAAAATTTAATAATTTTACGATGAAACAAAAGAACAACACTTCGTGAATGACAATAGTGATAATATAATGAGTAACTGAATCTAAATAATTAAAAGATCAATTTTTGCACCTATTCAAAGTTTCATTATGTTGAAATATTTTTTTTGTGTGTGTGAAAATGCTGAAATATTATTAAAAAAAAGTTAAAGTATGAGAACTACAAATAAATATTAAAGAAAATTGAGATAATATTAATCCATGTCCCGTCCCATACTACTACTGCATATCGAATAATACTTGTCCAACGCGAATATGATCGAGCAATATGATAATTGTCGAAAACATATCGATTCCATGTGCTTAATGTGATTATTTCATAATATGTTTGAGACCTATAATACTTGTTTGAGGGTCCAACTAAGCCTGGAATGGTTATAAAACCATTACCATCAAGTGCCAAATGTTTTATATATTTCAGGTAAATGAAACGAGAAATTTGCATTGATGGATAGAATAATTTAAGTGGACTGGATGTACATTGGACCGGAACTTACTGAGGAGTTGAACCGGGACTGGAATATTCACTTGGGCTTTTGAAAGGAAGAGTGGGCCGGAGGTTTTTTGGTGATCTGGGGAGGACTAATTTTGGATGGAGGTAATTAATGGCAGGGACAATATTTGGGCCAGGGGACTCAAGCATAAGCAAGTTCAGTGGTTGAAACCTCTGTAATCGATCGATGGGAACCTCGAAGCTGTCTGGGGCAGGAGCAAACTCATATTAGGCACTGCCGCAGCATTAATGGTACAAGCGGTACGACCACCTCATCCCTCTATATCGCCGTCCATAGCTTAAAGCAGAACTTACAAGCTTCTCACTGACCTCCGTGGGAAAGCTAAGTGCCCCTATTTATACACGGAATTTGCTATTGAAAAAAAGCTTCTTCTGGGACACGGGAGGAATTATAGGCGGCCATTAATTGGAAGGCAGCGAAATTCTCTTTTGGGCGGACACAGCAGCGGACTTTCTCTGTGGGGAAAGAAAAACAAAAGGGTGGACGGAATTCTACTGGAGGAAGGAAAAAAAGGCAGCAGGACAAATTATTGGGGGCGGACTTTATTTTTGGAGGAGGGCTGGGCGAAATTTCTTTGGAAAAAGGGAGATAGAAAAGGCGGAGCAAGGAAACGCAGCGGGAGGCAATTACAGGCAGAGCAGCGTATCGAGCAGCCACCGGCGATCGAGTTTTTCAAGGCTTGAGCTGAATTCAACGAGAGCGATTAGTTGGTTGGATTTTCTAAACCGAATTAGTTGTGTATTGTTGATTTAGAACATGATGAACAAAACCCTATCGATTTATCTTAATTTCGTCATGAACTAAACCCCAATTTCTGGGGGAAACACCATAGGATGTAGCTATTTCTTGATTTGATGGATTGATTCATGATTCTTTTCTTCCAATCTCTATTGCATGAAATTTCTTAATGCTTTGTGTTGACTAGCCACCAATACATTGATTTGTAGTTAATTAGGTTATTAGCGACAGTGAAACCCTAATAACTGAACCTATTTCATGTGACATAGTAACTTATCGAAGCGACAGTGGATTAAATAAGGTGCTATGCAATCTTAAATAGAATATCGATCTTCAGACTATATAATTAATTCATTGAGCTACGACAATAAGATTTAAATTGATTATTTAGTACGTAGTAATTCCCGACAGGGATAGCTAGCACAATACCCGAACAAGTGAGTTCAAATTGCCTCTTACTGAGAGATCCAGGAAGGTTAAGAAACCTACATACAATCCTCTTCCTAACTTCCCCTCTACTACTTCCGTGACCGTGAGCACATTATTCGTTCCCCATCTTGATCATGGACTTGGCAATCTCTCGAAAGAAGAGTTCCTCGTACAAGGCAAAAGCCCATACTAGGCCCATAACCACGCCATCCTTCACAGTGACAAGGCATCATTAGAGCCCAACAGGCCTCTGCCCCGGAAGAGGTTGAGGTGGTATTACTACCTCACCTGGTAACACCTTCGTTAAAATTTATAGAAAAAACACCTTAAATAAATGATGATGTGACAGGTTATACACGTTAAATTATACAAGAGATCGGCGGTCCGCCTTCAAATGGCATTGTTGCCTTTGGCAATTATAATTAACATAGTTAGTAAAATACAGTACAAGAAAGTTATGAATAAAATATGTACGGCTATTTTATAGTACGTTAATGTTAATTTTACGATTAATAGTACGTTAATAGTCATAAATATATAAAATTAATTATTTTTAAAATAAATAAATATATAAATAGTAGTAATGTTAATAATTTAATTCATTAAATATGAATATTAAACGTGTTATACGAGTTTTAAACTTGTTTAATACGAGAGCCATCAGATGAACGGAAAAAATGAAACAGTTTGACAATAATACGGATACGAAAGTTTTAAATGGTTAAAGTACGCATGGTTACATATACATGTATTAAACGGAGTATTTACCAACTATGATAATTAGCAATCAGCGATTTATGGAAGAACAAAGAGATTGTTTGTTGAATGCTTAATCACACCAACCCTATATTATTTCTATGAAGAACTATTGAAACTCCAACCCTAATTGACCTCTAAAGCCTCGGGCGGTAAACAATATATTTCAGTAGGGTTCAAAGTTAATTTAGTAATTATTTTTTGGCGAGGAAAATCTCTGGTGTTTGATATTAATGAATGCAACTTTGACTTCTTTGAACAACAATTACTAAACACGGTTCACACCTCTCCGAACATAGTTCGAACAAGGGTGTTTGATTGATGGTTTTTGGGAATGAAATAAGTTACTCCTACTCCTATGGTGGTTCAGTGAGTTATCCAAAAACTAAGGGCCACGACTATGGCTACATTGCAGAGGAAAAGATAAAGTTTGACATGTAGAGTCAAATGTTTTTTTATGGAGCATTTGCTTTGTCTTCGTTTCTCCTATATTATAGACATCCCTTTGTAACCGCCATGTAACTGCCTCTTGTAACCGCTGCCTCCCCTTCTTGGTATTTCATGTAGCTTGCTTGAGCCTTAACTACCTTGCGTGCAATGCAGTCAAAAGCTCGATTCTACCTAGACGCCCAAAATGGGTAAAATCGTAAACCGTAGAATCAAAGAAATGTGTTAAGTACGACATATTCTAAGTAAAATATGAGTGCATATAAGTTAATAAATACCTGTGATTCATGTCTAAAGTTGAGAAACTCATAACATTTTAACAATAAGTTCATAAACATATATCTTAACAATAAGCTATCTTCCCCTCTATGCTAGTGAATTTGGGAAGGGCCTAGCTGGTGAATTAGATTACTCTATTGAAGCTAAGAATACTCCCAAGTACCTGATATGTATATTTCAATCTAAAATATATCATTTTTTTATTTACCTTTAAAATACAAGTATTTTCATGAATAAAATACTCCTTTAGTGAACTAGAAGTGTAAAAGCGTAAAGCGTTTTGATGAACCAGAAGCGTAAAAGCATAAGTTTTTAAGCTTTAAAGCTCATTTTAGTCCCAATTTTATACACTTAAGATTTTATATGGAAACGAAAGCGTTTTGGTGACCTAGAAGCGTAAAACCGTAAGTTTTTTAGTTTTAAAACGCGATTTTGACTGCATTGCTTGCGTGCTTGCCACTTGATACCTTGCACTTAGATGACTTTACTTGATAGCTAGCCCCTTATGCCATGAAAGGATCTTGCTTGGTGAGTGAGGGCTTCACGCTTGGTGGTCCTCATGTTGACCACTCTAGTATGACATCATACTTGATGCTATTGTGCTTGGGACTTGATGGATGCTCACTGACCCCCTTGGGGTGGCTTCACGCTTGGTGGCATCATGCTTGTAGTGACCCATGAAGCCTAGCATACCCGACTACTGGGAATGATGGTGCATTGTGCCTACCCCCTTGGCATGCGCCATGCTTGGCACCCTGGTTCTTTGTAGGTGGGCAAGAGAAAGTTCCATACTTAGCCGATTTCATCATACTTGAAACATAAGTGTCGCCCCCCATGCACTCTGCCCTGCTTGGGTATTTGAGAGGTAGGCGACAAAGTTTGCCAGCACCAACACTTCTTGAATGACATCATGCTTGGTACTTGGTGCTTGACCCCCCTTGTGGTTGGTACATGAGTGGCTAAATGGTTGACTGCAAGGCCCTCCTTGCATGACATCATGCTTGACCTCCCTTGTGGTTGGTACGTGGGTGGCTAAATGCTTGAATCGCCATGCCCCCCCCCTCCCCTTGCACGACATCATGCTTGATACCCTAGTGCAAGGTAGGTAGGCGACCATGATACTTAGTACTTGACCCACCTTGCATGACATCATGCTCCCCCCCCCCCCCCCCCCCCCTAGTGGTTGGGTCTCAAGACTTTGCCGAATTTCTTCACCACCATGCCTACTTGGGTGGTCGATGCTTGACCCCCCTTTGGATGATGTCATGCTTGACATGATAGGTGGGTGCTTTGTGGGTCGATTATATAGCCTACTTGGTAGGCAGGTGTTTATGTGGTTGGTGTCAATGGGGTGGCTACCGAGGTACCTTGCTTGAAGCCCAAAAGTTGATCATTTAGGCTCAACTTAAACCAATGTAATTAATGTGATTAAGTTGGCCTTATAAACCACTGCCACTCTTTGAAAATAATCAATGTGGTATCAAGTGATTTTTTAGTGGTAAATAGTAATAATGTATGTTTTAGTAGTAAAATTATGATCAGTTTGCAACATGAGCCGACGTTGATCCTTTCTCTGCGCCTTCACTTCAACGTTCTTCTTCATAGGCGATTGCTAGCAGTGGCTTGACTCTAGCTTCACTTTGCCCGCCAGTAGCGCTTCAGGCGTGGCTGCTGGTTTGGTTCCTCGCACTATTTAGGACAACTCTGTGATCAAAACCTAGATCTCTTCAAGGTTGTGCCTATTAATTTCAGCGTATTTTGTAGAAAATTGACGAATTAGGTCTCCAAGAGATAACTTAGTAGTGGTCAACCATACTCTAATACCAATTTGAGACAAATATGGTCACCCTGTACCATGAATTGACAATGTAGAAAGAGAAATAGATCGAATGAGAAGATAATTGGGTATTATTAGCTGATATAGAATCGGGGATTAAGGTTCTTACATACGAATAGAGGGAATTATGGCTGGAAGATGATTGGGAGATGAGATGGGATGAATAATGAAGAATGGAAAAAGAGGGCGGTGGGGGGTTCTTAAGTTTAATGGAGTGAGAGGAAGAGGAACTACTCTTTGTCAGATTTCTGATGAATTCTTCTTTATTGCTTGAGAATTGGAAAACAAAACTTACATTCTCCAGCTTAGTTCACTGGTTTTATACTCTGTCTATCAGAGAAGAGTAAAGTAGTTACGAGTCCCTAACTAACCTGTCTAATTTACATTATAGTACCTAACCTAATTACATTCTACCTACATAAGTTTATGCTTATTACATTCTGATACATAGTATCTCTAATACCCCCCCTCAAGCTAAACGTGAATCGATTTCAGGTTCAGCTTGGAAATAAGATCAACAAAGGTGTGGACTGGAAGAGCTTTAGTGAATGGATCTGCAAGCTGCAAGGTTGTAGAGATGTGCTGTACTTTCAACTTGTTGGAAAGGACCTGATCTCTGGTGAAGTGGCAGTCGACTTCTATATGTTTTGTCCGTTCGTGCTGCACTGGATTCTGTGTCATTTTGACAGCAGAAAGACTATCGCAGTAAATGGTGTATGGATGCTGAGGTTGTACAGGTAGCTGTCTGAACAAAGCTGTCATCCATTGAAGTTCTTGAGCTGTATCAGCCAAAGCCCTGTACTCTGCCTCGGCTGAAGATCTGGAAATGGTTTGTTGCTTCTTTGAACGCCAGCTGATGAGGGAGTTGCCTAAGAACACACAGAACCCGGTGGTTTATCGACGAGTGTCTGGACATCCAACCCAATCAGAGTCTGAAAAAGCAGTCAAACGAAGAGATGAGTTCGAGGGAAAGTATAATCCGCGAGCAGGAGTTGTTTTTAGATAGCGTAGCAATCTATGGGTTGCTTGTTCATGTACTGTAGTTGGTGAATCAACAAATTGGCTGAGTTGATTAACAGTGTAGCATATATCAGGACGTGTAGTGCAAAGATATTGGAAACTACCAATCAATGTTCTGTAACTACTGTGGTCTGTTTCATTTAAGGGAATGCCATCTGTAGCAGACAAGTGTGTGGCAGGAATGGAAGGGGTTGTGGTTGGCTTGGATGCTAAAAAACCAGTATCAGTTAACAGATCAAGAGTGTATTTTCTTTGACATAAGTGAATACCACTGTCTGACCTGGAAACTTCCATACCAAGGAAATATTTTAGTGGTCGAAGGTCTTTTATTGTGAAAGCAAGGTCTAATTGATGCTTGACATGCTTGATTTCTGCCATATCATTACCAGTTAAAATAATATCGTCAACGTAGACAAGTAAGGCAGTGAATGAGTTGTTCTGTTGTTTGGTGAACAGGGAGTAATCACAGTGTGATTTCTGATAGCCTAGGCTTTCTAATGTAGCTGCAAGCTTAGCAAACCACTGTCGGCTAGCTTGCTTAAGGCCATAGAGAGATTTTGTTAATTTACAGACTTTGTTTTTGTCTGCAGGGCTAACTGGGAGACCTGGTGGTAATTTCATGTAAACCTCTTCATTGAGGTCACCATGAAGGAAGGCTGTGTTTACGTCTAATTGTTCTAGGTGCCAATTATATATGGCTGCAAGAGCTAAAATAATTCGAACGGTTGTCATTTTAACTACAGGAGAGAAAGTGTCCAAATAGTCAGCACCAGGTGTTTGTGTGTAGCCTTTTGCTACCAACCTGGCTTTGTATTTATCAATAGAACCATCTTGTTTAAATTTCAACCGAAAGACCCATTTGTTGCCAATAATGGGAACATTGGGAGGGGGGTCTACAAGAACCCAGGTTTTGGTTTTTTCTAAAGAAGCAAACTCAGAGTTTACTGCTTTCAACCATTCATCTGATTGAGCAGCCTCTTTGTAGGTTCTAGGTTCCCTGACTTGTGATATTGCCATGGCAAATCTTTTATGGGAGGGACTAAGAGAACTATAGGAAAGTAATGCTTGAATGGGGTATCTGGTTTTGGAAAATAAAGTGGCTTGACTAGCCATATTGCATTTGTAATCCTTGTATCTAGCTGGCTTGATGATCTGCCTGGTTGATCTCCTTAGTGGAGGCAAATCAGTAGGAGTAGCCATGGTAGTAAAGTCAAGATCATTATTTGTGGGGACCAACTCAGGACCATGTTGAGATAATGAAATGGATGGGGGAGTAGGAGTAGCCATGGTAGTAAAGTCAAGATTATTATTTGTGGGGACCAACTCAGGACTTTGTTGAGATAATGGAATGGATGGGGGAATGATAGACTGAGATGATGTGTAATGTAACTCAGTATGAGCTTTCTCAAAATCAAAGTCTGGAGACAGTGATGAAAAGACAGGTAATGGAAGAGTAGTATTTGTAACCTGAGTTGGATTTTGGAAAGGAAAGATTGTTTCATAAAATGAAACATCTCTGGATATCAGAACATTGTGAGTTTTTAAACTATATAGTCTAAAACCCTTAGTTCCATGTGGGTGACCCAGGTAAATGCAAGGTTGAGCCCTGGGGTCAAGTTTATTTCTAGTTGCTTGAATTGTAGCTGCATAAACAAGGCAGCCAAATACACTAAGATGAGTCAAGCTAGGTGGTACACCATATAACTTTTCATATGGAGTTGAGTTTTGAAGAAGAATAGAGGGTGTTCTGTTTATTATATGTACTGCATGCATTGCAGCATAATTCCAGAACTGAGCAGGTAAAGATGCTTGAAAGAGTAAGGCACGAGTGACAGCTAAGATATGCTGGTGTTTTCTTTCGACTATACCATTCTGTTGAGATGTATAGACACAGGTAGTTTGGTGAATTATGCCTTTGGAAGAATAAAAATCTGGAACATGAAATTCAAGTCCATTATCAGTTCGAATTGTTTTAATTCTTGCTTTGAACTGTGTTTCAATGAAAGTAAAGAAGTTGATAAGAAGTGGCCGAGCTTCTGACTTATGTTTCATGGTAAACAGCCATGTATGACGAGTAAAGTCATCTACAATAGTAAGAAAATAAGCATGGCCTTGAAAAGAAGATACTGGAGCATTACCCCAGATGTCAACATGGATGAGATCAAAAGGGGCTACTGATTTACTTGTGCTATCAGCAAAAGGAAGTCGTTTCTGTTTTGCCATAGGGCAGACAGTACAATGAAAACCAGACAGTGAAGAGATATAACTATCAATGGTTTTGAAATGTGAGAGTTTACAATTAGGCACATGACCAAGGCGATAGTGCCAGATATCTATACTAGGTTTGGAGGAAGAATATGCAATTCTGGAAGGATAAGCAGGAGATCTGGAAGGATTGGTGTTGAGCTGAAGATTGTGTTGAAGTTGTTTAGTCTGAGAAGGATGATGGAGGAGGTAAAGACCATCAATCAGACTAGCTGTTCCAATCATTGTCAAACTGGGGTAAGCCTGTATGAAGCACAATGAATAGTGAAACCATAAGCATATGGTTGTGCTTCTGACCAGTTTACTTACAGACACTAGATTGAAGCTAAATGATGGAACTAACAAAACATCAGTCAGAGTGAGGTGTTCTGAGTATTGGACTACACCTATAGCAGTTACAGCCACTTTACTACCATTAGGCATGTGGACATAAACATTAGAGACTGGTTTAGAGTGCAAAAAATGATCAGGAGAACATATTATGTGATCTGTTGCTCCTGTATCCAGGATCCATTTATGTTGAATGGAGCAATTAACAGTAAAAGCATAGTGAAGTGTACCTGTGTTGTCAGGGACTTCAAAAGCATGAGAGGCCACAGAGTTAGCTCTGCTGACAATGTTATGCTGACCAGAACCTTCACTCTCGTTTGAAGCTGAGTAGTGAGAAGGATTGTTAACCTTGTAGGCATCAGAAAACGCAGCTGGAGCTGGAAGGTAGTGCTGCTGAGCAGAAAACTGAGTCTGCTGAGGAGGAAACTGAGGCTGAGAAGGAACTTGATTGATCTGTTGAACCGTTGGATTCATGAAGCTCAATATTTTCTGATACTGTTGTTGAAAACTCTGCCAATCTGATTGATTGATCATAACAACACCATTAGAGGATGAGCCAACATCAGCTGAAACACTGTTTGCCTGCCTAGGATTCTGCTGCTGCCTCTTTTTAGACTGGTATCCAGGCGTATAGCCATTCTTTTTGTAACACACGTCTTCTGTATGGCCAGTATAACCACAGAATGTGCAGACAGGTTTCTTTGCCTGTTTCTTGAAACCTTGACCAGTGCCCTGAATTCCCAGGTGTGAGCCTAATGCCTTAGTAAAGAAGGCCATACTATCCGAAGCTGGGTTGGGAGCAGACTGGGGTTTAGGCAACAGACCATTTTCCCTCTCATGTTGCACCATCATTGCAAAGACTTTGTTGATAGGTGGTAAAGGCTCTAAGAGCATAACAGTAGATCTAGGACCATTAAAACTGTCATTCAGATTGTGCAAGAAACGAATCACCTTGTCATTCATGTAGTCCTTTCTCAGAGATGCCAGAACACAATGACAAGTAATGCCGCAATCACAATCAGGAATGAACCTATAATTGGCTAACTGATCCCAAAGTGCTCTCTGCTTAGAGTAATACTGAGAGACGCTCATTGTACCTTGTTTGAGGTTGAAGATTGCTTCTTGAAGATCAGCAATGCGGAATGAGTCTCCTTGGGAAAACTGCTCACGTAGCTCAGTCCACGCTCCAATGGCGGTGGTAACGTACAAGATGCTTTCAGCAATGGTTGGATTAACCGAACGCTGAATCCAGTTGAGGAGCAATTTGTTGTTGCGATTCCAAGGCTCGAGCAAAGGAGAATCGTCAGTTGGCTGCGGGATTTTGCCATTCAGGAACCCTAACTTGTTCTTGCCATCAATAACCAAGACCATCGATCTTTCCCAGCTGGAGAAGTTGTTCTCGTTGAGCGGCTGAGATACGAGGCATTGTCCCCAATTCTCCGATGGATGAATGAAGAATGGAGAAGCTGGATCGGAAATTGGAACTCCTTTGTAAAGAATCACGCCGGAATTGCTCGGGCGACCTCCAGTGTGAGGATTTGCAGCTGCGGCTTCGTCGCCGGAAGAGAAAGAATCGTGAATCGCCATAGGAGGACGATGAATCACAGAAAGAAGAAGAAGAAAGGAGAAGAGAGAAGCGGAAGCGAGAAAGGGAGACGGAAAACGCTCAGTAGTGCTCTGATACCATGTCAGATTTCTGATGAATTCTTCTTTATTGCTTGAGAATTGGAAAACAAAACTTACATTCTCCAGCTTAGTTCACTGGTTTTATACTCTGTCTATCAGAGAAGAGTAAAGTAGTTACGAGTCCCTAACTAACCTGTCTAATTTACATTATAGTACCTAACCAAATTACATTCTACCTACATAAGTTTATGCTTATTACATTCTGATACATAGTGTCTCTAATACTCTTTGTTGTTTGATATTTCTGTTTTCAGTTAGGATGGGAGGAAATATATGCATAATGGGAGGTGAGGGTTGGTTATTTATTTTGTGAAATGTTGGCCAAGATCGCTTGATTTTGGCACGATTTGTGTAGGAAGAAAAATCTCCATGCATTGAACTCTATTCCAAAGCATGTCGAGGAGAAAGTGACCATACATTAGTCGTGTTTAACAAGAGCGATTTATTTACTTTGCATTGCTGCATTTGTGCACGATTTACAATACATCGCTGCTCCTCATAGCGATTAATGCGAATCGCTTTACATAAACCCGACTTTGGGTTCTAAAATCCCGGACTACACCAGTGACGAGAGTTGTTCGCTTGATACAGGCGTGATTTATGCAAATGGCTCTACTTTTCAGCAATCTGCACACTAAAATCGTTGGTATGAAAAGCGATCAAACGCAAACAAACTCTAGTATTTCATAGGAATTTCACCGTAAGAATTTTATTGTAAGAATTTTTTTTTATGTAACTAGAAACGGGAAGAAGAAAAAAAATATCGTACTTTTAAGGTTGTAATGTTTTTGGCGAGTAACTTGTCTCGGTTCCAAACTCAACAATAATCCAAATTTTCAAACTTAACGATAAATAGCGGAACTGCGGCTTTTGAAAGCAGAGGAATTTCTTCAGTTCCTAAGGATAATGCCACAAATTTTGCTTCCCACAAAAAAGAAAACCTAAAGGATAAAAACAAAAACAAAGATGTCCGCCTCTTTGCTTCCTCTCCTCATATTTGTATGCCATTGTTCCCCACCATTATCATCATCTCTTCAAATCCCCTGAATCCTACCGTTTCTATCTTTCTGAAGCAAAGGAAAGGAAATGGAGTCATCTTCGAGCCAGCGCGTCGCCAGAATTGCTGCTCATCTCAACCCTCCCAACTTTGAGGTTTGCGGTCTTCTTCTTGGTGCTTCTTTTTTTTCTTCCTATTTAGAAGTTTTTGGAAGTTCTTTACCATCCTTACTGTAACACTACTCTCTTAGCGATACCAAGTTCCTTCCCCTGAAGTTCTGAATCGTCACCCTCCTCCTTCATCTCAATAAGGACTCGATATACATAACAAATTGATTCAGGCAAAGTAGAAACATGCATAGGAAGATGATAAACCAAAGTAGAACAGAAAAATTATTGATATTATATAAAAAAAATCCAATTTTAGCTAGTCAGAAAAAATTCCAGCGAATGATTTCTATTGAGCAAAGATAACGAATAAATTTGGAGGTAGTTTGGAGGTTGAGATTTCAAGTAGTGTATTTATTCAGTAAATGTAATTTAAAAATTCAGTGGTTTTTTTGGTTAAATTCAAGATAGAATACATGTATTACCCTTTTTATTGGCACCTACAATCACTCAAATGAGCGATTATTAATCTCTAACAGAAAGTGAGATTGTTAACCTACTCAACTTTTCTTTATAACAATAACACAATCTAAACCTACAAACAAGGTATATTATTGGTTACAAGCATAGGTCTTTTTGTACTTTTTTTGTTGTATGAAAAATGATCACAAAATGTAATTTTTGTTACAGTTGAGGAGAGAAGAATGCAGGGCAAAAGGAGGGGCCCCTGGCTTCAAAGTGGCCATCTTGGGAGCTGCCGGCGGGATCGGACAGTCGCTGGCTCTCCTCATGAAGATGAACCCTTTGGTCTCTGTCCTTCATCTCTATGATGTCGTGAACTCCCCTGGCGTTACTGCCGACATCAGCCACATGGACACTACCGCAGTGGTAATGTTTTTTTCTCCCAAGTAAAAGAAGGAGAAAACATAACGATGCTCAACTTACTCTATGAATGCATGCATGGGCTTACTTTGTCATATTATTGTGGTGTTTTCATTTTCCAGGTGAGGGGTTTCTTAGGGCAGCCACAACTCGAGGCTGCCCTAACAGGGATGGACCTGGTGGTAATCCCAGCTGGTGTGCCCAGGAAGCCTGGAATGACAAGGGACGATCTGTTCAACATAAATGCTGGAATCGTCAGAACCCTCTGTGAAGGGGTCGCCAAGTGCTGCCCTAATGTTGTGGTGAATCTCATAAGCAATCCTGTGAATTCAACCGTCCCAATTGCTGCTGAAGTCTTCAAGAAAGCTGGTACTTACAACCCTAAGCGCCTCCTCGGCGTCACCGCCCTTGATGTCACTCGCGCCAACACTTTCGTGGTATTGCTCTTTTCTTCCTTCAAACTTGTTGGTTGGTCGCTATCCTTTCATCTTACTAGTCCATTTTTCGCTACGTTGTTGGTTGGCACCTTTGGGCAGGGAGAGGTTCTAGGACTTGACCCGAAGACGGTTGATGTTCCAGTTGTTGGAGGCCATGCTGGTGTTACCATTTTGCCTCTTTTGTCACAGGTCTTGTTAAACACCTTCACCAGCTGATATGGTGTTTTGGCTGTTTGTTTTCCTAAGATTCGAAAACTTTTTTTTTCCCTTTTTGTAGGTGAAGCCTCCCTGCAGCTTCACCCCAGAAGAAACTGAATACCTGACAAAGAGAATCCAAGATGGTGGCACAGAGGTCGTTCAGGTAAGAAACCAGTGCCCTAGTTTTCTTCTTGGTTTCTGTATCCAACCAATCAAAGATTAAAGCATTGCAATGTCGATTCAATTTCCAGGCAAAAGCCGGGGCTGGCTCTGCGACATTGTCAATGGTTAGAAATTAAACTCTCTCATGTTCTCCATTTTTCTTTCATCTCATACTCTTGATCTGTGGTCATATGTCTCTAAGACATTCATCAAACAATAATGAAATATTGTTGTAATCTATGCTACAGGCATATGCTGCTGCTAAATTTGCCGATGCTTGCCTCCGAGGATTAAAAGGCGATGCAGGTGTAGTCGAATGTGCATTCGTGGCATCTGAGGTACTATGTTTTTCACCATTAATCCCCCTTCTACCCAAGCTAATTCCATATCTCAATATGAAATAATTCTATGCAGATCCAACTTTCTTGTTCACATATATGCAGGTGACAGAATTACCTTTCTTCGCAAGCAAGGTCAGGTTGGGTCGGGCGGGCGCTGAGGAAGTTTATCAGCTTGGTCCCCTAAATGAGTATGAGAGGTAAAAACTGTATGACATTTCGATCACTTCTGTACTAATTTTTTACAGGCTTCTCACCATGTGAAACTAACATCGTAACAGGATCGGGTTGGAGAAGGCAAAGAAAGAGCTGGCAGAGAGCATTCAGAAGGGAACGAACTTCATCAAAAAATAAGTTCAATGAATACAATCAGAGGATTGTCCAACAACTAGCTACACCTTTCTACTTTTATCCAACAACTTATGTGACTATTGCTCTACTAGAAGATATTTTGCTGCCAGAATTAAAAAGACAAATAAAATATATCTTTTTCATTAGACCTAGTAGAGCATTATTTTTCGAGATGTGTGTTGTAGATGTTCTGAAAGCACAAGAAGATTCACATAATGCTTCAATGACTCGCTAAAACACAACTCCTAACAATGGCCAAGTGTAACCAATGAAAAGGACTGCAATATAGTGGTGCAAGTAATAAATATTGAATCCACGGGCCTTTAGAATTACTATTACTGAGCTTTAGTTCATTATCTAGCAAAACAGATTAAGATAGAAGAACTATAACTACTCTAGCAAACTACAGTTAAAGTTAATCTAATTACAGGTTGGGAACTCACTCAGGTATGATTCCTCCTAACTCCTCAATCAGGTCCAAGTTGTAATTTCCTTTGGTCGTTGTACTATATATTAGACTGCGGAAGATCCCAAAATAGCTTGAAATCTCTTAAGTTGACTAAGCCCTGTTAGACAGATTATACGGCAGGCGACTAGCCTTCACCGAGATAGAATGATACAAAGCAATGGATTCACTTACTCTCGTACAATCAATTCACTACTATCAATCAACGAAACTCTCTTAACCTAATCAGATACTATCTATCAAAGGTTAAAGAAGAAATCAAGAGAATTTGATCAGGATTCAATTGAATCAATAAATCATGCCTCAATAAATTATAATCAAACAGTATAGCATCCAAAATCTCATACAAGAAAATCCTAACACATGGAACTAGGAATTCATCATGCCACAATGACCCGCCTTGTCTGTTTGGATATCGATACACCATACGATCAACTCGTCTCGTGCCATCCATGCAAGTAACCTCAGTACACATTTGATGGAGTTCTTCAAGGTTTGGTCTCGTAGGGACCTTCACTTTATGAAAATTACCACTGACTTAACGTACCCTGATAGTATCGTATTTGCACATGTTTCATCCTCGTTTCTTGATCATTTTGGCTCGAGTTTGTGCCTTCTTGGTCTATTTTACGCTAGGTTGTGTTCCTTAGTCACATTTTAGGTCCTAACATGTAAAGTGAAGCATAGGCACGACGATTCGGGAGAAGAAACTCGGGCATGACGTGAAGAAGAATGGATTTCTAGCTCATGTTATGGACAAATAATCATGTAGCTTGTCATAAAAATAAATAGAATGAGACTACGAGCTACTGGGATCAAACGACGACTAATTCGAAGTCCGGACGAGGGAGAAACAAAGCATCAAAGATAGTGGAACAGGTTCGGAGGAAGAAACACGGGCAGGAGAAACACGACCGTGTTTTTCCCTCCCGTGCCTGTGTTTTTAGTGCCGAGAACAACCAAGGGAAGGGCTAAAACACGACATGAGAAACATGATCGTGTTTCTGCCCCCTGCTTGGTTATAAGTCTAATTTTTGCAATTTTTGAGTGGTGAGAGCTGAGTTTTGGTTCCCAAACATCCAAGGGACGAACCCTAAAGAGAGAGAGAGAGAGAGAGAGAGAGAGAGAGAGAGAGAGAGAGAGAGAGAGAGCGACTTTGGAGCATTTTTGGAGCTATTTTGGAGGATTTCTTTACTATTGGAGCTCGAAAATCAAGATTGGAGATGGAGATTGAAGATCTAGATCAGATTTCTACATTCTCGCTCTTCTCTATGGAGTAACTTCCCTTCACTTAGGTTATGAGCAACCCTAGCTCCATGTGTTAGGATCTTTCTTTATGAATCTTTGGATGCTATACTATTTTATTTTAATCGATTGAGACATGTTTACTGAGTCAATTGAATCTTGATCAAATTCTCTTAACTTCTACTTTAACCTATGATAGATAGAATCTGATTAGGTTGATAGAGCTTCTTCAATTGATAGGAGTGAATAGATTGTACAAGAGTCAATCAATTCACTGCTTTGTACTGGAATTCGTTCCAAGTAGTGGAGATCTGTGTGAATCACCTTAGCATTCTACCCCGGTAAAGGCTAGTCGACTGTTGGATAATCTGTCTAAGAGGGCTTGGTCAGCTTAAGAGATTCCAAACTATTTTCGGATCTTCTGCAGTCTAATCTGCAGTAAAACAACCAAAGAAAATTACAACTTGGACCTAATTGAGGAGCTAGGAGGAATCATACCTGAGTGAGATCCCAACCTGTAATTAGATTAACTTTAACTGTAGTTTGCTAGAGTTGTTACACTTAGTAAGTAGTAACTATAGTGACACGAGCCTATTATCCCCCTCCAATATCGAATTGGATGTTGATTCGATATTTATTACTTGTGCCACTATAGTTACAATTGGCCATTGTTAAGAGTTTTGTTTTAGCGAGTCAAGTTTTCGGCGCCGTTGCTAGGGACTTTCTAAATTATTAGGTAAGGAAGAAGTTTGTTAATTTAGCTTTTATTTCTTTTGTTTTTCTTTTCCACCGTTGCTTTTCACTTCGATGTTTTGTTTGTGATTGTGCATATCTGCATCATGCATCGAGGCTTCTCCGACCAGTGGGGGTATCAACCATCACCCGGTTGGTATTACCCTGAGATTTCATTGGATAACCAGCACGAAAAAGGCTATGGATTTGGGTTCCAGGAAGAACAACCACCCTACTACGGAGAACAACCAGACCCTTGGGAACCTCAAGAACAATATCTTTATCAAGAAGAATTCCTCCCACAACCAGCAGGGCAGAGTTGGAGTTAGCCATGGAGGCCTTCACGGGCCATTCTGCAGAGTCATGCTACACTCCACTAGCAGATCGAAATATACAATTGAGGTTTCTCGTGGAGCAGATTGCTCGAGACACCGAAAGATCATGCTCCAAGATGGACCTTCATAGCCAAACTATTTCCCAAACTGACTTCTCCTTTCTCCTTGAAACCCGTGAAAAAAAGGAGACCCTCCGAAGCATAAACAAGCACTTAGAGGTCATTGAGAAATCTTGTGCACCATTTTCTCAAGACAACCTTTATACTACCATGCAAGCAGAGGAGGAGGAAGAAGAATCCAATCACGGGGATGTTGAGGAGCATACAGAAGTTGTCACGGAGACCTCCCGTGATAATCATGATAAGAAATGTCCTCTGGTGGCAGATCACACCTTTACCCATTTCTGCTTTGACATACTGGGCTCGAGCGAGGAGATGCAAGGTTTTCTCATTGAAGAAATTACTTGGAGACTTGCTCTCCAATCCGAGGTGGAAGAAGAAGAGAGAGAAAGGGTGAGGGAAGAAGTTGTGGAGGATGAGGAAGAAAGCCAAGACGAGGAGATTCTTGATCTTTTCCAAGGGCACGAATCAAATTCTGAGGAAGGAAGGAGGGTTGAAGATGCAATTGGCGTCCAGGATGAGGACGACGTTGAGTTGGAAGAGGCTTGCACCGGCCATGAGTTACATGTGGTATCTCCACCAAAATTCGAGGAGCTGCTTGGCAAGGACCTATTTGCAGTGTCTATTTGCAAGACCAAGGCCACATCGACATTGTTCTTTCTAGGTGGACTCGACGGTGGTTAATCTATGCTATCATATATGGTTTGGAGCAATGAGACGAGAAAAGAAGAGAAAAAGAGGTCTCGAGGGTGCAGACTTCATCTGACTCAAGTGCACGAGCCTACTCCACTTGATGCACCACATGCTTGTGACTTGAGACTCCACCTCATCGACGAGCACCTCAACTTCAAGGAAGTTATGGGGTGGACCAAAACTTAGGAGCCACCGTCCGGCTCACGACGTGAAAGAAGCGCCAGTCGGGAGGCAACTTAACCACTCAATTTGCATTTCTTTCCCTTTTTCTCTTTGGTTGACCTTGTTCTTTGATTTTAGAGTCAATAACTCAACAATTGTGAGATTTTGTGTGGTGTTTGTGTTCTGAATGCTCTCTCTACTTTCTCCTGGAATGCAACGTCTGCCCCGTCCACCATTATTCACACTTGATCTGGTAACTTCATTCTACCCTTCTTATCTTTCCTCCATTGAGGATAATGGCATGCTTAAGTGTAGGGGGATGTTCCATTATGTTTGCATGCGAATGTTGTATGTGTGTGCTTGGAGCCTAGTCCATTGTCCAAATTTTAAGATTTGAGAGCTCCAAGTGCGTTGTTTCCTTGCAAATGCCTGCTCAGTTTGCTTTGAATTGACAGTCTTTATAGTAATATGCAACCTAGCGAGGTAGTGTAGCACTATTGAGGATGTTGATGCATTAAGAAGTCTCATTTCTTCTTCATATTGTGTTGGTTGATTGTGAGAATTAGTGGTCTTAGAACACTTTAATCGTGTGGATTGATGACTCTCTCCCTGTCATGGACTCTGTATTATGTTTTGAAAAAGGTGCTCTCAACTGTGCTTTCAAAATCATGTATCTCATGTGGAAATCAGTGAAAGTGTGTGTAAGGGGAGACGAGAATCCGTTCCCAACTTCCACCTACTACCTCCAGCCCCCTTTCACCTCTTTCCCCCCACAAGGCTTGAGACATCTGCTCCCAGCATGGCCTGTAAGAGCCTGGCTCCCTCAAAATCTTTGCTAGGTGGGAGCCCCGTTTTCTAGAAATGACAGGTTGGAACCCTTGCAAGCAAAGACAAAAATAGACAATCAAGAAAATGAAAGGAAAAAGAAGAGGGGTTTCAACCATCTGCAAAGAAAAAAGAGAGCACCTAAAAAGTTGAGTCCATGATTTTCTGTTTTTGAGATTTGCTTTATTCACGGATCATTTGTCCTAAGACCACTACTTGGCATGATCCTGATTCAGGACTAGAGTTATCGTCGAAGAAGTTAGGAGGTGTCTTGTGCGTTGGTTGACCTCGTAAGCTGCTAAATGACTTAGGACATCCTCTGCCAATGATTGGGGTTGCATGTTGATGTAAAGGTCTGGAGAGTTGCATCGGTTTGAGTCAGGTTTTCTTGGGGACAAGCAAACGGTTAAGTGTTGGGGAATTTGATAGCAATGAATTTGCACATGTTTCCCCCGTCAATTCTTGATTGTTTAAGCTTGCGTTATGACTTCTTTGAGCTATTTTGGAGGATTCCTTCACTATTGGAGTTTGAGAATCAAGTTTGGAGATGTAAATAGAAGATCTAGATCAAATTTCGGCATTCTATCTTCTCTATGGAGTAACTTCACTTCACTTAAAAATTGTTAATTAACCATGTCTCATAAATCATAATTTTTTTTGTGAACATAAACCATATATAATATTATAATATATATACGTGTAATTGCAGAGTCTGTTCCTATGCTATCCTTGTGGTATAAGGAAAATGGTTGAAGGTTCATTGTAAACATATACGTGTAGTTGTTAGTTAGTAAAACTCTGTCGAGAGCTATATAGCCGGTTATGATATTTGTAAACTTGTTGTTGATTATATTTGATGAATAAAATTCTGCCCATTCATAAAAAAATATTATAATAACAAACTAAGAGAAAACCCATCATATTTTCATTTTCAAAACAATAACTCTTCTAACTATTATTCCTCTTCCTCACATCCCCATTTCCCACTACCAACTCTCAACAATTAATTATTCCATGTCCGTAGATGGAGACATGGAGTCATAAAATTCCTTCGAGTGTGCTTCTAATTAAGCTTTATCCCATAACCCAATGTTCAGGGTTTAAATTGATTGGTATATAAAGTAACATGAAAAATAATCAGTTGGTTAATAAAAAGATAACGAAAACAATGTTCTTCATTAGGCAGAAACCAAATTAATATAATTGTACGTACTGGACTTTGCACATAATAAATATTTTGGGCAATCTTTTCGATTTATAACATTTTGGCAATATACGTGATGTTTGATCGTTATCTTGGATGGTCAAACGCGTTGACTAACTGTAAACGCGCCACGTCACTACCAAGTCAGCAACTTTCACTTAATTTTTTTAATATTTTCCACCTATTACCATTTTCTTTTTCTTGGTTCAAAATTCAATTAATTTTTTTCTTCTTTTGGTTCAAAATGAAAAATGAAAATGGTAATAGGTAGAAAATATATAAAAAAAATTAGGGCTAATACCACTACAACACCCGAACTATTCCGAAAATGCCACTTGTGTCCTATTGTTTTCAATATTCCATCTGTGTCCTGAACTATGATTCTGTTATCGTTGACTTTTGTTGACCGTTAAATTTTGACGGAATGACAGATCAGCGCTGATGTGTAAGCGGACGTGGCTTTTTATTTGCGACGTGGCTTTTTATGTGTTTCATATTTTAAAAAACGAAAATGAAATTAGAAGGTAAATTTTGGCCGGCCATTTCACCCACCACAATTACCTTATCCTACTATCGAAGAGAGAGAATTGAGCGAAGGTGAGGAAGAACCCTAAACAGTCTCCCGACGAAGAAGGTGAAGGCCCTTCGATTCGGCGCTGGTGATTCTCCTCTACTCGAGCATGGGGCCTTCGATTCGGCGCTGGTGAAGGCCCTCTGTCCGGAAAGCGCGCGATCGATCGATTCCTCGAGGGGAGGGCGATTTCTTCAGCCCCCTCTGCCCGACGAAGATCGAGCCATGTACCACCATCTCTCCGATTCTTTCTTCTCGACATCTCCTGGAACATTCGCAGCCTTCAAATCGTCCACCATTGAAGGATTCGAGCAGCCATTTGAAGAAGAAGGCGCGGATTTGGGGGATTTGAGTTTCCCCCAAATTTTCTAGGGTTTCTATTCGATGCTTTGTGGTGTCTTTTCTGGAGTGTTGGAAGTATTTGAAGGGTGACTGGGTGGTTGGGAAGCAAAGAAGGTGCCAGAAATAGTACAAAGGAGTAAATGGCGTAGCTGCTTCGCTGGTGTTAAAGCTTGAGATTCTCTGGGAAAAGGTTGAAAAACAGGGACCACGAGAACAGTGTCAAGACTCATTTACCCTTTTGGAAACTTCAGTAACAGGTATGATATGGGTGAAATTAGTACGTATTGGTCATTTACGTTGTTGGTTGAGAAGTCGTTGTCTTGGTTCGGATTATTCAATTGAGATGGGAATCAGTTTTGTGGTCTTCCAGAAGGAAAGTAACTTAGTCAAATGCTTTGTGGAATGCTTTACTGAATAGATTATTAGGGGTGGTTAAAGTATGCTTAATGTCTCAAATTCGATGAATTTAGGCTATTGTTAAATGGGGATTGTATGGTTATGCAGGATGTCGACATTGGTGGAGTTGATTGTCCATCATGGTGGGAAAATGGAATATTCTGATGATGGTATTCGCTACATAAATGGCAAGTCAGAGGCTGTTGACATGGACATAGATTATGTCTCGTTCTTCCAACTCCAACAAATTGGAACAGTCCACTTCGATTATGCAAGGGTTGAGAGGCTGTGGTACATGGCACCCTCTGACACTTTGGATAATGGTCTAGTTGAAATACGGTCTGATAGTGAGGTGATGGATGGCTTGCTCCCAGCCATAGAATATGGAAAAATTATGATATTCATGGAAGCAATAGAAACTCAAATCGGGGACAATGAAGAACTTGGAGAAGAGTTATCTGATGATGGTGATTCGGAGGATGGGGATAACTCACAAAACCGAGACATTATCCATCTCATGGATGATGATATCCGTACTTCTGATGATGAGTTCATTGATGCAATGGAGGAGCAAGGAGTCAGACCACGACGAGTTCGTACTCGTGTTGATCAAACTGGGGAGGAGGTAGAGCAAGAGTCATTGTTTGTTGATGGTGACCCACCTGTGGATGAAGGCAGAGGTAATAGTGAGACCATTGTTTCAGATGACGTTGATAACGAGGACTTGAGGGACAGGGTTGTGGAAGATTCAGCCTACCGGGGTTCAATTGAGTCACGCCATGTGAGGGGGAACATTGATGACGAAGACAAAGGTAGCCCTCTAGAAAACGGACCTCGATATGACCCTATGTGTGACCATTCAACCCTTAAGTTGGTTGTGGGCATGACATTTGACAACCCCGAGCAGTTCAAGGAGGCCGTTGAAAACCATTGCATTGCCATTGGAGCTGATATGAGATGGACTAGGAGTGACAAGCAAAAGAAGCGTGCTCAATGCCGTAACAACTGCGGGTGGTACGTTTATGGAAGCTGGCATGGACGTTCTTGCTTTATGATCAAGAATGTTGGAAAGGATCACACATGTCCTAGGTCTGTGAGAATGAAGGTTGCAAATGCTGTTTGGGCTGCTAAAAAGTATCTCGACAGGTTCAGAAGGGAGCCAAATTGGAAGGTAAAGAACATGATGGTTGAAATAAGGCAAGCACACAACGTTCAGATATCCAGGAGGCAATGCTATAGGGCTCGGATTTATGCGAAGAGGATGTTGGGTGGCTCATTGGTTGAAGAGTACAATAAGGTCAGGTCCTATATGGCAGAAATGAAGAGGAAAGATCCTGCTGGAACCTTCATACTTGAGGTTGACCCAAGTTCTATTCCTGAACGTGTGCTTTTCAAGAGGCTGTATGTAGGGTTCAGTGGATTAAGTAGGGGTTTTACTAGGGGCTGTCGTCCTATGTTCGCTTTGGATGGGTGTTTCCTTAAGGGGGAAGTAACTGGGATGTTGTTGAGTGCAATTGGGAAAGATGGTGACAATCGGATGTTCCCTATTGCGTGGGCTGTTGTAGAAGGAGAGAACAGTGATTCGTGGAAGTGGTTCGTGTCAATACTTCAACAAGACCTTAGGACCACTGATGGTCGTGGATGGACTGTCATATCTGATCAACAGAAGGTATTGTACATACCCCTCAGTGAGTTTTATGTGTTTTTTATGATCCATGATGTTTCACTAACTCATTATTGGGCTGTTTGTCTTCTTAGGGACTAGTGCAAGCAATAAGCACTTGCTTACCTGAAGCTTCACAAAGGAAATGTGCAAGACATGTTTTTGCCAACTGGAAGGTCAATCATCGAGTTAAGGAGCATCGGGACCTCTTCTGGGCAGCAGTATATGCCACGAATGTTCCTGAATATAATGCTAATTTGAAGAAGATGAAAGACATTCAGACTAGTGGGGTTGATCCTAGCTTGCATAAGGATTTTCTGGACCAAGAGCCACACACATTCTGCAAAGCTTTCATGAGCCACATACCAAGGTGTGACTCGGTAGAGAGCAACATATGTGAAACATTTAACGGTTATATCCTTGAGGAAAGGGAGGACAGAATTATCGACATGCTAGAGGGAATTCGTCGGAAGTTGATGGTTAGGTTTGTCGACAAAATGAAGGGGGTTGAACGAGTTGATAGTGTATTATGTCCTAGGATTGAAAAGAAGCTCAAGATTGGGACAGATTTGGCAAAGATGTGTGTTGTTAGTCCCGGTTTGGGGGAGAAGTTCGAAGTTGCAGAAGGTAGAAAGGGTTATGTGGTAGACTTTGAAGACAAATCTTGTACATGTGGTTATTGGGGGTTGACTGGTATACCATGTCACCACTCAATTGCATGTTTTCAATTCAGGAGGTTGGAACCAGAGATGTTTGTCACCCAATATTATAAGGTCGAGGTGTATAAGATGGCCTACAGACATGGCATTCCTACTTTGGAAGGCCAGCAGGCATGGCCAGAAGCTGAAGGGTATCCTGTATACCCCCCTAAGTTTAGGATTCTGCCTGGCCGTCCTAAAAAACAGAGGAGGAGACAACCAGGAGAAATAGAGACTACTGGTCATGGGGCTGGAGGTGTTGCCATCAGGAGGAAATCCATTGTCATGCATTGCAGCAAGTGTAAATCTCCAAATCATAACGTGAGACGTTGTCCAGAACTTCGTGCTGGAGAGGTAATGTGCATTAGTCAATTACAAGCTAACTCAATATTTGCCTTCTGAATGTAATGCTAATTATGATATTTTGTCGAGTTTATAGAATGTGGGTGGAGATGAGGCAGGTGGAAGTAGAAGAGTTCGTAGGAGAGGGAATAATGAAGGTGGAGATGCTCCAACTCCATCTGGTCCAGATGCTCCAGTTTCTCCAGCTCGTCCTGGTGCATCAGCTGCCCCAACTGGACGTGCTGCTCCAGTTTCTCCAGCTCGTCCAGGTCCATCAGCTGCCCCAATTGGACGTGCTGCTCCAACTTCTCCACCTGCAAGAAGGAGCAGAGGTCTGTGCTCCAAATGCAGAGGAGATGACCATAACGCAAGGACATGTCCCTTAACTGGCGGAATCCAGGTAAATCCAATAGCGGATCAATGTGTAGAATTGAAATGATTGT